AAAAAAAAAATGCTCTCGAAAAATCTGACTCGTTTCTTGGCGTCAGGCAACCATAAGAAGGCAACTTCTCTTACTGTTGCTGCTACTGCTTCAAGAGGACTCCGTGGTAGTGCATCATCATCATCATCATCGGGTGTATCTTCTTTTGCTGTGCAACATCCACAACACTCCTCAAGCAAGAGAGGATTTCATCAACAATTGAAGAAGAACAATTTTGTTGGAACATCAATTTTCAATCATCAAATGGTGAGAGAGTTCCACACTTCAAGTGTTTCGCAAAAGAAAATTATTCCGTTTATTTTGGCAGATATTGGAGAAGGTATTACAAAAGTTGAAATTGTGAAATGGTTTGTTAAAGAGGGAGATCATATTGAACAATTTCAAAATGTTGCCGAAGTGATGAGCGACAAGGCCAATGTCGAAATTAGCAGTCGTTACGATGGAATTGTTAAGAAATTATGTTATAATGTTGGTGACATTGCCAAGGTTGGTGCTCCTTTGATTGAAATTGAAGTGGCCGATTCTTCATCATCATCAGCAACACCAACACAACCATCAGCTGCCTCCTCTGCTCCATCTACATCCTCGACTGCAACCACCACTTCAGCTCCATCCACCAACGAAGCTCTTGTTGAAGGTTCAATTGAGAAAGTTTTAACAACTCCTGCTGTCCGAAGACTTGCCCGTGAGAATAACATTGATTTGACAAAGGTACGTCCAACAGGAAGAAATGGAAGAGTGTTAAAGGAAGACGTACTAAGCTACTTGCAAGATCCATCTGCACAGTCAAAGGTGATCGAAAAACAACCAACAACACCTGCTGTCAGTGCCACTCCATCTGTCACCGCCACTGCAACTACTGTGGCACAAGAGCGTCGTGAACCAGTCAGAGGTCTCATGCGTACAATGATCAAGACAATGAACGCAGCCACCAAAGTTCCACACTTTGGATACAAGGATGAAGTTTGTGTGGATAATTTGATTGTCCTGAGACAACATTTGAAAAAGATGGCAGAAAAACAAGGCGTGAAATTGAGTTACATGCCATTCATCATTAAGGCTGTTTCATTAGCTCTTAATGAATATCCAATTTTGAACTCATCTTTGAGCGAAGACGAGTCAGAAATAATTTATAAGGCAGATCACAACATTGGTGTTGCCATGGATACACCTAATGGATTATTGGTTCCAAATATCAAACGTGTGCAAACCAAGTCCATCATGGAAATTGCTGCCGAGTTGAATCGCCTCCAAGAGTTGGGTAAACAAGGAAAGCTTGGAATGGATGACTTGAAGGGGGGTACTTTCACATTATCGAACATTGGAACGATTGGTGGTACCTATGCAGATCCAGTGTTGAGCATTCCTGAGGTTTGTATTGGAGCTATTGGTATGATTAAGAAAGTGGCCTCCTTCGATGAGCATAATCATGTGATTCCAAAGAATATCATGTTCATCAGTTGGGCTGCTGACCACCGTGTCATTGATGGAGCTACCATGGCTAGATTCTCCAACAGATGGAAAGAATTTTTGGAAGAACCAGACAATTTTATTGTCACTCTCAAGTAAAAAGTTTAATTTATCTATCAATAATAATGAGCGCTACTATAGCTATCCAAAGAATTCTTCTTTCGATTTGAATCTCTCGTGAATCTTTTTGTCTCCATCATCTAAAATCTTTTAGAAGAAAAAAATGCTCAACATTTTCAAGAGGCGTTGCCTCTTGTTATCCTCGACAGGCAACCTTCTCATTAGTAGCCGCTCTCCTCCGAGCATCCCTCTTGCTGTTTTGAATGTTGGTGCAAGAGGTATCGGAGTAGCTTCGGATTCATCATGTAATTTTTGGGGAACTGAGAGCACAAAGGCTTTATTTTCTTCATCTTGTGTTGCCATGAAAAAAACCAAATCGTTTAAGACAAATTCTGAAAGAACATCCTCTGCTGTTAATAATCATGCAGCAAATAGAGAAGAAGAACATTCTTCCAAAGGTTCAAAATCATTCTCTAATGAAGGTCTCTTCAACAAATTTTATCCAGCTTTCCGTAAACATCCAAAGCACACATCGTATAAAGACAATCAAAATCATCGTACTTTCGAGAAACGCTCTAGCAATACTACTCACGTCAATAACACCAATGGAATGGTTAACCCCAACAACAGCTCATCAAATCCCGAAGATACTTCAACCTCTACTATCGCCCAGCCAACAAACAAGATTATCAACATTAAAATTAGCAAACATAAGAAAAGAAGTAAATTTTCACATGGAACACGAATGCCTTCTTCCTCAAATAATGAAATTGACGAATCAGCTTCTCTTAAAATTAATAATAACTCTGACAATCAAGGTTCGTCAGCGAAATCCCAAGCTCAGTTTCAAAAAGAAAATTATACCATTCCTCAATTCAAAAAGGAGCTGGAATATAACGTTGACAAGCTGTTGAAACAAGTACTGCAAAAAGTGAAATCTCAAAAGCCTGGGGAGGTTGAGAAAAACATAGATACTGACTACGATTCCTTCTCTGTTTTAAAGCAAGACTCAGACGAATCAGAAATTTTCTCTCGTAACGAGCTAAATGTTATAGACAAGTTAGAGGAGCACGACGAAGAAGACATTGAAAAATCCTCCATTAAACATGAAATAGACAAGAGATTTTTGAAGCCCCGATCTAAACCAAAGAAATTAAAAGAAGAAAAAGACAAAATGGAAAGCATAAAATTGAGCGCAGTGGAATTGAAGAACGCTGTATATCATCCTTCAACCGGTATCGATTATAGGAAATCTCTATTGGAAGAACCAATTCCACCACACCAAAAATTTTTAGTTGAATTTTCAGATTGTGAATACGTCCAACTTGCAGAAACACATCCATCAGAGAAGGATTATATTGGTAACACTGATGTGTCGCGTATTCCAAAGCTTGCTAATGGCCTTTCCAGAGTGTTGAGGTCTCCAGGAGTTCACAAGCTTTACGATGTGAAATCGAATACCTTTCATTTTCATCCATATTTAAGGAATCTACACAAACAAGAGGAAATCAACATTGATAATATTACTCCATTTATACCACCATCAAAAGATGAATCTCTTCACCATTTAATGAACCAATATCAATGCAAATATCAAAGCTCTACAAGCGCTATCTCTCCTCCATTGGTTTCACTTTATCTATTGCTTTCTAATTTCAAGCCAACAAAAGCCAGAAACCTTGAAAATTTCAAATGCTTAACCAACACTTTTACTCCTTCAGTTCGTAAGCCGTCGGTTTTCATTCTTCGGCCAAAAGAAAACATACATGGAAAAACGTTTTACTCCATTGACTCATTCAAGTTTCTTTTCGAACCAAGATCAAATCAGATTTTATTAGATCTTGGAAAAGTAATGGAAAAACTTTTTGTCATGGAACCAGAAGAATTTGAGAAACGATATGTCAAGAAATATGCTCAGGAGAATATTTCTATGGATGATGCAGATGTTTATAGATATCTCAGACATGGATCGTTTATTATTCGATCTCAATTAGATTGTTATGATCCCCAACACGGAGTTTTTGACATCAAAACGAGAGCTATCAGTCGGATACGTACCAATATGGAGAATTATGAAAGATTTGTTAACTCAAAGATCAAACATGTGAAAGGAATTCTCAATTCTTATGAAAGAGAGTTCTATGACATGGTTCGATCTGTTTTCGTCAAGTACAGCTTTCAAGCTAGAATAGGAGACATGGATGGAATGTTTGTAGCTTATCACAATACTTCTGAATTGTTTGGTTTTGAATATATGAAATTAGCAGAAATTGATAAGTTTGTATTTGGTAGCACTTACATGGGTGAAAGATTCTTCAACCTTTTGCTTGACGTTATGAGAGACGTGCTGGATAGAATTACGGATCGCTTTCCAAATATTCCTCTCAAGATTACATTCCGTCCTTTGAGAGTCGAACCTTATTTTGCTGATATTTTTGTTGAGCCAATTCATGACGATTTTGGGTGGACTGATAGACATCCAACTCCCGAAGAAAGGCAAAGTGGGAGCTAGAGAAATTTAACTTGAATCCATTTGCTGACTATATTAAGGATACCGTGTATTGCTACCGATTGTCTCTCCAAACCATGATCAATGGAGCAGTGTCAAGAGGTTATGTTGACTTTTCTGAAAACGACAAGGTTGATGTGCTGTACTCTCTAGAAGAAATGGGCGACACTTCCACGGACAAATTCCTCATGAACGAATATGTCTTGACTCTAAAGAAGGCATTCTTTATGGAATGAATCCCGTTTCTAGCTTAAAATCGAGTAAAAGAATATGATTTCTTCTTCTATCGTACAATATTTCATTATATTATATTTACAATCGATCATTTTCATCATCGTCATCATGGTGGCCAAGTAAACCGGTTCTCATTCGCTCTTCTTCCTTGTCCTGTTCTGGATTTGTGTTTGTATTATTTCGATTTGCAGTGGTGCCACTAGTAAATCTCTTTTTGAAGTCAGCAAATTTCTTCTTTGCAAAATCACTCAGTTGATCAAAAGTAAAGCTTGTTTGAGAGCTTGAACTTGCAGCATGAGAGCCAATTCCTCTCGAAGAATATCCACTGTCAACGTCTCTTCTTATATTTGGGTTTTGATTTCTGCTTGGTGTGGGATCTACTATGGACTCATCAATTCCTGGCATTGGTGGAGGAACGGATGATAAACCTTGCTCGTACAATGATTTTTGTAATCGGTATGCATAAATTTCATCTTCTGAATAAAGTGGAGCGTCCGATTGTTCATCATAATAATTACCAGTGTTACTACCATCACCGTTTAAATTCGAGTATCTGAGAAAATTATCATCCAATGTATGTTGTATTGTTGTTGACGTATTTTGTGATGGTTGTTGTTGGTTTGCCGATGATGACATTGTACGCGACTGATTTGCACCCATTTCATCTCCTCCTTCTGGCACCATTCCCAACAGCAACTCTATTGTTCGTTCCATATGCCCATTTGTTTGATACAGTACGCTCTTGATGGTTCCTTCATCAAATGATGGAAACATGTTGGTGAGCGTATTCATGGCTTCTTGCAAGGTAATTTTGGGTTGACTCATTTTTTTTTAAAAACTTTTTTGCCGCGACTTTTTTGGAGCTCACTTTCCGAGAGTTATTATTTGCCAAGACATCTTGTCAATAGAGAAATCGACATGTTGATTTCTTTTCAAACAATAAAGGAATGACAGCTCCGTGTATCATCATCATCGTCGATAGACAGTTCTCCTCGAACAGTCCAGTGGACTCCACACGTTGCCTATATGAATAGCTATACCGTCAAACTCTATGAATCATATCATCTTTTAAATCTCCGGAACAACTTGTCACATCATACCAACCTTATTATATTATTCGAATATGTTGGCGTCACTTACTGAAAAGCTTTTTTTGAACAGCATGAAAAAAATTGGTAATTTCACGGATTTCGGGAGCGGCTCATTGTGTATTTTACCTTGTCAAGGAAGAAGGATAATAAGGTCATCCATGATGAAAGTTTAATTCTTCTTAATCATGGACTCATCTGGAGTGATTTGACCATGGATCAAGTGACAATGGAATCAATGACAACTTACTGCAGACATTTAACTTGATTGCTCGCACTCTATTCTAAATTGCCAAATGTCCATAAATCTTGAAGCCGTCATCTTTCGTTCATGAATTGGCAAGTTTTTCCACAAACACAAAGGAAAGCCATAAAATCTCACATATCCCTTTAAATCCGAGAGAAGAAAAAGCTTGTGATTCCATTTCACCTCAACCATCATCATCATAGAGCAGCAACACACGACGGCGTGCAGTCCGTACCTTTCCTCCTCGAAGAAAAACAAATCGTTGTGGTCTCTCTCTTTCTTGAAATAGTGGCTCTTCAGCAGTGTACCACCACCAGTTTGGACATGTTGAAAGAGTAACAGTAGTAATAGTAGTATTGCAGAAATTGGAATTAAGTACAAGCAGTAATTCTTTTGGTAAGTCAATCTCGTGGATGGGCAAACTTCGGATCCGAATCATCATGTTGTGCTTTTATCATCATCCAATGTTCTTGCCTCGATGATTCAATATTGAAATATCAACAATACATGGTCCCACTCGTATATATACGGGTCCTGTAATGGTAATTCACGATATCTCCACACATGTGTTCATCCCTTGTGATGCTGTGATTATTAATAATTTAATTGTTCATCAAGTTGTGAGAGAATCTCATTAAAACAACACACCCATCTGCACGTACACATATATACATTAGAACGACAAGAGCGTTTCATGGGGAACAATATAAGAAGCAAACGTTGTTGATCATTGAATCCTTCTTTTGTTTGAACTTTTTGGAATTCGGATTAGGGAGAATTATTGATCAATAGATACTCTCTCTCTGACTTTTATCATCATCATCACTCTTCGTAGTAGTACTTCAGAGAGTGTCTACTACGGAATTATTTTCGTTTCCAATAGATAGGCTCACTCACTCACTCGCTCGAACATGCAACCACATCAACAACAACAAGCATCCTCTTCCCCTTTGCATCATGTGGTTCTGAATCATCATAATAACAACCACAACAACCACCACAACAACCACCACAACAACCACCACAACATCAACCACAGTGCTCAGCAGAATCTAAACCACATGCTTAACTACACACCATCATCATCCACTACTACTCAGTCGTTTCAGCAACAACCACAACAGCAACATCCACAATCATCATCTTCTACACTCGGAATCCTTTCATCCAATTACCAACAGCAGCAACAGTTCAGCTCAGCTCCCTCGTCTTCTCAAATGAATCATCATTACATCAACCCTTCCTCAACATGCAATCACATGAGTCATGATCAACATGTGCTCTCTCAGAACAACAATCATCTCCTCAGCAATCAACACAACAATTTTCATCAACCATCCCCAATGATGTCAATGATCATGAACGAGAATGCACCAACATCCACCACGCATATCAAGAATGAGCCTTTTTCGAACACATCCACAAGCACCTTCGTCGATCAAAACTACAATTATACGAACCATCTAATGGTGAAGAATGAACAACATCAGAGTTTGTTGGACTCTTTATTTCACAATTCACGACAACAGAATCATCAATATCAAGGCAACAACAATCCTAATTGTTCGAATGAAACGACTAATTTGGCTTACTTACCATTCAACAATATTCACCAAAATAACGGCATCAATACTGGTGGAGGAATGAATCAGAATCATCATGGTGGTGTTAATACATCATCATATGCAACAACAGCAAATACTACTTCATTTGCAAGCATGCTCATGCACCAAACTCCTCAACATCAAAGTTTTGTCAACAACGACCATCTTCACACAACTATGGACTATTCACAAATTGCCTCTCAAAACAATCCTGCAACTATGAATAACATGTTTGGAATGGTTGGACTTTTGAAGTCAGAAGGAATGACGACGTCAACCATTTCCAACTCTCTTTTTTCGAACAATATGGTTGGAGGTACAAGTAATCCATCAGTAACGGATCAAAACCTCACCACAAACATGAGTTGCCCACAAAACCAGTCCTTGTCTCTCCGCAATAATGCTCAAAACAATTCGAACTCCACAGATTCATGCCAACCACAGGGACTTACTTCTCAATATACAACTCTTCAAACTCCACAACCCCCTCAAATGCCATCATCTTCATTTGCTCAATCGTCAACAAGTAAGGACGATGATTTGTTAAATGATGAAGATTTGCAAGAGAAACCAAAAAAGAAAAGCTCGAAAAAGAAATCTTCCAAGTCGACACACTCGCCAAAATCATCCACATCGTCTCCTTCAGCTTCTCCAACTGCAGTCAGAAAGCATAGAAAGAATATTGCATTTGAGGATATTGCAGCCTGTTTTGAAATGCCAATTAGAGATGCAAGCCAAATGTTGGGTGTGAGTTTGACACAATTGAAAAGATTGTGTCGAGAATTCCAAATTCCTCGATGGCCATTTAGAAGATTGAATTCTATTCAAAGAAGAATTGAAGTTTTACAAATCATGCAACAGAGGTCAGAAACTAAAAACGATGCAAAATCAGTACAGCAAACACAAATGGAAATTGACAAATTACAACGTGAAATTATGGACCTGAAAACAAATCCGTCTCCAAACTTGATGTCATCATTGCTTAACGATGGTTCAGTACCTTCAAGCAGTACTGAAGATTCTGGAACTCCTTCATCACTCAATGATCAATTTTCCTTCCCAACTCAAGACATTACAAGATATAATGCCTTCAATGCCAATAATTATGGAATTCGGAGTATTCAAAATGCTACTGCAATGTCCACCTTCAACAATGACGCTCCATCTGTTCAAACCAATTTTGTTAACACAAGTTCAAATGATCATAACCCAAATACTGCGATTTCTGTGAACAACAACAACAACAACGCTTTCACATTCCAAAATTATGATCCTCATACCAATAATTTCACAACGGTTTTAGCTAATAATAATGGCATGATGAACAATGGCAATACAGCTATTGCTAATCAACAAGGATTAGTGAACAACTCCTCATTTGCACAAACAAGTCCTCAATTCAACAACAATCAAAATGTGCGACCCAGTAGCAACATGAACACCTCAAATTCATCATCACGCGCCGCACAACACACGTCTTTCCATGATTATTCATACCACTTTCAATCGAAAGCAGAAAATTCCTCACCCAGAATCTTTTTTCATAATATCACATTTCCTGTAAATACCAACAACTATTCTGTCACCAACAGTAGCCGGAATAATAATTTACAAGGTTCTTCACAAATGAATTCTATTAACATGAACAATACTGGAATGAGCTCAGTGAATGTCCACTCGACCGAAAACCTTAATAATTTGCATGTCCACTCTGATCCTGCACAGACATCAACTCCGCACCAAGGTCAGATTCATGAACAAATCTTAAATTCTACACCAAATGCAACATTAGATGCTTTGAGTGATTATGAGAAAATGCAACTGGTTGCTCTTCTTGTTCAATGTAACAACAACAACAACAACTTGAGTGGTATGACCAACAATCAGAACCCTAATTCTGATTTCACAACAATGGGTGGTAACAATCACAACACTGACAGCAAGAGAGAGCTGTTCGACATGTTGAATACAATAAGAAAAGATGCTTCAACCTCTTCTTGTCAAGAAGCTAACATTCAACAACCACAATTACCTGACAACATGAACACGATTGAGCACATGGTAGATCTATCTCATTTGTCGCAGGAAGAGGTCTCGAAAATCAAATCGAGTTTGCAAGACATGGCCAGCAACCATGGCCCGACAACAAGCAATCCTTCCCAAAATAAATGAGTTGAGGTGTGAATAAAGAACGCGCACTCGTCGCCTTCAACCAAAAAGCGGATTTCGATTGAATTCGTGTTCCATTCGCCAAAAGTTTCTGCTTCCGCACACGGAACTCTTTTGTGTTATTTTTAGCACGATTTTGGAAACCAAATAAAACCTCTCTGACGCCAACATAGTGCTCCTCAATCAACAAAAAAAATAAATCTACAAACAACTGCAACCATCAACATGCAAATCTTCGTCAAGACTTTAACTGGCAAGACTATCACTCTTGAAGTCGAATCCAACGACACAATCGAGAACGTGAAAAGCAAGATCCAAGACAAGGAAGGAATTCCACCTGATCAACAAAGACTCATCTTTGCCGGAAAGCAATTAGAAGATGGAAGAACCTTGTCCGACTACAACATTCAAAAGGAATCCACTCTCCACCTTGTCCTCAGACTCAGAGGTGGTATGCAAATCTTCGTCAAGACCCTCACTGGTAAGACAATTACTTTGGAAGTTGAATCCAACGACACCATTGAAAACGTGAAGAGCAAGATTCAAGACAAGGAAGGAATTCCTCCAGACCAACAAAGATTGATTTTCGCTGGTAAGCAATTGGAAGACGGAAGAACTCTCTCCGACTACAACATTCAAAAGGAATCCACATTGCACCTTGTTCTTAGATTAAGAGGTGGAATGCAAATTTTCGTGAAAACTTTGACAGGAAAGACCATCACTTTGGAAGTTGAATCTAACGACACAATCGAGAACGTCAAGTCAAAGATTCAAGATAAGGAGGGGATTCCACCAGATCAACAACGTTTGATTTTCGCTGGTAAGCAATTGGAAGATGGCAGAACCCTTTCCGATTACAACATCCAAAAGGAATCAACTCTTCACCTTGTTCTGAGATTAAGAGGTGGTAACTAGGTCCAATAAATGTAATCATTGAATCACTTGACTTTGTTTAGATGTGTGTTTTGTTAAGTTGTGTCATGCAATAGGGAACATTCCAAACGACAAACAGCACTTCGCCGCTCTGTCCAGATTGGGTAGTTGTTTCATCAAATCTGTAAACAGTATTAATTCAGTTGGATGACTGAACATAGTCATTGCAACAGCTTCCTTTAATTCCTGAATATACAAATAAGGATTTTTGCTTTTTAGTGCTTTGTTTCATTGTAAATCCTTCATGATGTGAATAAATATGAATCACAATGAGCAGCTCTCTACTAAGAGTCACTTCTCCCCATTGATTCAGATGGGTATGAACTTGAACTATTGATGTTAATTTTAAACAATGAGCGGATGGTTGTCTTTATTTCGGAAGTGTCTAACTGTCACATCAAGACAAGTGTTGTTGGAGCCAGATTCTTCTGGAAAGAGAGTCTCTCTCCAGCAACAAAAAAAATCAAACCCGCTCGCTCTTTCTCTCTTTTCCTCGTTTTGAAGCTTCTTCTTCATACAACAAAGCTTTAGTGCTGTTCCTTCACTCAACGCATTCACAACATCACGCTTCTCTTGTTAAGCTTAACTCACGCGTGTGCACACGACACGACCGATTCAATCCAATAACAACAACAACAACAGGAAAAAGTTGGACCCTCTTCCTTGCTGGAGTTTGATCAATTCTGACCACACACACCACGACGCCGAATAGTCAACACTCTCTACTCGATCATCATTGTCGTCGTCGTATCATACCTAAAGAGCATTCATAGCATCACATTTGTTGTTGAATTGATACAAATTTGCCATCATTAACGTCTTTTTTGAAACGGACAATATCTTCAGTTTCTGCGCAAAAGCAGCACACACAATACTCACATCACCTCTTTGCCCTCTCATTCGATTCAATTTGAAAGAGAACACGCAAGCAAGGTTCATTCAAAAGAATTGCTGCTGCTGGCATCCTTCGACTGGACAACAACACCAAGAAGAAAACAAAAGTCCACTCTCTCTCTTCTTACGTGCAACAACTTTCACGTTGGTCTTCAAGTTGATAACAAGCGCTGGATCTTCTTCTTCTCCTTCTTCGCAATACTCGTTTTTCGATTGTCATTCCTTTTTCGTTCCACACACAACCATCATCAAACTTAATTACTACGTATTAATATCAACACATTAATCTTCTACACATAATTTATACATTACAGATACAACAACATGAATCATATACTAGTAAATAATAGCGTGTCGATAGACTCTATGGAAGTCATGACATTGTGTATCGACCGTTCGAATGGCATCCACAATACATCCTCGTCGTGCTGTTGTCGTTCACCACCATCCTCTTGTCCAAAATTCGCACTCGCTCTTCCATCATCCAATCATACACAAATATTCATCAGAACACTCTCTGGTAAGACCATGACATTACTGGTTGATCTGAAGAAGGACACTGTTTTGTCGGTCAAGGAGAAGATTTACAGCAAGGCATTCATTCCAGCCTCTCAACAACGACTGATTCACAGACAAGTCCAACTTGAAGATCATCGAAAGCTTTCAGAATATCCAACCATTGGAAAAGATTCGACACTGCATTTGGTTCTTCGACTCGTTGCAGGTGTGAATAGCAAGCAAACAACAACACCAAGGTCTTCGACACGCTCTTCGAAAAAGTTGACGACAATCAAACAAGAAGAAGAAGAAGTAGCAGAAAATGTAGCCACTCTCTCTTCATCATCCTCTCTTCATGAACCATCTTCCCTCACCACCTCTTCCTCCTCCTCTTCCTCCTCCTCTTCCTCCTCTTCATCATCCACACTTCTTCTTGACTCCATTCCAAAACCTGATACACCATCAACGACTAACCATCATGTCGCTGTTGACAACATGATGGAAGCCATCAACACCCATCAAGAAGAAGAAGAGAATCCATCCGACACTGCCACCGCTCAACAACAAGCAAGAAAATCTCGGACCAAGAACACGAATTTAAGAAGATCAAATAATAAGAAACAAACATCAATCTCCCTGACCAACAACGGTGAGCCAACTGAACAACAAGAAGCTTCTTTCATGACGCCATCATCATCTTCTTCAGAGGAAAATCAACAATCAAAATCTTCCTCTAGCTTAATGGATAACATCTCCGAGTCAAGCCATCAAGATATGGAGGAAAATTCTGATTCTGATCAAGATGATTCTGATGGAGAAGAAAGTGACGAAAAGGGATCAAGTAAGGGCAAATCAAGAAATAAGAACAAGAAGAGAGGATCTTATACCAAGAGAGCTTGTATCAATTGTAGGACTGCACACGCGGCTTGTGACTCTGGTCGCCCATGCAAGAGATGCATTCAATTAGGAAAAGCAGATAGTTGTCGTGATGCTGAGAGAAAACGAACCAAGAAGAGAACTCTCAACGAGTATGAAAATGCCACTGGCTTCTTCCCTGCTTTGGACTCTTTCATTCCACTCTTGAGCTCTTTGCAATCTCTGCCATTACCTGAATCAACTCCAAAACATAACCCAGATGAAACCTCAAATTACTCATCGGAGGCAAAAGCTTCTCCAGAACAAGCAGGTAGCACTTCAACAAATAACAAGGATGAATTTGCGCCCAAATTGACCACAAAGATTAAGAAAGAGAGGGGTGGTCGAAAAGATAAAAAGAAGGGTGCATCAAGTTCGAACAATCTAGTCACTACTACTACGACGACGACCACTTTGATGAGCGGAAGCACCACTGACCTTCCTATAGATATTGATATGAATGAGTTTCATCAAACCAATACACTTGCAGAAATTTTCACTCATGACACTGCTCATTCCACGTTTTTAGATATGGATAGTTCTCCAACCGTTGAAAATGACAACAACTTTTTCAATGACGATGGAGACGATTCGAAGAGAGACATTTCTGAAGCATTGAATAATGTGGTACTATCTTCCCCAGAGCCTTTACTTGGCAACCAACAAGTTACTTCTGGTTCAAGCGAGGATATTAATAACTCATCGCATCTCGCCTTATTGGAATCGTTTGGAAATAATCTTCCATTTGACCTTTCAGAAGCAATTTCACAAAGCAACAACAATGAAATTGTGAAAATGTTGCTGTATGAATATTTGAGACAATCACAAGAACTTCGTGAGCTTAAAAAGCTGGTCACCTCACTTCAATATACCTTGATTAGTTTGAGCCCTCATCAATATGCAACAAGTCCATCCAATAATAATTTGAATGACCATTTATCAGGTAACACAATGTAAATAAAGGGGTGATTCAATTCTAACAATGAATTGTACATTTTGTTTGACACACAACTAGAATTCTAGTTGAACTACAACCTTGTTGGTAAGTAACAAAAAATTCCAAGCGTAAGTTATCGAACATTGTTATAACCAAGTTGTTTGGATCATTGCATCATTGGTTGGGAATTGGCAATTTCATTTTCTTAGTCAATCACCCCAATGAGACATTTTCCAGCAACAAGAATTTTCATTGTAAAATGTCTTAAAAATTTTTTGAGTTTTTTCGAAAAAAAATTCAATACCACCTCGACCCATCATCATGTCCTCTGACGAACCAAAGATTGAAAACGTGGAAGATTCCGTTCCAACCCTCGAAGATGTTCCTTCCACTGCAGCTGGTGCTGAGCAAAAGGGTGAATCCGCTGCTGCTGCCGCTGCTAGACACAGACAATCCAAGGCTGAGAAGAAGAACAAGAAGGCTATCCTCAAGGCTGGCTTGAAGGAATATGCTGGTGTTAAGCAAGTAACCATCAGAAGTGCTCAAAGACTCACATTGACCATTGATGATCCAGAAGTCTACATTTCTGATAACGGAAATGGTACTGCTACCTTTGTTGTCTTTGGTAAATTCAACATGGAGGACCCAACTCAACAACGTGGTGCTCAAGCTATGCAAGATTTGCTCAAGTCTAAGCCAGAGGAAGAAGAAGAAGAAATGCCACCAATGGAACCAGTCGAAGAAACCCCAGAGGAATTGCCAGAAAATGTTACTGAAAGTGATGTTCAAATGGTCGTTGACCAAACCGGATTGACAAGAAACCAAGCAATCCGTAGAATTAAGGAGAAAGGAGGAGACATTATTGAAGCTATTACCAGCGTGACTAAGTAAAAATTGTGCACAATCATTATTTGCAATCAACTTTGGTTTTTTCAACATTCTCTTGTCGTCCAAAATACAAAATGGTTACACTCGACATTTATGCCTTAACTTTATTTCCAGACAGCCCAACTAATGCCTTCAGCTTGACAAATACACAGAAAGGGCATTCAAAGCCATTCTTGATAAACACAAGGAGAGCCTCTGTAAATCATTGATAGCTGGTGTTTTATTGCCCTCCAAGAGGAATTCTGTGAATGACAGCGAAGCTCGTTTCCTGATCGGGCCTATAAATCATGCAAATGTCCTCCACCTTAAATGTGACAGGCTTCCACTTAGAATTCAACTCTTTCACCTTTGATTGAACCATTTTCTGGGCGCACTGACCCACAGTCAAATGAGGCACAAACTCTCCATGCTCATTCTTCTTTTCGTCACAATAAGGAAAATGTTTTGCCACCATAGATTGTAATTCCACAAGCTTTTGCTTTCCATAATCATCTTGATCGAGATACATGACCGCTGTCTTTTTATCAAAATACGAAATTCCACTTAATGTCAAATCAAAACTTTCCAAACTCTTCATGCTCTCTTTCAACAATTGAGCCGCAGCATCAAAATACTTTTCCGATATGAAAGGAAACAATAAATTGATATGTGGAGGCCATCTCTGATACGCTTTATCCAAGTGTTCTCTCATTTGTTGAATCGGCTCCCAAACATCACGAGGTGGAATGAAACACAAGGCCGTATGGAATGCTTTTAATGTATTTTGAGAGAGTGCATTTGAATCGGATTTTGAAAAAAGAGAACTTTCATACACATGATCATAGGATGGAGGTGGTGATGAGGTGGAGTTTGAAACGGAAGAGGATGCATTGTTCTTCTTTTTGCTGAATGATGATGATGTCTTTGTGTTGTTGGACATTTTTGTTGTTTGGGATGAATGTTTAATAATAGTTCTCAAATTTAAAAGAGTTTTTTCGGGAATTGAGTTGAAGAAACAATTTCAAAGAGCTAGATGTTGAGGCTTCACATATATTAATCCTATTATGCAAACAGACTCGAAGTTCAAGTGAACAATGCTAGTACCGTGAACTAGTTTCGTCCTTTCACAATGAATACAAATTCCTTGAACTATTGGATCCTTTCAACACTTCAGAAAAAAATTAGTTGGTGATTTACTATATCTTCGGATTCAAATCTAAGGTGGAACTTAATTTATATGCATTCTCTATTATTTCGTGTTGTGAATGGGTTGAGTTGATGTAAGTATACTACCCTATTGAGAGGCAAGCTGAGATTGGATCTTTTCAACACTTTAGAAAAAAATGGGCACACAAGAAATGCATTCGTGTCCATCATTATTGATCTTCTTGCCTGAAGAAATTCTTGAAAATATTCTCATCCAGATCCGATCACCTTCAGATGTCATTTCTTTTGTTCTCACATGCTCTCAAATGTACAGAATTTTCAAGAGACTTCGCACACATGATTTGGATGAAATTCGTGTCGAATATTTAAATCAAAATATTCATAATATTAATAATAACAGTGAATGGTCCGATCTCATTGAACCACGAAAGAAAGGATCAAGATTAATTGAATTATTTTCAAGAGGCTCTTCCCGAAATATGTGGACCTATGATGAATATTTCAAATGTCATTCACCCTATTCGTGGCCTTCAAGTTGTTTTAAAAAAGGAATTACCTATACTTCGACGGTTTTGCCGATTGATGAAGAGAGTGTCAATCCTTCTATGACTTCATGTGAGAATGACAACTCCGGTTGTGTAAATGAAAGTAACGACAGCTCCAACCGTGTAGAGGTTTCTCCAATTCAAATCAAACAACGTGATATTGAGATACACTCATCTGTTGAGGAAGATTATAGATTTTATCCTAATGAAGGTAGGTAGGCATGCACGATTTGTACGCGTTTCTTTTTGAATCAATTTCATTCGGCAAAACAATGAGCTAGACGTTTATGAGATAGTTTTTGGAGAATTTGTAAAGAGAAAGTTGAAAGATGATCCATTTTCCAAAGAGGAACAAGAATCCACAGAGCCAATGATCATTGGAGATGAAGAACCCCAGTATATAGAGCATAATAATGTCGTTTATTCAGATAAGATATCCTCCTTTAAAAATTCTTACAATGTATACATGACCAAATATTGTGAAAACATTGTTCGGTTGTATGAAAAACCAGAAAAAGCTACCATTGATTCCTTTAGAAATAGACTTGACGACATTTTGAAATGTAACCCAGTCATTGAGACTTTACTCGAATGTTTATTTGAATATAATAGAACAACATTCACACGAAACAGATTTATTATCGCAGGAGGATTCATACTCCATCTATTGTGTGGATGTGGATGTAGTGATGTTGACATTTTCACTATTCGCAATGGAGAAAATGATTCTGTCATTATGAAGGATTTACGTAGAGTATTGCTACAGTTTGAAAAGTTGGCACGAGAAAGAAGGTTGGACTTCAATATTTTGAAAACAAATGGAACACTTAATATATGCATACCCTCGGTACAACGCAACCTTGTAGAAAGCTACCCTCCTCGACCGATTCCAGACGCTCAATTAATGGCTCAATTTGTTTTGAGAAAAATAGAAACCATTGAGGAAATTATGTGTTTCTTTGATTTGGATTGTTGTCGCTTCTGTTATGACGGCAAAACAGTTTATACAATATTAGAAGGATTGAGAGCTCTCAAATACAAGATTAATTTTGTTTCAAAAGAGCACATTCAGAAAGGAATGTATTACAATAGAGCATGCAAATTTGGAAAAAGAGGTTTTCACACTCTCTTTATTCTACTCCACCCACTTTTCCATGTCATTCATGCAGACTTTATGATACGAGATTTAAAGCAAGACATCTTTGAAAGACAAGTATCAGGAGAGAACGACAATGAAAACAATATTTGGTGTGGATTCTTTAATCCTGCTTCTGGAAAATATTTTGCTCGGGAGCATAGAGACATTGACAAAACAAAAGATCTAGATGAATCTAATTATTACACAGTAGTTTTGAGAAGTTTGTCTTACGAACTTGTTGACACTGTTCTAAAGCACGGTTTAAAGGAATGTTTTTCATACGATTATATTGACGGAAGATGGATCAACGACGTTGGAGGATCCATAATTTCAAGATCTTTACTTGAAAGGATAACACATCATATTACGAAGGAAGATATTCACATATTTTGTACTAGTTTGGCAGAATTATTTTTGAAGGATGCATCATCTTACTTTTTGGAAGGATATTTTGAAAGCCACTTGAGACACAAGTATAATATTTACAAATGTTACATTTGTGGAAAATATTCACATCATTGCCATGAAATTTCCTTGCAGGAGGACAGAATATATTTAAAAATTCCCAAACGAGAAAAAAGACTGATAGAAATCGAAGAGAAATTTGGAATGTGTAGTTCTTGCAAAATGTTTCACGAGCAAAAATCTATTCAATCTCCTCAATTTAAGGCAAAAAATTTGTCATCAAAGGTCGCTATAGTTACAGGAGGCAGAATTAAGATTGGGTTTGAAACAGCACTCATTCTACTGAGATGTAATGCAAAAGTGATTGTTACCACTCGATTCGTCGAGGATGCTTTACAAAGATTTAAATCAGAGAAAGATTACTCCAATTGGAAACACGCCTTAATATTATATCCTCTCAATTTGAAAGACGGAAAATCAGTGTTACATTTCACAGATTTTGTTTTTAAGAACTTTCCACTAGTCGATATTTTAATTAACAATGCAGCACAAACAGTGAAACGACCATTGAATTACTATGAGACACTTTTCAATCTTGAAAAGCAGCAAAATAATTCTCTCACTCACTGTAAACACAACAAGTTGAACGACACAGCAATAGCTGAAAATTTAGTAGAATTACGAAAACAAACCATTGAAATTACCAAACGAGATGAATGGAATATTTCAGATTTGAAACTTGCCCAAACATTATTTCCAAGTGGAAAAACCGATAAATGGGGAGAACAGCTCGATAATCGATGGCTCAACTCTTGGAATCAAAAACTCTTTGAAATTTCCAACGTTGAACTTATTGAAGCTCAAATGATTAACGGTGTAGCCCCAACTATTTTAGTTTCAAAATTATTCGATTGCATGAAATATTCTCGCAGCAACAAGATGAATGATGAACATTTCGATGAAAATGATTCCGTTTCAATGGGTCACAGCTTTATTATCAATGTGACTAGTCATGAAGGACAATTCGAAACAGAAGGTAAAACAGATAATCATATTCAAACCAATATCAGTAAGGCATCCCTGAATATGATGACACGAAGTGCAGCCAATTTCTTTGCTAAACATGGTATTTTAATGAATAGTGTGGATACAGGTTGGATCAGTTCTGCCTTACCGGAAACATTCAAAGTCCCACCACTCTCTGCCAAAGATGGTGCACTACGAATTTTGGATCCCATCTTGACAGGTTCTTTTGCTTTTGGAAAATTATTCAAAAACTATCAAGTGGTTGAGTGGTAAAATTTTAGAGAGTTCTCCAGAGAACGACATTCCATTGCAACCAATTCTTTAAAGAATGATTAAACATTTAAGGAGATTTTTGTCAGCTACCTAATGAAATATTGTTCTTTCATCATGCTCTAGAATGTAGTCGTTCTTTTCTCTTTGATAACTATTGCAAGACTATTTGAATGATCAAATTTGAATGTGTGATTTTGCTCACCAAATTATTTCAACAACTTCCTCATGCTCGAAATACCGCTTAATCTTCCAGAAATCCAAGCCCAAGCAAAGTTAAACCCTCCAATACAACCAAAAACATCCAAAACCTCACCACATAAATATAGGTTTGAATGAAGTTTGCTTTCTAAGGTCTTCGTCGAGACTTGATCCAATCGCACACCACCTCCAGTTACTTCTGCTTTTTTAAAGGACATGTTAGGTTGGAAAGGTAATTCAAAATTTGTGAGTTGTGAAATAATTTGTCGTTTTTGGGAATGGCTTAATTTTGACACCGAGAGGTCACTTAAATTCACACTATCTGTAATAAGTTCAATGAGCCGAATGGGCAAAAAATTTGGTTCAGAGTTTTTGTGAATAAAATTCTTCACAAGCAGTTTTGAATGCTGTTTTTGGGCAAGTGTGAATTTGTTATCCCATTCCTGAGCTGAAATTTGAGGTGTCCAATTCACATGCAACGAAACAGAATGTTTCTGTGTTCCAGGAATTTTGTAAATTAATTTTTCAATCGTGGATTTTCCAATCTTGGCGTACGCAGAATGTGAAATATTTTCAGCACTTTCCTGGAAATCTTTTGTGGAACAGTGTTGAGAACTAGGAGGTGGCTTTTCATCTTGAAAGAGCCCATAAATAGTCGCATGAGAGGCATTTAAAATAGCTGGTCCAGAATATCCAGTGTGTGTGAAAAGAAAACCTTTTGGTTCCAAAGATTGATAGAGCAATATTTTGTTCTTTCCTTTTTCATTGCTGCTATCCTCATTCAAATACACACTCACCATGACATTGGGAAGAGTAACACCACTTAATTCTTTGTGAATATGTTTCACTTCAGGATTATAAATCAAAGGATTAAGTGCTGGATATAATGGAATTATTTCGTGACCTAGTTGCGACAACAGTTGAATGCCATAACCATCGCTGTTAATGACACTCAGTCCACCACTTGAAAGAATGACAGAATGGCATATGAATTGTTGTGATTGATGTTCTTGTTGTGAAAATTTGCTTTGTTGTTCATCTAGAAATGAAATCTTCCAATTTCCAAATTCGTCTTTTTCCAAACCATTCACATTACAATCCGTAATAATTTTCACCTTCACTTGTTCTGTATTTCTCTCTTGAATGAATTGTAAAAAAGAATTTAATACTTGTTTCGCATCGTTAGATTCTGGAAAATATTTTCCAGTCTCTTCCTCCAATTCCAAAGAAATGTTCAACTGCTTTTCAAAGAATTCTTTCTGTTTTTCAATGGACCAAGTTTTTAAAATATCAATCAATAATTCTGGACTTTTTGTGAAATATTTCAATTCCAAATCTGCATGGCCATAATTATGATTTGATTCATCTTGTGAAATGTCTTTAAGAGTTTTTGGCCATTTCGATTCATGGGGCAATAAATTACATCGAGTGCCACCGCTCATGAGAATTTTTCGTCCACATTGAGGTTTTCGTTCGAGTACATAAATTTCAATAGTATTCGAATTTTTCCTATTTTTTGAAATTGTTTGAAGAGCTTGAGTCTGAGCAAAAACAGCTGACATGAGTCCTGCTGCTCCTCCTCCAATGATGGCCAATCGTTTGATGTTTTGAGAATTGTTATAAAATTTTGTTGAGGAATGAGTGGATTTTGGATTGGAAAGGAAGGATTGATGAAAGTTTTTACATGGATTTGTGAGTTTACTTGGATGGGATGAAAAGAATAAAAGTTCCGAAAAGTAGGACCATGAGGATGACTTGTTGAAGGAGACATTTGAAAGAGTGTGAAAGTGATGAGATTTCATTTTTTTCTTCAAAGAATTAAAATAATTATTGAACATCAATTTACAAATATATTATTAATTATATAATTTATTGTGAATCATGATTCAGGTTTGGAAATTGATGGGTAACAACAATAGTCGCCATACGCAAAGAGAGTTAATAAGAGATGAATTTAGAAGTTGAAGGAACGAATGAAAGATCTTGGACCGTATTCAAATTTTGACCTTGTGGTGGGCGTGGATTCGTCTGCAGTGACCGTTGCTGATTTTTGATTGAAAATAAGATCAACTGGAATTTTAGAATCGGTTTCTTCCAACTCGTCAAAGACCTTAAGGACTGCGCTCATTTCTTCAGAGACTTTTCCATAAGCATTCCAGAAGGTCTCAGTATCGTCAGTGTCACCATCGATCATAAATTCCAAAAGTTCATCAAGCAAATCATGAATAGAATGCTCAAAGACAGCAGTATCAATAGCATAGTAGGTATGATCATCAACTTTTTCTGCAACAATGGCACCTCTAGTTCTCAAAAAGTTAAAAGCAGCAGCATTAGCCTTTGCTTGAGGAGATGCCTCAACACCAAATCTAACGCTTCTGAATATACTAGCCAAATAGGAGGTGTAGATTGCTCTCTTAGCAAGAACGTTAGCTGGAGCAGTAGCATCAGTTGAGTTCAATCCAAAATCTAAGGTAATGGTATTATTGTTAAGTAAAGTGGTCAACAACCACAATCCACCAATATCTGCCTTAAGCTCCTCCAATGGTGCATAGTGTGAACCAAAAGCTTCATGGAGAGGTTGACCAGTTGAAACAACTTTGTGTGGACCTAATCCGTGCATAATTTCGTGAGAAAGTACTTGTGTGAAGAATGCCTTGAACACAACATAACCTGTTTGTGATGGGGCAACTACACGCTTGGCAATTGGGGAAAGGATCGAATTAAACTTTGCTTTTTGGACGTTCTTCAGCACAACTCTCTTAGAACCATACTGTTGAACAAGATCATCGTTGGTTGGCAAGTTGTAAGCAACGGCTTTAATGGCACCGTTGGCTTGTCCTCCGACATAAATTTGATTGATCACTCGGATAGAATTAAGAGCACCGACATCTCTGTGAGGATAAGCATTTCTCATAGGCAAGTTATCTTCCAACTTTTGTAAATTATCCAAAATGGTACTGACAAGCTGGGCGTACTCAGTGTCACGATAACCAATGTAGGCTTCGAAAGATGACTTTAAACCTAGCAATTCATCGTCATAAGTTTCATAAGGACCAATTGTGACTTCCAACACGGAGTTTGCATCAGTGACATTCATCCAAGCAAGGTCGCTATCTTCATACTTGTTTGAAAGGAAAGCTTGTGCTCGAGAAACAAGGAAATTCTTCAATGCAGCATCCTTGTTTGTCAATTGTTTAGAAGCTTCCATCAAGTAATTGCTTGCCTTTGTTAATTTGGCCTTGTATTGGTCACTGTATGACACCGAGACAAGTTTGTCGTTTTGCTTCTTGATAACTGTATAATAACTAAGAGCTTCTTTTTGATCACTAGCACTCAAGGTACGAAGCCATTCATGAATTTCAATCTTGCTAATATTGTGTGGATAATATCCAGCACCTGGAAGTTTTCTCTCTGGAATTTCTTCCTTTGGTACTTCAGCAAGAAATTCATAGGGAGCTTCGATAAAAGTCTTGTCATCGTTAATTCTAATCCAAGGTCCGAAGTTGAGATCGAACAAAGCTAATGGTTTACCATGGCAAGCAGTAGGAAGAATTTCTGCTCTCAAATGTGGGTTTTCAGAATACATTTGCTCTCTGTAAATCTCACTCATAATGTCTGCAGCCTTCTTGATTTGAGTGATTACTTTATCATACTCAGTTGTAATTTGGGTATAGCTCGAAGTTTGTTCAAGTGCCACTGTTTCATATTTGTTCAAGTATTCGGAAACTTCTCCACAGCCTAGTTCTTGAGAAAATAGCACTCCAGCAAAAGCACATAAACCTCCCAAAATCAACAAAATAATTATAAGAATAACAAGGGCTCCAACATGGTTGAGCCATCTAAATTTAGAGAGGAATCTCTCTCCGATGGTTTTTTCATAGGTATTTGCGGTTGCTGCTTCATCAATGCTATCCAGGCTCTTGTCTCTTCCTCTGGAGCTATCTTGGAGCTCAAAATCGTCTTCCAATCGTTGAGCCATGCTTTGTATGTGGTGGTGTAGATATATGGTGGTGATGATGAGGTAGAAAAATTTGTGGTGAGAAAGTGATGATGACGGATGTTGTTGTTGGGAGAGCACGGGGACGAATGGAATATTTTTTAAATTCAACAATTTAATTTTCAATTTGGTTTGTTGTTGCGCTAGCCACTCGACCAATTTGTACAGATCACCAAATTCAAACTCGTTACCCACAAATTAGAAGCGAAAACTCAGTGAGCCAGCAATTCAATAGGCAGAAAACAACAGCTCGTGATTACTTCTTCATTTGTTCAGTTTCACCTTTTTGCAATCTTTTTGAGGAGTAGTGTCATCTTCACTGAGGTCAAGCATGGTAAATGATTCATCTTTGCCATTCGAAGGAGTATTGATTGTGCTTGCATTCAGGGCACGCTTCTTGGTGGATGAAGGAGTGGTTTCAGGAGTGAATGGGCTATTGAGAAAGGATAGAGATTGAGATTGTGTGATGGGTGTTCTTTCTTCTTCATCTTGACCTTGAGATATTAGTGAGAATAATTGTTCTGGATCAAAAACTTCGTCAGGTATTGCACTGTAGGGTTCTGTTTCAAGTGAGGAAATTGTATATGAATTGGAGACGGGAGAATTCAGTTGATCTGAATGATTGCTACTTTGTGATCTGGGTTGTGTATCTTCATTGTATGATTGAGAGGGGAAAGATTCCTTCTCTGATGTGAGAGAGCTGTGACTGAACGTAATAAACTCTTCCTTAAATAGCTCAGCACTTGTTTCAAAAAAGGAATAATCAAAGCTATCATTCTCGACAGTTGATACCGACGGCTTCTTGGCCATTTGCTGTTTGAGGCTTTCAATCAATCCTCGAATGTGTTTAGATTGTGGGTTCAAGGAGATAATGGAAGGAATACTACGAGTTGTGTTATATGTTAAAATGCTTGCCAAAAAGAGAAGCATTTCATTTCTTGAAGAGTGGAAGGAGTACAGCACTTTCCAAATTCCATCATTTGTAAGCTTGCAAGTGGCATCCTCGCTCTTTCCTGCCATTCCACAAGTTTCCTTGTTCAGATACTTCAACCACATTGTTGATACTTGAATAAAGAGTGGTTTGTCTGCTTCTTTCAAGAGCAAATTTGCCAGAGACTTGAGAGTGTCTTTGGAGACTACTCTCAAAAATGTTTCATCCTTATTGGATGTGAAGACTTTTTCTTTGAGTGCATCCATCGCATCTATTTCTTTACGTCTCTTTGGGTTGAGATTTTCATAGTCCAGATATATTTTACACTTAAAATGCTTCTCTATTTCAAACAGAATTCTTTCAGTTCCAAGTAAATCGAGTGCCATGTAAACAATCTTGTGCCTTTGTCTTTCTTTCTCAATCAGAGAAATTATATTTCTAATGCTGTTAGAACGTGTAGGTAATTCTGAAAAATTGCTTTCATCACAAAAGGTATCGTCAATATATATTTTGGTCAATTTTTGCGTTTTTAAGAATGTGGTGGTTTCTATTGACACATTTCGAAAGTCTCCTGTGTATAAAATAGATTCCTTTTGAGTTCCTTTTTGGATTTCAAATAAAAACATGACGCTTCCAGGACAGTGATTGGAGCTTAGTAATGTAACAGTAAAGTTTTTAACTTGTGATCTAGATGAAGAATTGTTTACCTTATTCGAAGACAAATGATTCTGAGGGTTATTTTCCTTTTCGTGTGTAGCGTGGTTAGTAAATTTCTGTGAGATTGGTAACAGTGTAGGTTGATGAAGTTCAATGGTGAGTATTCTCTCCTTATCCAAATTCGTGAATTGAGACAGCAACAAATTTTTTGTTATGGGATGACATACAATACAAGTTTCTTCACTTGCTGCTGCATATTGAAAGAACTTGTCATGCAAGCCTTTAAAGTGATCGGAATGAAAATGTGAGAGAAAGTAATATTGATAATATGAGAAACCATTATGTTGTTGTTGAGATGCCCGCCGTTTCTCCTTTCTATGGTCTCCATCTTTGATCACCATCGAAGAGAGTCGTGGTGATGATGAAGTTTGTTGAGAATGATTGCTTTCAATCAATACGGGATGAAACTGTTCGAAATTATCAATAGCAATCACTCCATGAGGAATTTCCGATGAAATATCAAAACAACCCGTGAATTCAAACGTTTGTTTTCTGTCGAAATGTGAAACGAATGCCGATTATTCTTATATTTGAATCCCGAAACGAACGATAAAATTCTTACCTTCTCATTTTTTCTTCTTGTGTTTTCAGGAACGAATTTCGGCGCCAAAGAAAAACCCTTTCAAAATTCCCAACAGTTTTGTTATCCCTCATGATCATTTTCTGTGAGGAATTAAGGCCATTTTGGATCCCTTCATTAAAATTCCCAAGTGATCCTTTCATTAAAATTGAACTCGTTTGAAATTGTCTGATATCCTGCCGAAATGTCTCCAATCAAAATCAAGATGTTGAAGCTCACCTTGCATTCCATAAAAAAATGTTCAAAGAGATTGCATGGACAGCAGGTGTCGGTTGGTCTCTCTTCTATATTTATGCATGGGCTCACAATGATTTTAAAAGCACTTTCACCATTGAACGATCCGTTGAAATTCAAGACTCTGCTGAACGTGTCTTTTCCCACATTCTCAACTCCACGAATTATCCTCTCGGAATGGTTCGTTCATGGAAAGGTATTGAGCCAGAAAAGGAACTTCTCAAGCAATTGAATCCTCTTCTTGAACATGAGGAAAACAAGTTAAAAGTTGGAGAAACTAAATTTCAGGTCGACTTGATCACTTTGGGTCTTGTGGATGTGATCCTCTCTCATTGGAGTGTCGATACCCATTCGAAACAACATTTCAAATTTGGATGGATTGGAACGAGTATTCATGAGAAAAACTTTTGTGGAGATCATCAATTTGAAGTCAACGCTAAAGGTCCCAGTCGATGTGAACTCGTTCATAGAGAAGATATTTCTGGATTTTCAACACCACTGGCAAGATTGTTTCATGAGTGGACTGGTTATATTCATTATTATGAAAAATATTTGCGAGAGGTGAAAGCACAAATTGAAAAATGATCTTGCTAGTAGATAATCATTGGCATGTTGAATGGTGAGATTGGGAAAATTTTGGAGAGAAGGACCAAACGTGGAATAAATTTGTCAATGATGCATTGATTGATTTGGATAATAAAGAGATCACTACCTAAGTGGCTAAATGGAGTGATATACCAAATCACGAAAGTAAATGTAAAGTTATATCCAAACCTTAAACAATCCGAACCCTCTCCTTCTGAAGATGGAAGATAACTTGTAAAGGCCTTGTTGTTAGGAGCTCCTTTTATTTGTAATTATTGGTTTTGTTTCAAATCCGTTTCGATGATTTTCATTTCACAAAAAATGTCATCATCAGAAATTGAAACCATCTTCAATTCTCTATTTCCGATCAGTGAAAGAAAGGCTTTCTCTCAAAAACTTTCGTATGGCACAGCCGGATTCAGAATGAAGGCAGATTCTATTTTGGATCGTGTTGTTTTCTCTGTTGGATTACTTGCTTGTTTGAGAGCATTGGAGAGGAACGAATCTGTCGGAGTGATGATCACAGCAAGCCATAACGGAGCACAAGACAATGGAGTCAAATTGGTGGATCCATCGGGTGAAATGTTAGAAGCAAGTTGGGAGGAGAAGGCCATGCGATTGGCCAATCGTATTCATGACGCATCGGAATTGGCTGCTACTTGCCAAGAATTGGCAAAAGAATTAAATTTGGATGGAAATTCAACAAAGACTCTCTGTATCTGTGTTGGAAAAGATACAAGAGAGAGCAGTGATCGATTGGTTGAGTATTTGAAAGCTGCAATTTCAACATTTAGAAAAGAAGGAATTGTTTTTGTGGATTACGGATTGGTGATCACACCTCAACTTCACTACATGGTCATGCTGGCTAATAGTCACCAAGAAACAAAGAATTTCCTTTCTCAAGCATTCACTTCTCATGAAGAAAAGCAAGCGAAGGTTCAAGATAAGCTGAGTGAGAATTTGAATATTTATTACGAAAATATTTCCCATGCGTTCAAATCGTTAGTTCACAAACTTGAAAAGCCAATAGATGTTAACTTGGATTGTGCATTCGGAGTTGGAGGCAAAAAGGTGAAAGAGCTTGCCTCTCATTTGAAAGGGTTTGTCAACTTGACAATTGTAAATGATTTTGAGCAAGTGGGAATTCAAAGCTCTCAACAATATCTCAACCACAAATGTGGAGCTGAATACGTTCAAAAACAAAAAGCAGTACCTATCAATTGTGAAAATTTTAAGAATTTGGCAAGTATTGATGGAGATGGTGATAGACTCGTTTTCTATTATATCAACAGTAATGGGGATTTGTGTCTATTGGATGGTGACAAAATTGCAAGTCTTTTAGTTAAATTCATTGGAGAAATGCTCAAGAAAACCAATTTATTGGACCAATTAATTGTTGGAATTGTTCAGACAGCTTACGCCAACGGATCCTCAACAACCTATCTGAAACAAGTGTTGGGAGAAGAACGTATCTTTTGCGTTCCCACCGGTGTGAAATACTTGCATCACAAAGCCAAAGACCTTGACGTGGGAGTTTATTTTGAAGCCAATGGTCATGGTACTGTTGTATTTTCTGATAGGGCAAAAAAGGCAATAGATGATCTCTACAACAAGAGCAAACATGAGCCATCTGAAATGGCAGAAGCAATTTCAAATCTATATGCGTTCACTAATTTAATTAATTCAACAGTTGGTGATGCATTTAGTGATTTATTGGCCGTTGTGGCCGTATTAAGTTATTATCATTGGTCATGGTCAGATTGGGACTCGCATCTCTACACTGATGTGCCAAGCGTTCAAGATAAGCTTCGAGTCAAAGACAGAACCATCATCAAAACCTCAACAGATGAAACACAAGTCATTTCACCTTCTGGAATTCAAGACAAAATCAATGAATGTGTTGCAAAGGTTAAAAAAGGAAGGGCATTCATTCGTCCAAGTGGGACAGAAGATGTTGTGAGAGTTTATGCTGAGGCTGAAACTCAACAAGAGGCAAAAGATCTAGCAATAGACGTCTTGCACATTATTTACAACGATTTACAAGGAACAGAGAAGCCACCTTCCAAGCTTTAACTTTTGTGTTTGCTAATAAAAATCCAAAATATTATTTCAATAGAAAATTAAAAAAAATGTACACACCTCCCGAGTCTCCTGGTTGGTATAATACACCTTCGGATGATGAAATCAGCATCTCGCCATCATCGCCAGGTACCTCGTTAGAAAATGCATCAACCACGAGTAGCACGTCTCATCACCACAATGATTGGTTTGAATACTTGGTTCATCCAAAAAAGTTGGATCAACACGTATGTACAATAATCACACGATTCGATTCTAAACATGATCAACAATTAATGAATGGCTGGATGTGGTCCGATAATTATTTTTAATTGGTTCTTCTTCAATAGTTGGATGATCTTCTTCAAAATCCTTCATTGCAACCTTCTGCCATGGAATTAGCTTTATCCTTCATGGAACAATGTACAGCTCCGTCCAATGTAAGAGCACAACAACTCAACGATCGAACTAAACGATATCTTTCTGTAGTAACCAAAATAGTTTTTAAATCTGGTTTTACACTGGAACAGATTGAACACAATTTTCCATTGGCTTTTCAAAAGCATATTATTGTCGGGATTTTGTTAAGAAAACGAAAAACTTTTGGTGTGGAAGGAATCATTCATAGACCTAAAGAATCGGACGCATCAGCACAGTCTGACAATTCAACAACACCGATAGAAAATATCACTACAACTGTCTCATATATCGAAATAATTTATCATAGATGGATTATGAGAGCCATCTCTAACAGAACACCCCTTTGGTTCATTAAGAATCCTTCTCTTGAAGGAACAGAGTCACTAGATCTCATTCAATTGGGAGAAAATTCTGTTGTAGAACTTCGAAAATTTGTGGAAGCAATCGAAAAAGACCCTCAGATTTTAAACAAATTTATTGATAAGCCATCGAGCGTTGACGGTGGAGAGTTAGAAAAACAAATTATCTTTGATATTGCTAATTACTATTTTTTCAGAGAAGATTTTGACAACTCTTTCAATTATTTGAAAAGCCTTTATCCTAAATTTCAATCCAATTCAAATTTGAATGACTCTGTTGTGACTGAATATGGAGGGAAAACAGACTCTCTGAAAGAAAATTGTGTGACCTTAATCATAGCTTGCCAATCTATTCTCTCATCAAAATATCCTCCTGAAACCTTATTATTTCCTGAGCACAAAAAGACTCTATTCTTTAGAGATGTAGATGATACGGTGAAAAAGTTAAATAGTATGCATGATGAAGACAATGAACTCAGTAACAAACTGATATCTTTACTAATTCAAGACATCATCGAAAGTCAACTAAGCAGAGAATATAGAGTTAACCTGTGCTATAAATTGATACAGAAGGAAACACTGTTTAAAAAGATTTTAGCTTGCAACATTATTCAGGATATGATCAAAATAATTCAGGGCCACTCTCTTTCAACAATTCATCAAGAGCTTGAAACGGCCATTCTTGAAGCCATGACTCCTCACCATGTAAAAGTATACCCAGCTATTGTAGAAGAAAATCAAAATGACACTGAACTAGGATCTGTGCAAACCCATCTTGATAGATATGTTCTGAAACACAAATTTGTTACAAGTCAACCCATTATCCCAGTATACATAATAATATTTTTGAAGAAACTCGAAGATGAAGCTAAGAAAAGAACTAAGAGTACTGACATGCAAGATGAGGATTTGGACAATAACGATGGAATCTTGTATTGGAATAATGAATTTAGTTCAATAATTACAGAATTCGTTTGCAGACTGGCCAATTATTTGAACCACCCAATTGTCTATGCGACTTTACTATCTGAAGGGATATCGTATTTGGAGTTTAAAAGCAAAAGTATGATGGATGATAACATCATTGAAATGTACAAAAAACAAATGCTAGAAAGTGTGGAAGAGAGCTATCATTTGAATTATTTCAATGGGTCTGCTGACTCGCTTCAAAAACAAGAAGCAAGCTATAATCTGCTCCCAGATACAGCTCAATCAGTGTTATGTAATGCATGTATTGAAAAGAAGCGTGAAATTAATATGTATTTTGAGCAATTGAAAACGACGGTTACGAAGAAAAGGTCCTACGACAATGCAATTCAAACTCACCACTTGTTATTCTCTGACGATTCCTCCATTTCTGGAAAAGAGTCTACCGATTCTCTCAAGCGATTGAAAATTGATGCCAGCGATTATTTATCACTTCGTGCAAGAAATTTTATGTATAGATCAAGCTATGGCTGTTTATTCGCTCTGCAAAAAATTACAAATTTATTTGATGCGGCCAACATGATTGACAAATTCAAAGGAGAGCAAGGTCAGAAAAGAATGTTGTTTGATAATGTCATTATTTCACTCTCTAAAAAGCATCCACAACTCACAATGCCAGAAGAATATCCAGTACCAAGAATAGAAAGCAAACAAATCGAACGTCCTTCCCCTGTGATTGTCAACATGGAAGAATTCAGCACACTGAGCGAATTATGCAATTTCAATCAGAATGCTTCTTCGAGCTCAGAACAAAATGCACAACAACAACAAGATGGCACTAGCTCCTCAAAACAGGCAAACCACAAGATTGAAGTTCCTCCAATGAATTTGGCATTCCTGGGCGATCTTTTCAAGAGCTTGGTGAATTTAGAGGACTGGGCATTCATTAGAGATTTTTTCAAAAACATGCAAACCAAATATGAAGCTAATTCTGATCCTTCCGAAGAAAATGCTCACATTGTCTTTTGTAGATTTGCCCTTCTTGTGGAATCACTTGCCTATCACATGCATGCTCCAAGAACTGGAGCTCCCAAGAAAGTGTTCAAAGATCTCAAAGATGACATTTACAAATTTGTACATAATTTAATTTATTTACCAGGAGATGGATATGGCTCGAGTAGTAGTGGCAGCACTGAGAATGACCCTCAATTCATTGAAGACGAAAATCGCCTAAGATGGGATGATTTCCACTTGTTGGCCACTACTCAAAACTTGAAATTTCTCATGGATTTATCGGTCATGCTTGCCTTTGTATTGGCTTCTGTGAGATCGAATATTGCTAATACAAGATCGAATTCTCCTCCTAGCAATCTCAGAGGAACTACTCCCACTCAACCACTCTCTCCACCAGCACCAGTGTTTATGGGTCACTACAAACATTTGGCCAAGTTAATGATGCCTGAATATTTTTGTGGCACTACAAAAAAGCATTGGCTTGTGGGAAATGAAAAATTTGTGGATGAGACACTTTTGGTCATGTTGCAACATATTTTAGAACGAGTGTTGAGCTTACAGGAGCAAATTCAACGCAAACCAATAAGCACGTTTTACTTGTTCAAGTGTTGTCTTGCTGACATTTATTTTGAGAAGGGAAAGTATAAGAGAGCACTTGAACTTTATTTGGAATGTGGAGCAAGTAATTTTCCTCACTTCTATAGGCCCAATAATGAGGAAGTTGTGGATCGAATGGTCAGATGTCTCATTGAACTTGGAGAATATACAGCTGCTGCAGTTTTACATCAATTTATTCACAGTACCTATGACAACGAGATGGATACTCAAACTCAACGAACGCATGTACTTTCGGACATTACAAGTTTTTCCACATTGAGAGCTGGATATACAAAAGAAATTATTGACAACTTATATGAAGCCAATGGGCTTAATGAGAGATGGTTATTATTCTTTTATGACCTATCTTATTTGGAGCTGGTCGTTCATGTTGCTCATCAGAAGGGAGAATTTAACAAGGAAGACCTCATGATACAACACATCCAAAGAAGTGAAATGAATTCCAATAACAAGACTGAGCACCGCAAGGAATACATTCAACAAATGAAGGAAACATTTTTGAGAAAGTTGTACCTTCACATTACAACGAGTTTGAAGAACAATCAATAAAAGACCTTCACGGTAATTAATATAAAGAGAGTATAAAAATTAGAGTGTTTGTACGTTTTCGCATCCTCTACGGAATTTATGGTTTCTCCTGTTAAGAAGAGAAAAAATGTTGAAAACTGTGGTTGAGCGTTCCTGTGCTCGAATTTCTTCAACGATCAAACCTTGTTCGAGCTTTCGGACCATGATGATGATGAACAGAAACAATCATCAACTTCTATTACAACAACAATCACAGGCCTGTCCTCTTCTCCGATATGCATCAAATTGCTGTCATCAAAGCAAGAAGCATTCCGATCCATCCTCAACCCTCTCCTCACCTAAAGCTGTTCAAACAACAGAAACAGCAACAACCCCAGAAACTACCATCCACCGTGCATCCCAAAGTGATTTTGTAAATACTCAAGCCTCTTCACGTACTGGCAATTTTGTGGATGTTTCATTATCATCATCGGATCTTTCATCCTCAACACCAAATACAGCAACAACAACAACACTCTCTCCTTGGACCAGTAAATTTTGGACCTGCAAACATTCCTGGAAACGGGCCTCATTCAATACACTCAATTGTTTAATTGGCTGCTCCATTGGAGACTTTGGAATGCTATGGTTTTTAACGAGCCAATATCCAACCTTGTCCATGGCATTCATTATGCCCATTTGCATGGCTTCAGGTATTGCCACGAGTTTAGCTCTTGAAACCACCCTACTAAAATGGAAAGAAAACTTTTCATCGGTGTTTGAGGCATTCAAAGTGGCTTGTAAGATGAGCTTTTTCAGTATGGCCATCATGGAACTCTCTGAAAACGTGGTAGATTATGCCATGATGACGTATTGGGGTTTGATTAACAATGATGGAACTGGATGCACATCCATGTTGCAAATTCATGAACCAGCGTTTTGGATTTCGCTTGTTGCCTCACTTTCAATGGGCTATCTTGTTCCTTTGCCTTATAATTATTATCAATTGAAGAAGCATGGCAAGAGTTGTCATTAATGACAAGCGAATTAAAGAGAAATCAATGTCATGAGAAATACAGTAGGACAAGTAGCTTTATTATTTTGACCTTAAGTATTGAAAAAAACGCTGCAATTACAATCCCTTTGGGAATCCATTGTTAGTGAACCGCTTGACGGCATCACTCATTTCAAACCCTTTGAAGGAGCTCCGTCATCGAGAGTTCTTTCAGGCCAAGGTGATGAAAACATTAAATCCATGGGTTTGAAATGGAAGATTAGAACAACTCAAATGTAGTTCTGCAGATTTCAGATGTATTAATTTTCCGGTTTTTGTCAAAACGACCTGCTATATCGTTGTATTGCAAATATCAAAAGCTAAATTTGTAAAGAACTTTCAGCATGCCAACTATTAAGCTCTCCACAAATTGAACAACAATTCGAGTCCACAAGTTTGTCACACAACATTTTTTTTCCGATTTACAGTTTTGAAAACCATCTGGAAATTCCAACCTGTGGTTATGTTTAACTGGCAACTGGCTTCCAATCTTGGATGAATCGGCCGAAAAACCCGATATTAAGGAACTCGAAGAACCTTCTGTGACCCATCTATAAAAGGAAACAAATTGAGGAGTAACCCCAAAGAAGTGACAGAGGTTGTTCGAATGTGACTCTTTGATCGGATAAGACATGCTTATTTGAATGAAATGATTCTATGATACAAACAAGAAAAATATCATCGAGTCAACAAGAAGGATGGGTTCAGGTCTCACCAAAAATTCTTCATCCCAACAACTACGGTGTTCAGCAAATAGTTCATTGTCAAGTGAAACTGTTGCTTGGATGAATGGAGCGAGATGTCCTCTCAGATTATCCAAATATGCTGTCCAATCACAACCATGGGAAGACCTACCTCGATTCACAAACGTCGAAAGAAAATCAATGCCCTCGTTGGAAGCAAAAGACAATGAAAAGACAACAGAAAGGAGGCTCAAGATCTTATCTCATGAATCGACATCCTCAACCATGCAAACTGATGGTGAGTCTCTAAGAAGAGCATCATCCTTACCTGTTGGGACACATGCGTCCATCGACAGCCACCAAACATTTCCCACTGAATCTGTCCTCGAGGGTACCCATCAGAAGAAGAACTTGCTCAAAAGGTTTCTGCATGTGAATGAACCATTCGAATCAGAAAGTTGTCGAGTGGACTCTCAGGAGTCCAATGAATCAATGGCACCAATGGTTCGTGAAAGGTGGAAAACATTCATGAATACACACCCTTCGAAGATATCTTCTCAATCCCTCACCATTCCTGTTGAATGTTCTTCTTCCAAGGCAGCAGCAGAACATTGTTCACATCACATCTCTGTATACGATGAAAGAGTTCTTAATCCACTTCTCGAGAAGAGCATTCAGAAACATGCTGATCAATACTCTTCTCGTTCACCACCACCACTCACAGAGAACACTCCAAAATGTTCTTCATCAAGACAGCAGAAACCCAGTGAGGACAATCAACAACAAGTGTCAACCTTCAATGCTGAAATGTCAACTCCTTCTGGAAATTGTATCATTAAATCGAATCACAAGAGTGGAAACACCTTGGTTCGAACTTTGAGCACAAAATCCCTTTCCAAAGTCGTTCCCACTCCAATTCAAGTCTTTCCAAAAGACTCTCCACATCGTCTCAGAGGTGAACCACCTTCCACATTTCATTCTCTTCAATCTTTGTTTAAGAAGATCAATCATTCACAATCAGCTTTAGGATTTAGATCTCTTTTTCATCCATTGTTGGACAAGCAAATGTTGGAAAAAGTTCCTCTTCTCACTGTGACTCGTCCTGATGAACCACCTTGTTACAGTCATTTACCACCTAGCTTGAGAAATGATGTCTGTTTAGGTTTTAAAAAGAAAAGGCAATTCCTGGATGTGATGTAGTCTTTATGAAATTCATATTATTCATAATTAATAAAAAGAATTGATGTGACCCCAATCATACGATCTAACAGAAAAAGACACAAGTCTACTTTAAATTGCAAGACAAAGCACAATTGTCTAATCTCTTCAAAAAACAAGCCCTGTCATTCAAAAATCCCACATTCCAAAGCGTCAAACCATCAACCGTCACAATCCATGGCGTTGCTCAAACGTATTCATCGTGCTTGAGTCGGAATATAAATAAAATAACGAGGAAGAAAAGATGCATCTGAATCAAAGCAATTAGCAAATGGATCATGCAAGGAAATCTCTTGGAATTCCGAACAAGTGTCAAATGCCAAATTTCTAAATGAGATTCTTGAATGTTTCACCGTAGTCTTACTTCTCAACACTTGAGTGGTCAGTTCACTGTCAAACCATTTTCAAAAAGGTTTTAAAAATTCGCCTTCACAAATATGAGTTTAACGAGATTTGAGTGACATTTCGAACAGAGGGATTGTTGAGTGAAGAAATATAATTACTCATTTTGATGTGGAAAGTTTGAATCGCTAAAAAAAACCAATTTAAGGTCCCCATCCCATTTGCTTTGTAACAAACATCGCCAGCAACGACTTATAGAATCCAATCCTTACTTAATGCATGCCAACTGTTGCTCCGTTTGTAATCTATTTGAACAACGGAGCTGTTTCAACACAGCTTGTATGCAAAAACTTTTTTCCGGTGTGATCCCCCAAATTTTGGGTCCCCCAAACTTTCAATTTATTTTCCGATTTACTGTTTTCAAACCACAGCTGGAATTTCCAACCTATGTTTTTGTAAAAATGGCAGCTAGTTGCCATCCTTGGTCTGTATTAGTCAACAATCCCATATTAAGGAACACAAAAGAACCATATGTTGCTCTGACCTTCGATCTCGAAAAGGAAACAATGAAGGAAAATCAAATGAAGTGTCAGGGGTTGTTCAAATAGTGTGACCCTTGGTATCGGATCAGACACACTAATTGGAATTGATTCTTTTTCACAACTAAACAAGAAAAATATCTTCAAGTCAACAAGAAGGATGGGTTCAGGTCTCACCAAAAATTCTTCATCCCAACAACTACGGTATTCAGCCAATAGTTCCATGTCAAGTGAAACTGCTGCTTGGATGAATGGAGCAAGATGTCCTCTCAGACCATCCACTTTGGAACTTGTTGTCCAATCACAACCATGTGAAGGTCCACCTCGATTCACAAGCGTCTCGAGAAAATCATTGCACTCGAAACATTTGGAAACAAGAGACAAGGAGATACTCGATCCAGAACATCTTCTTCTTACATGCAAAGATCTCCAACATTCTTCAGAAGCAGCATCCTTACACAACGAAAAGGCAACAGAAAGGATGTTGAATAACCCTTATGAAACAATGGTTCATCATGAGGATGGTGGACCCTTTAAAAGAGTTTCATCCTTACCCGTTGGGTCACATGCGCCCAATATCGACATGCGTCACCACCCAACATGTGCCGCTGAATCTGTCTTAAACGGCACCTATCAGAAGAAGTTGCTTTCAACATTTCTTGAGAATGAACCATCCGAACCAGAAGGTTGTGGAGTTGACAACTCTCACGAGTCCAATGATACCATGGTACCACTAGTACTGATGGTGGTTGGCGAAAGGTGGAAAACATTCATGAATACACACACCTCAAAGACCAATTCTCAATCCATCACCAAAAAACGACCATTCATTGTTGCTGAATGTTCTTCTTCCATTTCAGCCTCAGAACAATCTTCACATCGTAAATCTCAATACGATGAAAGACCTCTTACTCCATTCCTCAAGGAGACTATGGAGATGAAACACGTTGTCATATCTGCTGAAAATACTTCTGGTTCTCCACCACCACTCTCAAAGGAAACTCCAAGATCATCAAGACAGCAGAAACCCAGGGAGGACAACCAACAACAAGTGTCAACGTTCAGTGCTGAAACGACATTGTCTCCTGGAAATTGTATCATTATATCGAATCACAAGAGTGAAAATACCTTGGTTCGAACTTTGAGCACAAAATCCCTTTCCAAAGTCGTTTCCTCTCCAATTCAAGTCGTTCCAAAAGACTCTCCATGCCGTGTGAGAGATTCTGTTCAATATTTAAATTCACCAACGATGAAGATCAACCATTCACATTCAGCTCTAGGTTTCAGGTCTCTTCTTCTTCCATCGATTGATAAGCAAATGTTGGAAAAAGTTCCATTTCTCACTGTGACTCGATCTGACGAGCCTCTTTGTTTCAGTCATTTACCTCCTTGCTTGAGAAAAAAGAATGAATGCTCTTCAAGTGTACACAAAAATAGGAAATACCTGGACGTGTTGTAGTCTTGTATGTCATTGAAATAAAAAGATTACGACCGATCAAAACTTCCATTTCAGTTGAATGTTCCTCTCTACAGGACCCAAACAATGACGGCGTTCATATGTTGAATCTTCGAAAGTTATTAACTTTCTCGCATTTGAGGGCACATTGAATCATGAACTACAAGGAACAGAAGTTATAATTAACGCTGTTTTGGAGATGCATTACTCCTCGACGGTCAACTCAAATTGTTTGAATTAGCCAAGCGTGTTGATCTGAAAAAGTTGGAGTCAATTCCAATAATCTTGAAGAGAGTTTGTGGAGGGTTAAGAATGGTGTGACCCGTTCAATTACTCGCAGGAATTGGTCAAAAGGAATGAACAACTGTTACCGTACAGAAATGATCGCCACCCTCATCAAATATACTGCGCTCGGGGCGGTGTTGATATTGCCTTTTCAAATCATCTTATACTTTCCGATATTGCCTTTTCAAATCATCATTCATACATTCTGGTGTCTAGACCTACATGTTCAAAATAAATATTCGGTGCTTTTGGAATGGAAGAAATCACCATGTACCACCTATTCTCCATCATTAAGGAAAAACTGATCATGGTGCAGGTGAGGGACTTCAGGGAATTTCTTTGTGGTGGTTCACTTTTCTCAAGCTCACGGAGTTTTATGAATTTTCTTCCTGCTTCTCACCACTTGGCGACGATTCCTGTATTAAATACATCCTCCCTCTCTCTTTGATAGACATTGTTGTTGCTTGAATTTATCTTCTTACAAGAATACCTTCTTCTTCTCTCAAAAAGGGGAGTGATATTCTCTCTTATTTGAATTCAATTTTTCATCCTCCAACAACGAGAGCGCGCGCTCAACAACGCGCTCGAACTCTTTTTGAAGCTTCACCGATGACGGTGGGAAAAACGCGATTTCCCCAATTCGGGAAAAAACTCCAACTCAAAAAAAGTTCCGTGAGTTTACAAGTGATTGAAGTGTTGCAACATTAATTGCACTACAAAAAGCTCTCTCTCAAAAGAAAGGCTTGATTCATTGTTTCAAGAGCATCCAAGTTCTGCCTAAAGAGAAGGTGTCGCTTCTTCTTTAATCTTCACTACAACTATCCTCGTGAGTTCTTCTTCTTATTTGTAATCGGATCATTGGAAGAACAACCAGCAAACTTTGAAGGTTCGCCAAGCAAGTTGTTTAAAAAGAATCTCACCATCACCCTCTTTCTTGATATCACTTCGTAGCGCGACGTCTCTTCAACACAACACAAAAGTCTATCATCGGAGGGGTTTAATATTAAACGTTTGCTAGCAACAACAACAACAACAACAACAACTCTTATTCCTTCTACTCTCCACTCTACGAATAGTAATAACAATCGTGAAATGGTCATGACCTTTTCAAATCCTCGCAACAGAAGAAACGCAATGAAATCATCTCAGCAACCACAAGAACAAGAACATCGTTTGAAACAAGAGAGTAATGAAGATCAACTTTCAAGTGATGATGATGGTAATAGTCTGATCGTTTTGTACCCTTCTTCTTCTTCTCGAAGACCATCCACAACATCAACAACTGCTTGCGTCACTCACCATCATTCCACAAAGGAGAATTCATTAAATTCTCCTCATCACAACATCAACAGCGGTGAATCGTTGAAGGACTACCCGGCGACTGCGATACTTCAAAGAATGATTTCCAATGAAAAGAGAATGGCGAGGACTTTGGGTATCAAGTCTGCTTCGGAATTTTGCTTTGGAAGAGGTCACAACCAACAACAACAACACCATCACTATCGTTATCGAACATTGGGTCTGCACTCACATCCTCATTCTCAAAATGCCAGGTCAGCATCTCAATCAGTGACCACAGGAATGAAAGGACTCTTGGAATTTCCTCTCTCTCGTTCTTCAGCGGTGAATGTGACATCGACTCACCAGCAGAGATCCCTCAGCGGCATCTACGGAAGAATGGTGAAAAAGTGTCCTGTTCTTGATTCGCCCAAAATTATTAATACAGAACCACCTCAAAAGTCCGCTACAACCACTTATTCTCCGCAACAGTCCCAGACCACACACCATTCCTGCTCCTCCTCCTTCTCGCCGTTACCACCATCATCACTACCTTCCACAAGTTCAACTAACACCCCAACTACCATCCCAATCACCACCACTCCTAATACAACAACAGCACGAGCAACAACCACTCAGTCATCCTGCAAGAACAATTTCCCACAAACTCCAAACTCTCCTTCCTCCCAAAGATGCTCTTTTGACTCTAAAATTAACATGCTTTTTTCATGTACAGATGAGGAAATGAACGAAGAGTCTCTTCCTCAAGAAACATTTAAGCAACCATACTCGAAACCAGTCACATCCATCATCTTTGAAGAAATTGACACCGATTTTAACCCTAAGAAACGAAAACAAGATAACGAAACGCAACAAGATGCAAGTTCCTCCTTACCATCCTTCACTTCAAGTCAACTCAAATTCAAGAAACAAAAATCCATTGATGAAATTACTGCTGAAAATATGTATGAAAGTTTGCTGAATCAGTGTCGAAAGAATTACATTCCTCAGTTGGAGAAAATGAATGCACTTGCATCTGAATTGATTGAATCTCCAAATGAAGAAGACACTCAGGAACCGTCATGTGAAGTGGTGCCTATTCTCTCTCGACACCAACTGGATCTTGTTGTGGGAGAGAAATTGTGCGCCATTACAGGTCCCATGACTTCTCAAGACAAGTCCATTATCAAGTTTATTGAAAACAATCCTATTAATGACTTTTTATTAGAATTGTTGGAAAATAAAAAGTTTAATGGGTTTTAATTAAATTCACTTTCAAGAGCAGTTTCAGCAAAATGAAATTTCATTCGTGTTGACATGTCAAATGTTTCGACAATTCCTTAATGGAAGATGATTTGTTTTACTGATACAAGTACACATAAATACACACACAACATCGTGCATTAATTTCTTGAAAAATCAAAATCATCAAAGTTTTGATTCTCTTCCTTATCAATGACCTCTGCAAATGAATCCACTGCTCTCTCCGATGTGAACTCTTCATCAAAGTACTTGATATCATCTCCATCTTTAAGCTGAGGTCTGAAAGGAGGTTCCAATTTTCTCTCATACAATTGATCCCAATCAATATTCGAAAAGAATGGATGTGACTTGATTTCCAGTGCATCGGTAGGTCCTCCTCCCAAACGTTTGAATTCCTCTCTCTCCAAAAGACCTCTCAACAAGGATTGAGCATCGGCTGGTATAAAATTAGGGAACTTGAGAGGTGCCTTCAAAATCAATTCATACATTTCATTAATATTTTCAGAATAGAAAGGAGGCAATCCAACCATCATTTCATAGAGTAAAATACCCAAACTCCACCAATCCACTGATTTGGCATGTCCTTGTCCTTTCAAAATTTCAGGAGCCAAATATTCTGGAGTTCCACAAAATGTATACGTTGGTGTTGCATTGGTAATGTTCGTTTTGGCCAATCCAAAATCAGTCAACACCACATAACCATCAGCATCTAACACGACATTTTCAGGTTTTAAATCTCTATAAATAATGTCATTCTTGTGTAAGTGTTCAATGGCAAGAACAATTTGTGCAGCATAGAATTTGGCACGTTCCACATCGAATTTGGTTTCTTCTTTCAAGTGGAAGAATAATTCACCACCTGGCAAGAATTGAAGTACCAAATAGAGTTTTTCATCGGTTTGGAAGGCATGATAAAGTTTCACAATGAATGGATGATTAATTTCTTGAAGAATTTGCTTTTCAGCTTTTCTAAAACCATTGAAAAATCATAAAAGATTGAGTGTTTCACAATACATGGATTTGATTTTCACAGTGATCATGATAGTTGTGGTGGAATGAAATGTGTGTGACACATGACATGGATTTTCATGAATGAAATAGGTCACACGTGAAATTTCCAAAAAGTGTCACCAAATCGTTTCAAATATTTCAATCCATTTCAAAACCAATACATTTAACAGCAATAAACAAAAATCACACAACCTACGTATGAGACACCATATTCTCTTTCACAATCATATCCTTACGCAATACCTTCATGGCATAAACTTCATTCGTATTCTTTCTCTTCACTTTCATGACCTTACCAAAAGATCCTCGTCCCACCACAGCAACCAAATCAAAATCATCCAAACTTGCCTTCTTCACTGAACTCGACGACATGATCACCTTCGAAGTGACACTTTCATTTTTCAATTCATTTTTCGCTTGTTCTAAACCTTTTCGATCGTTTTTGGGTTTGTATTCGATGGCTCTTTGTAATTCATCGAACCATTTTTTGAAATCTAATTCAGATTCACAAACGAGTTCATAAACTCGTGATAAATTAGGTCCTGAGAGTTTGAGACCGAGTGGTTTTGAAGAATCTTTTTCGACTTTGGCATTTGTCAGCACAATGACACCAGTGGGACGTTTGTCAGTATTCTTCTTGTAATAATAGAGATGTTTTCCACGTAGTTCGAACCATCGACGACGATGAGCAAGGGTGTTAAATCCACCACGTTTTCTCATGTAACCAGCAAAGTCTGGTTGTTCAAATGACTATCAAGTTGGCAGGTGACATGAGATCATATGAGTTTGAACAATAAATGTGAATGACCACATTGGAGTGTGTCGATCATGATCATCATCAAGATTGATTCATAGATTGTGTGAAAGTCGTGCATCGGGACAAGAGTTCAATTCATTGCATCATCATTGTGTTGACGATGATTATCAAACGCATCATCATTGTTATCATCATCATCACCAAACAAGGTATATAATAGCGAATCAAGAGAGAACAACACTTACCTCCATCATGGTTAAATTGAACAACAAATGAATGAAATAATAATTAAATTTGTTGTTGTTTGTTGGAAGAAAGAATGCGAAATATATTCTTCTCCTCCTTGTTCGATCTCGAGGAAAGAAGAATTGAAATGGCGGACAACAAGAAAAACAATCCGAAAGAAGTGAGAATTTATCAACAACAACAACAACAACCGACTCGTCGACCAAAACAATAACAGAAGACTCGGAGCTGTCAACAACGATTTCAATTTTTTTTTGCGAAAGATTTTGACAAGTGGAATCCACACGTCTTTCACACACAATTCATTGTCGGTTGGCCACTTGGTTCCAACTTCCAAACAACGACAAGCCTTGCTGATGCGGAAATGGTGTCGCGATGGAGTGACGAATCCTTTTTGAAAGAAGAAGAAGCGCTCTCGAGAGGAGGTTCTCATTATTGGCCGAGTTCATTTCCTTAAATGTTCTCATTGTCTCAACGACTCTAACGATTACGAACCAACCAATTGTTGATCTCACCTGTGTGGTAAAGTTGGGATTGTAGATCATGAGCATCTACTACTACTACTATTCAGTCTTCAACTACGAAGCACGAACCACCTTCAGTCGGTGTAAAAACTCGTTTCTTCAAATGCTTATTGAAAAGACCAAATTTATTGAGGAGTTACCTCATGATGGGCATTGTCTCCAGCTATCATAGGGATTCCAATGGAGGATGCAACAACAGTGTGATCAATCTTCATTCTTGACAAATAGAGAGAGTTTGTGGAATTTTCAAAGTTTTGAATAAACGACCCTCAAAAAAATAGCCTTACACTCAACCCTCACGATCCATCAGTAGTAATAATAAATTTCATTTTTCTTCATCGGATCTAACAACCGAAAGAAAACCCGAGCAGCAGAGATGGAAGAAAAGACGAGTCCTCTTACTCATGATGGCCATGATCATGATGATCACGGATTAATTAAATCGGAACATCAAGTTGCATTAGCATCGGACGAGAATCCATTAATGGTATTCTTATCGTCCTTCATCATGCAATGCCATCGTTTCTCTTCAACAAGTGGTGTAAGTAACGTATTATGATAGAATTATTGCTCAACAATGGAATGAAACGACTATTCATTGCAATGTCCTATCACGATGAAATTCCATGATGCACACTCTCCGTGTAGCATTTCCAACTTCCTTCCCAACAACAACCAAAGCCCACTTCAATAACCTCACAACTGAATGCATTACCAATGACAATGAAACAAGAAAATGCATCATCCGCATCGCCAAAGAACCTAGAACATGCATCAGAGATGATTGCAACCTCTTCCACCGAACCTTGCACTCCTCCCTCAAACAAGAAACGAAAGTCTAAGGGATCTTCTTCCTCTAGGAGTAAAAAGACAAAGGGAAGTCCACGCCCAGTGGTGCTCTCTGAGGATGCCAAGCAAACGCTCTGTATCCCAGATGTATTGTATGAGATTTTCTCATATCTTGTTTTTCCTGATATTGTTCACAGAATCATGTTGGTGAATAAGACTTGGCGAACGATTACAAGAGACCTGAACAAGTTGTGGGCTGACTTTACACTGTTCCATTGGCCTGATGTTTCTCTCACTGTAGAGTTGCAAAGAGAGTCCTCTGTTGAAACCTTTAAATACTTTTATACTCATAACTGCTACGAATGTTGTAAATCACTTAAAAAAGAATCCAAGGTTGTTACTCTCAACTCTAGAACTGGGTGTACCATCAAGCTTTGTGAGTATTGCGCATATGAGGCTCCGTATTCAGAAAGAAAGTTACTAACAAAATCACGTATCTATGAGTTGCTTAAACTCAATAACAAGGACATTGTGGACCTGCCATACCGTGAAGGATACAGCTATACCTATCGTGTGGAAACAACCAACCTATGCCTCAAAAATTGTTATCACAAAGCATTATCAAAATACTTTCCTAAAGGAGGTATTGAAGCTAACAATCAGCGTTTGAGAGCAATTGCAGAAAAGAAAAGAAAAACTATTGAAAAAGCACGTACTGAGAGACGTGAAGAGTTGACAGAAGCGCTCGAAGCGGAAGGTCTTAAGTTGCGATGTGACAGCAGGTTGTGTGCAGCTTATATTGAGGGTACATGTGGTCAATCCTTAGAACAAGTAGTACAAACCATGAAGGAAATGCAATTCTACCATGTAACTATTTCCCACTTTGTACAAGCTGCATTTGATGAAATGGAAGATGAGTTTAGAGATATGAGAAGAGAAATGAGACCATTTCATGAGGCTTTTGTTTTTTGAAAAAAAGCCATTATATTCAACCTTGGATCGGTTTGTGACAGTCACATATTCAATCATCATCCAGAAACAGAGTATCTGCCTTTTCAAAGGAATGAATGTATTATATTGAGAATTTTAAGAGAGTTGAAAATCTACTTCCAATCCAACACCAATCTGAATGCCAAAAACTTCTTGGATGCACTCAATAATTTTTTTCCTTAATTGTTCAAGAGACAGACCTTTCCACAAGATGAACCAATGAGAATCATTGTTACTTCCCACCATCAGCTGAATATATTGATTGTTCTTACCTAATTCAACAATTCGAATAATGATAGCAATTTCGAGACGACGATTTAAAGTTACAGACAATCTAAAAGTGCCCTCAAATTCAAAGAATGCCATGCTCTCTTTCACTTTTTTCATAGTTCACAGAACTTTGCACCTGATTCGAAAATATAGTATAGAATATGTAGTACCAATTAAATTGAAATCAGAAATGTGATGAGCTCATCCTGATCAAGTTCAACATCACACAATTAAAAATTCCTGAAATCATATTCTCACACACAACCAAAAGTATATCGTCGCCTTGTGTTACTGTCGAGATCTCTCGGTTGTGAGTGAATATCATCATTGTGTGATTAACGATCACTTCAGTACACCTTTTGAAACAACCCGAATAACCTCATCATCATTATAATACGACTTCTTGATGATGAATTCAAGTGGTTCTAATGGTAATAATGGCATGGGTTTAAAACCTATGGAAATACCCATTCCACCTCTACTCTCCTCCGAACGATACAGCTGGGAATTATTAGGAGGTATTTCAGGAAATGAATACATTTATGATGTAAAGAAGGCTTCCACTCCCTATGCAAGCCTTGTACAACCTTCAACACCATCATCATCAAATATGATGAGCAGTAGTGGAAGCGTAGGTGGTAGTATGATCGTCATGAGTAATCGTGTCGGAGGTGAAAGTGCTATCCCTACTCTGAACAACACTCAAACCTCTCCGATCAACACAAATAATAATAATAATAACGTGTTGTACAATAATAATAACCCAATGATGGTGGTGCCTACAACGAGTATGATGATGACACACAACAACACCATGATGATGACTAATAATAATAATGGAATGAATTACATGACCACCAATCATCCATCATCTTCTTACATGATGGGTGGAGGAACATCTTCACCATCATCCTTTGGATTCCCCAATAATAGTGGTTTAAATAATAGTTTGATGAATGCATCATTTAACATTCAACAATCACTAAATTCACTGATTCCACAACAGGTGCCACAGCAAACGGGAAACTCAATACCACTTACGAATAATATGGCTAATGTGAATAATCCATCATTTTCATCGCCATCCATGCAATCACCAACAGTTCCACCTCCTTTCATGAACAACTCGATCAATAACAATAACTTTATGACTCAGAGTGGAATGATCGGCCAACAACCAGTTCCAACGCCATATTCTCAAGTTCCATCGTATCCATCATCACAAGTACCGCAACAACTGCCATATGCTCTTCCACAACTTCAACAACCAAAATACTTCTACGAAAAAGGAGAAATTGATATTGCAAATGACTCAAATTTAATTGTGAAAAAATCGGCCGAGTCCTACACGAGCGTATTCATGAATGCTCGACTTGTAGAAATTCCATCAATGACTTATGCATGGAAAACCAAAGTTGTGACACTTGATTCATGGATTGGTGTGGGTGTGACAAGTGACAGCGTTGTGCAAGGAAGAAAACATGCATACTCTCCTTATGATGAGCATGGAGGCTACTTGTTGTCAGGAAACGGATATATTTGGAGTGAATTTATTGATGGAGCTAACAAATACAAACAGGTACAAGGTTCAAGTTTTGCATCTGGTGACATTTTGATATTTGAGCTGAATTGCGATAAGAAGGAACTCACGATTTACAACAACAAGAATGTCAAAAAAGCAAGGTTAACAGATATCAAGTTTCCTGTATATCCCTCTGTGATGATGCATGGAAAAGAATCCATTGAGTGGTTGGGATTTATCGAAACAAATCAAATGCCTTCTGCAAACACTTCACATAACTCTCGAAATTTTGAACAATTTTTATATTTGAATTATCATATTAATGAGCCTGAGCCACAACGTTTTGTGAAAAAGACAGAGGCCTCTTATACAACCATATTTGCAAATACTCCATTGGGAGATGATAAACGTTATGGAATATTTAGATGGAAGGTGCATATTCATACCATTAACTCCTGGATTGGAGTTGGTGTAACCAGAGAAAGTATCGTGAAAGACCTCTTCCATGAATTATCTCCATTTGACAATCATGGAAGTTATTTGTTATCACAGAATGGTTATGCTTGGAATTTATTTATTGAGGGATCCACAAAGTATAAGTCTATTGGGTCCAAGTTCTACACTGGAGATGTCTTGACATTTGAACTGAATTGTTTCACAAAGGAGTTGAGTATTTTCAAAGAAGATGTGAAAATGACCACCTTTTCTGACGTTCAATTACCAGTATACCCCTCTGTGATGATGCATAGCCTGGAGGAAGTAGAATTTTCTGATTTTGAACAAGCGAGCCTTACAAGCAAACCTATCAGTTATGACAATGTTTTGAATTATAGAGCTCCAAAGTATCTCATACAGCCAAACGTTTTTGACATTAATTCAAACATTTTGAGGAAAACAGTCGCAGATTCTTACTCTACTGCATTTGTGAACTTATTAATCGGACAACATCAAAAGCTTGTCAGATGGAAAATCAAAGTTATTTCAATCAACTCATGGCTTGGTGTTGGTGTGACAAACTCCAGCATTGTTGATCGACATCAATTCACCTTTTCACCATATGACCAACATGCAAGCTACTTGCTTTCACATAATGGATACGTATGGGACCAATACATGGACAGTGCCAACAAATACAAACAAGTGGAAGGATCTAGTTTTGCTGTTGGAGATACCATCATTGTAGAATTGAATTGTGTCACAAAAGAAATTTCATTCTACAAGAACAACATGACAAAAAAACTAGCCACCTTGACCAATGTCAAATTTCCTGTTTATCCCTCAATTATGTGTCATGGAAGAGAAGCTATTGAATATTCTGATTTTTCAGAGAGCACTGATGTGGCTTTGGTACGAAACAAAGTTACCGAGTTTGTGTATGATACATCACATATTCAAATTGTAGATGCACACAATATTAAGAAAACCTCTGCATCCGCTTATACGACTGTATTCGTAAACACTCCATTGGGTACGACTTATAACAGTGGCATTATCAAATGGAAAGTTAAAATTATTTCTCTCATCTCGTGGATTGGATTAGGAGTCATCATGAGAGACGTTGCCGATGATCACAATTTCGGTTTATCACCCTATGATTCTCATGGAAGCTATTTGTTGTCAGGAAACGGATATATTTGGAACCAATTTATGGAAGGAACCAATAAGTATGAACAGCTGCAAGGTGCATCCTTCTCTAATGGAGACACCATTGTGATGGTATTGGATTGTGATACGCAAGAGCTCAATTTTTACAAGTCAGGAAAAAACATTGCTACTTTCTCAAATGTAAAAATTCCAGTGTATCCCTCCTTCAAACTTCACGGAACTGAGCAATTGGAGTTCTCTTGGGGTGAATAGAGTTCAATGGTGTCACAGAAACTCCAATCATTTAAGTTACTAATTAATAATAATTACCTTAATAATATATATTTATTTAAGAATATTACAAGAAATATAAAGTATTTGACAATGCTTCTTCTGCACTGGTGGCTGTTTTGTTTCTCATCTCTGCTGCTTTCTTGGCATACATCACACAAGCTGGTAACCTTATTTGTCTACTAAAGTTAAAGTACAGAAAGGTTTGATTGTTGGTAAGATGAGCAAGGTAATCTTTCTCATGGAACACAGTTTTGTTATGGACAATGACATAATTCACTGGCATCCGAAACTGTCGTCAAGTAGAACTCGTTGACATGTTCTCTTTGTAGATCTTTTACAAGCAGAGATGAGTCCACTTTTAGGTGGTCTCGATAGAATCTTGTCGAAGTATCCTTGTTGACCAAAATGACACAAAGATTTGGAAAGATCAATTCCCATGTCGCAAATGCAAGTTCTTCTGAAAGATATTGCAAACCCATGACATAAATAATAATGTTGCTGTTCGCTTGATTTTTCTTTGTGATCTGTTCCCTCTTTTCCTTAACATTTTGAAGGGATTGAGTGAGAGATTGGAATAGATCCTTCTTTTCACACTGAAAGGTGTCCGAACAGTATTCAGTTAATTCCTCATTCACACTCATGACGACAGCTCCAGTTTTAGTCCTTCCATTACCTTCAACGCAAATGCCACACACTGTCACACCTTGGAAATCATGACGTAGATTCCAAAGAGGAATTTTGGATTTGCTCAAGACTTGTTTTCGGATGGCAGTTACTTTTTCTCTTGTCTTTCCTGTCCATAGTATACATTGAGAGGTGACACCTTTCGAGATGAGTATCTCTTTGACGGTGTTGTATACTTTGGAATCACTGCCTGGAAGAACAATGATTCATTTGTGACTCTTATAGTTGCCTGATTGCTTGTTAACAATTTCCTCAATCGCTTGAGTGCTTGTGTAATAAAACTCCTTTTTGGCTCCTGGAAATCTCAAGTCTCTCACAATCCTTTCATTGGCAGCAACAACCACATAATCAAACTCTTTCAACTTGTTATCAGCATTCGGAAGGTCGACTTTCTTAGGGTTATGGTGAGAGGTACACCTGTCACTTGTAATCGACGTTCAGAAATTGTAATTCCTGCATTTTCCTGTAAAAATCTTCCTGCCTCACTCTTGGAAGAAGCAAAGTTTTGAACAATATTCTTAATGGTATCCGACTTTTGGCTCCATGAAAAACAATTCAAATCTTTGATAACCTCTTTTTTCTTGGCACCTGTCAAATAACACTATTGTGGAATCAAGTAATTGATTTCCTTCTTTTGATTTTTGAATTTGTAAATCACTTTGACCATGGGTTGTTTCACATCAATTGGATCCTCTGTTTTTCCATATCTTTCTTCTGCATGGTCAAGATAGGAGATCTCCTTGTCCTTTCTCTTAAAGGTTGAAGTTGGATTTTTACCAAAATCAATGTCTCTAATGACAAAGGATTTTCCTTTGTACTGAATACTTCTTCCAATAAGCTCCTTCTGAATGTCATGAACTGTCTTTTTCATAGTTTGAATGATTTTCCACAAGTTTTCACGAGCCACGACTTTTTGTTTGAACGACAATGAGAAATAAGTCGCCGCTTGTCGCTCTCTGATTGCTTTCAAGGCATTCAACGCATAATTGAATCCTCTATAGATTTGATAGTCTCTTGAGATGTTACTCGATGATTTTTCTGGATCTTTGAAACACAGAGTATTACCAAAAGAGATTATTCCCATTCCTTATTGAGCTGCAAATTGAAAAAGAAGTGACAATGCTTGTGCTAAAACTGTCAAATGTGGCGAAGGATTGATCTCATGAAGGGTGACTTGATATTCCACTTCATAGAATTCCTGTGTTTCTCGATTCTTTTTTCTTGTTTTCACTGTCGTTGTGAAAGAGGTCTCTTTTTCAATCAATGCCTTATTTGCAATAATGACTTTTCCAGAAAGCAATGGAAAAAGAGAACCTTGTTCCTTCTTGTTCTTGACGACTTGTCGAAAGAGACCATTCAATAGATAGGGATTACTTTCTTCAACATTGCCACCAACTCCAAACTGTGTATCGTTCAACTTTTTGACACTCATCTGATACAAGATCAAACCAGTACCAATTTTGGATTGACGAATTTGGTAATAATTAGATTCCATTGCAAAAAGAGGTTCAGTCGAACAGCTTGAAGAGGAAGCTTTTGGATGTTTCTGAGAACGGCGTTCAAGAGTTTCCTCTGACTGTTGTTGTTGTTGAGGTCTTTTCGATTCGTGTGAAGAACTACTACTACTACCAACACCACCACTGCCAGGACGACGAGGAGAAACATTCAATTCCTTCTTCTCCTCTTCCTCATTGAAAGGACACTTTTGTTGTCCTCCTCCTGATCTGCGATGGAAACTTGATTCAACGTCTCTTTTGGTTTTTTCTCTTCTTCATAAGAGCTCGTTCTGTAAGGTCTTTGATCATGAGAAGAAGAACCTCTTTGAGAGGATGATCCATGATGATGATGATCACTCCTTCGCTCGTGGTATTGTGACGGTGATGGTGGTGGAATAATGGTACGTACGAGGATCCACAACAGAAGATGATCGTTCCACTCCCTCTGATCTTCTTCTTCTATGTTGTTGTTGTGGTGGTGGGGGATGAAAAGAAGAAGTAGAGCTTGTTGGAACAGTGGTGGAACTATTCCAAGTTGGTGGTTGTTGTTGTGGTTCCAAGAATGATGAAGAAGAAGAAGGAGGAGGTGTTGTGGTTGGTTGTCTTCTTGGAATTTTGATCGTTCCCAAAGATGGGAGTTGGGAAGGGTCGGTTGGAGGTGTTGGTGGTGGTTGCTGTGGGTTCATGTTATTCAGCAAGAAATTTTTTTGGAATTTTTTGAAATTCGAGAAATGGGAAACATTTGACGTGGCGTTCAAAATTTTTGGAATGAGAGTGTGAGATGCAAGACATAAACAAAATGGTTTATTCTCCGGTGGCAAATAATTGAGACGGGTGAGTAATTGAGTAGAATCTCAAAATATTCATCCGCTGACGTAAATGGAACTTTGAGAAGGTTGATGACGTTCATGAATTCTGATGAGAGTCTCAACGAACTCAACGGCGTTCATGATTTCTCCGTTTTGTAATCCAATGATTTTGGAACCTTCTTTCCGTCATGAGGGAATTCATGAATCTCAAAGTGGAGAGATTCGATCACTGCACCTTCTTCTCAAAATAATATTTAAGGAGTCCCTCAAACGGTTAACTCCAAAGACAAAAAAAAACAAACTTTAATCCAATACTATTCCAACCATGTGGAATTCAAAAAAGCTTCTGACCTGTTTGGTCTTTGTATTCATGATGATCATGCTCGCAGCAACAGCATTCATCAAGGTGAGCGCTGATGAGATCATTCCAGAAAAGTTTTTCAAACATTTACAGGGACCTCCTGAGGAGTTTAATAATTTTGCGTTACCTCCCACTTCAAGAGCAGCCATTACTTCAGATAGTTATGTGATGGATATTCAATTTAGCTCAAAGAATGAAGAACAAGTTCCATCTGATGCTAACACTGCTTCTAGCTCTTCCTCGAGACGTCTGACATGGAGACAATACATTCCCATTGATACCATTGACAATGTGACACTCTCTATTGTGAGCAAATATCCACAAAAGATGAATCTTGAAGTGTTGAATATTGAAGATTTCGTGGTGAATGAACATGCTACTGACCCTATGGAGGATGATTTGAATCGAAAGGAAAGTATGTTGCAATCCCTTCAAAACAAGAATGCAGTATACCATTCATGGATTGGATTGGTCCCAGATAAAAATAGTATTCCAACCAAGACATTTGTATTCAACAATAGAAATCAAGTGAAAGCTGGTGATTGGCTTGTGGAAGTGTCTATTGAACACGAAGCTGTTGAGGAAATTAGACAAACAGATCCAGAGTTTGCTGAAAAACTCTTGAATGGAGAGGCACAAGCATTCCTTTTGGCTTACTGCACTAGTCCTCTTTCTATTCATTCTCAACTTAATACCTATCGATTATCTGTTGGAGAGAAAATTGGCTTCACCACACGCGTGGTTGAGAAAGAACATGCCTTGTTGAGAGCAAGTAATTTGGACATGATCCCTCGAGCAATTCCAACCAAAAAGTTTACACAAATTGAAGCAGTGATGGAGATTGAGGAACCTGACGGTGACGAGTTTGTTGTGCCCATGCAAGACCAAGCGACCTTATTGCTTGCCAATCCAAATGCAAGTATGGCAAGTACGGAAGAAGTGGATGGCGTGTTTTCTGCACAAATAGAAGCTACAGAGCCAGGATTCTTCTCCTTCCGTGTGACAGTGAAGGGTATTGTTGGAGAGACTCTCATGAATACCAAGTACCAAAATGTCAATGCAAGCAAATTGGTTGGAGCTTCCAATACGAATCAATTAGCTTTTATGAGAACGACTCAACACACTGTCTTTGTCGTTGACGAACGTATGAAGTTATTAACAAGTGGCACAAGAGCTTCATTTACACAACTTGATGAAATGCTCACGATTCAACTCCAAGTTGAGGTGGATCCAAACCATGTCGACAAGGTTTTCAATAAGAAATTTAAAGCCTATACTGAAGTATGGGCTTATAGTGAAGAAGACGAATCGACACTTGTTCCAGTTTGTTGGGTGATGGGAATGACAGTTGCCACGGCCTCTGAACAAGACGACAATATTGCTACTCTTCCACTCCAAATGTCCATGACTTGGTTATCGAAAGCAAACGCCAAACTTCCATTGGTTTTAAAGAATGCGTACATTAGAGATGTTGACACGTCAGCTCTCATTACACATGTTCCAGAAATTTTGCAAGTTGAAACTCATCACCTTTTTGTGGATTCGTTGACGAGGGTTGTCCATGCTAAAAATACCAATCAAACAATAGTTCACGCCTTTGCAAGAAATCTCACTCAAACAACCTTCAAGTTCAATGGTGAAGTAACAGAGACCATGACCATGGGTAAACGTCCTGTTGAATTCATGATGAGAAGTGGTGAGAATATGGCCTCTGCGACTGCATCTTCACATAAGGTGTTACTAGTTCATGGCTATTGTTCCAAAGGAGAAGTCTTCCCATTGAGTCATTTCCAAAATGCTGTTGAATTCTCGGATCCTCACCAAAGTCGTTCCAATGACAAGTTTGCTCAATTGATTTGGGATTTAGGCAAAGAATTTGAATCATTTGCTATTGTTGCGCACAGTCAAGGTGGATTGGCTTCATTGCATCTGCTGACGTACTACTGGTCAAATGCTGACAGGGCACCACCAGGTGTTCGACTCATTCAGAGTGTTGGATCACCTTATCGTGGAACTTCACTTGCAGGTAGTGTGGCTGAGTTTGGAAAGTTCTTCAAGATTGGATGTGGTAAAAATATGGATTTGACAGTTGAAGGTAAGTGATTCAGTGACACCTTAATGTCTGGCATGACCATTTGTTTTATTTTCTTTATGCATTGAATTTGACACAATCACAGGTGCCGCCAATTGGCTCAACAACATTCCACCAGCAGCCCAACAAAAGGTTTACTTTTACACAACACAATACAAGGATTGGTCATGGTGTTCACTCGCAACTCAAAGCATTTTGAAATGGCCAAATGATGGTACTGTTGAATATGAACGAACGGCTTTGCCCTATGGTAACAACATGGGACATACAAAGAGGTTTTGCCATTCGGGAAGTAAGTATTCAGTTTTATGATTTTTATGGTGATTGTTAATCTTTTTATCTTTTTAGAGATGCACTATCCACCTCAATACAAGGATGCTGAGAGAAATGCCATCCTTAACAAGTATGCCAATGGTTTCTAAAGCTTTGTTACCAATAAAAAATTATTATCATGATGTGAAAGCAGTCTTGTTCGTCACTGAAGAAAAGGTCGGACTTTGTTGGGTCAAACTTCAATTAATGGATTAATTCTGTTGTCGCTTAAATGTGACGACGTATATCTTTTGTTCAAAAATGCTTAATCAAAACAAGTGACCTTCCCCAAATTCGAGTCATAACAGTACAGAACTCCATTGGACAAAGAATAGACATGAGGAATGGTGACCGATTGTGATATCGTGCTAAAATCTTTCGAAGAGTAAGCAATACCAGTATGTGATCGAAAAATGTAACCATCGGTGAGTGGATCATATATGATTGGACATGAAAAGCAATAGTTGGGAATTGTGACAGTTTTCAAATACTTCAAATTTCTTGTGAACACTTTGATAATGGACGACCAATATTTGTCGTAACATGATATCATCAGGTTATCATTCCTATCCATTGTTAAGTAAAAAAAGTTGACCTCTCTCTCGAAAGATGTTTTACAATTTCTTCCCATCTTTTCAATAATTTGACCACTTTCGCTACAAATCAAAATAATTTTTTGCTCTGTTTGATCTCCAAGATAAATAATTCCTCTTGAATCTATTACAAAATTGTGAAAATTTTTGTACGCGTCTTTTTTGTGTGGGGTGAGACTTGTGGACCACTTCACTGCTCCATTTTGAAGGTCTAATTTCAAAATTTTCGTTTCAGGAGTTCCGCACTGTGTTTTCAATAAATAGATACATGAATGATCCTTTTTGCAGTACGTGGTCGAAAATATTGCTCCCTCCTGATTTGTTCGCTGAAATGATCTCACTTTTTCGAACTGTTGATCCTTTACATGATAAATATCAATTCGAGTATCAGCAAAACAAACAAATTCATGCCTACACATCAACGCAACCTGATACGGACGTTTAGCATATGTCGATAAATCATCCATCGTAACAGGCTGAACTTCAAACGTATGAGAGAAAATGATGTTGAACTCTCCCGAGAAGCCTTTTGGGTGTTCCGACGCCATCATCATTGAATGAATTATTCTCTTCGTTAAAAGCTTTCCAAAGTTGCGGCTGCAACGAAGAAGAGAGGAGAAGAGGTTTTTGATTGCTTATTTTTTTTAAGAAATTGAACTTTGGAACTTGAGCGAACGAAATATGTTTTACTGAAGAGAGGATGAGAACTCGCCCACCAAGGTTTTCATGATGAGAAATGATGAACCAACCTTAATGAGAGCCATGGTTCCTACTAGGGTCGGTCGTAATTGCCAATTCAATGTGTGGTGGTGGGTACTTGAAATTAAGCGATGATTTAATTTATTTTTGAAAAAAATATCCAAAGAACTATTTGGCCATTTTTGTCAAAAAACTCACTCTCTCACTCCACAACGAACTCTCTCTCTTCTTGAAGAAATGGGCTTTAATTTGAAAATTGTCGGAGGAACTAGCAATGTTGAATTAGCGTAGGTTTCTTGTTTGCTTTTTCTCCTCATTTCGTATGAGGATAATCATCATGTCCGTCCGATGATGATGTATAATGCACATTCAGTAAAAAGGTTGCTGAATTCTTGCAAATTAACCTCACTGAAACTAAAATTTACAAGTTTGCAGATAGTGAAATTGGAGTTCAAATTATGGAAAATGTCAGAGGAGTAAGTATTTCTCAATGATTGATGCCTTCTGATGATGAAAAATGATGATGATATAGAGTGGTATGTATGCTGCGATATCATAATTCCGTTTATGGAATGAATTTCTAATGGCATTGTGTCATTTTTATTTCTGATAATCATCCCAACAAATCATTTATTTGGACAAAACAATTCAATGGATACACACAATTTAATGTGATTTTTGTCACTTTGAAACAGATGTTTATGTCATCCAATCTACTTGCACTCCAGTCAATGACAACTTTATGGAATTGTGTCTCATTGTGGATGCATTGAAGAGAGCCAGTTGCAATAGAATCACTGCTGTTGTTCCATATTACGGTTATGCCAGACAAGACAGAAAGACCAAACCAAGAGTTCCAATTTCCGCTGCTCTTGTTTCTAGGCTGTTAGAATCATCTGGTGTAGATCGTGTATTGTCTGTTGACTTGCACTGTGGACAAATTCAAGGCTTCTTTAATATTCCAGTTGATAATCTTCATGCCAAGCCTGTTCTTGTGCATGCATTCCATCATCAAATTATTTTGAATGAAGGATTAAAGAATGAGAGTGATTACAAGGGATTGGTTGTCGTTTCACCTGATGCTGGTAAGTGAAATATTCATAATAGTAATTTTTTCTAAAATTTCTGAACGCTTATTAAGGTGGTGCTGAGCGTGCTGACAATTTCAGAACTGCATTGGTCACATTGGATCCAAAAATTCAAGCTAGCATGGCTGTTATGAACAAGAAGAGACTAGAGGCCAATAAGGTGGCAACCATGGAGCTAGTTGGTAATGTTGAAGGCAAACATTGCGTGATTGTGGACGATATGATTGATACTGCCGGTACTTTGGTCATGTGTGCTCAAATTTTGAAGGATAACGGTGCTAAGAGAATCTTTGCTTGTGCTACTCATGGATTATTCAACGGAACAGGAGTTCAAAGAATTCAAGACAGCGTCATTGAAAAGGTTATTGTCACAAACACTGTTCCACTTGCTCCGGAAAAGCAACACCCAAAGATTATTCAAGTCTGTGTGAGTGAGTTGGTTGGAGAAGCAATCAGACGTGTTCATAATGAGGAATCTGTTTCCAGTTTGTTTTAATTGACCTGGTTAGGTAACCAATTTTGAACTCTTCAATTTCGAATAACAACAAAACAATTTATTAACATTTTATCACAGGTACTTGTTTGTTCCTCGTTCAACATCATGAGAAGATACAAGTAGGAAATTGTCTCGAGGATTTCTCTCGAATTTGTGGTTGAACGCTTCGATATGATGAGTTTTTTTGAGAGGAATTTGCAATGCACTTGCACTATCTCCAGAAAGATTTAGAGAGCTAGTCACATTATTGTTTGCAAGATGGTTGTATGTTTTGAAAAAGTTTTTTGGAGGTGTGAGGGATCTTTGAACCTTTTCTCTCAATGATTGACTCTGCAATATTCTTCCTATACCCTTAGTGGTCATTGGTTTAACTGTTGTAGACCTTGAGCTTGGACTTAATCTAGTATTACTTTTTGAATCTTTTGATCTTTTTTCGTCTGTAGTGGCATAATTGAAAATTAGAATGCAAAAGGTGAGTTTCGGTTGGATTATTACTATACTTACATCTAATGTTGATAGGAGCTATTGGTGAATCTTTCACAGAGTCCAATAGCGACTCATTTTCTGTTCTTTTCGAAGGAGGTGTTGCTGGCTCTTTAGGAGTAGGAGGTGTCGAACTTGCTTTGGACTGTGACAATTGCAAACGCTTTGGTGTGAGTGGAGATGGTTCACTTGTTTCAGGGGGATGGCTTCTTGATGATTTCAGAGCTCTTTCATCATTTTGTGCTTTTCTAATTTGCTCTATTGGAAGAGTGTAAGCAGTCTTTGGTTTTTGGGGGAGCTGGGGTTTAGCTGAATGATGTTCTAAAAATCGTTCGGACCTTGTTTTTTCAAAAGCAACATTAAGCGACACTGTTTTCAGAGGATAGAGGGTTTCTTGGAGAGTGTGCAAAGTCGATATTGCTTTTGGAAATTGTTCTCCCTCGTTCCACATTTTGTTCTGCTTTTCCTGTAGGTAATGCTGTTGAACACCAATAACCATTCCTGGTCGACAAATTCGAAGCCATGCAATTGCCTCAGTTGCTGTAAATCTGTAATGCTTCATCATGTAAAGAGCAATCATGGTTCCTGTTCGTCCCAAACCAGCCTTACAATGAACAGCCACAACTCCTTCTTCTTCACATATTTTCAAGAAGTTTTTGACAATTTCTTCAGAAGGTGTGCTTCCATCTGGGAAGTAGAGATCATAGTGATTGATTCCTGCGCTTACAAATCTCTTTCGATCGTATAGAGGTCGATTAAGGCGAATCACTGCTGTTACTTTCCATTGCTTGAATGGAACGATATAATCATCGGGAGTCAAGTGAACAAATCCATCACTTGTAATTCTTCTGTTTGACGGGGAAGAAAATGCAATGAATTTACCTGGAACTACCCAATTAATGTCTCCGTTCTCCACCTTCTCAAGTTTGAGATATTCCTCAGTGTCAAAGCATTCATAATTTAGGAAATTTAAGGAGAGGGCTTTTGCCAATCCTTTGCAACAATCTAATAGGGTTAAATTAAATGTTGACAAAGCTGTGATCAAAACGAATGAATTGATACTTGAAGGTTGAACGATTCACTACAACATACATTGAGAAGCGTCTCGGAAGGTAATGATAGGAGGGTAAACAGCGTTAAAGGGTCTGCAAGCCTCTTCAGGCGATTTTTGATGAGTAATGAGCATGTAGGCAACTGCCAAGAATGCTCCATTAGCTCTCTTTTGGCTATCAAAACTTGTGACTAGATATATTTTCTTCGCAGTGGTCTTTGACGTTATTAATAATAAGTTGAGACAGTTCATCGACAGTAAATAGCAAAACCTCAATTATTAAATCACCTCCACTCACCTTCAATAAATGATCGACATGTCTACACAATTTAATGGTATATCCAATATTTACAGGTCCAAAATCATGACAAAATGGTTCATAGATATATTGATCGTCAAGAAAAACAAATATAGAGGATGGATTTTCAAAAGACAAGGGCATCCTCCTCAAAGAGATCCAGAATAATCTCTCTTCCTCTAAACATATGGCATCCTTCAACTCTCCCTGATGGTGTTGAGTTCCGTGGTTACTATTTCCTGATCGAATCGGAGAAGAGTGTACCCTCATTAGACTTTGTGCTTGCATCTAAAGTTGATGCCCAGGAAGACACTGATACTGGTGGTGATAGGTTTAGTTTTCCAATATATATATAATGAATATGATTTTGTTGATTATTACTCATCAAAGCCTTCTCTTCAACGAATTGAAAAAGATGATGAGGCTCAATGAGGCTCTCGGAATGTTGTTCTTGGGTTTTCCCGTAGTGTGGTTGTTTCAAACTTTTTTGCCGCTTCTCCTGTAGCAGCGTGTTCTATTTTTTTCTCTCTTCTTCTTCTCGAGGGAGATTGAGGAGTCTTCATAGATGATAAGCCAGAAGAAAGAGATTTCATGTTGATTGAGAAAGAGACTTTGATGAACACCCTGAAGAGAGAGATTGACAAAGTTTGAAACTTTGAATGGGTGACAGAACACACTCGCGATGGTCCATCAAATGAAAAGCGAGCATTGATTGATGAGGGTTTGTCATCATCATGCAAGAGTCATGACGGAGAGAGATTATATGAAGGGAGAATGTCTCCCAAAAGAGTGGGTCAGACAAAATATATCATTGCTCGCCATACATGTTATCCAACTCCTGTGATTGCAGATCTAAAGGGACATGCGGGACGAACTTGGAGAAAGTGCTTCCATTTCATGAACCGTTCATCTCACTTTAGGGTCACCAACTGCAACTTCCACAACGTTCTTTCATCACAAACCACACACAAAGTTCCTCAAAAAATTGCTCATGCATCGCCCCGATCGCACCTTGCAGTCGTATCATCATCATCAGAGCTCCACTTCTCCTCCTTCACTTGCGAGAAGTCAGATCCCTTGCAACAACCATAATTATGGCACCTTAATAGAACACCATCAGGAAGAGCAAGTATCTTTTCAGAGTTCTTTCCAACCTACCAGCTCCAATCGCTTTGAAAAGCCCAGCGAAAATTCTTTAAAGGATGAATTATCACGCGACCATCCCACTCCATCTAACTCGAATACTCATTCGGAACAATCAATTCCTTGTCTTGCAAAAGGACAACAACCGACCTTTCACTATTTTGGAACTGGCCCTCATTGTCTGTGGGGAATTTTTGTTTGAATTTTGAGTAAGCTCACTTTTGGAATGGTGGAGGCTATTGTTGTTCTCAGCATGTACCGATCCCAAGTCAAATCAATGATCATTGCAGGTAGAAGATTAGAGTTTGATATGAACGACCCATTTATGAAGGTGCCGATCCTTTGTGTGGTTCATAACTTGATTAATCAATGTACTTTTGGGTTGTGGTACTTGAGTGGCATGATGCATCTCTTTTATTATAGTGAGTTGGACAGAAGAATTTCATGGGGAGAAGTTGTCGATTCGAACGAAGAGACCAACATCGTTTGGCACCCCAATGACAGCGGAAAAGGTCAATTCAAAATCTTTAGTACCTATCCTGGATTTTTCACTGAAGCCATCACATGGATTTGCCGTTTACTCTCAGTAACTTTTCTTTTCGGTTTAGCAGAGCCATGGATTAAGAGTTTCTATTATCAACAGGTCATGCCTCAAATGGAGTTTGTAGGATTGGGATCTTTTTCTTCAGCAAAAACCAAACCTGAATTTGGGAGTGAAAAACTCAAAGTGAAGTTCTCAGCCTCTGGTTCTCGAATGTTCTTTCGCTTTTTGCAAGGCCACCTTCTCGTAGTGTTCACATTGGGCATGTTTTTGTGTTGCTTTGGAAATTGCGTCAATCGATATATTAATGTGGATGAGAGTGAAGCTCATTCAATGACAACCTTTAGAGCTAAGGATGAGCAGACAGATGAAACATACTATGTTCAGGAATATCATGAACGTTACAGAGATAGTAAGATTTAAGCATGAATTAACAAATCATCTTTCATGATGAAATTTTCATTATTCGTGCTATTGGAAAGATTTTGTTTAATTTACTCGCTCTCACATGTGTGAGCATTAAAAAAGTATTTGAGATCTCGAATGACTCGTTTGACGTGTCATCGTGTCAAACCAAACCATATCAAGTCATCTTTATATGCAGTGGAACCTCCAACTTGTTGCTCATAATGTGCATCCTCCCATGTTTCAACAATTTAACACACATAAATGCAACAATGGAGTGTCTCCCTCTTTTCTGAGAATGAGGCATTTCTCTCAATCGAACCAATTTCTTCGTTGTCACAAAGAGATGACATGATTAAGGGATTTTGTTTCGCTTTAAAAAAAATTCAAAATCAACTAAAAAATGGATCCCAGCGTTTATCTCAACAACACGCGCACTTTTGTTCATTTGACTAAAACAAAAAGTATCATCAAAATGATCACGAATAATGAAATTTATATTCATAAACGATCAAAAAGTCCAATGAAGGTGAAAGTAACTGCTGCATTGATTAGAGGATTGATCATGTTAGATCCGACTTCCATTGATGAGAAACGTAAAAAGAATTCTCTCCGATATAAGATTATTAAACATGTGCTATCAGAACCAACCACGGTGGAACATGTGAATAAGAAAATTGAGGACAAGGCATTAGATGCTGATGATTTAAAATTGCTCTATTATATTATTTCTGAACAAGTTGTTAAATTAATCTCGCCCAAGTGTTTGGAATCAATTACAACTCTTATGGAAAGTTACTCATCAAATTCTCATACAATTATTAGAGTGGATCGAAAATTTTATTTTGGTAACAGCGGAGAGTTTGTTGATGTCATGGTGGATGTTTTTGGATTTCATGAAGTGAAGGTCATAGTGAATGACGAAGAAGTTCCTTTCAAACGAAAATTATCTCAATTAATTTTTACTTTCCAACTTCCAGCAGAGATGGACACAATCGCCTCTAAAAAATTCATTATTTCGTTTTTGAACTGCACGTTTAATTTTGAAGTATTTTTAATAGCTGCAAACTTGGAAAGATGTTTCAATAATTTTATGAATGTTGAGTTGTTTTGTGAAAGCAGTATGAGGCGTGATCATGCTGAATCTCTCTTTAACTGTATTCCAAGTTGGAAAATTGACACAGGAAGCACCTTCCACTGTTATATTAAGGAATATTTACAAATTGCAAAATATTGGACACACACAGAATCTGATTATTTATTGGATTTTCTCAAATTTTTAGTGACAACGAACTCATTCTTTGCATTACTAGCCTATCCCTATCCAAAAGATTATCCAACAAACTGCTACGTATATCTGTACTGCATGAAACTTTTAATTGACCTTTTTTTCGTTTTCAATGCCAAGATGAAATGCAAAAATCCTGTTATGAATTTTTGTCTGTTGGACAGAATAGATCGATAATAAGACGAAGATAGAAAACAATAAAAAGATGATGCTTACAAAAAGAAAACATGACAGTTTTACATCACATTAAAAAAACTACACATTGATTCGTTTTTATGAATCATTGCTGTTTGCAATTATCCTTGTTACTACTCCGTCTGTTGTGCTTGTCCCCAGATTTGTGATAATGATCGTCGCTTGTATTTGACCTATTTTGATTATGGGAAAAATTATTAGTATTTGTATAAGCATGAGAAGATGGCTGAGTGTGAGGATGATGATTCGTATGTTGATGATGGCTGTTGTAATAATTATTATTGTGATAATTGTTTTGATTATTATAATTATTAGTATTACTGTAACTGTTGTTCTGTCGTTGATGATTTGATCGATCTTGATATGTGCTGGTATTGGCATTATTGTTCTGTGAAGAGCTTGACTGTTGTGTCGAAGAATGTTGAGCTTGTTTCTGCAGTTTTCTGACTTTTTCTTTCAATTCGTCATTTTCTAATCTTAACAATTCGTTAGTTTGCTCCAATGTCGATATTTTCATTTTGAACTCTTCTCCCTGTTGAGCGTTTGCACATTTTCTTCTCAAATCTGTAATTGTATTTTCATACGATTCCAGAACACCTGCCAACTTTATATATGCACATTCGTTTTTGTGATTTTGTAATTGATTAAAATTACCCTCAAAGTTACATCCGAACTTTTTCATTGCACAGGGTCGAATGATATTCTCACAAAACTTCTCCAAATGTTCTTTTAAATTACCTCTCTTCACTTTTCCTTGAGAACACATATTTGGACAATCAACTTCGGAATCATCAGCCAATTTTTCGACAAATCGGTTATGAAGAAAGGATGAATCATCATTCAAATCTCGGAGCATGAGAAAAGTCTTTCTACAATGTGGACATGATCCCGAGCGATCTATCCACTGTTTAATGCAATCATAACAATACAAAGCACCACAACTTTTACATTCTCGGTTGCACTTGACAATTTCATTACAAATCACGCAATCAATATTCACATTCGCCATCTTGTATGTCTCTTGATCACGCTTGATGTTGAGAAATCGAAATATTTTTTTTGTTAAAGATATTCTTAGATAAGAGACAGATTTTTTAAAGACATTACAACATGACCTTAATTCTTATTTGTTCTCTTCAAGAAATTATTTGTATGATTCATTAGAAATGAAGCTAGTTGCCCGTGTTAAAGGCATGATGACACGTACAATTAGGGTCTGAACATCTTTCCTCTCAAAGAGTGATATCAAAGATCTCCTCCTGCACATTTATTTTTAACATAACATGACGTCATGTTTGTGCCATGATGACAAAGCAACCTCAAGAAACAAGATTCTCACAAGAGAGAAGTGCTAGTTGTATTTCACCGGCCGTGCGAATTGAAATGAATTGACATCATCACTAGGGACGAGTTGGATGAAATTAAAATAAGACAACATTGAACTGTTGTTGTTAATGTCAACACTCAAGATCAACAACGACGACGCATTCTTTCTTACCCAAAGTTCGATTTTAACGATGTCAAGCAGGAGGAAACACGACCATCATAGCTCCCATCAAATGATGACCAAAAGACTCTCCTTGCTAGTTGCTGTTGTCGCAACTTCCCTCATGTGTTTGCTGCAGCATGTGAATGGAAAAGTAGGCATGAGGAGATACGTGGACACACCTCAACAACCTTCACGCTCAGCAAGACCACAAACTACATCACACATGGTACCAACCAAAACATCATCAACCCTTTATAGTCATCATCATGTGCACATGGATTCATCACCGCAAGAGTCGGAACACAAACACATTGCGTACGACCATTTTGTGGGGTCAATGAGGTCAGAAAGTTCATCTTCTCTCTTTAGCGATGATGAAAATAGTCGGCAGCAACATCATACTCCCAACCAAGACAATTTTACAGACACCATTGCAGATGGTAACTTTGACCGTAATGCCAGTTTCAAACTGCAAAGAACGTTCATTCGAATTGCATTCAGCGAAGTAACACTAGCTCTTAGTAGTGCTGAAACGGCATCACGAGTGGGAACCATTGAGAGCATTCATGATGATAATAATCAACTCCTGTATGAGTCCTACATTTACTCGTAGCCGCGAGCAGGCAAAATCTGACCACCATAACAACAACCAATGATGCGACAATTTACAACCAATCGTCGACAAAAGCTAACAAACAATGATGTGAAAGTGAAATTGTTTCATTGATCAATGAATACACCAAATCACTTCTTGTTTGTGTGGTATTTGGCGGACATTCTTTGACAGATTCATTCAAATTAATAAATAATGTTGTCGCTATTGATACAGAGATGATGTGCTGTTGAAAAAGCATTAGTGGTGGTCATAGTCATCATCTCGTAATGTTACAAATATAAAACAGGGATCTTCTAACTCGACACTTCTTCTGAATTCAATAACGCACAGATTGTAGTCTGCTAATTTGAACAATCGAGTCAATCGATTGTTTGATGTAACCTGAAAAAAGAGAAGGGTCTGTGTACCTGTCCCTAACAATACAGTGCATGATAATTACAAAACAATTCACAACATCCTCATCGCTCAACAAGTCCACCTTGTCTGCCTTTGATATGTCACTGCTGCTATGAGGAACAACAGTAGTGGGCAATGAAGTTGTATTTTGCAACTTCCAAGAGTTAAAGTATGACATGAAGGTATAAAGTATCTCCATAGGATTGGCAGTCACAGGCTTTTCCTCCTCTGCTTGCCTATCCTGTTGTTGCCGAACAAAACTCATGATTAATTCCTGCACAACATCAGGTGAGTGAAGCTTGGCTCTACCAAAATTGCTGCTCATCATCATTGGACTCATACCGTGTGTGGTTGGAGCGGATGAAGGAACGTTGTAAAAACCGTTAGAAGCTGTTGCCATGTGGGTGCTGCTGTAGGGCGGAGGTTCTGGTGGGTGTATGTAGCTCATGGTGAAGGAGTGAAGGTATTTTTTTTGAATTTGAAAAAATTTTGAACAATATTTTTATCTAGCCACTTTGCAAAGGATCGAATCATCAAGATTCGTTAACGGTTTGAAGGGATGAGTGTCTTCAATCTCGTCCAATGCTCATTCCAAACCTGCTGATCCAATTATTTTGACGAAGAGAACGGATTATGATCAACCGAAAGTAGAAACAATGGCCTTTTTTGGGTGCAGATAATTCAACCTTGTCGGGATCGACCCTACATTCATCCCGTGTGGCAACATTTCATGGAGATAAAAGTTATGAACGTTTTCCCTTACTTGTTGTTGGAACGAATTCAACCTCGAGTGAGCAGTGAGCATCTGAACTGATTCTTGGATTACTCGATCCTCAAATCTCCTTAAATCTTGTTTGTGTTTTCTTCAATTTAAAATAAGAAAAAAATGTTTTCGGAGGACCACGTTTTTCTTCAACTTGCAGATTTGAACACTCCCTCATCATCATCCTCGATATCCAAGAAGGAAATCACCCTTACAAAAACATCAGACAATTCATTCAAACGTCCAAATATTTATTCGGAAAATGAATTCCATGATGATGATTTATATTTCTTGATGAAATTATTGCAACAGAAAATGAGAACAAACAAGGTTCGGAGGAACAAGTCTTTTTCAATGGATCCCAAAGATGTATTTCTGTTCAGTCCTGATTTGTTGAAGAATATCTATCATTCCGTATATAATGAAGAATATTATGTGTCAGATCTCTATGATGTCAAAATATCCTACAATTTAAAATGCATTTTAGTGAGCGATTTCAACCATTATTGTATTGAGGTATTTGATCTTGAAACAAAAGAATACAAATTCAAAATCAAAGCTCCAGATCAATATATGCGGTTTATGTGTGTTGAGGAAAATTATGACATGCGACATAATGATGCATTGATATTTGGTTGCTCAAGCTATGTTTATAAATATGATTTAAAGACATTACTAACTGTTAGAGATGAGGCAAATTACATTTGGAAAAATGAAGATTGTTCGTGGGCACAAGGAATTGCAATTTCATATTCCAGAAGACAAGTGTTTGTTAGTGATGCTGGATCTAGGAGCAAAGTAATTTGTATTTTAAATTTACAAACAGGTCAATCGATCCAAAAATTTTCGATCGAAGAACCATTAGGAGTTGCATTTTCTCCTAACGAAGAATATTTAATTGTTAGTTGTGCTGATACATCGATTTACTTATTCCGAGAAGATAAAACTCCCAATGAAGCGGGTGTTGTCCATTGGACGAAGTGTAAAACTCTTGTGGAGAAAGAAACTGGTGAAAATGGTTATAATTTTGAACTGTTGACAGTTGATACCAACAACAGAACTTTTGTCTTGTGTGATAGTGAGAAAAGGTGTCTCAAAATATTCTCTTTGGTTACCTTTGAACAAATTGCTACCATTGGTTCAGAGTCCACTCCATCTTTCCGCTTCAAATATATTCCATTTGGTTTGTGTGTGAATGAGTTGACTGGAGAGTTGTTAGTTTGTGAAACTGAACAGACAGAATGAGTCACATAAGATTGTCATTCCTTTCATGAAAATTCGCCAGAGGGTAGCTTGGTTTTTTTGAAAGCCCCAAACAAATTGACAACACAATAGGTGAAACACAAAGTTAAAGGTCAATATTGTATTATATTACTGTTATTATAGAAATTATTATTTTGTTATTTCTCACTTTATGCAATCAGCTAGATTTCTAATATCTCGCATTCTTGGTGAAAGCGTTGGCTCGCTGTCACAAAATTTCTTCGCTCGTGGTGATACAATCAGCGTGTTTCCAGCTGTGAAGGATGCATCTAAATTGTTTTGGTGATGGCTGTTGCTTGTTGGTGACATGGGGAAACTTAATCTCTTTGGAGAAAGTCTTTCAAGAAGTCCTCCAAAAAAACTTGTCGCATTATTGGAATTTGATCTAGATTTTGGATTAATCAATAGTGATTGAGTTGAAAATTCCTTATCGGCAACCTCAGCAAGGTTCTTTCTTTTTCCTCCTCGAGGAGTAGTTTGTGGAGACGAATCCTCATAGGTTGGAACGGTCAAAAGACTCGAGGTTTCATTTGTGATCACAGCGGAATGGCCATTACTCTCAGTAAAAACGGTCAATCGAGGTGTAAGTGCACCATCAGTACCTGTGGACGAAGTGCTGTCAATACTCATCGAACGAGCAGGAGTCTTGCCATCTCTAGGCGTGGATATTACCAACTCTAATCGGAAAATGTCAAAGCCAATAATTTCATCATGCAGTTGGTTGAATAAATTGGTGTTGAGAGGGATATGTGTCAAATATTCTCTAGCATGTAATTGACAAGTCTCAATTTGTTGATGTATTTTGTAAATTTGATGCAATTTAGCCATGTTCACATGTGTTGGAAAGAGGCTGTCGAGATATGTGTTGTGAATGGATTCTACTTGTGTCATTTCTGTCATGAAAATTCCAAAATATGGAATGATTGGAGGTTGTCTGGTGAATTGAGCTCGTCTTAAATTCTCAAACTTTTTCCTTATCATAAATATATATTCCAAATGTCGAATATAATTTTGTGATGATTCACTCACTTTGTCCCAAACGTTTTTCATTCTACACACTGGTTGACTGGTCAACGCAGAGTAAATGGCCATCAAACTATTGTAATTTCCAAGCCTTTCTAAATGTTCACAAATGATGATTAATCTTTCAATGCATGTTGCTCTTTGATCAATGGTTAAATCCTTGTAAAATATACAAAATTTTGTAAAAATTCCAAGCTTGTTGAAAAATTCAATGTACAGTGAAAGAGATGGACACGAGGTCGCCGAATATCTTGAGGACTCGTGTTTGTGAAGAGGGGCAGATTGGCCATTCAAGCAAGTGTATCGTTCCATTGTAAGGTCCTTATGAGTATTTACATTTCTAAATAGAAGAGCATCCATGACTGTTAAATGCTCCGCAATGACTTTTGGATGATTGAAAAATAGTACAAGGGGAGGCCTAATGGGTCCGATGCATTTCGAAATATTGAATGGTCTCTCTTTGTACGACAAGTTGGTACTTTTCGTCGTTTCTGAAATGGTATGCTCATTATTGGGCTCTACTGTAAAAGCGCCATCGAATGTCCTTAAAAATTCGTCCCATGTGGAAAATGCATTTGGATAACTCCAATCTGTCACACGTGTAGCTTTTTTCAAAAAGTATTCGCTGCAAAGTCTCCATTTCCAAACTATTTGAAAGGTCAATGTAAGAATGTAATGATTTGTACATGGAATATCGATCAAGATCACAAATATAATTTTCTAACAAGTATTTTAGAAATTGGTTTCGTATTTCTTGGTCTTTTTGTGATATCAAAAATTTGATGAATGACTCCAAAGTTGGAAATAATTGTTCGTAGAGGTCAAAAATTTCTTTTTTCACAATCTCGTTATTTTCCATAACTTTAAGAATTCCTTTCAAGCTCACACCTTTTACCGTGTCTATTCCCAAATTTGCAGGAGTGACTGCTTCTGTTGGTACCGGAAAATTGTCTTTGAAAATTACATGTTCATTCGAAAACTCATGATCGCTCATGAAATCTTCAGCATCACTCAAAGGTATTTTAAAAGTGTCCTCACTTGAAGATGTCTCATTTGTTGATGTTGATGTAGACATTAAAAACTTGGGAAGATGTTGATGAATCAAAAATTGTAAAAACTCATTTCTTTTCAAATGAATTGGATCGTTCAAATTAAGCTCTCCATATCCTTGTTGTTGCAATGTAATGGCTACATCGCTTTCAATTTCATATTCATCCCCATCATCATTCATAAAAGTCACACTTGCTCCATTCGAAGAAGCCATAATATTATTATTAGTCCTCTCATATCTAGTCACAATCGAAATACGAGGCGATGAATACATGCTGTTTGTTGTTGTGGCATCTGTCTGAGAAGCAATCACTTGCTCTTCATTCCGTAAATTTCTCAACACAAAAGATGGCATGGCTATACCACCACTGCCACTCACAAATGTGGATCTTGGCGAAATCGAATCATAATTATTATGAAGGGATGATTTTTTGTGTGGTGTATGTGGTTCTTGTTGATAGGAACCACCACCAGACATGAGTGGAGAAGAGACCCCATATTCCTCGGTCAAAGTTTTACCCAAAATAGCAGTACTACAACTTGTTGGAGTAGAATTTGGACAAAGATCTTCATAATGACCTGAAGTAACTACACCTTCTTCTTCGACCAAAGTACTCGAAAAAGTGTGTGTCTCTACTTGATGACAAGTCATGGTCATGTTGATGTTGAGAGTCGTGTTTTTCAAGGAAGAACTCAATGCAGTGAGATGTGGCTTCGGAATGAGATCATCCGATGAAAACATACCAACAGCAGCAGCCGCCGTAGTGCTGGAACTTACGGCATCTTCATCCTCCTCTTGAATCTGCTGATTGGCTTCATAGACCGAATGTCCATCTTCATCGGAAGAACCACCACAACACAGGCCTGAGGTTATTGTTTTCCTTCTCAATGATGAAGAAGAAGCCGTTAGTAAATGTTCATGTTGTTGAGAGGAGGAAGAAGGCTTTTTTGTTTTTTGTTTGCACTTTTGATAGAGTTTGTAAGCAATCAGAGAGAGAAGAAGAGCGACGAATAGGAGAAAGAGGAAACCTCCAACTCCACTCGAAAGACCAATGATGAAGGTTTCATTATGGAGAAGGGAAGAATTGTTTGAAGTTGAAAAGGAGGAAGAAATTTGAGAGAATTCTGAAGAAGTTGTTGTTGTTAGGGATGATGAGGATGATTCAGAGAAGGAAGACTCTTCATTGGTCATGATGGAAGTGGTCATCTCGATTCTTTCAAAATCTTCCAAATTGGTGGTGGTTGTTCTTGATGATTACGAATCGACAAAATTCGTGTTGTTGTTGTTGTTGTGGATGATGGGAATGATGAATGGGTTCAAAATTGGTTTGAGAAAGAGTTGATTTGAGAAAGAGAGGAGGTGAGAATTTTTGTGTTGGTTCTGAGAAAGTGTTCATGCGAGGTGCTGTTGTTGCAATGATTCGGTGAGGTTGGCGATTTCTTTTTAGGGCAAACACGACGATATGAACATTTATTACGTTGACAGGTGTCATTTTGAAGAGTTATTGAAAACCAACGAAATCGAAAAGTCCTTTTCTTGTTCAGCTTGTAAGATGTTCTTCAAGACAATCTTGTGTTTTTCTTCGATGTAAACTTTGTCAATGATTGTCTGATCGAATGTGAATAGCAACTTAATAAAAAAACAATAGAATTTTCAATAATCCAAAAAATGCTCAAATTTCACTGTCGTTCATCATCCTGTGCGAGTTTGTTGACTCCGAGTAGTAAATTGAATACGACCATTGTTTTGAAAAGAAATATTTCTCCTCATCATCATCAAGATTGGAATTCAATTAATTTTAATACGAATCATCGTCATGATTATTTAGGAGTGATCAGCAGTAATTATAACTATTCAGAACGAGAGTTTCATCATCTTTCTGCTATTACACATTCATCATCACAAAGTAGTGAAGTAGTCACCCGATTTGCACCAAGTCCAACTGGTTTTATGCATTTGGGAGCCCTCCGAACAAGTCTTTTCAATTACTTGTTTGCTAGAAAACACGGAGGAAAATTTCTGCTTCGTATTGAAGACACAGACCAGAAACGTTTGGTTCCTGGATCGATTGAACAAATTCAAAATACTTTGAAATGGGCTCATCTCTCCTATGATCCTCTTGTGATTTCTGACCCATCCACCAATACGACTAAAATCATTGACTTTGCTATTCAATCTCAAAGAAATGAAATTTATCAAGAACATGTTCAAATACTTCTCGACAAAGGATATGCCTACAAGTGCTATTGCACAGAGGAAAGACTTGAAGAAGTAAGAAGTATTCGTGGACCAAGTAAATATGACCGTCATTGCCTCAATTTATCAGAAGAAGAAAAAGAAGAATTCTCTAAAAAAGGAAATGGCAAATTTACCATTCGTATGAAAGTACCCGATCATATTCAATATACAGTTTTTGAGGATCAAGTTTATGGAAAAATTAAGATTGAAAATAAGACTGTGGATGATCAAGTTTTGATGAAATCGGATGGCACTCCAACCTATCACTTGGCAAATGTTGTGGATGATCATGTGATGGAAGTCACACATGTGATACGAGGTCAGGAATGGATTTCCAGCACACCAAAGCATTGTATCTTGTATGACATGTTTGGATGGGAGCGACCGAAGTTTGCTCATTTACCTTTACTGTGCAATGAGGATGGAAGTAAGCTCAGTAAGAGACAAGGACATGCCAGTGTTGATTACTATATGAATTTGGGATATTTACCGGAGGCTTTGATCAATTTTGTTGCATTATTGGGTTGGCATCCTGGTACAAATGATGAAATTTTTACACTCGATGAGCTGACTCAGAAATTTGAGCTTTCTCGGATTAATAAGGGAAATTGTAAAGTTGATTTGGCTAAATTGGAATGGATTAATTCACAACATATTAGAATGAATATTGAAAAAGATATGGATGGATTTATTGAACTTTTACGACCACATCTCGCTCTTTCGGGAATACCTGTGGATGAATATTTGAGAAAAGTTTTATACATTGGAAGAGAACGTATTAAGAGAGTCCCTGATTTTGTTGACTTTTTCAATTACTTTTTCTATGACGTCAAATTAGATACTCCCGAAGCAGTGGAATTATTAGAGAGTATAGAAAAGAAAGTTCCAGACCATGCCTCTGTGGCTCGGAAAATTAGAGATGAATTAGTTAAGATCGACAAGGCCAACTGGAAAGAAGAGTCCATTGCCAAAGTCATTTCAGATTTTGTTCAAAACAATAAGGAACAAGTCAAAGCCTACGGTAATGTGGTATTTATATTGCGATATTACCTTACTGGAAAGAAGATAGGTCCCAACATTACACAAATCATTGAAACACTCGATAGAGACGTTGTCCTCTCACGTTTAGCCGTGTAAACATTCTACGATTAAAATTTAATCATAAGCGAACATTAAATGCTCATAACGATATGCTTGCCATTTGCAAGTGTTATCCATTTGCATTCGAGTTCCTAAATGCAGTTTGACATCTGAATCCGTTCCATGAGACGTGCACGCAACATCAATTAATGGGATCAACAAAAAAAAATATCAACAAACCTAAGGCATCATTCTCAAGTGATTACTTCGTATTCTCTATTGGATCACAACTCGGACAGTTTTTTCTCTTCTGAGAAACATCAGCATTCATAGTTTACGGTTTGAAGAGGATTCGTACCTGCTACGAATAACGTTGCTACTGTGGACAATTTTTAAATTTATTTATTTAGTATTGTAAATTCATCACCAACACAACACCAACAGATTGAATTTAAGGCATTGTCTCAAATTTTGAATCTGTCATTATTGTAAATTCATCATCATCACTCAATAGCATGATTGGAAACGATTCATCACTGCAGGATAGCTCAAACAAATCCATTCCGAGACGAAAGAAGTGGTTCTATTTCATTCAATACTTTTTGCTTTTTATATTATTTGCACATGGTATTCGGTCAGGCTTCTTTACTCTTCTCAACCGAAGTCAATTCAAATCTGGAGCAACAAATACATTCTGTTCGAGAGCAACACCAGATTCAGTTCGTGACAAGCTTGTCAAGACAGGACACAAATCTTCCGAAACTGATGTTCTCATCACACAAAAAGGATTAAATGTTTTTAGTGACAAAGACTTTAACGAATTGAAAGAGAAGCATCATTTGTGTGATTATCCACCTGGATTGCAATTTTCAAAAGTCATTTGGCTCTTCACTGATGGATTACCTGTCAAGTACAGCAAGAAGACATTTGATCATTTCAGAGATCATAGGGTGTTATATACCATTGATGTTCCTGGTCCAAAATATTCACATGCTATTTATACGAGCTACATGACAGGTCAGTTGCCAACAAATTATCAAGGCAATGCAATTGAAGGAGATAGCTTGGTAAAATCCATGCAAAGAAGTCCCGAGATGGGTCCTTTGACATATATTGGTCCAGAATGGAGTTTCTTGGCCATCCATGGCTCAAAGAATTACGAAAAATTATTTAAAAGAATTGTTATTAAGGAGGAGCCCTTAGATCAGCCGCATGACCAAGGCTATCGATTTTTCTTCTCGAACGAGGATGCAAGAAAATTCTTTCACGAAACATTGGACACAATTAAGGCTGAAGGTGGATCATTATTTACACACTCTGCAATTTTTGATCATATCAACCATGGTATTTTCAGACATGATCCAACGAATTTGGATTATTTGAATTATTTGTCTGATAGAATTGCATCTGATATTAATCCTTTGAAAGATTGGATTGACGCTAATCCTGATTATTTATTAATTCTATCATCTGACCATGGTACTGATGATGTTTCGAATGGCTACGTTCTTCATGGTTACTCTAGAGATGGTAATGAAGGTTATGTCATGCTGTACAACCCAAGATTGAAGCCATATGAGGAAAGGCTTGACATTGTGGATGTGTGTCCAACTGTTGCAAAGTACTTGGCAGGTGTTGATATTCCTGCTGACAATATCGGAGTTTCACGAGCATACTTTGGTGGGGATGATGAATCACTGCGATATAGATCATATGTGCTTAAGGAAAGTTTGGTACAGTTGACTGATACCACCACTAGAAGAGGAACGGATTTGTTGAGATCGGTTTCATCTATTTTGAATTTATTGAAAATGGAAATTGAAGATTTGGCATTTAGTGAAAAATTTAAAGATATCAACGAGTTTAACGAAGAGCTTTCAAAATTGGCAGTAGGAATGAAAAGAAAGCTCTACCAACTACTCGACAAGCCAGTGTTTTGGGTATTTTTCTATGGATTCTTTGCCTTAGTCATGGTTGTCATTGGTTTGTACAGATTCAATTTCCATGCCATCCACTTAATGGCAGAAAAATTCTTTTCCAAGTCACTCTATTTATTAGGAATTTTAATACCACTTTATTTTGGTTCCTATGTCAACGTTCTTTTCTGTTGGGATACATGGAAGAATGTTGTTCGCAGTGGCGCTCCATTTTTCGTTTGGCAAGGATTTTTGACGGTCGTTTTGTTCTTTGTTTTATATCAGTGTGCGATTCATTTACTGAGAAGTAACACAAAGAGTGATAAGGAGAAACCTTCAGAAAATTTTTCACTGATTGGATGGAAAATGTTTATTTTCTGCATTATTGACATGACTTTCTTTGCCCTTTATAATTTGTTTAGACGACAATGGAAATGGGGAATGGAGTATATTTTACCTCTTCAATACTTTGCTCTGATTCACTTTATTTGTGATTTTTGTGGATATAGCGTCTTTGGACTGATGACCTCAGGTGCTCTTTATGTTGTTCGAAAAATACGACGATCGACTCCAGTACCAACAAAGAAGACAGCCAGTAAGAACTCATGGTTCCACTTCTTTTACTGCTTTGTCATGATGATGCTGTTATTCTTGTTTGAATACACGAGTGTGCGAGAGACTGCACCTCAAGAGCAAAAAGCCCTCTATGTGCACTATTACACCGTTGCTGGATTCCATATTTACTATTTAGCATTCCTTATTATGGCATTTGTGTATACATGTTTTGTGTTGCTTTTCAATCCAAAGCGTCTAGATAGACTTCTTATTCCTGCAATTTTATATGCTTTTGCCTTAATGAGAGACACTCCATACGGTAGAGTTGTGACTTTGCTCCAAAACATTCAATACTTTTACTTCCTCGTTCCTGCCTATATTATTGCCAATAAGTATTGCTGTAAAGTCAAAAAGGAAGATAAGGGCTATTCATCCAGTGCCAGTTCCCCAAATTTTGAAGAAGAAGAGACCAAACATCACTTTTTCGATCTTCTCCAACTTGTCATGTGTGTTTTCTTTATGAATCACTTCATGTATGGATTCCACATTGGCAAAGAAGAACGATTGGATGTTGATGCCCATCCAATGGCTGGTGCTGTTGGCATGAAATCTCATCAACAACATCCAAACTTTAATGCATTCCAAATGGGTTACGAACGATGGCATATGGCATTGATTTGCACCTTATACTTTTGGTCTGTGTTGCATCGTGAAAGAGATGAAGGTCCGCTCACAAAGTCAGAACAGGAAAGCAGAGATTCTGACAGGTATTATGTCACTGATGTCATCCTCAACACTTTTACTCTCATGGTTTTGAATGCTCACGTTTTTGTGAATCTCATGCTTTGTTATATTACCATGGATCATGCTTTTCAGGAAACCATTGTCTATCTGATTGTCATTGCTGTTTCTGCCACCTTGTTTTCAGTATTCAACATGATTACAAGGTATTCTGTGTTTGTGATTGAGTTTATTCTTAGTAAGGTTCCTAATGGAAAGTTCAAAACATTGGTACAGCAAGTGTTCTTGAGTCAAAATGAACCCGAGATGGATGATATTCTTCCTCTTGTTGGGAATAATATGATGAATGGCACAAACTCGAAAGATGTTTAATATTATTCATTAAATCAAGTTATTTACAATACTTATTTGGATCAAATACTTTTAAAGTCTATGTGCATTGCGCAGCTTTTTGAAGATAGAAAAACACCATTTTTCCCTTTAATGTGAGGAAAGCGTCTATATGCAAAGACAAAAGACATATTTAAATGACATCTGACAGTCTCGATCTGCGATCGCTGTCCCCAAGTCAAGCTTGGTGAAACCACATTCCGTGTCAAGATAGCAAAAGACCAGAAACATACATTATTGATGCTGCATTCCTCCTTGTACGATTCACAATCTTCCTCTACAAAAACAATTCACTGCAGTCAAGAGGGAGCGACCACGACAAACAAATGACACAACAGCATCAACTCCCACCACTTCCCCATGATGCCACAAGTGGTACAAGCTCTTCTTTTAATACCACCACCAACACCTCTGAAGATGGAACATCTCAGTTCCTCTCTCATTCCATGATGATTTTGGAACAGAACAACCTTCTCCTTCATTTGTCTGGTACAAAAGAAGAAGAAGAAGATACAGGACTACTCTCTCGACTCACCACTTCCTCCACCAACAACGACAAGACCACCAACCTTGCTTTATCTAGGAGGGAGGAATTTGAGAAAAGCAGTACAGTTGTCCAACTCTCTCATCCTCAACAGGAAAATGATCATCTTGATGATGCAGTGATTAGTACCATCGCACCCATTCCTTCCAACATTGTGACCACTCTTTCCAGTACTTGTCCTTTATCCTCCTCTGCATGTTTGGTCCTTACGAATGCCTTAAATCATCAAGTAGACCTCAACGATCATGTTGTTGATGACGATTGGTCCATCTCTTTGGATATGAGTCGAGTCCATTCATCCATCTCTCGTTTACCTTATCATCAGCAAAGAGCTCAACAACTTGCGCATCTCCAGGATCAAGTGAACATTCTGAATTCACCAACTAAAAGCAATAACAATTCAAAGATGAAGCAACCATCTACCTCCAGTCCCAAAGATAACAAGATCATTAATAATGAAAGTAAATTCTCCATCAAGAGCCCAATGGATTCCTTCAGAAACTTCCTTTCTTCTCCTTTCTCCCTTTCGCCAAAAAGTGTTTCGAGAAAGAGTGAATATTTACTCGATGAAGAAATATACATGGAACAATTTCTGAATTGGAAAGCTGAACAACATGATGGTGTTATTGTTTCATGGAGAGATGTCGTTTATAAAGTACAAAGAGAAAAGAGTTGGTTGAATGAAGTGATTTCGAAAGGTTTGAGAAAAAGGAGAGATGCAACAGAGCACTCTCAAAGGGTGGCTCAGCAACAAGGAGATTCTATTACAATTTTGAATGGAATTGATGGAATTGCCTATCCAGGATCGATATTGGCTGTGATGGTATGTTAATTGAATGGATAAGATTGTTACAAATTCGTCAATTTTATACTATTTATGGTAACCACTCCAAATTTGGTTAATCTTAATATCTTTGACAAATTACTTATTGCACTCCTATCTAAGGGCTCGAGTGGAGCTGGAAAAAGTGTAAGTAATATATTTCAAATTGGTTTCTGTGAAAATCCTTGAACCACGGATAATGTCTCCCTTTATCTCACCCATTGAATATCCATGATGAATTCAAACCATCCTACCATAGTCTCTTCTAAATATTCTAGCTGGCCAAGTAAAGCCAACCAGTGGAAAAGTGATAATTAATGGATTGATAGTGAAACAACGATTAAAATCTCTCGTTGGTTATGTCTATCAAGAGGACATGTTCATGGAAAATTTAACAGTTCGGGAAACGTTGAGATACGCTGCCTTATTACGATTACCATCTTCGACAAGTTATGCAGAAAAGATGGCCAAAGTCGATCACGTGTTACAATTATTAAAATTGGATGTTTGTGCAGATACTTTGATTGGAGAGCCTGGTCTTACAAAAGGTATTAGTGGAGGTGAGAGAAAGAGATTGAGCATTGCCATTGCACTTCTTACGAATCCTCCAATTTTAATTTTGGATGAACCAACGACTTGTCTGGATGCTAAAACTGCACTTGATGTGGTGGATACAATTTCACAGGTTGCAAAGCGTCACAACATTACTGTCATTATGACCATTCATCAACCTCGATCGGATATATTTGAAAAACTTGAAAATTTACTTCTCTTAACAAATGGAAGAGTGGCTTATTTTGGTTCGACGTCAAAAGTCTGTAAATATTTCAAAAAGATTACATTTAAAATGAATGAAAACTATAATCCAGCTGACTTTGTGATGGACTTGATCACGGAGGATACTCATGCAATTTTTGCTCAAGAAAAAACACTTCAAAGCGAACAAGAACGAATCTCAAAAATTGTCCAAAATTTTGAAGAAATGAAAAATAAGATTATTCCTTCATTGCATGACACATTCCAAGAATACTCCTTACCTAAAGTGGAACGATCAAGTTGGATGACTCAATTTTTCGTCATGTTTGTTCGTGGATTTCTCAATCAGTGGAGAGATTTCAAATATACCAAAATTAGAATTGTACAACAAATCATTTATGCAATTTTGGTTGGATGTATTTATTTTCAGACAAAGAATGATCAGAATTCTGTTCAGAACAAGTTAGGATTGTAAGTATTCGAACGTTGACAGAGTTTGAATTGTTGCATTACAATTCCCATTTGTGTACTTACTAAAAATCCATTCGGAAAACCATATGTGACGATTTTTTGGATTGAATAATAATTGTAGACTCTTCTTTGTGGTCACAAATCAGTGGTCCAATTCATTTGGAACACCCATTTCAACATTTCGAGGAGAACGACTTTATTTTATGCGAGAACGAGGAGCAAAATGCTTTTCCATTAGCAGCTATTATTTTGGAAGACTTTTGGCAGACTTGTTATTAATTGTTCCTCATCCCGTTGTCTTTGGAACCATTATTTACTTGCTTGCAGGATTGACTCTCACCGCGGAGAGGTATCTTGTATTCATTTTCATCGTTTTCATCTTGTCACAAACATCCCATAGTTTTGGAACAATGCTTGCCATACTAGTACCACGTTCGGATATTGCCACCATGATATTACCTCCCATTTCAACCACTTTTCACGTCTTTTCAGGATTTTACAGAAATATCGAGCAAATTCCAGTGTGGTTGTCATGGTTTACGTACTGTTCTCCTTTCAATTACGGATTTAAGGCATTAATTATTAATGAATTTCAAGGACGAAGAATTGAATGTCCAGAAAACCCAAACGAAATTTGTCGTTTTCCAACTATTGATTTCATTTTGGACTATTATGGCATGAATAATGATCTATTGAATATGTGGTTCAATATTGCCATTGTATTTGGTATCTCGATAGGAATGAGAATTATTGCCTTCATTTCCTTAAAGTATTTTGTCAAATCCAGAAAAGGAGCTTAAGAGGTCTTGATAGTAAATGAGTGGTGTTTGAAAAACATGAAAAAATTCAACATCGAACAAATCTTTTCACAAATGAAGACCATTACTCGACAAGGTTTCGTGCTTCTCTTCCTCTCAATAATTGACGACAAAGAGGTTCTAATTGGTGTTTCAGATTTGTATGGATTCATTCATGGATTATCACGAATCGTTTATCAAGATAACTTCTTGCCTGAATTTTGAAGTAAATTTTGGATTTTACTTTCTGGAAAGTCCCTTCAAACTCGAAAATTCCAAAATAAACACCTTCGAAAAAACACATAAAGACCACTCATTCAAGTTCCTCTGTCCATGCCAGCTGTCAACGAAGAACTAGTTCCTCTCTTAGTGCCACCAATTCACAGAACCGACTTACCCTCACAAGTTCAATGTCCACAACCAACAACAAGTCCTTCTCTTCAATGGACACCTGGCTGTACCTCCATTCCCATTCTAAATTCGATCAACAACATTCAAAAGATTTTCTCCACCTCCTATTCCAGAACTCTAAGGACACGTTTAAACAGTGATTCTTTTCCACAACATCTCATAAACTCATCATTTGGTGCCACCATCGGAAGCTCTCTTTCCACAAGTTTGAACGAAATGAATCAAACTTTGGACGCTTATTATGAACGAGTTCAACAAGCTCAATCGCAGTTCAAACTCTTATGGCTCCTCTTCGTTCTGATCTTTCTTCTCACTTTTGGTCTCGGAATCATCTTGGTGATTATCTTGTCCTATTATTTCACTCATCACATGAATCAACGGTTGAGCGATCAATTCGTTCGTGAAGTGAAACCCAAACTGAAACAAATTCTTGAAAGAGAAAATGTAAAATTGAAGAGAGTTGGTTTGGAATTAGTGGGCCAGCATAAGAGAGTGCCATTCGTTTCGAGTGGGAGAAATCCTAGAGGGAGAAGAAGAAGAGAAAACACATGGTTTGCTGATGTCTATGAAATTGAACTCTTTAGCAATTTGTGGAATAGCCAGAACGCCAATGTTGTGGTAATTTCTAATATCGGAAGCAATGACATGTTGTCTTTGGCTCATTCGGACTCTTATTATCAACAATAAACGATGTATTAAAAGTCGTAGTTGTAACTCATCCTCAGGTCATCAATCATGATTTTCTTTTTAATAATCATAATAATTCTGTAAATAATAATATTGTTAGGTTGTTGTAAAGGCTTTATGTTGAGTTCAAAAAAAATGTCCGACGTGTTGGAATTGTTTTGGGGCAATGACGATGAATTGGATGCTGCATCTTCAAGCGTGCCGACAACAACAACCACACATCAGGATGAAAGTAATGTCTCTCATCGAGTAGCAACATCTTCGGAGCGTACAGGTTTGATGTTTAATCAAACGCAAAGTAAAAGGAAATTGCCTTCCGATGGAGATGGTGTATCGTCATGGTCATCACGAAATTTTCTGGAAGGTAAAAGTGCAAGTTCAAGAAATATTAATTTGGTGGAAAATGATTCATTGTCGGAATTTATTACTTTGAGCAGCAATATAAATAATGGAAACATCAAAACGAGAAATATTCCAATGAAAAAAATCAGTAATTCACAAGAGGCCGTGCATAAATTATTATTTTCAAAAAACAAAGATGACACTTCAGAGAGCGAAGAAGAGTCATCGGAAAGTGATGAGAGTGAAGAGGAAACAATTGGAAATTTTGTACAAAATAATGTCAACAACAATAATTTAAATTCAACAACAAGGGTTTCCACAATATCTCTAAAAAGTAGAGAGTCAAAAAGCGAATCACATTCCCCTAATGATGAATCAAATGAGGAATATCATCAACAAGCAAAAAATACATCCGAAAATTTTCGTGACGCATTGCACCATGCAAGGAGATTACATGATGAGGAGCATAGAAACGAAGTTATTCAACATGACGAAACAATTTCAACCGCTTTAAGAAATGATGACACGAATGCAACAGAAGAGAATAACCATGTCAAGAAAAATAACAATTCTTTACAACAGAAACATGACAAGCCCCCTAATAACAAGACAAGCAAAGAGGTACATACATCAAGTTCTTCGAGAAACTTTAGATCCACAAGAAATACATTGCATTTACTGCCTACTGCATGTCACGAAGTGTTTCCTGTCAATGATTTTATTATGGAGCAGCAGTTACCAACATCCTCTCATCCACTCGAAAAGAGTTATCACGATAAGGCGAACACATTGAAATTCACGGCAATCACGCATCTTACACGCGTAAAACGCGCTCTTGATATTAACAAATCGTGTATTCATCACAGAACTAATCAATTCAGAGCTACTTGTTTTCCTCTAACTGCATCCACAATTTCAACGTTACCAAAACACCATTCCCTCCGTTCCCTATACAAAGGTAAACCTTTGTGCTACTACCACCTGTTAGATTCTTTTAAATATGCTGATATTGCATGGCTAGTTCATGTCACTGGAGCTAAAATGCACAAGCTTTGTGTGACATGCATTGAGATTGACTTGAACTCGAGTTATAAGAAGAAGCTCATAGAGATGGGTTCTCAATTTTTCTATTCTCCTGAGCAAGAAAATATTGACACTCAATCACTTCCAACCATTCTTCAATTGACCTGTAGATCCTCGAAGTCACCCACATCAACAGCTACAACTATCAACGCGTCACAGTTTATTGCATGTAGATACTCAGATAATAGCATTCGAATTTTTGAATTTTCTTCTACATTACGGAACGGTCTCGGCATTAAGCTTGTTGAGACACTTCACTTCACTACACAAACCTCAAATATTGTACATATAGCATGGCAACATGCTAGCAAGTGGGATATTTTTCAGCTCTCTATTCTTTTTAGTGACAATACTTTGAAATTTTGGAATTCTAAGAGGGGACTCATGGACATGTCTCATTCTCTCGATTCCAAAATTCCAAGTCTTCCACTGGGTGGAATATTTCACAGCACAATTTGCGAGTTTACGTCTAATCCCATGGAGCTCTTCATTATTGGAAATACTGGAATTTATATTTATGATATCCGAGAGAAAAAATCGAGATTGCTTTTAGAAATGGCTGGAATTACTGCTTTTGCAAGAAATTATGATCATCCATACATGTATGCGATTAGCACCCAAAAACGAGTTCTTATTTATGACGAAAGAATGGGATCACAAGAGCTTGTATGTTTCAACCTATCTCCTGAACATGATGGTCTTTCTGAAATGTTTTTCTACAGCCATTCTGAGAATGAACTTCTATTAGTCGGATACAAATACCAGCGAGGAATAATCTGTTTCCCAATTGAACCTTCCTCCATTTTAATGTCACAAAAAGACAAACCTCTCAAAGCAGAATTACCATGGGATGATTTAGAGAAAATATTTGCCACGAAATGCAGAGGTTCTGGAATACCAACGCCACTTGACACTTTTCATGATGCTACTCTTCTCATTTCCCCAAATTTAAAGCTGTTAGAGAGTACTCCCCACTTTTTAGTTGGTTGCACCATAATTCCACCCTCCAATACGTATCCCTTCCTGAAAGTTTTTCATACCAGTGACGGTGGTGATGTTTTTTGTCAAAATGTTTATGTGAACACTACTCAAGTGAGCTTTAAAGGATCAAGAAATTATGAAAAAAAGAATTCCTCACTCGTTAAGGCTGGAACCGCTTTTGAAAAGCTATTTAAATGGAATCGAAAAGGTTATCCCTCAATTTTTGAAAGCAATGCTTATTGTGACTTGTATTCGTTATTGGCCTTTAACAGACCAACAGGAGAAGATTTGAGTGAAAACGTTAACATAGCATCTCTAGAATCCAATCCAAGTGTGCTCACTGTTGATGCGTCCAAGCTCGTGAAAATCATGACTACGGATACGACACAATCTTACAACATTTCCAATGGCTTCGGAGCAGAGAAAATTCCAACACCAGAGGAAATCAATTTCATTGTGAATAACCTCAGAAACAAGTACAAAAATTGTCACCAGTTTCTCGTATTTCCACTCATCAATGTTCACAGAGAATTGATTGAGGAACATTTTTATTCATTCAGCTTGTCACTCAAAACGTTGGACACTATTTTGACTAGTTCTAAATGTTTTCACCGATGGAAAATTGGAGACGATCCTAAAGTCTATTCTGATATTTATTTTGCCTTAACCGATGAAGAGGAAAAGCGAATTAAGGGAGAAATCACTCGTTCGAAACAATCGAGACAAGAGGCCTCTCAAAACATTCTCGATATTCTTTTTGCTGGACAAGACGACACGAGTGACAATGAAAAGAAACAAACACAGCTTTTCAAGAAAACGAACAAGACCCAAAAAGATGCACCTTCATTCTCCCAACAATCTGTGCACTATTCTCAGAATAATGACGATGAAGAAGTTGATAATGAAAGCTCCGGTGATGTTGATGATGAGGTGATTGAAGAAGAAGAGTCCACAGAAAAGAACGACACATCAGCAACCACTTCGAAGGGTTTAGGCGAGAGCAACGATGCCCAAGACATTGTTGACTTTCTTTTGGGTGAAGAAAATGATGACGACGACGATAACGACGATGAGCTGGCATTCACGACCAATGGGAATGCGATGCCCACGGAGGATAGTAGTGATGATGAGGAGCAAGAGGTTGTTTTCAGGTCCATTCCTTCGAATCCAAACCTCGACAACATCAAACAACTAAGAAAAGATTTCCAACTTGACGGTCCTTTTCAAAGAGATGAAAAGAATGAAATTCGGTATGAAAATATTACCGTGAATATGGATCTTTTCCGAAGTGATTTAGCCAAATGGTATAATAGTAATATTTGAGTTGTGTGAGTTTACATTGACGATGGTAGAAGCATGAGTCTATCTTAACGCGTGGTTTATTCCCTAGCGCCACATTTAATATAAATAAAGATAAGCTAAATTCCACATCGAATTCGTACGTAGATGTCATAATTTTCCTAATTTTTCATCATTTTCGATTGTACAACTTATTGTTGGCTTTTGCCTTTCTTTTCTGCGGCTCGTTGTGATGCAGTCCAAAGGAAAATTATAACAGCAAACGCAAGAATCCATTTAATTGGGTAGTGGAAGAAGTTCAGGACATCATCGACTGTATATCATTCGTTGAATATTTTATAATTACGTCCGATTTTCCATAATGAAGATCATCCACAATAATAATCGTTAATATTCGGGTTCAAGTGATGTTATTGCCGATATAATAATTCAACCAGTTTAAATAAATGGTTGAGGTTAAATTAAATAGAAAATACCACAATACAAGAACACATTGATGATGATGATAATAAATTATTAAATAATTCACCAAAACATACCCCACCCTTTCCATGCTGGTCTCACCTTTACCTCAGGAGCTTTTTGTGTTTCTTCCTCATCTCTTCTCATCGCTGTTTGATGGAAAGCTCTCACCCGAGAAGGTGTGCTCAAAGCCTTCATCATCAAGGATGATGATCGGGAGGAGGTCGTTGACTTTAACAATTTGGAAGCAAGAGCGAGAGAACGATTCATTTTTTGTGTTTTGTTGGTCTTTGAATAATCTTAAATTCAATTTTCCAGAATCTGTAGAAGCAAAGAATTGAAAGGAGAATTGGAAAGTACTGGACAATTGAAAAGCAGTTGCCATCTCTACTCTCTGTTGATCACATAATATTTTCTCTGATTATTATTATTATTTTAGATTTTCATTCCAAAAAATGACTTCATCCTTGGTATCGGCAAACAAAGTTCATAAATTGCGAGAATTGATGCAAAAGTACTCCATTCATGGTTACATCATCCCATCGGGTGATGCTCATTTGAGTGAGTACATTTCCGATGCTGATAAGAGAAGAGAATTCATCTCGGGTTTTGATGGATCAGCTGGTACTGCAGTTGTTACTTTGGAAGAGGCGTCTCTCTTTACGGATGGAAGATACTGGCTACAAGCACAGAAACAGTTGGATCCTGCCATTTGGAAACTGATGAAGCTTGGTATTGATCCTCCATTGAGCAAGTATATTACATCCTTTGCTGTATGTTTTGAATATTTCATTTTGAACCCACCAAAATTGTAATATATTGCAATTTATAATCATTATTTGAATGATGAAACTCTAATCTCCATGATGCATTTATTTTATATGCAATTAATCGCGAATTTATGAATGTATTTGAATGTATTTTTCGACGTTTAATCAACAATGAACTACCACGTAATTCACATTGTTGATTGACGAATCTGGTCAATTCATTTATTAATTATTTATAGGATCTCAAGAGAACCACTACATTCGGAGTAGATCCTTTTCTATTTTCTGTCAGTAAGTATATTGTACTCATTCATACATTCAAGAGTTAAATATTGCGCGTCTCCATTTTACCTTGCAGATGAATTTTTGGAGCTAAGGAAAGCTGCATCAGAAAGTGAAAAGGGACAAGTAGAAATTAAGCCAATTCTTGAAAATTTGGTAGATGAAATTTGGGGAGACGAGAAGCCTAAACCACCCAATGGTATTATTTACAAATTGGATGAAAAGTACACTGGAAGATCTGTTGCTGACAAGCTCAAATTTGTGAGAGCAAAGATGCAAGACCTTGGTGGAGAATGCTACATTTTGACTGCTTTGGATGAAATTGCATGGATTCTCAATTTGAGAGGATCTGACATTGATTACAATACTGTATTCATCAGCTACATGATTGTCACTTTGCAGGATGCTTATCTCTATGTGGATGAAAGCAAGTTTGAATCTCCAAATATCAAAAACGAACTTTCTGACAACAATATTCACGTTAAGCCATATTCACAGTATATGGAGGATTTGAAAACCATTACTGAAAAAGTTCAACATGACAAATCTTGCCTCATCGATCCAAGAACATGCAACTTTGCCACTTTTGAGGCTATTCGTTGCAAAGTTAACAAGATTCATAGTATTATCACTGCGGAGAAGGCCATTAAGAATGCTGTAGAAAGAGAGGGCTTCAAATCGTGCCACATTCGTGACGGTGCAGCCATTGTTAAATATTTGGCATGGCTCGAAAACGAGTTGAAGAATGGTAGAAAAGTCAACGAATACGATGGAGCATTGGCTTTGGAAGCATTCAGAAAAGAGAATACAGATTATCTTCGATTAAGCTTTTCAACCATTAGTGCCTATGGAAAGAGCGCCTCCGTAGTTCACTACTCACCACCTGAGACCAACAGCGAGGAGATTTCAACTGACAATTTGTACTTATTGGACAGCGGTGCACACTACAAGGATGGAACCACCGATACTACCAGAACAGTGCATTTTGGAACTCCAACCGACTATCAAAAGAGATGTTTTACTCGAGTACTACAGGGCCATATCGCTTTGGATAGACTCGTATTCCCTGAGGGCACATCAGGCTATCGTTTAGATTCCATTGCAAGGGCTCCTTTGTGGAAGGATGGCTTGGATTACAACCACGGAACTGGTCACGGTGTTGGTCATGCATTGTGTGTTCACGAGGGACCACACGGAATTGGATATAGATCTTTGATTTTGAACGAGTTCGGTATGAAAGAGAATTGCATTGTAACCAATGAGCCAGGTTATTACGAACCTGGCAATTTTGGTATCAGAATTGAGAACATTCTGTTAACCAAACGAGTGAATACCATGACTAATTTCAATGACAAGGCATATATTGGCTTTGAGTCAGTGACTCGTTGCCCCATTCAACCAACCCTCGTCGACACCAATCTTCTTGCAAGAGACGAAATTGAGTGGATCAATAATTACAATGCTTTGGTTCGTGAAGCTCTCACTCCACTCTTACAAAACAACGAACTTGCATTGAAATATTTATTGAAGAATACTGAACCGATCTCTGTTTAGACTGCCTGATTCATGATGGAAATGAAAAACAATACAGATTTTCCTCGTATTTCGTGTCTTTCGAGGTTTTCTTGCAGCGAGTGGAATTGCTTGCCGTTCAAAAAAAATTCCCGCTCCTCAAATTCAAAATCAGGAAATATTATTTGTTTCGGATTGCTATGATGATGAAGAACATTTGAATATTATAACAACATCCGCAGAATCTATCAATTATTACTATTCTTACAGTATTAAAACGCTTTTTGGAGCTCAAGTCTTCATTACCGCAACCGCGTTAGAAATAACGTCATTGGATAATTATTTCTGGAAAATTCAAAATTAATTTGTTTTTACAACAATTAGTATTCTTTCCGACAACAACCAGCCAAAGTGCCCACTCACCATCAATTTTGTCGATTCATCTTTCTTATTCGGAATTATATTCGAAAACAAAACCTCTATATATTAATCTCGTTAAAACGTTTTTCGTGTTTAACAGTTTATGGGAATACAAGGACTTCTTCCGTGCTTCAAGCACGTTACAAAGAAGGGTCATATTTCAGAATATAAAAACAAAAAAGTAGCTGTTGATGCATATGTATGGCTCCATAGGTAAGACTTTGATTATTAATCTCATTCTTCATTATGATCATCATTATCCATTTCCTCATTTGCTCAATTTTTATTTAATACTAATGCCGTGTTTCATTATTGAAAAACATGTAGAGGAGCTTACAGTTGCAGTGCAGAACTTTGTCAAAACAAACCCACCGATAAATATCTAACTTATTGCATGCACATGGTTAACATGCTGAAGCACCACAAAGTCATACCTGTCCTTGTATTTGACGGCGCTCGATTGCCCTCGAAAGCAGAAACAGAGAGCGAGCGAAGAACGAAAAGAAAAGAAGCCCTCGAGCAAGCTCAAATTCATCTCCAAAATCATAGATATGAACAGGCGAATGACTGTTTTCGAAAAGCTGTAGATATTAAGCCCTCAATGGCGCATCAATTAATGTTGCAATTGAAAAAAAATAATATAGAGTTTGTTGTGGCACCCTATGAAGCAGATGCCCAGCTAGCTCATATGGGACGTACTGGTTATGTGGCTTGTGTTGTTACTGAAGATTCTGATTTGATACCGTATGGAGCTCCAAAAATTTTCTACAAGATGGATAAATATGGTTACGGTAAAGAATTGTGCCTTTGTGACATTACGGTAACGCCACCAAGTAAGAGTGGATTAGATTTTACAAAATTTTCACATGACATGCTTTTGAGGATGTGTATTTTGTCAGGATGCGATTATTTGGATTCACTACCAGGTGTAGGACCTAAAACTGCACACAAAATAGTCAAGGACAATCGAACAGTACCAAAAATAATTGAATGTCTGAGGAGGATGGGAAAATTCAAGAAACAAGAACCTACAGAGGAGGAAGCACAAAACTCACCATCATTATCACTGTCGGCAGGGACTTCATCCAATTCAACGTCGAGCCAGGAATTAAGCATCACAGAAGAAGAATATCGAGAACTCTTCATACGAGCAGAATTAACTTTCAGACATCAACGAGTTTTTGACATTCCCACTCAGAAACTTCAATGTTTAACGGAGCCTCCATCCTGTCTTTCGGAAGAAGATATTTTGTTTTGTGGTCCAGTCAAGGATCCTGACATTATCATTCAGATCTGTAATGGCTTAATTGATCCTATGTCCCACAAACCTTTCATGGTGGATGGCTCAAAAACTACTCTTGCCCTTACTCCTCTCAATACCAACAAAATTCAATCATATTTTTGTAAGTATATTGGCGTGATGAGTCATTGAGGCATGCTGATTCATCAAATAATTTTATTGAATGTTATACAGCGTCAACACCCAAAGCCCAACCTTCCAATAATACCATGTCTAAATTTGCATCGACCCCTTTTAAACCTCCGCTTAAAGTGCTATCTCAAGAAATATCAGCAGTAAGTATCACTTGTCTTTTTGTAATTACTGATTTAAATATTACTGATATTTCAATTTGACTGCTGCTTGTCAAATTATATTTTCAAAGGAAGCAACCTCTGCTACAACTCCAATCCGATTAAATTCCGCCCCGTCCACTCCAAGCTCAGCAACCACAGTTAGAAAGATAGTCACAAGCAAGTTCTTCACTCCTAAAGAGCCAACAAGTAACAACAACAGCCAACAATCATCAAGCTCTCAACCATTAACAAGTGCATCCAATTCTTCTTCCTCATCTTCTGAAGCAAATGCTCGAAAAAAGTCACTGTTCTCAACACTCTTTTCATCTCAAGAATCCTCTCAAGAAGCACTTAATTGTGGCATTCTTGCTCCGAGTTCTTCCTCTGCATTTTGCAATAATTATGTCGACGATCTCACAGCAGCCTTATTGAGGAATGAAAAGCTACAGAGACAACATGTTCAATCAAAAAGGAATATTAATAATGAAGAATGTTCTGAAGACAATGAAGATGAAGAAGAACCTCCTTCTCCCACAATTTTTAAAACACCTTCTCGTTCGTTGTCTTACGATGCTGCCGAAGAAAAAGTGTACCTCCAAAAGAGGCACCAGGAACAAACGAACAGCTCAAATTCATCCAGTACGAAAAAGCTTCCTCTCAGTCAACCTCTTCCTACCTCTTCTTCAGATTTATCACTAAAAAAGAGAAAGAGTTCATTTGTGGACAAATTTATAAGAAAAACTCCAAGCTCCTCACAAAAATCAGATCTTTCGCAAGGACTTTGCTCTTCTCAATCATCAAATGCATCAAGCTCATCCTCAGAGCAACCTCAACAAACCTCTCAACCGCTTTCACAATCCATTCAACCTGTCACTTCGATAAAAAACCTATTTTTCTACGAGCTGAGTAGCGACGATGACTTGGAGCCAGCTCATAAGAAGGTGAAGCAACAGCAACTAGTGGTGACCATTGTTGACTCCAGTGAAGATGAAGAGTTGGTGGAGTTCGACCAGTCGGTGAGAACAAGCGCGTCCACGACATCCACAGACTTTTCAGAGAAGAATGTTTTTGAACTATTCTTATCCAATGATAAGGATGATTAATGTACGTCAAATTTGACACAATTTATAATGAAAATGATTAATGTTACAATTTGGAAATTCGTTGTTGTGGAGGATTTGGAGCTTCTTTTGAAGGACGTGAATATAAAATCTCGGTGCTTGGAGTTCGAATAATTTTACCAAAGATGATAAATTCACATGCATCTTTCCAAAGATCACTTCGATCTCGAACATGCTTCTTGAAGAATCCGACATGACCAATTGGAAGCCTCTTTGGAGGTTGCTGTGGATTCGATGGTGTTGTTGCTACACTTTTCATGATAGGTCGCCTAATAAGCTCAAAGAAATATTCCTTACATCTGCCAAAGAATTTTTCATTATATTTGGCGACTGAAGTCTGTAAAATCATAACGACATCACAATATAGTAATGGACATTTCGATAGATCAGATTATTCTATAATCACAAACTCAAACATTACCTTATTGGTAAAAACATCATCTTCAAATGCCCAATTTAAAAAGGTCACATGCTCCATATTCGTTGGTAATATTGGTTTCTTGGGATTATCAGGTTCTGTCATGTATTGAGGATTGTATTGAAATTGTCTCCATGTGTAGGCCACACCTGTAGGAATATCCTCCATGGACTTGAACACTGTTCCAGATGGAAAATATCCATACATGGCAGACAAGAGTGGAACACTTGCAAAAAACAATTTTGTTCTCAAGTAATGCATCATGTCTTTCTTACTTTTGAAAGGCTGAAAATATCCAAAGTAACCATTGAATGCTAATCGAAGAGATTTTGAAAAATAACATGCATGTGATAATTACATCCATTCAAATGGTCAATCATTTGGAACAAAGAGAGATTTGTGTCAACAATATTATTTGGATTCAATCTAAAACATTTGACATCACACTCACCTGATAACATGAAACCTCGAGTGAAATATGGAGCGAGATCACTTGGAACTGTCATCATCAAGTAGGCACCAATACTATTACCAACGGCAGAAATTTCCATCGCCACTTTGGGTTGTGAAAAGTTTTCCTTGTGGTACTTGATGCAAAAATCCATGACACCCCAAAAGTCTTTGGCCCAATCGTAAAAGGTACATTTCACAAGTGGCTTGTCAGTATCTCTGGATTCACCCATTCCTGATCCGTATTTTTGATTAACACATGATGAAAATGTGCATGTGAATACAAAGATCAATTTTGTAAATTAAGGTAGAACGTGGTATGTTGTTGGCACATGTCGCAACTTTTCAAACTACCAACCTCGATAGTCATAGGTCACAGCAATGACTGTCTGATTTGAGGCATGACCATAACGAACCACATATTCTGCAAAGTGAAAGTGATAATCTTGATGAACACCAGTGGCAGCACTAGTGATCACATACACAACTTTGTCATCATGCAAGGATTTACCTGCATTCTTGAACACATAACCAATCAAGGGAAATGAATCACCTCGCGAAGGAATGAGGATTTTTTCCTTTTTTAATTCAAAGCTTGCAGAAGAAGTGGGTTCAGTGGTTGGTTCTTGTTGTTGGTTTTCTTCCTCATCATCCTCTTCAACTTTCTCGTCGAAATAAAATTGTTTCGAAGTGCTTTCTGGAGTGGTGGGTTGATGATCGCTGTGTGGCAATAGGGACATTTTTTTGTGCTGTGTTCCAATTTTCCGGATTGGAGTTGTAATGAACAGGTAAAATCACTGAGCGACCGCGTGCAGAATTGTAGTCAAACAAAAAGGAACTTTAATATTACATCAGTGCTTATTTGCAATTGTTACACATGAGGAGGAAATTTAAATAGATTTCTAATGTTCAAAAGTGGTGGTCCAATCGGACTATCTTGGTCAATTCAATAACCATCAAGTATGTTCACATTGGTGATACGATTTTCTTGGCAGATCTGTTAAATATTGCAAGAGTAGGTCAAATACCGTAAAGTGCAGACACGTTGTCTTTGATTTGACAACTCACAAAAAAAAACAAATATTCACACATACTTCACGACTTGAAAATGATTACTATTCCACACATTGTCAATCTCGACCTCACTGGTCAATGGAGAGAGAATGGCGGTAGAGTCTGGCACTGCACTTAAAATGGTCATCATTTCACATGGACTCAAGAAGGTACTGGAAGAGTTGCCACTGGAATTGCTGTTCCAAAGGTCAACTCATCCGAATTTGCTGTTGTCTTGACTTTTGACGATTCTGTTCTTTGGTTATTGAAGCCATCTCCAGATCACAACCAATTGCACGGACCAAGTGATACTTTCACAAGAGTTCATCCATTGGTTGCTGAAGCTCCCTTCGGTACTTACCAAGAAAAGAGCGGAAAGGTTTGGCAAGTGACAGCCTCTGGCCCAACTTCATTCGTTTTGCACAATCAACAAGATGGTAGAAATGCTGATGGTTACTTCTCAAGAGATCCAACCAATGGAATGTACACTGTTTTCATCAACTTCCATAACAATGGACAAGATCACTTGTTGAAGGTTGTCACCAACACTTTGACTTCCTTGCCATTGAGCAATGGTGATGTCTTTACCAAGATTAATTAAATGATTACACAATAATAATTAAATAAATGGGTTGATACAAAGATGAATTTATTTACAAAACACAGCATGACTTGAAATATTTTCTCAATATTAACATTTTAAACATTAACCAACAACAAGAATCTTTCAATTGAAAATTCTCCCTAATTCTTGTTGTTGAAGACTCTTTCAGTTGAAAATTCCAAAACACACAGCATAATCTCTCTTAAATCAATAATCCAACTCGATGCTTATCACTCATATCATGATTATAGTCACGATGCATGCATTCATCAGCACGCACCACCAACACCACATCTCTCATGGTCGATCCAGGAGGTAAATTCCAATATTTCAATGCAATCTCTGGAGCTGGAGTATTTGGAATTTGACCCTTGTCAATGGCCTCCAAAAATTCAGTATAAGCATTCACTGCTTCTTCTTCTAAATATCCTACCAATCGATGACAAAATCTCGGATGAATCACATATGCCAATGTATAGAAAGAAGTAAATCCAATTTGAGCTCCCATCACGAGTAATCGTTCGGTGAGTGTAGGTCGAGTGAGACTCATCCAAGTCAGCAAGTGCATACGTTCATTTTCTGCTTCCTCTAGTAACACTCCAATATTGCCATGATCTCTTCTCATATTTCTTAATGAGGAAAAATGTCTCAAACAAGCAGCAACCATACCGGGAACACTGGCTACTGTTTCCAACACGACGGAGTGATGCAAATAACGATCACCGAAAAAGGCATGGACAAACACGCGGAGGAATTTCATGAGGGTGAGAGCAGCTCGATCGGTGAGATCTTTTGGTTCGTAGGAACGTTTGACTTGATAGGAATCTAGTGTAGACACTTCATTGAAAGGTTCAGAGCCATAGGAGTGGAATTTGGAATGAGAGAGTGGAACGTGATGGTTTTCGTAGTGTTTGAGAACCATTTCTTTGGTGAAGAGAGGTTTTTGAGAGTTATTAGAACTCTCTTCAGCAAGTGTGGATGATGGGTTGACAGTTGGCATTTCAGAGAAAGTGGTCGACGAAGATGGTTGTTGTTGATTGTGATGAATCACATTGAAATGATAATAGTGTTGATTGTTGTTCATGAGAGTCCAATTGGACATGGTTGTCAAATTCATGGCTAACAAATTCTTGTGTGTGAAAAGGAGAGGAGACACATTCTTGGATGAGAATGCATGTCCAAGTGCAGTGATTGAATTGCGCATCATCATGATGATTCTTTTTGTTGCGTTATCTGATCGTATTTTTTTTGGTTGTAACAAGAATTGACATGCGGAGAATCCTATAAATATCGCTCGGAATATTCGCCAATATTCTCACAAGATTAAAGATTCTCTTGTAGAGGTGGATTCTCGTGGTGCCTGTCGGCTGTTTCATATTGATTGAATCCGTCTGTTTTTGGGTAAAATTAATGTGGTTACTACATTAGGGTTATTTAAATGGTGGAGAGTTGGTCCTTCCTTGGTGGAATAATGTTGATTCAACACAATTTGAATGTACCACGTGTGGAATATTAGGTATTACAACAGGTTATTATCTGATTGAAAAATTGTGCGCCAACGAGTCGCACCAATACATATGAAAAGGTCGCGACAGAATTGAAAACATACATCTCAATAAGAGAAAATTAGAGTGAAATCGAACAGTGGCGAGTTCATGAACTGCAAGAACCATCATCTTCAATGATCTCTTGCATTGGTCAATTTTTGAAATTTTTGGCGCCAAGTCGTTTAAGGCCATCGCCATCGTCACACCACAGCATCTCTCTAAACCCATCCGTCATCATTCATTTTTACAGCTCTTGATGAGAGTGAGTGGTAAATTAAATTATTAATAGGATAGGATACGAATGACCAATTCAAATCTGATTTTATAAAAATGTCTCTTCGCTCCTCTCATCCTCACTCAACACAACCATTTATTGTCTCTTCTCAACTGCTGTTGCCCACACACGTGACGTTGCTCCTTCTTCAATTTCTTCTCTTCTGTTCATTGTGCTGCCAAATTCTTCTTTCTTCATCATCCTTAATCACTGTCATCAATGCTTCATCGGTCAAGTATCGTTTAAAAACAGTGGCCGGAGTGGCTCAATCTCAAGGTTACAATAGCGATAACATTTTGGCCACCACTTCAAAACTTGCTTTACCTCATGGCGTGGCTGTTGACACATCCTCTCATGAAGATCTCTATATTGTAGATAGTAGTAATTTTCGAGTTCGAAAAGTCAGTAATGGAATCATTTCTACTATTGTTGGAGATGGTAATGCTGGATTTTCAGGAGAGAATGTGATGGCCACAAACGCTAAAATTAATCGTGCGTTAGGTTTGGCTTGGAATGATGGATTGTTGTATTTGGCCGATACGAATAATCATCGTATTCGAGTGGTGACTGCTGCTGGAATGATTCGTACTTTGGCTGGAACTGGAGTGCAAGGTTGGTTATAGTGTTTTTGACCTTTACCATATGTAGTTCATTCATTTGCCTGTATTTAAAAAATAATCATTGTGGAACAACAAGGTTATAATGGGGAGTTGACGGCTCCTTTGAACACCCAAATGACATTTCCTGTTGGAGTATTTGTGCAAGGCGATGACATCTATTATTCCGAAAATGGAAGAATAAGAAAAATTGTCAACGGTGCAAATGCATCAAATAGTAATAATGTCTATGTGATGACACTCGTTGGAAATGGAACCAATGGATACGATGGAGATTACATGCCAGCAACATCTGCACAAGTCAATGCTCCGCATGGAATTTTTGTCACCTCGAGCGGAGAAGTCTTATTTGCAGATCGTCTTAATCATAGAATACGCAAAATCACAATTGATGGAATGATTGTCACTATTGCAGGTATGTCCATCTTTTTCATGACCAAAAATTAATGTTTCTTAATGATTTCTAAATTCTCGCTTTGTGTTTCTATTGATTGAAATCTCTACAATGTCATGTTCTTGTGAACAATAGGCACCGGTTCCACTTCATATAACGGCAATGGATTGTTGGCAACGAGTACCAATTTAAACAGTCCTGAAGGTGTTTTTGAGCTAGATAATAATGAAATTCTTGTTGCAGACTCTGGAAATCATTGCATTAGAAAAATTACGACTGATGGTTTGATGCAAACCATTGCTGGCATCTGTGGATCAAATGTTGGTTACAACGGTGACATGTCTGACAGTATGAATGGTTTTCTTAATTTACCCACAAGTATTACCTTTTCAAAAAATAGTGGAATTTACATATCTGAGACCAATAATCAAATCATTCGTCAATTAGTTCCATATTGCGATTCAGGTTATGTGCTATCGGCAGATTTACAATCGTGCGTGAATAATGTCACATGTTTTGGATTTTCATCCAATAGTGGTTTTGTGTGTTCCTCTAATGGAATTTGCAATGTTACAGATTCATGTTCCTGTCGTTCGGGATGGTATGGTCAAACATGTGCCTACAATTATCAATGCTCAGGTATAGCCCCAGATAATGCAACTGTTTGTAATCGGCGAGGACGTTGTACAGCTTGGAATAGTTGCACCTGTTATTCAGGTTATTCAGGTTTGAATTGTGAAAATGTTTCTTCTTCTTCGAGCTCTTCTTCGTCGTCGCTTGCTGTCAGTATTGGAGTGGTGGTGGCTGTAGTAGCAATTTGCTGTGTGGTGACCTGTGTTTGTGGAACTTCTGTATGCATTATTTGCAGAAATAAGCGAAAAAGAAGGCATCGCAAGTATGATCGCTCGAAAACTAAATTCACAGAAAAAGAACCAAAGATTCTGCAATCTGCTGAGCCAACCATTAACACAAATTTCAGAGAACATAACGAATACTCCATTGATGCTAATCATGTGGTTGTAACTGTCAATTCCACCACCTCTGGAATAACACCTTCTTCACCTTCCACGACGACCTCGTCGTATCTTCCTTTGCATTCAGGATCGTACACTCCTTCAACAACCATTGAATCTTACTCGCTATATGTGCCAAGTGAAAGCTATAACAGTCAATCAACAAGCAATTCGTTAACCGTAATGGCCAGTAACCATGGGTATGACAAGTTCACTTCCAAAGATCATACTTATCGAGTTGTAAAATTACTTGGAAAAGGAGGCTTTGGAAGTTGCTACTTGTGTGAAAATATTCAAACTTTGGAACAAATTGCAGGTAGGTATCATAGTTGTTTCAAACATTCATTCATTCACGATCATTTACATGTGGCTCCTTACAGTCAAAGTTGTACAAGCTACAGATGAAAATTATGCCTCCATTTGTAGTGAATTTTCCAAATGTCTTGCATTTCAACATCCTCGACTTGTAAAATCCATTGAATATTTAGCAGGTTTAGACCGAAATTCAATTTGCCTGGCCATGAAGTATTACAGATATGGAGATCTGGAACATGTGGTCAAAAATATCATGCATGCTCGTCCTCCTTCTGATGCATTGCTCGTTTCACTCATCAATCAAATTGGAGAAGGTTTACAATATTTACATGACGTTCAAGGAGTTATCCACAGAGATATCAAACCAAAGAACATCATGGTAGATGAATTTGATGAGCTCAATAATTCTATTCAGGTGGTCATTGGTGACTTTGGAGTTTCCAAACAAGCTAATGCAGCTCATACCTACGCAGGAACCTTCTATTATGTCTCTCCTGAAATATATCTTGGAAAAACATGTACTTTTGCTACAGATATTTTCTCCTTGGGTGTCATGCTGTATGCTGTTATTACTGGAGAAATGGATTGTGAACAAGTTTCAATTACACAGCGCTTGCTCGATATTGGAGAAAGAGCCTATGCAGAAATTGAAAACAAGCTAAATGAAGCGCAGGTACATCAAGAAATTGTGAACTTGGTTATGAAAATGCTTGCAAGAGATCCAGAACAGAGACCTCTTGCTAAGGAGTTGGTTGTCTTCAATGTTTTCCAAAGTGTGTAATTTCATCTATCTCACTGTTTCGAAATGAACAAAAGGAAAGTAATTAAAATATTACCAAATTAAATTCATTTCACGTACTTGCTCCTGGCAGTGGTCATCTCATTTGAGGATTAATTCAATCTTCTTTACCAATTCTCGACAAATTCTATTAAACCATGTCAATGCACAAAATGGTTCAAAATTTTTATCTTCCCATTCATGCAAGTTATGATTAGGTAATACAAACAGTTCCTCTGCATTAAGGGCATGAATAAAAAAGTCCACTTGAGCACAAATGATCAAATGAGAGTATGGAATCATGAGATTTTTTTCTTCCTCAGAGATTGGAAATCCTCTATAGTGCTCGTAAGTAGACTTATAGATGCGAATGAGATCGTCATCAAATAAATCAAATTCATTATAATCTACATCAGGTGTGACAACTTTTGAAATGCACCAAAAAATAAAGCCCTTAATGAAATCAAGAATTTGAGGCCCATATTGACTGTCATCCCAATCCACCACTCCACTGATCACGTCTTGATTATCTTGAGACTTGGTAAATAAAACATTATTCTCGTGAATATCGGCATGAACAATTGAATGAGGAAGTAACAATTCTTTTTCTGTCAATTCGATAATATTTAAGTCTTTAACATTGCTCTCCAAAATATTCTTTAGATTGTCCAAGAGAGAAAGAACCTTGTTGTTGTACCGATTGGCATGATCGATTTTCTCTTGAGAATAGCCCTTGTTTGGAAAATTTTCTTGGGTGAGGGTTATCACTTGCGACTTCAAAGTCTGAATCTCTTCCATCACACTTTGCATAGCCTCTGTGATGTAAGAAAAGGTGAGTTTGGTTACTCCAGATCTCATTTGAACCATGTCTTGAATAGTGGCCTTCATGTCAAGCATGGAATAGCCATTAAATTGTGTAAGTTTGTGCAATGAGCCTAGAAACATGGATATCTGCGTTACTTGATTCACAGTCTTTTTTCCCTTGTCAACATGAAATCCGTGGACATATGAAAATAGAGCACACAGTCTACCATCGACATACTCCAGGACTGCTTTTTCCATATCTGGAAATTTTGAATAATTGCTTTGAACGAATGCCACAAGCTCTGCAGTAGGTAGTATGACAAAGGGTACTGGAAAACTGTTTTGTCCTAAAAAGAACAAAGTACAAAGCTCGAATTTGATATATTCCTTTGTTTTTTCTTGATCGTTATAAATTCTAAAAACATAATATTGTGTTGGAAGTTCAATGACCTTATCGTTGTGGTTCGCCGAAAAAGAAATGGCAACTTTGACACTATCATTCTCGACGCCTCCAGTTAATTCATCACAAGATACCACGCAATTCCACTCCAAAACTTTTTCCACAGGCAAGTTTAATTGAGAAATCAAATGGGTATTGGGTTGCATAATATGAGGAAAGTCTTTACGTAATATTTCTAAAATGGTTTCGCTGTTCCAAGAGTACTCTCGATCCGATGAACAAGTTGCTTCCGATTCACTGATTTCATCATCATCATCTCCACCAAATATTTCATCACGAACAAGTCGTGAAATCGGAGTGACATCATTTAAAGGCATTTTTTTTTGGTTGCCCTTCCGCATTGATTGTGAGAAATTGTGAGTGTCATTTTGACCTGGTTCGAAATCAGGGAACAATCAGGGGCAGCTCGTTTTGACACACCCAAAAATACAGGGCCACCCTGCTGCAGTTCGTTGTTCGTTGCGAGCGAGTTGTTCGCAAAAATCTATTCTCCCAGAATCAAGTGGATGTCTTTGTATTGTGATTATCGTTTGGTTTTCTTTTCTGGTGAGTTGAGAATTTTCTTGAGAGTTGATTCCAAAGCACGGGGCGCACCTCTTGCATGAACAGTTGAGGATTGTTGGTGCTGTTGTTGTTGAGGATGGATGGAGTGAGAAGTTGCGGTCCTATTATCGATGGAATAATTATGAGCGAAACTCGTACGATCAGGATGTTGTGTCACAGTTGAAGAGGAAGACGTATAATAGTGCTCATTCATTCTACTCAAATGTTGCATTCTTTGTTGTTCTTGATACGAGTATTCTTCATGGAATTTTCTCTTTCGATTCTGTTGTTCGCGTTCCTTCACAAGACTCTCTAATTTTACCCTTGTTTTTTCGAGATATTGTCGAGCAATTTCATGATTAGGATCGATATGGAGGGCGTTGATAAACTCATCAAGAGCCCTATGATATTGTTTTTGATTGTAGAGAGCACTACCAATTCCTACAATGGCATCCACATTCTTTTCATCGTAATGTAAGGCATCATGGTAACAATCGAGAGCTTTTTCGAAATTCTTTTGTTTGGCATAGTCAACTCCTTTTAAAACACAACGAACGCTGTATCGAGAGTCTTGCTTTTTTCTAAGGGATTGATAATTTTCAGTGTTGTTCTTGATAGTTTCATCCAGCCACGACGATTGCATCTGTTGAATCAGTTCATTCGCACGATTTTCTTGAATAGTATTTTGTGAATGATTCTCTATCGATGAAGAAATAAGGGGTTCCCTAAAAAATCGTTCCAATAATATATGAGATTCTAGTGGGTCAATAAACCAACTCTTTCTTTCCAATATGCTGTTGAAAGGTTTTTTCAAAACTTCTTCTCGATCTCGAAGAGAATTGTAACAAGGTGGTTGAGTAGAGAGAAGAGTGTGAACAGGAAATGTCACAAAATCTGTCAAGTGTTCTTCAAATTGATGGCTTAATGTTACGGTTTCGGAATCTCTGTCATTATCAACCACGATGGCAAACAAAAAATCATTAAAATATTCCTCCTTATTATGCCTCTTGGAAGTGTCTACCTTATATTCATCAATAATTTTTGCATTGACTCGTTCAAGATTGAGACGGTTGAATAGGGGACATGGTGCTAATTTAGAGTCACTAGGAGAGAGCCAAAATACTTCCTCAATATGAAAATTAGTTTGTGATTCCGACCTCGAAGATTTTTGATTGTAAAATTCAGAAGATCCCCAACTTTTCATTCCTCCAACAATAACTACTCCTTCACAAAATATTGAATTATTATGTTTTTTCCCTGAATGTTCAATTAAATCAAAGAATAAATTCAAATAATATTTTTCTTGATGACTTGATTTTCTATGATCGTTTTGAAAGAGTACCTGATTCAAAATATGGTTCAAAGAGCACTGATCATCACCTCTCGGCATTGGAACCAATTTATTGCTTTTTCCACTCTCTTCGGAACGATTCTTATATTCATATTTGAATGTTCTTTCCGACAAGGTTGCTGTAAACCAATCCTTTAATGTTGGCTTTGATTCATCCTCCAATAACGGGAATGGTAGGATTGTTTTATTTCTATTCTCTTCATGATCATCATGAACATTCCGAGTCGTAGTAGTCGTCATGTGGTTGTTTGACGGATTTGAACATGTTGCAGAGTCATGTGCAGGCAACATTTTTTTTAAAATTAAAGAAAAAAGAGAAATCGATGCATTAAGCAACAAGACCTGTTTTTAGAGAAGAGAGTAGAATGAATGACTTACACTCTTCCAAACTACAATCAATACAATTATTGTATATTATGATCATCTAATGATGACTTTTTCACAATTTTCAAAGGACTCGGTGTTTAAAGGATCCACCCGAAACAACAAAAAATTCCACACCTGGGTTGAACACAATTTTGAGCAACAACCTAAGGTGCTTTCCTCAAGTCTAAAGTTCAGTCTCGAATTTGGTGATTCAAGTTCACCACAAAAAATTGATGAATCAAGATGACTCAATTGAGTACAATGATTCGATCGCGATTGCAGCGAATCAAAGACAAAAGAAATGACAATCACTGAGAATCAAACACGAATCACCACAAAATTCAAGTCCATTTTGCTTACTCCATCACCAAGTTCAATTTCCTGGTTTTGAAGACTCGACTGTCATCTCATCAAAATTGTGAGACATCTTTCATGAGCTTTTTGTTAAGACAGTTTCCCATTCTCCAATCAAACAATGTCTTGTGATTGTAACCAGATGAAAGATACATGATGGATATTGCACAAGAACATGCAACACCGCAAACGACCAAAATTCTGCCCAGTACGGAGAGTCAACTTCAAGTGTCAAATCCAACTCAAAAAAATTGACATCATTCGTGTTGCTGCTGTGATCCACACACGAATCTCATCATATTATTGATTCACACGTATTCTGTTCTTGATCTGTTGCTATTATCTTGTTATTGACCATCCTTTGTGGTTTCTTCTCTTGTATTTCTGTTCACACCACAGTGATACATTCGTTTTCATTGCACACTTTCCTTTTATAGTGACAACCTTCCACTTGCACTATCATCATCACAATCGTTAAATTTATTGTTGTTGAATTGAAAAATCATCATCATCATTACAATCCTTGTTCTTCTCATCATAATGTCAACTTCAACACCTCCTCTCAGCCCCAGTTTATTAATCAACGGTGGCAGACCTCGTCAAAGCGTCATCAAATCAAAAACAGCTCATGGCTCTACCATGACTATCACTCGTTCAGAAAAACGTTGTTTCATCCGTTATGTGAACACAGTCATGAACAATGCCATTCAAAAAGCGATCGAAGAAAAGTCGAAAATGCAGGAAAATGGTTCTTGGAATGTCATCATGAATGCTCTTTCACAACATTCATCATCATCAGAAGGTGGAGAAACAGTGAATAGCAGCACTGGAGAATTGATTTCACCAAGAGGTTCGAATCGTCGACAACGAAATGTTTTGCTTCATTTGGGAGATTTGGCAGTGATTGATTATTGGAAACCGATGGAAGTGGTTGGTATTGAAGAATTGGAGAGTAATGTGGAATTGTTTGAGAGATTGCAAGATGGAGTGGTGTTTTGGTAAGTAATATGGTTTGATCGATCATCCATCATGAACAATTATGGAAAATAACACCTGTCACGTGGTCCTTTGATTGAAATCGTTCGTCGTCATGTCGCTCTCTGACGCTTTACTTTTGATAAATCGTTTGATTTCTCACATATGAACAGTCACTTGTTAGACAAGATTCAATCTGGTCTCGTCGATTGGACTAAAATCAACAAGAGAAACATTCTCTCACCTCAGGAAGAAATCTCCAAATTCCAAAAAGTTGAAAATCAAAACTTGGTTCTCGAAGTCGCTCCATCAGTCGGATGTCAACTGGTTGGCATTGGTGCCAGTGAGCTTGCAGATGGATCTCAACAACCACTCTTAGCATTGTTGTGGCAACTCATTCGACAGGATGTCACCAAACGTCTCAATGTCATGCATTCTCTTCGATTAATTGCTCTCAAAGAAGAATCTGAAAGTGTGGTTGATTTCATGAAACTTCCTCCTCAACAATTGTTGTTACGTTTTGTGAATTACAATCTTAAGGCAACAAAAACAAAGAAAGTTGTTGCTAACTTTTCTGAAGATTGGAAAGATGGTGAAGCATTTTGTTATCTTATTAAGAATATTGTGGATATCAATAACCGATTTTCTCCCTCCAAAGTTTCCAAAAATGGAAGTGATTCGGGTGACGAAGATTCTGACACCTCGTCGACCTCAAGTCAATCAAAAGAATTCACAGAAGAACACATTCAAGAAATTCTCTCCATTGAAAGTCATGAAGAAAGAGCCAAACGAATCATTCAAACCATTAATGATTTAGGATTAAATCCAAATCATGTTCACATTGAAGGAGAAGACATTGCCACTGGTGTCAACACATTGGTCATGACGTTGGTGGGAAGCATGTTTAATTCCACAAATTTGAATGGTTTACAAAGTGAGTTGACTGAAGATCCAGAAAAGATGACTCAATTGAGAAGAGATATTCTTGACAACTTTTTGGAAATGATGAAAGACGACATGCCAGAAATTAAAAAGCCAGAAATGAAAGTCTTTTTGGAATTGGTGAAGAAATTGTCAGATGTCAATATTAAGGAAATTGAAGAAAAGATTGTGGAAAAACGTGTTCAAGAGTACAAGATGGAAGTTAGAAAGTTAAAAAAGCAACACTATATTCTCTTCAATCAGTCCGAACAATACAAACGTCGAATTGAAGAGTTAGAGAAAACTGTCGCCGAACAACGAGTCACCATCAAAGGATTAGAAAACAAGAACGCACAACAAGCGAATCAAATCAAAGAGCTCGAAGACGAACTCCAAAAAGCAAACAATTCTCGAAAGGAAGATTTGAGGAAACTCGGTGGAGAAGATTTTCTCGACGACTCTGAAGAAATCACTGCCGAAGAAATTCGCAAAAAAACAAGTCAAAAAATTGAGGAATTGGTGAAACGTGTGAAAATTCTCAAAGAAGCACTCATTCAAACAAGAAAAGATCTCAATTATGGAATGACCTTGAGTGGTGTAGATGCAGAGACAAAATTAGCAGAATTTAGATTTGGTTCTCCACTCACGTGCGAACGTTTGACTTCTGAATTTAAACCCACATTGACTGGATATATTGAAAAGAAGGGTCGTTTGAAGAAGAATTGGAAGAAGAGATTCTTTGTCTTGCTTCAAAATTATCTCTTTTATTTTGCAAAAGAGAATGGTAAATTGAAAGGATTCCTTCGTATTGAGGAATGTGAAATTGAACGTGAGGAAGAAGTTGGATCTAAAGGACTCTGTGTGTTCCATGTCAAGACGATGGGACGTTTATTGTCGCTGCGATTGGAAAATACTGAGGATCGAGAGGATTGGATTAAGTGGATTTATGAAAACTCGAGAGTATTGCATGAGTAAGAGAAGATGTGTGTTCTTGTTTTGAAAAACTGTTTGTATTTATAAAATTTGAATCAATGACTATCAACAACACACAATCCGTGTTTCAATTTCCATAAGATATTACGATTTATAACACAATATCGAATTAATGAAATCCTAACACTACAGTCGTATTTGCCATAAATATTTGGTCAAATCTATTCGAGTCAATGTTCCAATAAGTGATGTTGAAGTCAATGTTACAATCACCAATTTCTATCTAAATCTTAAATCTTTGGATCATCCTCCATTTGAATAATCACTCTTCAATTCTTCAACATGTCATGTTCTTTTTTTCTCCACTTTTTTCGAATGTTATCCAATTCTTCTCTTAAATTAAATTTCCAGAAAAGCTATTCGTATGATTTTTAGTGAGCACTGATTTGAGAAGTGTCGTCGAACTATTCAATCGTTCTTCACTGGTCTGAAACCGAACAGGTGCTGTGAAGGCAGAAATTGTCAAAGGTGAATTCGAGGCACTTGTCGATGCTTGTTCTGAAGAATGTGTAGAACTATTCGTTTCAGAAAATTCGACATTTCCACCGAATTCTTCAGGTGTCAAGTCTGCAATGGTAAGCTTGGAAAATATATTAGGACGCTCAAAAATGGATGGTGATGTCACATCTGTTGTTGTGGGTGTGACAAGTGGAGAGGAGATTGATCCTCTTCGAGAAGAGGAAGAATTCAATGATCGAGGAGAAATTTCAGTATTCACTGGAGGTGATCGATAGGTCATCGCTAATTCCTGATCTTGAGCTTGTTTCAGTAATTCTGTTTCCTCATGTTCGATATCCTTCAAAATCCATCGAATGAGAATTCTAGTTCTGATTTTTGAGACGAGAACAAAAAAGGCAAAAATGGCAACATAGGCCAAATAAGTGAAAAATAGAAAGGTAGAAGATGCTAACCATGGCATCATGAAATAATTGACTGGACTGTAAGGCCAAACAGTGAGCCATCGCATTTCAACAATCAGTAAAAGCCAGAAAATATAAAATGCAGGAAATAGAATGGAAATAAACAAGTGCCAAAATCTAAAAACCATGTTTGACAAGAAAAAGTCAATCAAGCTCAAAATTCCAGTGATTGCATGAAAGTAAATATTGCTAATATTGTTTTTTCAAATAAATATTTTACAACAAATGAATTCCATGGATTGATATATTATATTTCATCAAATTTTAAAATTATTTAAATTTAAACAATTTGTTTAAATTGTTTGAAATATTCACAAACAACACTTACAAATATCGTGTACTGATCGGTTCAGTTGATTCAAATGAAGTCAAAATCCAATAACCAATACAAATTAAAACAGTCGATGAAATGGAAAGTTCTCCCATCAACCAAATTGCATTCGAAATTCCTCTCATCACGGTCACCATTCTCGAATGTGTTTTTTTCAATTTTGGAATTCCCACTGTCTTGTGATAAAACTTGTTAAAGAAAATGAAATAAAACATTCCCAGCACTGCATGAATGGTGTAATAGACGGTCAAGATAATGACTGAACAGTTGGTAAGAAATGAAAGAAACACAAAGGTATCTTGTGGTTCTAACACTCGTTTCAAAACTAAACTCACAATGGCAATAATGGCCACACAAATTCGATAAATGTAGAGACAGACGGTGACAGGGAATTTAAAGCCGTAGGATTCGAAAATGAATTGAGAAGGATCTCGTAATCTGTGTTGGTAATGATATTGAGGATGTTGTGATGTGGTTGTTGTGATGATGATTTGAAAGGATGCAGTAGTTGATGGTATTGTTGACAGCACAGGTTTCATTAAAATATTTCGAAAAGCACAATCATCACACAAAAAGGATTCGGCAACATGACGAACCGTTCATGATGATCATCACGACCATAATCATTAAACAATCATCATAGTAGTAAATAGTAATAGTCATAAAATTGTACAAATAAGACGAAAATAGACATGTCAAAGTTTTTCGTTCACATGACACACACGGCATGCACGTGATGATATTTCAAGAGTTAGTCATCCAGATGATGATGTGAACCAACCAATAAAAAACACCCAACTACTCACCGATTGAATACTCGTTTCTTGAGAAATTGAGATTTCAAACGAGGTCCCGAAGTCGTTGAAACTTTCTTGTGAAATCGAAAACCTTTCAATGTGTAAATGGCAACAGCAACGACCAATAAAAAGATCATGACACAGGCGCTGTTGACAAGACAAAGCCATCCAAAGAGATAACCCACATGACGATCCGAACTCGTTTCGGGTAGAATGTTGTAGTAGTCAATGGAGGCCATTCTGGTGTAAAATAGATGATCTAGATTTGGTTGTGGATGGTTGTGATTTCTGTTCTCTTCAATAGAGAGATGAGAGGCGTTTTGTGTGTAAAAGATGATGTCACACAATTTTCTTCTTCTTCTTGTTCTGTTGAACGGACTTGATGAAATGCATTTCGAAAGGACTTGAATGATGTGAAACTCGAGCTCTAGAGTGGAAGCTGTGAGAGGAGATCCTTTTGAGGAAAACCCTGTCTTGTAACAGTCGAAATGGAAACATTCAGGCAAAAGAATCAACACAGTAAAATTCAAAGAAGGAGTGATAGCGCGACAGGGGAAAAACGATGCGCTTGATCTTGTTTTCCAGTCGGAGAATTGAAAAGATGTCTTGTGGTTTCAAGCTTGTTGTTGTACGTTACGGACTCGATCGAGTTGTCGATTCTCAATGAACGAACGATCGATGGTGTGAAGGCAGGTGAAATCCATAATGGTATTTCTCAACAAAATAACGTTTTGATCAGAATAGAGGAACGGATCATGTGACAATCCTCAAACAATCGTATGAATGACCTTTCCAAAGTGAATATTCTGAAATGTTATACTCTCTCTAAAACAGCTCATGCTCTTGATATCGGGAAAGAATGCACTAAAGGGCATTCTTTTTACTTTGCGGAAAATGAAAAAGGTCTTTTTGTCAGTCTATTGGTTCTCGCTGGATTACTCTTTCCCATCATTCAATTCTGTTGGTGGGACAGGACTCGTTTCTATTATTTCAAAAGAAGATTTCTGGAAAATTGTAGATTTAGGAATATTTGATCGGCTCTTATACAATAAGTTTTTTATCACGATCTTTGTACATTATTATATTCTTTCCGATATTTCTAATCTTCATATCATACAACTAATCTTCATTCATCATTTAAGGGAAATTTGTTGTGAGCTTTACGATGATCCTAATTTTTAAAACAAGAAAAAAAATTAAACATTTCCAAAAATTGAAATCATAATAATACTCTCACTGTGCAAGACTGGACCATTCCACGAAATGACCCTGTTAGCAACACTCCCTGGTGAAATTATTTTGGAAATATTCAATTTCATTGATTTTTTTTCAACGTATGCCATGATCCGTTCCGATCCTCGATTGAGTAAAATTCATGAAAATTTTGAATTATCTCGAGAATGGATGATGGCAAAATTTATTGAAATGATTCAACAAAACGACAAGAGCTTGATCGTGGCAAGTCAAAGATTGCCAGTCTCAATATACGAATCAAGTAGAGATTATTTGAAACAGCACTACCAACGAATACAAAGGAGAATCATGAGTTATGGATCAAAGATAGAGTCAGATGAAGAAGATCATCATGATACACAAACTAATACTCTGACCATAATTTATAATGAGAAACCATTTCATAGACGTTTTGTGATTTTCTTCCAATATTTCCACGTCATCAATAACTTTACATCATCTTTAGAAAACAGCAATGTGGTAAATGATGACTCTTTTCTTGAATATTTAAGAATGTTTCGTGCCATGTTAAAACTTGATACCATCCTATCCTATTCTGTGAACATTCCACGAGCCCTATTTTTCATTAAATTGATGGACGGAGCTAACAAACTTTTGCTCAAATATGACCTCAAGCTTACCAAAAACTTGGACAAACGACACATTCCAAAGAACATGTTTTTTCGTAAAATTATGGATATTGCTAAATCACTAAATGAAACAGCTCAATGTCTTGAAGAGTCTGAACAATCATTGACAAAAATTCCAATGTGCACCTATCTGGTCCACAACGAACCCTTTCCGATTCTATTGTTTTGTAAATACTGGAAATTTATAACAAACTCAGAAGAATATAGACCTCTCATGAATAGCCTTAAATATTTTGACAAGAATGCATATTTATCTCGATTCTGTAATGGCATTGCAAACATGAAAACTTTACCCAATGATTTCATTTCATCCACTGAAGAGTACAATCGTTTTTTCCAGCTAATCAAATTACTGAATGAATTTTCGGACAAGAAATGTTCACAATTTGCATCCATACCAGTATATAAGGAAACGATTGAGGAACAACTTGGAAAAGTATTATTCTTCAAGAACAATGCTCATTTGAAAAAGGAAATTATTCAGTTTATTTTCGACCATACATTCTATTACTCTGATTCACCATGGTTTTGGAGATGAGCTTTTGATTCTATTAGAAACTTGAATTATTGACATTGAAATTTCATTATTGAGATTCATTATAAGGCACTAATTTCCGATACATGACATCCGTTCGCAGAACATATTTAACTTCCTGATGTGGTGTATTTTCATTAATACTTTCCAAAGCTTTAGTCTCGTGTAAATTTCCATGCATGAACATGAGAACTCGTCTTGCTTTGGTTTCACACTCCATAACACCTCCCCACCATGTTTGGATTTTAAGAAATTTGTCTTTCCTCCCTTACTTTTCACATCGTTGAGGTAGATCAAGACTGTGATAAATGATTTTTCCGTACAATTGAATGTTTCAAAACTGGACGATGATGTTGGAACTCGAATCAAGTAATCTTCTCTCTGATAATGACCATCATAATGAGGTGCAAAATATTCATGAGCGCCATATTTGTAAAATCTCAATTTTTCATTGAATCCACATAATGAGTAACCGTCTGTGAAATGTGTTGAAATTCGGCTCAATGATGAAGCTTTTTCAGGTAAGTAGGGTTTCAATTTGTCAAAAAGTTGTGTCGTTAATTCCACATCATACAACATGACTCGTTGATTATTTCTAATATTTGTCATCATTTTAAAAGTATTTTTCCAGCTGTTACAGGAGTTTCCTTGTAGCCTTTTGCTTCACTTCGTTCAATCAAGTGTTGACATTCGATAGGAGAAAAAAGATCTCCGTCGAGAAGCCAAATATTCCCTGGATCAATTTCGTTGAAAATCACAGAAGTGGAATAATTGCGTTGGTGGTGACTGGTTAACTGTTGTGTGAATGATGATGATGATCGAGATGAAATTCTCATCATCGATGTTTCATGTAATTTCACTTTTGGCGAAGTGCTCGAGAAGATTGTCTTGAACATTTTTCAAATGCTTTTTTTTGATTGGGATTTCAAAATTCTATTTTGATCGATGATCGACGTTTAGAAATAATATTTATAATTAGTATGAAAGATATTCTGGAAATGCGCAAACTTTGACATTGTTTCAGAAAGATCAACTTCATGGATGTCTTTGGAAATGTTAAATTCTCAGCATCCATGAGTGTGATCCCTTTTCAGGTCGAATCTCTTGTCCTCTGCTTTCATTCCTCTCATTAATCTTTCAAGTAAGCTGCGAGAGAGATATTTGTATTGACCGTCTCTTCATTGTCTTGCTTCCATTTTTAGAAAACAGCTATCACCTTAACTCCATAACTGGAATTATCTTGATCCCAATAATGTTTAAAAAGAGGGCAATCAAAGAGAGAAGTATTATGCTCATCATCAAGAAAAAACATCAACACCTTCGTCAGAGTTTTTTAATTCTCTCTGTCTTCCTCCTAAATATATTTATATCACTCAAACATCATCATGTCTTCCTTTCCAACACAACAACGTTCCTCCACCTCTTCACACATTTCTCCAATTTTTGAAGAAGAAGCTTTGACCACCTTGACATCATTGCCAAAATCATTCTCATGCCCTAATGTTCTTGATGTAATGGAAAATGACCGTTCGGCATCATCTCCAGCAACAATGACGTCGTCATCTTGGTCTTTATTTAATTTATTTGGAAGTGGTGTCAAGAAACAACGACCGCACTCACCACATGCATCAAATCTCCACAACCACCACTCTTCGACCGTCGTTGCTCCTTCAACAAGCAACAACACAACAAATGGAAATGTTACACATCTCCCAGAAGAAATTTTGCAATACGTCCTCTACTTTTTCACACGAGAAGAATTGTTGTGTAAAATCCAGTTGATAAATTCTACCTTCAAACGATTAGCATTGAATCGAGAGTTATGGTGGCATCATACTTTTGTGAGAAATCCACACTATGTTTATCAGAAACGATCCTATGCCATTGAGGAACCATGCGACGATCGAGCCAATGACAACTCATTGACCATGACATCGAAATGTCAATGTTGTGACGTGTACAATGATCATGAGGATCATCATTCTCACCATGAACCATCGAATACTGTCATGTATTCAAGTTCACTCAAGAAGCGAATTCAACACATTTTTAGAGTCTCCACTGGTTGTGATGCTAATCCATCTCACATTTACAAACATGACATTTTAGAGAATCAGAACAATACATGCAAGTCACATTACTTATCCAAATTTGGAGAAACTATTGCACCTCAATCGACCTCAATGGAATACACCACCTTAGATTGTATTCATTACTTTATGGAAGAAAAGTTAACATCTACGAGCATTTCATCCATCCTCATCCCATCTCCAAATGTACCGACCATTGTTGCAAAGAAATACCCACACATTATTTCTGAAGATGTGAAATTGACACAATCCTTAAATGGTTTGATTTTGGGAGACACTCAATCTGATATTGCTGCTTCTATCAGTGAATATTTATTTGGAGAAGTAGCCACGAATGCCTTTGGAGGAGGTGATAATTCCATGATTCATAGAATTTTCCCAAGATACAGACACACCATGACATGCATTCCTTCAAATAGTGCCACACCAAATGTCATGATCATCGGAGGAATTTTGACACCACGTCAATTACATGCTGAAAATCCACACCGACAAGGAATATACACTATGAATGCGTTGTTTATTCCAAATCAATGGGCATTTGACATTCCTCGAGATCACGAAGTTGCTTGTGTGAAATCGTATCCCAATTCTTCCATGAATGATTCTGAACCAGTTCCTGTTGATTTACCTCAAATGTTTGGAAAGCATTCTGCAGTATATGCTCCATCGGTGCGTTCTGTCATTGTCTTTGGAGGATCGTACGAAGACTCTGTGACAAGTGACTTGTACCATGTTCAACTTACGGATGCTTACTTTTCATCCAGATTTTGTACCACAGCCAACACAAGAAGAGAAAATTCACAAGGTTCCTTTAGAAGATTCTTGTCTCCTTCTCGAAGTGTACCAATGAATCTCAATGCGAGTGCCAATGAAGTTCTTTTCAAATGGCAAAAGATTGTGAAACCTAATGGAATGGAATGGCCAGCTCCTCGAACTAATCATTGTGCCGTCATGCTCAACGATCGAACAATGATTGTCATTGGAGGAGGTGTTGGAAATAACATGACACCCACCAATGATGTTTGGGCCTACGATGTGGTCACTCGAACATGGAAGAACCTTACTCCTTTGATTGAGAATGCCGAACTTTTCACACCACGTTTAGGATTTGCTGCCACTCCTCTCAATTCACATTCCATTCTATGTTTTGGAGGAGGTTACTGGGTTCAAAATTCTCCTCATGACAAGTATTGGAGAGAATCATACAATGATGTCCATGTTCTGGATATACATAATTTAAAATGGACAAAAATGGAAACTCGAGGTGAGTCACCAAGCGCTGGAACTTTCCCAGCCTTCTCTCCAACATTGATTGGTGTTCATTGGTATATTATTGGAGGAGGAATGATGTGGGACGTCTCTTCAAGTATTTATCAATTGAATACTGTCACATGGGTTTGGGAACGAGTGGGAGAAAGCTTTGGTGCCGATTCAAGTTGTTTGGTGAATTTATCCATGTATACTCAGGGCAAAAACAAAGTAAGCACCAAGTTGGTTCATTGTGGAGGATATCGTTATGAACCCTTACTCGATGCTAAAGTGTTTTCTGTGAATTGGAAAGATCAAATGGATGCCAAGAGAAAGGAATCGACTCGAAAAGTCACTATGAAATCACATGTGGTTCATGCTCAGCAGCAAAATGGTCAACATGTTGCTCGTTCTGAGAAGGATCATTGAAATGTGCGTGTGGCCGAGATCATGTGTGGTTCAATGTTCCCCCTTAGATTGTGTGAGAAATAAAGCTTAGGTTCAGATTTCTGACATTCCAAAAAAAAAAAAGCTCTTTGCAACTTCCACCACCTCTCGCTCTCCTTCTTTTGCTATTGTTACGCGCAGTGACAAGTTCTGAAATGTCATTGTGTTGTTCTTCTTCGTGTCTGCATCCCACCAACTGCCACTTGTCAAGACCAATATTTCTCCTCCTACTATGCTCCATTCTTCTCCTCTTTTCTCATCATCACGACGGCTCTCTTTTCCATCTATCATCCCATGTCTTGGCAAAACAACAACAACAAGGAAGTACCAGCTTTAAAATTTCTCAACAAAGCTCTCATCCTCTCTCTTCCAACTTTTACAATTACGGACTCTTCAATCTCTCCTTCTCCGTTGCACAGAATTATCCCATTGAATTACGACTTGCCAAATCCGACAATACCTTTACCACTGCTCCATTAGGTGCCACACGAATCAATCAACCCGAGTTCGATGGCACTTTCCGAATCACACCTTTATCCATCTCTCCAAATGATCCATTTCAAATTGTTCTTTACAATAATAATAATCAAGAAACAACAGTCACATTGTATCGATTTTCTGATGTGGTTTATCAAACGTATGGTCAGCAACAGGATCAAGTGCTCTCACTGTACATGCCTTCGCAGAGTGTCGAACGATTGGTGTGTTCATCTTTGAGTTCAACGTCATGTGTCAATACGAAATCGAATCAATTTCAATTCACTTTGGGACCGAATGGAAAAGCAAATTTCACACACTATCCCATGAAGATTCAATTTGCTTATTCGTTGAATCGAGAATTGTCGGATTCTCCTGCGGATGTACTCTATGATGAATTTGTGTTGAGTAGTGATCAGGATCGAGTGACGAAATTGTATTCTGTTGGATCGTCTGCAAAGTCCATGTATATGGCTGTCAAATGTCTGAATCCATCGGGAACAGTGTGTAATTTTGCATTTTCTGTGAGTAATCGATTGAATGACGGACAGAATAATGTGGGTGACATTGTGGGAGGTTCTATTGGTATTTCCTTACTTGTAATTCTTATTATTGTGTCAGTTGTCACTTTGATAGTGGTCACCATTTGTTGTGTCAAGAAACGTAGAGCAGCTAAAGCTAAATTACAAAATTCCACAGAATTAAAAGGAATTGTTGGATCCAACCAAATTCAAATTGTGGTGGATGGCAAAGAGGATTTTTCTCAAGGTAACAACACTTCTTCGAGTCCTCTCCTCTTGAATCATGTCACTCATCAAAATACGTCATCAACCCTCTCAACCAATTCATTGTCACATCTAAACAATGCGGATTCCAATTCTTCAGTTCAATCACTCATTGAAACCTATCGAACGATGGTCAGTTCAACCTCCTCGTCCAACAACAGTTCAAATCCTTCCACTGCCAACAATACCATCAATTTTTTGAGCGGAGGAAGTTTGCAACTTTCTGAAACTTTTTCAACTTCTGGACTCTTAAAAGAAAGATATCGAGTCATTCAAAAGATTGGAAGTGGATCCTTTGGTGATTGTTATTTATGTCATGACACTAAAAAGCAAGATTTGAAAGTGGCTATTAAGGCCATTAAATTTGCAGGAAGCGACAGTGAAAAAATTATTTCAGAATGTTCAAAAACAGCAACCATTCAACACGAGCGATTGGTTCAAGTCCATGAATTATTCATTTCTAAAGAATTGCAAGCATTTTGTATGGTCATGAAATACTATGAAGGAGATTTAGAAAAGATCTTGTACAAGTATGAAAAACCTCTTTCACAGAAAATGTTTTTCCAATTAATGAAACAATTAGGAGAAGGTTTAGATTATTTACATGGCGTGAAACAGTTGGTACATCGAGACATCAAACCAAGAAATGTTTTTGTGGATATTTTCGACCCGCAACAAGAAAGAATTTCGGTGGTGGTTGGGGATTTAGGAGAAGCCAAAGAGTTATTATCGACTACTAATAATTCCATTCGTGGAACGTTGAGTTACATGTCACCAGAGGTCATTGCTCATGAAAAGTATGGATTTCCATCCGATATTTTCTCATTGGGAGTTTCCTTGTATCAAATCATTACGAGAGATCCTTTGGAGACGAGAATTTCAATCAAGTTATTGAGTGAATCTGAAGATAAGGTTTTGGAGGAAGTGAAAAACAAGATGAACACCAGTTGTCAACAGTTTGAAGTGTTTTATGATCCGAGATTGATCAATGTTGTGGTGAACATGATGAGAAAGAATCCACAAGATCGACCAACTGCAAAGCAAATCAAGGAATTTGAATTGTAATTTGAGAAATTCAGAATAAGGATAATTAAGGATGGTTATTCAACGAATGCTCTCCACCACAGATAGTTTCTGTTCTCTTCTATCACCACAACAAACTAGGAGAATTCACTTTTTAGTTCTTGGACAATTTAACTCCAAAAACGGGTGTGAGAGGGTTTGAGCATTAAAAAGAATTAAATCCTCCTTTTTTAATATTATCATTACAACAAAAAAAACGAAGAAAATATCATTTTTCATGACAAGAGCCATTGCTTGCAAGGTGGGACATGTCAGTAATTGTGAGAGACTTAAATTCATTTGAAATTGTTGTTGAATTCGAGATTGGAGTTGAATCAAGTGAATGGAACTTGCCCCTTGAAGTAAGAAATGGCTGTTGAGGAATGGTAAGTCTGTGTTTGAATTTAAAACTTCTCTCCAGATGTTGAATTTCTGTGAGTGTGTGAGGTAATTGAGAGGCAATGTCTTGTTCTGTACTTTTATCCCAACGATGAACAATAAGTTTTGAATTCAACTTGTTATGAAGAAATGCGAGTTTCGTTGGTTGACGTCTGACTTTTCCACTTGTTTTTTGTACACCGTGTGGTTTTTTGTAGACCATGTGGTTTCGTGGGAGCAATGGAAGCAAGGGCGCCATATATGGCAACACCCAAATGCTCTGCAATGGCATTCCTTATCTCACGAATGATTGAATCAAATTCCGACATGTCATTTGCTTTCGTTTCTGCCACAATGACAATGTGTTCATTTCCAGAAAGTGCTTCTCCATCGATGGAGAAACTCACCACACATCCTCGTCTCACTTTTACATGACACTCTGCCACCACAAATTCAATATCTTGTGGATAATAGTTGATACCATTGATAATTAACAAATCCTTTCGAAGTCCAGTAATATACAATTCTCCATTCTTGATGAATCCTAAATCTCCAGTTTTCAGAAATTCATAATTTTCAGTGGGTTGCTGATCGTTGTTGTTGTTGTTGGTTGGAATAATCTGTTTGTTTTTATCTGAGACATGCATGAAAGATTTCTTTGGTCAGTTCAGGTTTGTTCCAATAACCCTTGGCAACACTTGGACTTTGTAACCAAATTTCACCTTCTTGTTCGTCGTGTCTGAATTCAATGCCATGTTCTGGATCGACAATTTTGAGAATTTGTTGGAATGCGAGTGGTTGACTCTTTCCACAATTTACAAAGGTTACATGTGAATGCTTTTTCTTGTTTCTTTTTTCATCATCTCTGGAACAAGAAGCAATGAATGAAGTGACATTAATGGACATGAAAATTGTGCGTAAAGGACCTGAAGTAAACCACCGATCAATCCCATGTCATGATAAGGAGGAAGCCATATCATTCCGTGACTGTTCTTGGTATGTCCAAAACATGTTTCAATGAAATGTAAGTTATGAAGAAGATTACCATGAGTGAGCATGACTCCTTTGGGATCACTCGTGGATCCAGAAGTGTATTGAAGAAAGGCCAAACTCTCATTGGAAAGTCCTTCAGGAATATTCCAGAAATCCAGGAGATGATTGGTGCTTGAAAAAGAGAGAACATCTGTCACCAACACGTTGAAACTCTCAAATACTTCATGACATAAATTTAAATGTTGTTGCAAAGAATGGAGTGAAGGTAAGAGTTCTTTGCCTCCTGAAGAAAAGTCTAAAAATCGATACAACAAATCGTCTCCACATGAAACGACTGCATCTTCAAGCATGGCCACTAAATTTGAGTAGGATCGTTGTTTGGGATAGAGAGTGCCATTGCCATTGGCACAGTAATGGACTGACATTTCAAAGAATTCTTCTTGTTTTCTTGTGTTGAAAAGAACCAATGGATGCCTATTCCTTAGTTGTTGCACTGAGAAACATAGTTTGAGTTGTTCACAAAGAGATCGATCTCGTGATAAAGACAACTGGAGGGTCCTACTACACAGAATGGAGATCAATAATGAGCTGTAAGGTCCGCTCAGCGCAAATGATGAAATCTGACATTGTTTATTGCTGCATTTGAAGGATCTTTTTGGTTATAACCAACTTTTTTATTGGCAATGGAATGTACATTTCATGAACTTTTGCTTGTCTTTGGTTTGTTGATGCCTTGACTTTGTTACTTGATTGGTTCAAGGTGCGACTGAGTTTGTTGAGAAGCCTCAAATAAGACCTGCAAACACTTGCATTCACTCGTTGCTGATGATTTAATAACACTCTATTGGAAGAATATCAACCATTGAGGTAAAAGTACTATTGATTGCTTGTTAATTAAAATTAAAAACTTTGAGACAAGAAGAACTTTCCAACAAACCATGAAGAAATCCAACTCTTTAACGATCGATAGGTGAATCATCATCCGCTTCAATACACACACTTCTCCTCTTTAGCCATGTCATTCAATGTTCATTCCAATAATTGAAGCTTCGTTTACAATTTCTTAAAGTAGTTGATGAATTCAAAACATAAAAAAATGAGTCAACAACACAAGCAACGAGATTACTATGAAGTGTTGGGAGTAACAAAGGAAGCCACAAAAGAAGAAATCCGAAAAGCTTATCGAAAACAAGCATTAATATGGCATCCCGATAGAAATATTGATAATGTGGAGGAGGCTACTCATCGTTTCAAAGAAATTCAAGATGCCTATGAAATATTATTTGATGACCAGGAACGTGCATGGTATGATGAGAATAAACATATTATTCTGAGTCGCGGAATGGCTGCGGCTCGATATGGCGGTGATGAAGAAATGAAAGAACCCGAACAACAAAATTTGTGGAGTTTTTTGTCATCATCATGCTACACTACTTTTAAGAGCAAAGATAAGAACAACTTTTTCGAAGTTTATCAACGAGTATTTGACATCATCTTGAAGGAAGACGAGGAATATAAATCTGCAAAAGCTCCTTCTTCATCTAACGTGAAAGGTCCTTCGTTCGGAGATGAAAATACACCATACGAACAAGTGGCCAAGTTTTACACATTTTGGTCAACCTATAATTCCAAGCGGTCTTTTGCTTGGAAAGACAAATGGAGGTGAGTATTTTAGAATTAGAGTTTTTATTGACAATTATCTAAAATATGTTAATATATTTAACATCTTTTTCATCTATAATTTATTTGACAATTTTTCTGATTATTCTTGTTCTATCGTCAAGATTATCAGAGGCCGAGAATAGATATGTGAAGAGACAAATGGAGAAAGAAAATGAAACGGAAAGAAACAAGGCACGAAAAGAATATAACGACCTTGTCAAACATTTGGTCAAGAAAGTGAAAGCGGACGACCCTCGAGTAAAAGAAGAAATGAAGAGAAGAAAAAAGATCCAAGATGAACTTGAAAAAAAGAAGGAAGAATCCAAACTCCTTCAAGAACAATTGAGAAAAGAATATCTGGCTGAGAAGGAACGATTGAGACAGCAATTGTTGAGCGGAGAAATTTCTGAGGATGACGAAGTGCTTAATGAAGTTTTTTCTGATGAGGAAGAATTTAATCAGATACATGATGCTCTCGACGAAGCAGAGGATGTCTTTGACAATTTTTATGCCGCCAGCAGCAAAAAAGGAGGAAAGAAAAAGAAAGGAGCTAATATTCATGAGGATGAAGAAGAGGAAGAAACACATGTGACAGAAATAACAAAAGCGCAAGAAGAAGCTCCTTCTGAACACAGTCCTTTAGAAGAAAGGAAAGCAGAAGACTCAGCAGAGGACAAGGAAGAGGAAAACCCAAAGAAAAAGAAGAAGGAAAAGAAAAAAAAGAAGTTGCAAAAAGGTGTTATTTATTTAGATAGTGAGCAAATAGAAATGCTACGAGAAAGTATGGAACAAGTTAAATTATCAAAAAGCAAAAAGCCAACAACCAAGAAAAAGAATAATGAAGAGGAAGAAGAAGAAGAAACCAAATCGAGCAAACAAAAAGGTAACAAGAAGCAATCAAAAATTGAAAATAATGTACAGTCAACAAATAACACAGCCTCCAAATCTAAACAGCAGAAACAACAAAATGGCTCAGCATCTCAACAACCAGAGGTTGCATCCTCCTCACATGTTTCGTCATCGCCGACAACTCTTCCTCAATCAATTACTGAACCATCTGCTGTTGTTGACAGTTTGGAAAGCAAATCGACTGCAGAAGAAATTGAGGAAGAAGCTGCATTTGCTGACAATGATACCACACCTACAGGAGAAGCCTCATCCTCAACCACAGATACAACTGAATCAAAGAAAAAGAAACGAAGGAATAAGGAAAAAAAGAAAGAGAAAGAACCTTCTCTGAGCTGTAATGTTTGCGGAGAAACATTCCCAACCAGAAATTCTCTATTCACACATATCAAAAAAGAAGGCCATGCCTTACACAAATAAATCGCACCGCTTGTTCAATGAATCGACGAGAGAGAGTCACAAACTTGGGTTAGGTTGCTGTAATGTTAATTTTGGGGATTGAAGAGTTTGAAACCTTCATGTTTTTGGATTCGATGAACATCTCTTTAATGTTTTTGGAATCGATGAAGTCAATGGTAATTTTATCGAACTTCATCTGAACATTCGACTGATCCCCAAATTTAAGTTGCAAAAAGGCTACAGCACTGCAGGTTCCCAAGTTGTCTCCAACCTCAGTACTGATGCAGCTCGACGATGCTTAACTTCTCAAATCGGACGGGATGAGGTGCATTCATCGTGATATGGCCGTAGCCATTCGTTTTTAAATAATGAATCTCAAAATTCAATTCGGGGAAAAGATGCCCTCCAAATATAAGCATCAAAAAGGCAAGGTGGATTTTCACCACCAACCGCTTCTGAATCATGAGCAGTTCGCGGTGTTAGAATTACACAACTTGCCTCAAAGTACAAGTCATTTTGAACAGGATTACCTGTTGAAACTTTTGAAACTTTCTGCAACTTGTGGTTTCAGCAAGTAATATGCATTAGTTTTAATTGGTACTCTCTTCCTGTCAAAATTTGAATAAATGAAGTTTGAAATTGAAAGGGTTTTTCTATTTGTTGGACATGGACGGGATGCCTGCCAGGAATATGGCGACACTCCCGCTACAGTCTTTGACTGTATGAACTGTGAGTGACAAAAGCAGAAGCCTTTGTTTGTTCTTTAACAGAAGAGGTTGTTGAAAAGAGTGCAGAAGTGGAATGATGAATTTATTCCAGTTGAATTGATGAAAATTTGTGCAGTGGAATGTGGTTCAGCAATACAGAATTTGAAAGTTCACATTCATTCAATGTGGTACTTGAAGACAATCCTTATCTAATCAAAAAAACATCAAATTCTGAATGAAACAGAAATCTAGGTTTGTGTGGAATATTCACAATAGGTGAGGACATATATTGTTTGCTCTCTCTCAGGTCAATTCAATGATAGCTCTTACTTTCGGAAAGTCTTATTTCTCATTTCCAAAGTATTATGAGAGGGCCGTGAAGAGAAGTACTGATTGTTCATGACTTCCGATGCATCATGATCCTCACCATATTGATGCATCACACGATAATTGAATTGTTTTCGTTGTCGTGTTCCTCCGACAATATTATCCATGGAAATTTCGGAAGAGTAATTGTTGTATCCCTTGTTGCTTCTTGTGCAGACCATTTTGATTATTTGCTTTGCTGAATTGAATTATTGTTAGTGTTTGTTTTTCTTTGTTGTTGGATCAACCATTCATTTTCATCATCATGAATTTATTTTGGGATGTCCTTCCAGTTCTTTAGAGAATTTCCAGATGTTCTCTGTATTCCACAAAAAAATGGACGACAACAAGCTCAATAAATAACCATCATGTTTAGCTCGGAAATTCATCAACAAAACAAAAACAACCATTCAAGTAACAACTATTCACTAACAACATCATCATGGTCTCTAGAACATCACCAAATTCCTCATCATCATCTAATACCACTGATGAGAAAATTCCAACAAAAACAGAATGGGTTCGATCTCAACCTATTGATATTACCAAACGATTACCTAATTTTGATATTGATCCATGCAATGTAGTGAGTGGAACCCGACGAAGAAAGAATTTGGATTATCATGTCTCAAATTTAACGGGAATGCAAGTCACTGTGAAACGATCCTCAAAGAATACTTTGGAAAAGAGGTCCACGTCTTCCTCTTCGAAAATCACAAAATCAAGAAAGATGAACAAGTGAATGTTTAATTCAAAATAAATCCTAATTGTTAAACCTTTAAATCTCTGATACGTGACATGAAAACATTCTCCACCAGCGCTTATGGCTAATTAGCAGCATCGAATAGTTGTTCTTTCTTCTTATCTGAAGCACAACAGGACACTCCTTAAATGATGGCCATCCATCCCTGAATTTTCGAATCTGAAAAGAAAGCCTTCTCTTTCCACAATTCCAAAATTTTCACAACCTTTTCTCGTTGTTCTTTGTCAGCCGAATCTAAAGTCGATTGCAAAATTCCAAGCATACGATCACCGATCAAAGTCTGATATTTTGGACCATATTTTTGATTGGAAAGAATGTCATTGAATACATAAAGACAAGCAAGCTTTTTCGTGAAAGAAGTACTTTTTTTGGCTGCCGCAGAGAAGACATTCTTCATAAATAGTTCAATAATGTCCTCCGCATTATTTTGATAATCCAAGCAAAATCCCATCACAATCATAATGGTTTGCCGTCTAGTGTCCAAATCAGTCAACATTTTAACAAAATCAGCTTTGGTAGTTTCGTCAAAATGCTTTTGAACTGCAATCATTGATGTGTGATATTTTACAGTGGTAATTATTACAATATTACCTTATTAGCACCATCTGCAGGTGCTGCAACAACTTACACTTTTTTTGAAGTTCATCAATTTCTTCATTTGAACACCACGTTATTTGAATATTCTGTGATTGGCCACAAATTTTCTTTTTCTGAAGAGCATGCATTGCACATTCAGCATCATATGTCTTTCTAAATTCCAAAAAACAAGTGACCACATCAGTACCACTTGATGGCTCCAAACAACTATTAGTTATTCGTCCAAACTTTGAAAATTCTTTTTTAAAATTTTGTTCTGAAATTCCCACGTTCACATTAGTAATTTTCAAATAACCAGGTTGTGTTGTATCACTCTTTCTTTTAGTCTTTTTAGGGGTCGTTTGATTCGATAATTCGTCCAAAAATTCATCAATATTTGCTTTTCTCTTTTTACTCGATGCGTCATCGGAATCTTGTTTGTTTTGTTTCTCTTCTTCTTTCATCAAAGAAACGTCTTGATAAGCAAACTGAGGTTGATACAATGACTTTTCCGAGCTTGCCGAATTTTCAGTTTTGTTGTTTGTTGTTTCAATCCGATCTCCAATTTGAGTAATTCCGCTCTTAACAAACTTTGGAGCAGCATTTAAATATTTAGATAGAGTCGATGATGAAGAGGATTTCTTCTTTTCCTCCTCTTCCGAGCTTGCTCGATTCAGCTCTTCCACAAACTTTTTCAACACTCGTTCATCTTCTTTTGATGATTTGGGCATTTTTTTCTTCTTTTTTGAATAGGCAATGAAGAGGTTCGTCATCAAAAAACTTTGGGAGAATACATTCATCTTCTAGCAGCTGGATCGATCCATGACACGACAAAACTGAACACACACTTAGTCTGTACGTAAGGAAAATGAGGAAAACAATTCCCGAATTTGAAAATTATTTCAATTTGATTTTGAAAAAAAAAAATATTTTGAATTTTCTTCATCATGCTTCGTGTGGTTCAGTCTTTACGGAAAGGCTCATTGCTGAATGAAAATCATCTGAGAGGAATTTCCTCCTTCTCTTCTTCTGTTGCTGCTACACATTTATCTTCCATGAATGGATGGGTGAGTGTTGAACAGCAATCATCCCGATCCTTCTCTCATGCTTGTTTCTTCCGAAATGAAGCCAGTAACAACAACGTAACGGAAGCAAAACCCATGGTTGCTCAACGTCCTAAAAAGAAATATGTGAACAAGATTATCAATAAGCCTCTGGAACAACCACTTAAATTGTGGTTCAATCAAGATAAATGGAGCACCGATGAAAACAAGAGAATTGAATATATTGCTCGATTACTCATGAAATTCCAATACAGGAGTTATAAAGAATTTCTCGAGTTGAATCCAAAACAAAAATCGGCATTGGAACAAATGGAGGAAAAGGCAATGTGTGATGACAAACATATTCAAGAACTGCTGGAAAAAGAGAAGAAGGAGAGTGGAAGTGGATTTAGGTCACAAATGGAAGAATCGGGAGAAGAGGAGCCAGTGTTAAAATTCAACGATGAAGCTCTCTCAAAGATCAGTCGAGATGAAGTCACACCAATGGCTGCGTACAAGTCACTCAAAAGCAGAAAATTAGCAAACAGAATTATTCTCTCATTTCCATCAAATATTATTCCAAAGAGTGAGAAGGAGGCTCAATATGCTCAATTGAGATTGATTGATCTTTTAGAAAAGGAGAGAGGATGGAAGCTTGCTGGATGGAAGATTGGTGCCACACAACCAAAAGCGCTTGCCAGATTAAATATTAAGGAGCCATTCTTGGGACCAATATTTGAACATCAAATTTTGAGAAATCCACGAGTTTACAACATGGAAGATGTGACTAACTTTAATCCAATGGTTGAAGTGGAGTTTGCATTTTGCTTGGCAAAAGATTTGAAGGCCCGTGACACTCCTTACACAAAAGAAGAATTGATTGATGCATTGGAGTATGTCACTGGCGTTTTTGAAGTGATTGGATCAAGAGTGGACAATGTGGAAAATCAAGGAGGTGTTCTCACAAGAATTGCCGATTTAGGAGGTCATATTAATTTGATAATGCCTGAAAAACCACCCAAATACGATGTGAAAGATGCTGCTAAATTAGCATTCGAGAAGGTGGAATTATTATTCAATAATGTCAGCCAGAAAAAGGCTCAAGGCTCATTTGTTTGCAATGGTGAATATGATGCCAATGAAACAAAAGGACCACTCGACACCTGTCTCCAATGTGTGAACAGAATCACAAACGAATTTAAACGAGACGTTTTGGCAGGTCAAATCATTTCAAGTGGAACCATGACTGGCAAATCTCGAGAATTAGAGAAGGGTGATGTCGTACAAGCTACCTTCAATAACCCACTCTTTGAACCAATAACGTTTGTCTGTAAATGAGCAAAAGATTTCATGATCACAAATATATTCATTAATGAATATATTAATATATTGTGAATGAATTGAAGGAGGTTTTCCAATTTATTACTGAATGAAAAGTTATAAACACTTACACCAAATGTGGTCACAGACTGTCAGCCTTTGAGTCGCGATTCAGCCTGTCAAACACCTGTCACTTTAAACCAAAAAAATACACATCCAACACACCTACACCATGGATACCAAAGTTGTGATAGTGGGCGACGGTGCCGTCGGTAAGACCAACTTCCTTCTCTCGTATGTATCATTATTGAACTGTTAGAGTAGAGTACTCAAATTTGTTGCTATCATTATATTTCTTTCATTGTTTTTATCGGATTGGACGATTTGTGAATATTATCTTCTCCCTTCAACAACACTCGAATTCCTCTGACTTGTCCTTTTTACAACATATTAAACTGGATCATTCATATAAAGAGGAGTCAATCATATCTTTCCCGAAGACTACAACCCAACAGTGGTCGATAACTTTTCAACTGAAACGACCTATAAAGATAAAACAGTTGGACTGACCTTGTGGGATACTGGTAAGTCATCATGACAGAGTTGTTGTTATTATTGGAATTGTTGGAATTATTACCGAATGATGATGATGATAAAATCTATTCTTTTCCGTTCGTTATTATTGGTGCTTTCAAAAACTTATGATGAACAGCTGGACAAGAAGACTTTGATGAATTGAGACCTCTTTCTTATCCCGATACGTAAGTTGAAGAAAAAAGGTCTTTTATCACTGATACCTACTACTCTTTGGATATATATCCCTTCAAATGAATGGATTTGAAAAACAACCACATCACCATCAACGGCTTCGGAATACACACCTGATTGTTGTCTTGCGAACATTTATTTGATGTTTTATCGTTATCAACAATAACAAATAATCATATATATATTACTCATCATGATGATAGACATGTGTTTATTATTGGATTTGATGTGAGCAATTCGACAAGTTTAGAAAATATCGAAGCAAAATGGATAAAAGAAGGTATGTTCCTTGTTCTCAACCGATTCACTGTTATATATATATTGTATTCAACATTTCAATAATAATTTCTGGGAATGGTTCATCATCACCTTGTTCTCATCCATGGTGGATGAAACAACATCAGTTCGCACTCACTGTCCTAATACGCCTGTCATTCTTGTCGCTTTGAAATGTGACTTACGAAACGATCCTCGAAAAGGTACTGAATGCATCACTGAAGAACAAGCTAAAAAAGTTCAAGAAAGAATTGGTGCAGTTTGCTATAGAGAATGTTCTGCAAAACAACATAAGGGAATTGAGGAAATCTTTCAATTGTGTGCTCAAATTAAATTAGATCCAGAATCGTTGGGAATTAAATCCCCAAATTCGAATTCTACAAATGCTAAAAAGGAGAATGAAAAGAAAGATGATAAGAAGAATAATAGCGGTGGTGGTGGAGGATGTTTGGTTATGTAACTAATGTCGGGATTCGTTTCTTTGTCGACTCATATTTTGAAATAGTTCGCTCGTTCGTTCGTTGGAATTTCCTCATTATTATTACTATGGAGACTCAGTCATGCTTGTACATAGTTTACAACAATACTTGTAGTTTTGTTAAAATGGTTCATACACGTCTGCAAAACGTGTTTACAATGTAAAGTCAGAAGAGGCCATTTGTTTTTCAAATTCTTCCAGAGTGGTGAATTTCAATAGCTTGTTGGTGTAGAGGGTGGCAATTCCTTCCAATTTTGAGAGTTGTTCTTGATCAATGTTTTCAATCTTGTGTAACAAGTCTTGTATCCATTGCTCAGAGCTTGCATGACGAATTTGGATGCTGTCTGTCTTGAGTGTCAATTTTGAATTGGGTTTGAGTGCTTTTTGATAAATATCAATGAGCGACACAAAGATGAGAGCAGGTCTCACTAATTGGAACCATTCCGTGTGATCTTGCTTCAAATTTCTTGTTGTTGTAATGAAGCGTTTAAGAACAATATTTTTGTAGTAATTCCATTCTTCCAATGTCATTAGATACAAAGAAAGAATTGTGTTATAGCTGATATTTTCCACATCAAGATTTGTCTCAATATCCGTGTTCAAAAAGCTGGTAAGGATTGTCTCATATGTTTCTCGATTCTTATTTAGGGTATCCAAAAGGTAGAGGCCCATTTGAATCATGAATGGTATTAATTTCACTTGATGGATGGCACTACCACCACCTGCATCCTTTGAAAAAGATTCTTCTTTGGCAAACTTGTTAAACAAAATCATCAAATCATGAGAAAGAATGTCAAAATGATCTCTAGAAATATTCTTCACAATTTTGACATCAGACCAGAATTTCTTGACAGCAGTTGCGTAGTTACTTGTCGATGTCTTTGGACCTTTGAATGGGAATAGAGCGTTACATTTAGTGAACGAGTTTCTGATCAAAGAGCCTTCCCATTCTGACTTGGGAGGATTTCTATTTTGATCAGCCACAACAGCTTGAGAGTGACACGAAGTGTGAATAGTGTTGAAATGAGTGACTGAACTGATGGCGCCAGAATTGTCTGTAAGGAATACATGCTTGCAAAATACATAAGTTCCAATGACCTCTTCTGGCTTGTAGGCATATCCATCGCCACAAATGGAACAAATAATACCCTTATCCTCTTCAATGTCATCGAAATTAAATGCAGAAATGGCAGGTTTTTTCAACTCCTGAAGAGTCTTTTCACGCTTTGAAAGCGCCTTCTTTTTCTTCTTTTCTTTGGTGCTCTTTCTGAGGTTGTCAATGGTGGGTTTAATTTGGGAAGATCCTTCAGCAATAGTGTTGAGCAATGATTCGGCGAGTGTTGCAACAATCTTTTCGTCAGTATTTTCTTCAATCTTGTGAAGAACGGTCAATAAATCTACATTATTCATCGCAGTCAAAGAAGGAAGGTGATATGACACCAAACCTTGAAGCAAATTCAAAATGAATGGAATTATGGGCAAGCTGAGTGTTGACTTCCATGAGGATGTATTCTTCAGATCAAAATTCTTCATTATAAAATCAATGGCTTTCTTGGTAATTCCTTTGTTGAGTATCATGGACTTGAGATTATTTCCAGCAAAGTCATTGGGGATGCTCAGAACCACATTAACGAATGAGTCCAAATAGAATTTTTCTTTTGTTGTGTTACCAAATGAATCAAAATTCAAATATGGTTCAAAGTATTGAATGAGATAATCCATTGATTCTTCAAGTCCGTAGGTCAGAAATGGTAACAATGACTGTACAGCTGAAACAATTTTAGAACTACACACAGGCAATCTCTCTAAAAACATTTTCAATTGTTCAAGGATTTCCTTCTGGCTAATCTTGTATTGTTCTGATTTTCCTAAAACGCTTGGAGAAAGATCGTTAGCAGAGTCGACAGAGAAAATATCAGAGGAAAAAGATGGGCTCATAGGACTTGTAAGAGGGCTTGAAGGTACTCCAGTCTCGTGACTCATCTTGGTTGCCTCTTTGACAAGTGGCTTAATACATAGAAGGAGTAACTCGGCAATTTCAGCCATCTCACTATGCTGGAAGACATATTTACATTTTGAAAGGAGGCATTCTACAGTGTCTGTCATTAAAAATCTACGTCTATTCAGCTTACTGTATGTGCAGTAGAGCATAAATTGTAACAGATTCTTTGCAAGTTCCTTATCCGATCCAAAATCGGTGATAGATCGAAGATATGAAACTATGACCTCAACTCCTCCATGTGTTGATATGACTGAAGTAATCTTACTCTTTTGAGCAATATCAATGGATTCGTCATCTCTAGGTAAGGTTTCAATTCTATCCTCGGTTGCTTCTCCATCAATGCCCTGGAATCTAAAAACAATTTCCATCGGTGTGTTGTTATTAGTTTCTACGTTTCTGGTTAGCCAGACCTTTTCATATACTTTCACTACAGGTAAATTGAGAGCAATAATGCAATTATTGACCAACAACTCGAAAGGAATGTCGCTGTGAATATTCATTTCTTCACAAATCTTATCTTTTACGTCAGACATTAGAGCAGGTTGTCCATTTTTGCTAAACTCCTTGGTAGTCCATTGTTGTTTAGAAAGTCTTCCTTGGAAATAGAATTCTTGGCTGGCTGCACGAGTTAATTTCAGCTTATAAACAGGCTCAGTTTTTACAGGCTGAATCATGCTATTCAGCTTTTCGAACACAAATAAGGCTGTTCGATTGTCACTATACATTTTTAAAGTGTCAATACATGCAATAATAAAGAGCTTCTTGTCTGATTCAGTCTCTTGTAATTTGTCCGTTAATTGTCTTAGAATACTTTGACTGTCAGTTGTTGACTTTGTTTTTTGAACAACGAATGATTTGAGTGACAGGAAGCTGCTTAACACGGTACTAACATGTTCCTCTTTGGTCTTAAACTCATTCAAAATATCAGATATATGCAAAAAGTCAGAAAGAAGTGTAACCAAAAAGTATAAACTGGATCCTGTTGAAAGATCTTGGCTTTGATTGGATGAAAAAGTTTCCAAATGATGAAGATGAACGACTTCCTTCTTCAATAATTTGCATACAAAGGAAAGGAACCCTTTGCTTGAAAGTAGAACCTTTCTTTCTTCCTTTTCTACAAGAGTGTTGAATAGAGAGAAAAAGTTAGAAGAATATTCACCACGCACCATGGCATCTGGTAAGAGAGTTGTCAATGCCTGCAAAATGCCAATTTCTTTTTGTGAATTTCCACATAAACATTTGATAATTTTGGTGGTCGTATCTCTTACAGAGCTCGAACAATCATTAAGCAAAAGTTTAAATAGCACATCTTTCCCTAAGATTTCAAAATTATTTCTTGGTAACTTCTTGGGAATTTGGTTTGCCTTAAACATATCAAATGTCATTTCTCCTTCTTTCCATTGATGATAACCAAATTGTACAGCTCTAGTTGGTGTCATCGGAGACTCAACATTGGCCGGTGTTGGCTCTTCCTTACATTTTTGGTTGGCATATGTGACAAACTTGAGGATAATTTGTAGGCAAGGTTGTATCAACTCTTCACAGATGATCACAGATGATGAGGCTCCAGGTTGAAGTGTTGTTTCAGTTAATATTCCAAATAGCATTAACATTCTAGAGTTAAAGAAAGGATCTTTCTCATCACAGCAAAGTCTCTTCAACAACTCTACCAGTCCAATTAATTGAGCTGTGACATCATATCCTTTGAGAGTCTTCTTGGAACAGTTAATAATTTTCTGTTGCAACAAAGTATTGACTTTAGAGCTTACAATATCATCAATAAAGGAGATCTTTGTCAGCACCTGTAGTGCTTTCTCTTTCATTCCTAGTCGGCTCACATTGACAAAAAGTTCATTCAAGAGTTGATCGTTAATAGAAAGGCCTTTGCAATCATGGATGGATTGATAGAAATCAATGACATTGCTGACAAGATTATTAGCACATCCGAAACATCGGTTATGTTGAGGGGTAGATACATCAAAATGATCCGACTGATAGTATTTCTTGTCGCTTCTTCTGTTCGAAGAGATATATTCTCTCAACTGTTTTCTCGTAGTTAACATGATTTTCTGGCAATTCGAAAGTCCTTCATGTAGAGCTTTGGTCTGATTATTGTACAAATCTTCAAGTGAAGAGATCAGTTCGGTCAAAGACTTTCCCTTATAATCACCTGTTTTCAAACTGATCAACAGAGACTTAATTTCAGAACTCTTCTCTTTCAGGCCAATGAGCTTATTAGCACTAGAATTGAGTTGGGTGTCAATAATTTGCAGTGATTTTTTACAATCTTCTTCATTTCTAATTTTGTCTCCAATAAATACTTGTTTTCCTAAACATGAAAACTCAAAGGTGGCATATTTACAAGTGCCGCATGTAGAACAAACAAAGGCGTCTAAATGGTCATAGTTGATGGCTTTGCATTTGTGGCAAGAGAAAACATTTTCTCCACATGTCAAACAAAGTCCATACTTGTCATAAACTGGAATTCCACAATTACTGCAGAAAAGAGCATCCATGGAAGCAAGATCGTAATAAAAGCTGGAAAATTCAATTAATAAGTTACAACATGTGATAGGTACACTAAATGTGATGTTACACTGAGAAGAATTCTTTGGAACTGTCATGCTTCCAGCTTTTTGCCAAACCGTTGATGCTTTTGTCAGGTCGTGAACCTCCAAAGCCTGATTATTGTTAAAATAAAACTCAACTGTTCTTATCATCTTGGATTTTTTGGCATCCGAAATGTTAATTTCCATAGATTCAATGATGTAGGAGTTTTTAAGCTTCACATATTCTGAAGAATGAGAAAATTTTTTAGCCTTAGTAATGTCCTTGAGAACGACTTGTTGGCTTGGAACCTCAGGAGAGATGCAAATCAAACATGGTACCGTTTCCAAGTAGTAACCTTTAGAGTCTAAACTAAAATAATTTTGGAGATTATCATAGATGTAAGAATTGGGGTGGTTGCCTATGAGATGATTTTGCGATTCAAGACACTTAACAAGCTCGTCCGAAATTTGTTGACGCTTTTTCTCATAAACCTCAAATATTGGAATCAGTAAATGATTGGTAAATTCTCTTCCCTTCCTTCCATAATAGGGCAGTGAGGCCACACGTTTGATAATAATATTAAATAAAATTTCTTTAGATTTGATGGATGAATTGGTAAAAAGTTTCGACAAAAATTTGGCTGACTCTGCTCTAATATTGCTGGTTTCACCATTGAACACAAAGTCTATAAATCTGTTCAAAGTTCTTGAGCTATGTGACATGTATAATGATGTAACTTTTTCCAAATGAGACTTGTTCTCAGTGCTAAACGAGCAATTAAGCAACTGTAGAGGTATCGTAACACTCTCATCTAGTAAAAATGTAAACTCAAGCAAAGAAGGAAGTACAGTATCATTGACTAAGCAGAAATCGATCCAATTAATAGGATTGTTCACTACACGATCAACTACTTCATTTACATTGACAACAATCCTTCTGGCTCTTTCAGGAGACCAATTCGATACCAGTTCTGTTGGTTTCATAAAATCAGATAATCTAGTGGCGAACAATTTATCATCCATGATCTTATTGAACTTGCCAATAGAGCCACTTAGCTCAAGCAAATAATATTTGCTGATTGATCTCAAATACTCATTCTCATCCACTGCCAAATTTGCGAGGAAATTGTACCACTTTGTTATATTGTCTTCAGGTATCAAAGACTGCTTATTCAAGTATTTGGTAAGTTTGAATAAGGACTGCAAAATTATTCTTGGATATTCTGCCATTATGTTTGTCTTGTTATCTGAAATATAGAGATCACTGAAAATTGGAGAAAACAATCTAGTAGGAATTTCTTTCTGACTCTTCAGAAGACCACCCATTATATCTTCGTATTCGGCTTGATGATCTGTCGGAACAAACAGAACTAAAGCATCACCACATGCAGAGAGAATGTCGTCATGAATTGAAGGAATGTTGTTCAATGTTTTGCATATTGCCTGTCTAAGGTATGATGTCCACTGTGTCTCTTCGCTTAATGACAAAAGTGAGATGAGCATGTCAAGAATTAAAATCCGTTTCTCGCTAGCAGGATTCTGAGGGGTCAAGTTTTTGAAGAAGCTTGACACTGATAACTTATCACAAATTGAGGCCACCAATCCGTCAATATTGATTATTTCATCAAGTGCAAGGTTTGAACATGATCGAATAATAACCACAGAAATAAGTTGCAAAATATTGAGGGCTATTAAAGAATCCGAACATTTTGACATTAGAGAGCAAAACTCTGTAAGCAATTTTGCTAAAGTAGAAGATTGTGTCTTGACAATGCCTAAAATTTTTGCGACAGCCTGCGATGCGCTGGTTCTCACAGTTTCTTCATCTTCGTCAAGCAATAATTTAGAGATCTGTTGCAGCGATTCTTCGCTGCTCTTCTTCAAAAATTCGATCAATGCCATTCCTGTACATAACTTAACGAGGGAGTCAGTTTGAAGTTTTTCGTCTGATTTGTTTTTCTGTAGAAGAGAGAACATAGATGACATAAAACCAGCATCGTTTGACAATACTCGATTATAAAAATGATCAGGGTCATAGAACAAAATGTCTACATATTTGTCAATGATCAAATTAGCATGAGATTCGTCCAAATCAGTTAGCTTTCTTTTTGAAAGTCGATCAAGCTCCAACGTTGTTTTTAAGATTGTAAAGCTCTCAACATTATCACAAGTCGCTAAAAGTACAGAAAGGAATACCTCTTTAAGTTCAGATAAGGAGGGAAGTAAAAGGCAATCAGAAATTAAAGACGTAATACCATCTTTTTGTGAATCTTTAAGGTTAACTGCTAGTTCGTATGGGATTATTGATTTAGCAATATCGTGTATGATTGCCACTTCGTCTGTAGAAAATTGATGTTTTTCTTCGGGTAGGTTTTGTGTGGATTTTTCAGATGAAGTACTAGTTTCTCCTTCCAATTTCTTCTTGACATAATTATACCTGAAGGGTCCAGAATCCAGGCCTAGAATCTTAAGTCCATCTATGGTAGGCATAGTACTTTTATCAACGGAAGCAGAAATATCGAGGTCTAAAGTTTTACCCATGTTCAACGCTTCCTCATTTGTGTAATTGATTGTATACCATTTTTCTACATCTTTCTCACTGGAGATGGAATGTCCAAGTGAACTAATTGTTGAAGGAATGGAGGCCTTATTATTTTTACCCAGTAACACCTTGATTCCAGTGATCACAATATTGTCTGGTTTGTGAATGGAAATTTTCATGCCATCCACTCGTGTTGCACATAGAGATGTTGTATTAGTGTCATTATTCATATTTTTGATTTCGTCTGATGTGAGATTTCCGTCTCCGGAATATGAGCATTTGGAGGTGATATCTTTGCTTGAAGAAGTGTCTGCAGGTTGGGCATCGAGTGAGGTATCGACTTGTGATGATGAGACAGTGAGCTGCTTGGAACTATCATCTGCTTGTATGTCCAATGTTTGGAAGTGCTTTAACGAAGATTGTCTCTTTTTCAACTCTCTACTAATTCTACATTTAGGTGGAAGCGAGCAACAAGGAGTGGCATCTTTGGTTACCATAAACTTTTTCAATTCACCATTTGAAAAAAGAGCCAAAACTGATGAGTATTTTCCAAATGGAGGAATGGATGTTAATCCCTCTAAGGTGTGACTATCAGGATTGGGCAAAATTTGATAATCCACTTTGTCAGAAGAAAAATTGAGAACTACGGACTTGTTACTCGAGGTAACAGCAACCAAAACTCCACACATATCTACAATCTCACAAAGATGCGTCCAACAACCAAGTTGTTTCAGCTCAGAGTTCTTCGAGATTTCTAAAACACTTTGAACGCCTCCTGACAAATGATCGAGCTTAAGAGCTATCGATGTTCCATCAGCAAAACTTGCAAACAACACTTGAATCAGTTCAGAATAAAACACTCTTTTCCCTTCCGCAGAATGAGAATATCTGCTGATGTCAACAGAGTCAGAGAAATAGGCTTCTCCTCCACTATTGAAGTATGATTGGTAATACAACTTTCCGCTCTTTGTCAAAGCAAAACATGTCTTTAGATCTTTCATTCCTTTTGGATCTGGAGCAAACACACTGGAAACGATTTGATCATTCTGAGCACTAAAGTTGAAGGTTGGGCAAAAAGTGTCTGATGATAAATCATAAACCTTAACAAACTGATTTGTTGTCACTGCCAATAAGCATTGCTCACCTGGTAACCATTGAATATCGATGACAAAAGTTTCGGACGGCATATCCTCACATGCAAGATATAATGGAACCTGTTGGATCACATTCAACTCATTATCAAGTACAAGAACATGACATTCATATATGCCAGCTACAGCTACAAAGTTGTCATTCTCTGGATTAACCTTTACATGAACAACTTTGAAGGACATTGAGTGAGAATTAGCTATCTTGATATCATTCACAGAATTTTCTCTTGGAACAGAATCTGAGAAATTGGATGTTGATTTCAGTAAATGAACATCACTTTGTTCTGCTATGATGACTGTATTTGCCAGATTTGAAGATACTAAGTGTCGAGGCATTGGTTTGGATCTGAAAATGTTGGCCTCTTGTCTTCTCTCAAATGTTAACTTTGTATTAAAGGTGGAGGTAGGATATGATGAGGTCTCATCGAGCAGTAATCTTGAGTAACTATTGACAGATCCATCCTTCAAATCCCATTTCGAAAGTGATGACTCTAATTCTTTTGTATTGCTCTCATACGAAGTTTTCAAGTTTTCTAGTAACTGGAGAAGGCAAGTCATGGTTTCATCCATGATCGCAATGCTTGTAGAAGCCGATTTTCCTGAGATCATGTCATTTTGTGATTCAATGGTGGAAGCTTTGAAATAATTCGTAATTGAATCAAAGTCAATATTTGAAGATGTTTCATCTACCAATAGACTATGATATGCTTCGTACTCATTGTTATCCATTTTCGTATGAATCTCATTTGCGGATTGAACAATTGGTCCCTTAAACTTAATATTTTCACCATATTTAGTCTTTGCTTTGAACTGATTGATCACTGTTAGAGTTTTTTCATTTTGTTCGTTAGAAACTTTTTGCATTAGCTGCTGATAGATAAATCTACAGATTGGAGACAGGACCTTAATTTCTTTCACTTCTGCTTGTTCTTGTATAATTTCATTCAAACACTTGAAAAACTTGTCGTGACATTCCAAGTTGGTTGTCTTGTGAATGACTTCAAGAATTGAGGTGAAAACCATCGAAAAGTCAGATGGAGAAGACTTGCTAATATGTTTCAACACTTGCAGCATTGCGTCTACAAAGACAGGCATGAAGGCTTGCACACCTGATTTATCATGGATAGAAACAAGGAACTTTTGCAAATAAGGTCTTGTTTCATGTTTTTTAAAACATGATTGCAAAAATATGTCAATGTTCTCCAATGAGGCAAGTGATTGCAGTAAGCTAGTGATACCCACTTCAAATTTAGAAATTATTAATTCCAAGAAGGAAAGAACAAGCTTGAATAAATCAATGTCTGTGTCAGCCGCGGCCATTAAAATCTTGAACAAAACTACAGCATCAAATCTGAAACTTGTACAGAATTTTGGAATTTCTGGTTCACCAAACATGAGAGATTGCACGCTTTGCATTCTTTTTCCCTTTGACAAAATATAATCTTCTAAATATTCGAAGCATGCAGAAATGATTTTGTGGGCACATGACGGTTTTTTGGAAATTAAGTCTGATGCTTGTAGCGACGATAGCACCATTCCGACGGTGAAGGTTCTATAAACATTGAGCTCATTAACAAATCCTTCGCTAAATAGATTAAACATGATGGGTTCGACCAAAAGAGAAGATCGATACACATAGTGTTCTCGCAAGTTCAAAAGCAATGCTACTAAATCTGGCATAACGCTTGAAAAGTTCGCTGAATAGCCTTTGTCTTTAACAATGGATGTAACATTGGCAATCATGTCAATGTTTGACCTGATAGTATTATAACATGAAAAGGCTTGCAAATTACGATGTGACAAATGAACAGATCCAATGATATGATGGAAAAAGAATTTCCAAAGGCTCTTCTCTGATAAAATGTCGGAAATATTCTTAAGGGCGTTCAATTTCGAGTCATGCCATTCGGAGACATTAGCTGAAGAGGTCTTTACAGTTCCGGAAGATGTGAGTAATCCAATACAAGTCATAATAGTTTCCTTGTTCAGAGCACTTCGCAGTAATGAAACGCTAAAACGTGCCTCCTCTTCACTCATTTGGTTACAATACATTAAATCTCGTTGAATGATAGAATCCAGCTGTTGCATAGATAAAGAGCAAAAATAACAAAGCCTCTTAAGTAACAGCTCTACGGTTTCTGATTTCCAATCCAGTTGACGAGAGTCATATTTTTCAAGTATGCCTAAACACTCCTTAATGTAAACTAAACTTAGGATTGAGTTATCACAAGTTGGTACTTCATCCGTGCTATGTGATGTCATTATGATCATGTCAACAATTTGCGAGAGGTGGTCTATTTGATTCATGTCGTTGTTGTGTATGTACTGAATCAAATAACTGAGTCGATCTACGATTGTGCTTGTTGCTTCAAACTTTTTGATAGAGTCAAGTTTCAGAAGGGGGTTGAGAAGTCTTATGCAAATGTCGGCATTGTAATCAAATGTATTCATCAAGACCTTGTCATCAGAATCACTCAGTTGACTGATGTTCACAAGTAATGCTCGCACTAATCCTGCACAGTTGTCGTTCTGCTTCAAAATTGAAACAGCTGTGGATGATAGCTCAGCATTGTGCTCGTAGTCAAGTTCAAAGAAGTTTTCATTTCTTACTCCCAACTTGTCTAAAAGTGAGTTATAATTAATCTTCAACTTGTATTCGCTGTTTTGAAAGAAATCTGACAGCTGAGATTCAAGGTTAATTGGCATGGAATCAAAGTTTTTACACAAGTACTCAAATAAAACTAGAACATGGCTTGACAAGCTCTTACTTTTCAAGTTAGACAATTCGGTCTTAATTAGCTTGACATATTCGCTAAATATTAATGATTTTGCAGTACTGTCCATAGTGCTAAAGCATAACGCCAAGAATAGCATCTTTTCTTGAGAGAGCAATGTCTGTTTCGCATTTTTCATGTTATGAATGTAACCAATCCATACTCTCTCAAACACAGACTTATTACGTGATGCATTGCGAAGGGACAGAGAGACAAAGAATTTGAATATATCTTCACTAATATCTATGATGTTAATTTTCTCAAAAACGTCCAGCATACATTCATCGTCAAGGGAGGCAATGGAGAATAAACACTGTGAGCAAAGATTTCTAAATTCGGGTGTGTCATCTCCCAACTTGCAGAAAGTAGAAAAATTAGAAATGTCCAAAATTTCGTTAGCAACATTGGCCCTTATGGTTTTGCTCCAATTGTTCACTAAGTGGTTCAAAAACAAGAAAAAATTGGCTATAAATGTGGAATAATGGTCTTGCGTGATAGATATTGTTGATGATGCTTCTGCAATGATAATTAATCTTGAAATAAGAGCCCGAGTGAATATATCCGTGATTGAGCATTGCATCATTTCTTTTGATATTTCTATTTCATCACAAACGGTTTTGTATTCAATGGAAGGCAGCGGAAAGAGTCGATCGAATTTTGCACTCGCAATGTAGGAAGGAGCATGAAAATTCAATAATTCCTGCCTCAACTCAGAAAAAGCATGAGAGTTTGACATTTGAATATTGTCCAGAAGGTATACGTAATTCGAAAGAAATTCCGTGCTTTTTGCAATATTTTCGACATCTTCAGCAATAATTTGTGCAGATACAACTCGCAATAAATAGGACAAAACCTGTTTGCAAGTATCAACATTTGAAAAGGTTTTCAGTATCACTACGGCCAATTCTTTTAACATATCTGCTGGATAGAACTTTTCTTTCTGATTATTTATGCACTGGATACAAGTATTAACAAGTTTCTGTATTGGCACTTGTTCGGTCCGAACCAGTGGCTTTGCCAGTATTTGTAAAATTCCACATAATGCATTACGAATATCGACGTTCACACTATTGTTGAAAATGGAGGAAAGAGCGCTCGAAATATGCTCTCCAATTTTCAAGGTCACAATTAGATACATTCTCACTTGTCTGATTAATTTTTCAAAACTCAATGGAGAACGAGACTTCTTGCCTACCACTAATGATGACACGTAATTGTGGTTACCTACTCCATACTCTTGCGAAGAGATTGAACTTAAAATCTTTGATAATGTGTCGTTTTGTTCCGTGATGGCACCATTTGATGTCTCTTTATGGGCTGCTGATACCAGTGAGAAAGGAAATTCAACTACTTTTTCAGGAATTTTTTTCTCCAGTTTGATTTCTGCTTCGGAATATTTCTTTCCCACTATGAGAGTATTCAATATTTTACAAACATCATGTACAGAGTTTATCAATTGTTGAGATGTTGAAGAAAATGATTTACAATAGGAAAGAACATATACGCAATATCTCATCATTACAAATATTGTATATTTCGTGCTGTGATAACATTTAACATGTTTAGAAAGCACTGTGCGAAAGTGTTGGCAAATAGAATGTTACGATGAGGTCATGTTGGTAAATAGAATGTTGAGGTCATTTGTACATTACTAAGCATATAACCTACCTTTGTCAATAAACTTCTTTCCAAATAAATATTTGACAAAAACATTCAAGAGTGATAACACATGAGCGTGTTGTGCAATGGAAAAGCATTCCATTCTTTGTAAGAATGTACACAGTCGCTTAGCAAGAGTCGGAAATTGATCTGCATCATTCTCGTTCAAAAATTTCTCTTGATCTAATACTTGAATTGTGAAGGTTTTTAAGAACTATATGTTGTGCAATAGATAAGGTTGTATCTAATCGTTTTTCGACCAATGTCACCACTTACCTCTGTACCATTATCGGACTGAAGCACACTCTTCTCAATGACTGATTTTTGAGAATCAGACTGTTATTTGTGGTTGATGATCATATTAGTCAGTAGTCCAAAGAACAAACAACAAGCAATACTCACATGAAGAAATCTAAAACCAAAAACATCAAAGTTCTCATCAGAGACGTCAATGTGTTCCGACAATGTTTCGTGTGATTCGTGAGCGTCTGAACTTTCTTTTGGTGGTGGGAGAGATTTCAAATGTTCACGATCAAATGAGGAATCAAAGAAGAAGGACATCATATCCTTCTCCTCTTCATCTAGATCGATCTTGGAGAGCAAATCCAGTGATGGAGAGTAATGATGAGCTTCCATTTCACCCTGCACAGCTGAGAGAACAATTAAAAATTATTTTTAAATTTGATGATGATCAATATTATTATATTCCGTATTGAGTGTTATTTTGATGCAGAGAAGAAATAAATATGAAATAAATTGTTGTTGTTGTTGCTGTATGATCAAAGCACTACTACTTCCAGAATGAACCCAGTGCAAATTCGTAATATCCTCTCGACTCGGTAAGCCTTCTTTGCAATTTCAAAGTGCTGTTTTTTTTAAGAAATTTCGATAAAATTGTAATTTGTTCACCTTTGCAGTGAAAGCGTTCTTGTTTTTATGGGAAGCCTTCAGCATCATTTTGATGTGTAGTATGAGAAATGAACTCTTTCAAAAGTTTGGATTGAGGACAAAGATTTTCTTTAATCCCTGTCTCGGATTCATTGGAATGACAACATGATTCATCATCTCTATTGTCACAATAGAAAATTAACTCATTGAAGGAGCAAAAAACGTCGGTTTATTAACGAGCTGTGTGAACACAACTACCGATGCTTAAAGATGGTGGTTCAAGAAGAGAAGCATCATTACCATTGTCAAAGCAAACATCCCAAAAAGACTCTTATTCATTCCAATCATGCTATTACCATCACTGGTTCTTGTGTTGACCATCACACATGAATCAGAAGCGAAAGAATAGGTGTATCTCGTGTCGGATCCACATGTTGGTGTCAACACTCTCACTGTGTGACTGTTCATAAACCCAAGATAAATCTTTCCGTCTGGAGAGGCTGCAATTCCATTTTCAACAAAATCCACAGTGGCCAGTGAGGCTGGTCCTCCATCACCACTGCTTCCCATAGTTCCATTTCCAGCAATGGTTGAAATTATTCCAGTGGTTCCATTGATTCTTGCAATTCGATTTTGCACGTCTGCCGATTATTTAGCGAGTCCGAGAAGTAAATATTACCTGAAGGTGATAACAAAAGACCAAAAGGTGCAATACCAGTTTGAGTGGCTTGTGTAAAGACCCCATTATAACCCTTCACACCATTACCTTGTTTTATATGGAATTCGAAATTACAATCAATTTGTAAAAAAGGTAAAACATACCTGCAACTGTTGAAATGATTCCTGTCTTTCCATTGACTTTTCTGATTCTGTAATTATTGTAGAAGCAAATCCAACACATAAAGAGTTGTACCAGCAGCGTTCATACAAGCATATTCAGGATAGTAGAACTGTGCAATGGATCCAGGACCATCGACATGTCCCAACTGTCCAGTGCCTGCCAAGAGAGAAATGGTATAAGTGGGTGTTGGAGCAGATTGACTGTTCACGTGGATTAAAAGTTGTGCCAAAACAAGGACGACAACCAAAACTAATGATACAAGGAATGACTGCTTGTTAGAAGGCATTGAGAGTAAAGTTGTTTTTTTCTTCGAGTGATAGGGTGCAGAGTTGAAATGTGGTGCCTTCTTTTGAATCTTTTTGAAAGCAGATGTGTTGGGAATTCTCGACAAGGACAAAAGGAATTTGTAACAATATGTCCAGAATTCCTGACTCGACCATATGTCGGAGCGTGATCACTTTGTCCGTTTTATAATACAACACCAGAGCGTTCCATTGAGCAGAGTCATCACTTGGATTGGTATCTTCCGATATTGCTCACTGAGTTCGGAACATGTTTACAGTAAATGATTTATTCGTTGATATTAAACAAAAAATGATTTAATCCTTATCAGGCCAGTCATCCGGTCAGTCATTCTAATCCAGTGTTTGGCTTTTGTGCTTTGGTCATTCCGATTTGCACTTGCGTTAACATTTAACACATTCACAAGAAAGGTAACGACAAGCCAAATCATAACGTTCCAGATGACGTTGAATCAAAGCCAGATACCTTAATTTTCACACAATTTCACACGAAAAAGGAATTTTGATTTTTAAGGTGAAGAAAAAAACAAAATTTTACCTTTTTTGAAAAATAATCGTGATCTCCCTTATTTGAATTTGAAAATTTTTTCTCTTCACACACGACTAGTGGTCACGACCAAAACATTTATGGCATTCATGAAGGGATACCCCTCGTCATTTCTTTTGATGGTTAAGTATGAAGGAAGGACATTTGCAACAAGAACCAAATTATCAACAATTCTATTCATGTTCTTTCTTCTCTTGCTCATTGAACATTTTACATTTAGTTCTCTCTTCCATGCACAAGAACAAATCTTTCAAAGAAAAAGATTTACATCCTGTTTGGATTCATCAATCATCGCAACAAAGACTCTAGACTCTTTAAATTCTGAAAGTAAGAGCAATAAATTGGTGTTGATTGAGAACAATTGGGAAGCGTCCAAAGTAAACAACGAGCTGGTTAAAATTATACTCGAAGAGAAACTCGGCGTTGATGTGATCGTTGTAAAAAATTCGGTTCGCCGTGGATTAGAATTAATGAACGAACGAGGCAAGGAATTGCCTGTAGTCATGTTGGAGTTTTGGCAATCAGATACAACGAGAGAGAATGATTACAAGTAAGTGAGATTGAAATATATTTCGACTTATAATGACCGTATTCCCTATAATCTCAGAGAATATATTCAAAATGGGACGAACATCATCGATTTGGGAGAATTAGGACCCATTGGCAGAAGAGGATGGTACATCCCTTATTTCATGGCAGAAATGGGAGACTTTGTTAAATCTTATCATTATTATCAAAACTCAAAACTCATACCATTCATTAATTGTGTTCCACAAGTGCTCTCATTGAACACTAAGATTATTCAAAATTTAAAATTGAACCTTAATGTCACACCCTTAAACGTCTCAGAAGATGATTCAGAAAAGTGTATCATTAGTAATTTGGAAGAAGCAGAACGAACCAAAACCCCTCTGGTTGCCTATTTTTGGGAACCTCACCGAGTGTTTAGCAGACAACGACCACCCCAAAATGTTAGGTTGCCATTTAAGGGTGGTTACTATCCACCTGTTAGACCAACCAAGCTTCAGTCCCAAGCGGTAAACAACCTCTCTCCAAATGTTCAGCTCTTTCTTAAACACTTTTTGGTAAGAAATGAGGATCAAATTCAAATATTGGGAGATGTTTATTATGAAAAAATGTCTATCGATGATGCAGCTAAAAAATGGCTGAGAAATCCGAATAATTCGGATTTAATCAAAAGTTGGTTTGAATATCCTCCAGATCCCATGTATCAAAATGTTGTAATGTATGTTGGAGTGTCCTTTTTAGCAGTTGTTGTTGGAATACTATTCGGTTTGGTTGTAATTGTTTTGAGCATGGTTGGATATTTCTTGAGAAGACAATTTTTGATTAAGGAAGAGAACAAGAGAGCCCCAAAACAACCTCCTATTTGCATTGTATTTACACATATCCACAATGCGCCCTTGTTGTGGACTCTTGGATTGGATGTGATGAAAAAAGTGATGAATATTCACAATCGAGTGGTTCGAGAAAATATTAAAAAGTACAAAGGATATGAAGTGAAAACACATTTGGATTGCTTTATGATTGCTTTTCAATGTCCATTTGATGCAGTTGCTTGTTGCATGGCCATTCAGAAAGAACTTTTATCTTGCGAATGGACAACTGACATGATGGCCTTTCCTGACATGCAAGAAGTGGTGTGGAATGAACAAGTGATTTACAAAGGCCCACGTGTTCGAATGGGAGTGCACTTTGGGTATGATATTGAGGCACAATATGATTCCAGAACCAAACGTTTCGATTATTTTGGAACAACGGTAAATAAGGCCAGTCGAATTGAAAAAGTTTCAAGTGGTGGAAGAGTGTACATCAGTGCAGAGACATTTCACAGCATTCAAAATATGACCTTTCATGAATTTAAACCTGCAATAGCTGGAAGACCTTCTCTTAACAATTTCGAAAGTAGTGTTATCATGAATTTCAAACAATCCATTTTGAAAGGAGAAGTCACTTTTAAAAATGTTGGAGAACGAGAATTGAAAGGACTTGAAGGAAAACACACAATTTATTGGGTTAAAGACATGACTCAACTTCGTTATGCCTATATTGAACAATTTGAAATGTCACCACGACCTCCTTCTCTCATGGGAAGAATAATTCCAGTGGCAGTCATCGATTCATCCGATAGAGATAAGTATGAGCTTTATGAAGCAATCACACAAGGTCTGTCAGATCCATCTCAAATGAAAGAAGACGAGTTATCTGTTCTTCTTCAACGAATTATTCTCTTTCCCAATGAGCTTGAGAGAAATCGATGGATTACCGCACCAAACACTGCCTTATTGAGATTTGTGACAAATTTTATGTTGAACTACAACCTTCGTCTTAAGAGAGAGCCACCTTCAACTCCCAAAACTCCCAAAAGACTCTTTGAAATTTTTAATATCAACCATTGAGTCTAAGAATGCATGATATGTAAGAGAAAAGGTTGAGTGAAAGATTAAACTCTTTATTCTTGAATTGAATTCAATTCATTACTCTTAACCAAATAAATCCCAAAAAAAAATTAAAAAATTGTCCAATTTGAAATGAATTCGTTGTCACTTCTAATCTGAATCATCAACGAATTATTCATTTCAAATTGGGCAAAGTTCAACTGATCCGAGACTTTCCTCCGAAATTTATGAACAAGAATAAACAGTTCCTCTATTCGCTTCATTATCAAGAAAAAGATGATGGCTATGAAGGAGAATTGAGTTATAGTGGTCGAACCAAGGTCTCGCTTAGGCATTATTTTACATATGAATTGCTTAAAAAGAAGAAGGATCATCATCATTCGTCTTTTCCTCTTTCATCCATTCGGCAGAGATGACGTTATGTCTAACAGTTTGAAACGTCCAACTATCCAATTCCTCTCAACAAAAATAACTTATTGCGTGCGGTGAGGACAGCGGAGCGTTACACCCTTTTGGCGCCTTCCCCAAAAACCAAAAAAAAATGACCAAAACCAAATTAGAAAAAACTCTCTGCTCGGACTACCATCAGCTGCTGATATCAAAGCCTAACCCAGTAGATGATACAAAGTCGTTTGAAGTTCCTCTTTCTTGGAAATCATGTGGTATCAACACGGAAGCAAAGAAACAGTTCATGTGTTTGGGAGTTTCTTTGCAAGAACAACCTATACCCTTTCCTTCACTTCCGAATTTCTCTGAATTTAGGGAGCTGTTGCAAGAGTATAAGACAAGCAACTATTCGTCCAATGAAGCAGCTCAAAAGATATTTGAAAAATGTGGATGTTCTTCCCTTCTATCAAATGATCATCACTCTGCAGCACTCCCATATATGCTTCGTTGGCGCCTTATCAATGTTTTAGATCCTTGCGTTGCTTGTTCTCACTCAAGAGATAATGCAAGTGAACTGGAGCTGAGTAGAACCGTTTTCAGCCCATTACTTGATTTAGCTGCTCTATTTCGTCATTGCCAAACAGATGGGTATGTTTAATTTAACTAAAAATCAATTGATACATATCACTAACAAAAGAAATGTGCAAACCAACAAATTAATGAATATTTCTGAAGAACAATTCACCGATGATATGAGGGAAATGGTTGAGAAGCTAAAACCTGATAGATTTGTACAATTCCAATTGAATGAACGCTCAGAAAACAGAATAAATATGATAAGAGTGATAGAAGAGGATAAAACGAAAAGGACAGAAAACGGACATGATGATTTCATAAAGTTAGTAACAGAATTACGAATGATACACAGCTACAATTTGAGGGCTTGTTTTGTAGACGAAAAACAGGACTTTCATGAAAAATTAGCAACCTATGGAATACTCACAACCAAAGAGACCGTTGAAATTATTGCAATCACTGCAAAGCTTGTCAAAAATGGAAACGAAATTAACATACGTTATTATCTTCACCGCATAGGTTTATTTGAAGGCACTACATCGTTGAATAGCAATTACAATTCAAGATTAGACTTGTGTGCATGGATATTAACAATGCTTAAAAACTGTACAAATGAGCATGAGGAGATTGCTAAATATCTACAAACGCGAAAAGGCAAGAAATCCGGAATATTATTATCAGCTCGTAAATCTAATGAAGTAATTGAAATTTTGCCTGGAGATACACTATGCTTTGCTGATGGACAAATGATTCATCAAGTTAAGGGAGTGGTTAGTTCTGTCATTATTTCAGAAAAGGAGAAGCATGTTGTTTTGGTTAAGGGACCCTCAGACCATCATTGGTTATATCTCAAAATTCACCATATCCCCATCAAAATTGAAAGACCTCATTTTTCTCTATATCTCAATGATTCAGCAACTTGTATCTTTTATCATGACGACAAACAATATGGAAGGTTTGATAATATCGAATTGTCATTGCCTGGCAACTGTCTTTCGACAATTTCTCTTTCTAGAGACGATAAGAAAAGAGTGATGATGGATATTCTTTGTGAATTGGAGTGCATCCACTCTCAGAAAATAATTCATAATGACATCAAGCTGGAAAACATTGTTCTTTATGAAACAGAAGAGCACGTTCAATATGCAAAACTTATTGATTTTGAGTGCTCTAAGCGATTTATAACATACAACATGAATCAAGAAGTCTGCTATTCGTTAGGTAAATCAGTTTTGTATTCTGGATCGGGAACACCAGGCTACTTTCCTCCAGAAAAGCTAGCTGTAAGGAGTATGGAGAATGAAGATGAAATAGATATTGCTCATTCTTTGACACCAAAATCAGACATTTATTCGTTGGGCATTGTCTTCTTGGAAATTATTGGAGACATGAAAGTGAGAACGGATGATGACATTAAAAAAGCAATGACCGCGGTAGGAAAGAGTGAAATGAAAGGAATGTTGAAAATTTTGAAACTAATGACCGATCCAGAGAAGCTGAAACGTCCCAATGCAACCTTAATCATTGAAGCACTTCGGAAACTATGGGGGAAAGAGGGAGAGAAACTAGAAGAAGAGGGAAGAAAAAAAGCTACAACTGATTTGACAAGTCACTTTTGGGAATTATATGGTGAGACAGAAGAATTGCATAATGAGTCCACTAAACTCTATATACCACTTGATAATGACTATTTAGAGAGCATATTAGAATATGATGATGTCTTGTCAGAAGAACAACAACCACCTCTCAAAAGAGGACGTGATGTTGTTCAGATGGATTCCACAACATCATCAAAAGACCCTAAAAAGATCAAGCAATAACAACTCTTCGTAACAGCAAATTAAGAACAATCAACTTAGTGGAACTAGTAAGAACAATCAACTTAGTGGAGCTGGTGGTGGAGCTAATAGTTTGTGGAGAGGACATACTCGGCTGGTTTATCTTTTTTTCGAATCTACCACTGCGAAGCATCATCGGCGTTTCAACACCCGTACTCATAAATGTGCCGAACCAGGCTCACTTTCACGATATTGCTTTGAACATCAGCAATGGTTTTCCGAAAGCACCTTTTCACGAAATCATTTACAGTGCAATCAACAACCAATAAGACAACAAACATCCAACAACACTCCAATCACTTTTGTTCAACAAAACTTCAACGATTATGTAATAATGACAAAAGATGAATTCAATAATGTCAAGCAAGAAGAGCGACTTAAAGGAGCAAAGCAACATCATGGTGATCTTCGTGAAATTTCTGAAAGTTACAGTCTAAGAGAAAAAGGCTTATATTTATCTCAAAATGGATTGGACAAAAAGAGGAAGGGAGAAACACTTGAATCAGTTCAAGAAATGAATGATCGTCTCAATTCACAGCCAAACAAACTTCAATCATTCAAATCTTCTTCCTCACTTAGATCCCTATTTTGCAGGACATTCAAAGAGAGAGTCGTTATAGGCTCAATCATGACCTTTGTAATTTTGTCCTGAATTATTGTCCGATCGGCCAATCCAGGTGAAGGACAATCGAAGATAACATTGATGTTTACCCTCCAAAGTGGTGACACTTGGTTGTTGGAATCAGAGGTTTCATCTCATTGTTTATTGTTTTAAGACCAAACTCATTGCTCTGTGTTTATTAAGCAGCTGTTGCAGATGCGTTCAATAGATGTTTAATGATGGATCAAGAATGACAAGAGAAGCATCATTACCATCCAACAAGACACCACATACTTATTCATTCCAATCATGCTATTACCATCACTGGTTCTTGTGTTGACCATCACACATGAATCAGAAGCGAAAGAATAGGTGTATCTCGTGTCGGATCCACATGTTGGTGTCAACACTCTCACTGTGTGACTGATCATAAACCCAAGATAAATCTTTCCGTCTGGAGAAGCAGCAATTCCATTTTCAAGATATCTATTGACAAACAATGGAATCTATCTCCTCGAAGAAAGACTGAAAAAGAGACTTTGTACTTACCTTCGCAGAGGCATCTTGATAGCCAAAGGAATTAACCACTGCACTCAAGGTTTGTTCGTTCACCATCTTTGAAATGGTACCATTTCCACCAATATAAATATCACCATTCAATGCCACAGAGCAACTACTGCTAGTGGAACTTTGAGTCATAGTGGAGACATTTTTGGAAGCAATATCAATCTTACGAATATAATTGTCGACGAGATATCCAGCCAATTCCAACACATAGAGAGTTTTACCAGAAGAGTTCATGCAAGCACCTTGGATAAGCCCAAACTTTGCAGATGAGCCAGGACCATCCACACGTCCCATCTCCCCAGTTCCTGCCAAGAGAGAAATGGAATAAGTGGGTGTTGGAGCAGATTGGCTGTTCACGTGGATTAAAAGTTGTGCCAAAACAACGATTCCCACCAAAAGAAATGACACAAGGAATGACTGCTTGTTAGAAGGCATTGAGTGTAAAGTTGTGAAAATTGTTTTTTGAGTGATGGTGGTGACGTTGGGTGTGATGTGAACTTTTTTGCACTTCCCTATAAAAGGAGATTTCATGACACGTCAAAAGCAGATGTTTCAATGAGGTAATTTAATTAACCTTGATCGACGGATTGGATCGGATTGCTCCAGCGATTATTTTTGAACTTTCTATCAGTCAATCCGATCCAATCCCAAAATCCGATCTATTTAAATTTCCTCAATTGAGCTCTCTTCATGTTGAGCAATCTAGTGGGAATGCAAAATGGGATGTTAGGAGTCACACTTTCCTTTTGCAAGCATCTTCTAATTCCTTCTCCAATTAATTGGAAGAAATTGGATCCAAATTTAAGTGGGAAAGCCAGTGTTCAAAATTTATTCGATGTCCCCAAAGAGGTGATTCAACGGGTGTTGTTGCAAACTTTTTTGTGAATTTAAGGAACACAAGCCCATGCTTAGTTTGTTGCCATTCATCCATCTTGGTTTACGCATACATTGAGATTACACAGATTCCAAATTCGAATTCAACAAAATTAAAGAATTTGCTGTTTAAGTAAATGAAGAGAGGGTTTCCGTAATGTACTCATAATATCCTCGTACTCTGATGCAGAAAGAAATGGAAGTGGGCATGACCTGTCACAACTATTTTCCGTAGTAGTGGCCACACTATTATTGTTGACAGTGGCAGGCGTCAGAACATCTTTCGACTTTTCTTTTTCTATATAGTCCATAATCGCTTGCTTTTGTTGCTCTATTCTTTGGATCAAGAGCATAATTTCATGATCTTTTTGTTCTCGAATTGATTTAATCTCCTTTTCCAAATTACTAATGAGAGTATCTTTGGATGATAATTCGTTTTGAGATCCTTTCGTGACTTCCTTCAATTCCTTCTTTAGTTGCGAAATGTTGTCATCCTTCTTTTCATTCTCTGCTCGCAGATCTTGTATTGCTTGTTCCAGCTCTGCAATTCTATTTTTTCCTTCTGTCTCAATTCGTTGCATCTCTTGAATGAGTTCTTTGCTCTTCTGTTTCAATGTACACACAACTGCAATCATTTTCTTATTTTCTTCTTCGGTGAGAGTAAGTTTGGTCTTTTGTTCCTTACAGAGTTGATCTTTTCGAGCATTGGACTGCACTAATCGTTTGTATCGTTCTTCAAGATCACCAGTGTCTTTCGCTTTGGACATGTATTCAGAGGCTTTTTTAGTCTCTATTTCTTTTTCTTGTCTTAATGATTCAATGGCATTATTCTTGATGGATAGTTCATCTTCCTTTTGTTTTAAATTTCGTTTCAGATTTGACACTGTCACATTCCTTGTTAAATACATGTTAAAAGAATTTGTGAACATTTCAAGATTGGCTGCATTACTTACAATTTCTTGATTTCCTCATTGAGTTGAGCATTCTTGTCAAGCTGTTCTTTAAGCATGTCTTTATCTTGCTTATTAAGTTTCTGTGTATCATTCAATTGCTTGACGAAGGTTTTCAACTTTTCTCGAAAATCTTCAATGGCATTTTCTGCTGATGTGAGTTTTGTTTGAAGTTCCTTATTTCTCTCTAGCGCTTCACGCAGTTCTTGGTTGTATGTCATCTTTTCTCGCTTGTTTTCTTTCTTTTTTTCCATCAATTGCTTAGAGGCTGTCCTTATTTGTTCGTTCTTTTCTAACAACTCGTTTTCTGTCTCTGCAAATCGTTCCATGTATTTGGCGTTGACCGTTCGTAAAGATTCGTTTTCTTCCTTCAAGGCATTAAATTGGGCTTGTATCTTTGCAAAGTGTGTGAGTTGGACTTTGAGAGCAGCCACTCCTTGATGATATTCGTTAATTTGCGCCACTGTTGTTTCATGCTCTTCTTTCAATGTGAAATATTTGGACACCAGTTCATTATTTTCAACTTTTCGACGAGACATTTCTGCCTCTAATTCTTTGGTGAGCTCTTGAAAATGTTCAATTTCGTCTTGTCTCTTTTTCAATTGAGTTTTTAAATAATTAATCTCTTCTTCATTGGCTGCAAGGATTTTTTGTGTAGCAGCATTGGTTTGAGCTCGCTCCGATTGCAACGTATCGATATAGTTACGAGCTTCTGTAAGTTGGTCGGAGAGTTCCGATTTTTGTTGTTGCAGCTTGTCAATTTGTGCCTTGAAGGTTTTTAACTTTTCTTCGTACTCTGGCAATTTTCTATTTTCATTTTCCAACGTGTCAAGCTTCTTTCGTTGTTCGGCCGTGTGCGTCAATAATCGTTGAGTGTTGAATTGTTCTTGTTTTAAATTGTTGAGTGTTTTTTGGCTTTCATCAGCCATTTTCTTGAAATTATTAATTTCTGTCAAAAGTCGCTTCTTTTCTTCTACATGATCCTCTCTTCGTTTGAGCTCTTGTGACAATTGGCCTTGCAAGAACGCCACTTGATTTTGAAGCTCTGTACACTTTTGTTTTGTTTGCTCCAATTCCGAAGAGGTTTGCTCCGATTGCTTTTTGTATTGTTCCAGAGAGGATGACATCTCTCTGCTCTTCATCTTGAGTCGTTCATATTTTTTGATGAGTGACGTGTTTGACTCTTCTTCTTCCTTGTTCTTGTTTTCGATTAGCTCTGTTCGAGTGTCGTGATCTCTTTGAATTTTTACAAGATCTTCAGCTAAAGAGGCATTCTTTTTGGTCAAGTCTTGAATCATGTCTTTTAAATCCTTATTTTCTTTTTTGTACATTTTCAACGAGGATTTGTAATGGTTGGCTTCTTTTTGAAGCACTTCCTTCTCCAAAATTTCAGTCTCTATTCGCTTGTTCAAATTCATAACCACAGATTTGAGTTCTTCTGGCACATTTGAATTGACACTCCGCTCTCTCTCTTCAATGATTCGTTTCGTTTCAAGAAGACGAAATTGTACCTCCGAAGCTAATTTGTTTGAATCGTTTAAATCCCGTTCTAATTCTTTGATCCGAGCGTCTTTCTCATGGATCATTTCGAGAAGTTGGTTTAAATCACCACGTCTGAATATTCACCATTAATTAAACGAATGATTAATCAGTTCCTCTTCCGATGGATGGATGCATCAAAACTTACATGACAGACGGCGAAGAAAAACTAGAAGTGGCCATTCGTTCCATCTTCTCCGAAGCATTAGATCCTATTGAGGGTTGTTGTTGTTGATACTGTGTTGCTGATGTTGAAGTTGTTTCATCTTGTTGCATTCTTGACGATGAGGATGAGGATGCGATCGATGGCACGATGTGTTTTTTTATGATCGTTATTTTTTTGAAAGTTTTAAAGAAATGTAATTTAAGGCGGGAATTGTTGGCGCGTTCTCAAAATCGTACTATGAAGAATTTATTTTAACAAAAGGTGACTAATCACCATTATGATTAAATTTGAAACAACCTCCTCCTCCTCTACTTGTGTTGTGTATGTGCTTGTTGTTGCTTCTTTCCGCAATGAGGACAATCACAATTCACACAAGTGCATTGTCCACTTTGTTCGCAGGGACATTTCTCGTTGTGTGTGACTTTGGAACAATGTTCACAAGGCATTCGGTTGGGCTGGGTTGGGTTAGAGTGGTAAAAGATTGGAGTTGGTAAAAGAGTGGAATGGATGAAAAGAGTGGAGTTGGTAAAAGAGTGGAATATAAGAGTGGAAGGGGTGGAAGTTTGTTTTTAAAAGAGTTGTTCAACAAAAGATTGTGTTCGTTCCGAGTGAGTGTTATATTTGATTCAATTCGAACGTTGAAAGCTCCGAAAGAAATTAAATGAAAAAGGAAATTGTGTAAATTAATGCATTGGACGTTCGTGTTGGTTTTCTGATTTTTGAGGAAAGTTAAACATTGCCTTTCATCATTTATGGAATTATTTCATGTTCAATCAAAAGAAAATTTTGGTTTTACAGTAAACTGAGATCATCAGCTCAACGAAAATGATTGGATCGAACTTTTTGGAAGCATGATCATTCTCCCACTGGTGGGTGTCATTTAATATTGACCACGAACGAATGAATGAACAGATGTTTTTTTTATCCCCACTTTTATAATCCTGAAGGTTTGTCCTGACAATTTCTAAAATTGGACCTGTTTTAGGAAAGCACAAAATAACAACAACAACAAAAAAATGGCCACCACACTCTCATCGGAATCACTCGCTCTCTATCAACAAAGTACCAGTTTTGCAGGATTAATTTCTTTGAATATTGATTTCATGAATGGAAAAATTGAAACTCCATATACCGATGGCTTACAAAGTGAAACAAGTCCATTGATTGAGTCTTTGATTGCCATCAATCAATTAGGCTTATTAACAACCAATTCCGGAACGGGAAATACTGGTCGTGCCTATTTGATCGGTCTTGTAGAAGGTGAAAATAATGCGGAGAGATTGGAAGTCTTGTTGAACCAGACCGATCTCATTGCTTTTAAATTGCCATGTAATACGGCCGGTTATTTGCCAAACTCTGATGACGATGTAAAGAGCGAACAACAAGCTGATCTAGTGAAAATTCCAATTTCTTTCAAGACTGACCAAGAAATTGGAGAAACGATTGTGAATCGTTATGTCACGTGTTTCAATTGGTTCACATTGTTACAGCCTTGTATCAATTCAACTTTGTACGAATCATTGGCCAATCATTGCTATAATTTTTATATTATTGACCCTGTTTCAAAGCGTTCAGCTCTTGCTCAAGATGGTATTTTGGGAAAGGTAAAACAATCTCTTGAGCAATTAAAGCACAAGTAACATGGTTCATTGCAAGGCGACAATTTCGAGTTGGAAAATAATACTCTTTTCTGACAACGATTAATTTATTTAATAATATACACCTCCTGAACTTTTATAGATCAATCTCATTTCGTAATTCATATTATAATATTATAATAACACAATGTGTCAGGTTCTTGAAAATTATTATATCACAAAAGTTGACACGATGACCACAATGAGCGTCATCAATTCATTCCCATCATGCATGATGTCCATTTCTGCCAATTTCCCATTTCCAGAAAAATCCTGTCTCCCAAAACAAAACAGTGCGTTCCTTTCGAGAGAACATTATGTCGTGCACACTTCCATGAACAAAATCTCACTCTCAACCACCATCACGACTCCTCTTCTGCACACTTTGAACACCATCTTGTCATTAATCATCATCTTTGAACCCCCTCTTTAACAATTTTTCAAAGTCTCCAAACGCATAACCCATGAAATATCCCCTCATTCATCGATCGATTGACCGAAAATTCCTTCTCTATGCTTGTATCTTGTTGCTCGTCTTCACTTTGGTTCCTCTCTCCCTCTTTACCACCTTCATCTTTTCTCCGAGCACTTCGATCAAACCCACCTCGACACAACACGTCTGGATTTTAGTACCGTTGCTGTGGGCCCTCATTGCCTTATTGTTGTTAGGGGTGGGATGGGCCACTGTTTTCCTCTTGCATCGTGCATCGAGTTTATTGCGAGAACGAGAAAAACAAACAAAATTCATGGTGGAGGATGTCCTTCGACACTTTCAATTCAGCCCATCCTCGAAATGTCAACAACAATCACCACCACCAATACATGGAGCTTCAACAACAAGTGCCACCATTCAACAACAACCACCACCACCAGTGATGATGGGACAAGCTGGACTTGACACCACCACGAACACCAACCACTCTGGGGAAATCGATGATGAGGAACATCCTTTAAGATTTACATTTTGTTCTGAACCACCACCAATGGTTTGGAAAGAACAGCAACGGGCTTGGAGTGGTGTGTGTATGTCGTCGTGTCCTGCTGCTGCACTAAGGGCCAGAACCGCTCATTCCTTGATGATCAATGAAACAGAAGAAGACGACATTCCACAACAACAACAACAACAGAACACACGTCATCATCATGTATCATACCATTCCCAGTCAAGCATTCCAACTGCTGCTTCCTTGTCCTAACTCTCAATTCACAAAAATTGAAACCTTGCCCATTGGATTGAGCCAGACATTGCTGCCTTTATCCAGAAATATCCCTTTTACGATCCAAATTTTGACGTAAATAAGGATCCACCATGCACTACATGATATTAAATTGAACGGGTTTGGAATCAGAAGCATCTACTTCCTCTTTGTCATTCTGAGAGTAGAACTACATTTGAAGATGATTGTATTGACTCTTACTGGAAACTTTGAAAATATAAACCACGATGGCAGCAATTCACTCCACAACTTTCACAGAAGCAAAATTATAGAACTCATTTCCAAAATTAGACCCGATTTGTACTCACTTCTTGTGAAGGGACAATCAAGAGAATACAAATCCATGAGTGTTGCAGAATTTAAAGCAGGACCAGAGGTGGCTTGAAAGAAACACAAACTCTGTTCAAAAAAAAGGAAAATTCAATAAAAAAAATGAAGAAGTCTCGTCGTGCAGACTTGTCGCTGAAAGCCCATTCTGAATCCGAGAACACCAACAATGGTGAAGACGCTTCCTCCGATACTACCACCATCATGAAAAAGAGCTCTCAAAAATCTTCAATATCGGGTTCTTCACTCAATTTAAAATCATTGATTGCGAGCAAACAACAAAAGAGAAAGAATTTAAAGATTCAAAGCGGTGATGAGGAGCAGCATTCCGATGAGAATGCACTTGACGATGTACAGCAACAATCATCAAAGAAGGTTAAATTTAGTAAAATGAGTGGAGAAAGTATTTCAATTTTGGATAAATTGAGAAACAAATTTATACATGCATCCATGAAAGCAGAACAAAATGGAGGATTGAAGAAATTCACCAACAAATTCCTCGTCGATCCATTTGCTTCCATGTTATCTTCCAAGATGGAAATTCCAGAAAGTTTTGTCTCGAAACATCACATTGATGAGTACATGATGAACATTCCCAAATATCATTTTCAAAACACTCAAAATCCAATATTTATTGAATATCGTACCAATGATTTGAATGACAACTCGTATCAGAAACTGTGTGTTTGCATTGATTTTGATAAGAAGGTGAAAGATGTGTGGTATCATCACTTTTATAGGCCTTGGCAAAGTGATGAGTTGAAGGAATTTATTGAAACATTGAAGAGTCGAGAAATGAAAGTGATGGACACTATCAATTCTGAAACAGCAGATGGAGATAAGGCACTTGTTTTGGGAGACATGATCCAATTTGTTGGCTCCATGAAAGAGGAGGAATTGAATGCCATTTACAAGTGTTTCACAAAGGAAGAGCGTGTGATAAAACTGTTATCTACAGAATGGAATGAGAATGATAAATTAGAGGATTTATTCATTACAGAAACGAAACAATCCAAATTTGAATTTGACATTGAAGACGCTCCTATGGATGGAAACAATTGTGCATCCACCAACATTTTGGATAAGATCAAGAGAGAAAAGTCATTCACCTTGAACGAACTATTGGTTGAGGATGACCTTATTCGAAAATGGAAAGAATATCTTGACCAAGTCACGGAAGATGAATCCAAAAGCAAACAAAAATCCAATCAATCCTCACAAACATCTCTAAGACTGAAAATTAAGACAGGCTCATCTTACAGCAACCCAAAAAGCTCTACACCTCTCATTCACTTTAGAGATGATTTCCAAGGTCGATTATTCACCATTATGAATGATTATAGAGATTTATATTTTCCAAATTGCACTCCTTATAATCATCGAGTTTGTGTCGAGACATACACTCTACATATTGTAAATCATTTACTCAAGTAAGTATTTGAATAGCTTGTTGTTTGCTAGCGAAGTGTTAAATCACATGTGCATGGTCCACTAATGATTGAATGATTCTCAATACAACTAGAACAAAACGATATGAATGGTATAATGACACAAAAAGAGAATTCTACACCAAAGAACAATACACCGTCAGAGATGACAGTTACAATACTGCCAAAATTTTAGTGTTGGTTCCAAACCGTTTTGTTGCTTTTCTCATTGTGGAGCTCATGCTTGAACTAATACCAAAACTTCTCTCTGTTCGAAGACGTGAAGCTTTCGAGTTGACATTTGATGTGGATGAGGAAGATGAAGAAATTAAAAAGACAAAACCAGTTTGGTGGCAGCAACTTTTCGAAGGAAATACCAATGAAGAATTTAGTTTAGGTTTGAAATTGAAAGACTACCATGGACAATTGGAAATTATGGCCCTTGTTGCAGAATCTGACATCATTATTGCAACACCTATTGGAATACAACTGGAAAATGTTGCAGACAGATAGTAAGTTTCACTTTTTGTTAACAATTGTGAAATTATTAATTATTTTAATATTATATTGTGAAATTTATACGACACTACTTTTAGTGAGAGATTTTTATCGTCGATTGAAGTTTGCATTATAGATCAATGTGACAAATTATTGATGCAAAACTGGGAACATGTCACCAAGACTTTGGATATTGTCAATGTTGAGGAGCAGCAAAAATTCACTTTTGATCTTGATTTTGACATTTTAAAGGAATATCACATTCAAGGATTGTAAGTATTTATGAATTCCAATTGTGAATCATCATATTATTCATCCTCATATTTTCATATGCATTACCTTTCACACTACACTTTTCTCACACTATAGTGCCAAGTACTTTAGGCAAACCATCGTATTCAGTTCATATATGAGTCCTGACATTAATGGGCTCGTTACAAACTACTGCAAAAATATGAGAGGACTCGTGAAAGTAAGATCCTTCTATGAGGGAGTGTTGTCACCTCTTGCAGGAAATATTCCTCAAATTTTTGAAAGAATTTCATGCACTGATCCAACTACTGTCGACGATGAAAGATACAATTATTTTGTGAACACTGTTTTTCCTCGATTCAAAAACAGCATGGATGGCCGATTTCTCATCATTGTATCCTCGTATTTGGATTTTGTTCGTTTGAGAAATTATTTTGACATGTGCAACATTCCTTTTTATGGAATTTCAGAATATACTGAAAAAACGAAAAATGTTCTCTCCAAATTCAGACAAGACAGTGCAAACTTTTTAGTGTATACAGAACGACACTTTTATTATCATGCACCAAAATTGTCAGATTTCAAAATTAACCAAATTGTGTTTTATTCACTTCCAGAAAATGCATTCGTTTATGAAATATTTGGAAAGAAAGGAATTAATATTCGTTCTCAATATCCCTCCTGTCGAATGTTGTCATTATTTACCACCTTTGATGCTCTCAAATTGGAACGCATTGTTGGAACCAAACGATGCAAACATTTACTCACCTCAGATACTGACATTAATTTAATTGACAAGTAAATTCATTCCTTCAATCATTTCGTCGAATAGAAATTTTGCATTTTCACCTTAAGCGAATAAAATTATCGAACAGAATTAATATGTTCGATTGACATTTTGGATGACAATTTCCTTTTTTTACACCAATAAAAAAATGATGAATCAACAAACGTTTGTCATCCTTCATCCATCTCTACAGGTATCGTCATCACCACCATCATCAATACATTCATCCACTGGATCATCCATCGGAAGTAATTCTATTCATTCCGAAAATTTTTACTATTCTTCCTCTCCTCCTTCGGGATCATTTACTTCTTCTTCCTCTTTATTGAAAGATCAAATTCAAATTATTACAAAAACAGGAGAACATTGTATCAATACACCACTTTCTCCGTTTCAAATTAAAATTCAAGTCAAATGTTGTGGACTCTCAAAATTAGATTCACAAGTGAGAAGAGGAATATTTCCATTATGGAAAAATCGTTTATCATCAAAAAGCAATGAAAATTCGCAAAATGATGAATTATGTTCGTGTTGGATTATTCCTGGATATGAAGTGAGCGGAGTGGTGATTCAAGTTGGAAAAAAAGTCAACCCAAAAGTTTTTTCTGTTGGAGATTGTGTCATGGGTTTTATACCTGTTCAGAATTTGAATGAACACTCAACCATGACACAAAAACCTGTTTCTGTGAAAACATCGTCCTCAGATTCCAATGAGAAAGACGACATGTCGACTCTGCACTACGGAATGGAATGGCAAGATTCAGAACTTGAATCAAGCTCCTCCATGATGACCTCTCCAATTTTACCTTCCTCCCTCAATGGTGGCTGCTCGACAGAGTGTGTGGCAGATGCTCACTTTTTTGTGAAAATTCCAACTGGCATGTCATTTATCAAAGCATCGAGTGCAATCATGTGTGGAATTCGTGCCTATGACACGTTATTTTTCAAATGTGCGTCAACCATTCGACAAGGAGATGTCATATTTGTGAGTAGTGGTGCTCGATGGGAACAAACTTATTTATTGCAATTGGCAGTTTTGTTAGCAAAATGTCGAGTCATTACAACTGTACACACGGATGAGGAAATTAATTTTTTGAGAATGATTTCGTCGCGGTTGACTTCATCGACGTATTTGAGACATCACCATCGACAGGGTCTTGACTCCTCCAGGAGTGGCTCGACCGGTGACAATTTTAGTAGCCTCTATGGAGGTCGCTCTGGAAATTTGGACGATGAAGAAAATGATGGCGACTCCATGATGGGGGCGAGCAATAGTGGTGGAACAGGATCTCCTCCTTTTGATACACAATATATTTCATCTGTATTGTCCATGATGAGGAGTGGAAATTCTGCAATTAATCCACTCGTCATTCTCGATCGAAGACTGTATGACACTCCTGACAAGTTGCAACAGGCCATCATGAAAGAGACCAATGGACTTGGTGTGCAACTGGTGGTCTTGGGAGAATCTGCATTGATTCCTCCAAGCAGCACCAGTACTGCACGAACATCGAGTCCAGTAAAGCAACAGAATATTGACTTGCCCCAAGATCGAAATCCCATCACGCGCTTCATTGACATGTGTCTTAATGTCTTGTCGACTCACGGCACAATAGCATTTAGCGAATATTGTGAACATGGTTTGACGGCTTCGCATCTGGAATACATGTATTCGAAATCTATTGCAATGACCAATATTTTTGAACAGAGCTATGTACAGAATACGAATTTGATGGGAAGATATTTACGTAAGTAATTGTGTGTTGTCATGAAATGCGAGATTGTAATGGTTGTTGAACTCATTCACAACAAATGTGGTCTTTTCTAAACAAAATCAGACATTCTCAATAATATTGTCAAAGACATTCATGAAGAACATATTGAAATTCCTATTGCTCATTGTCTTCCTCTTTCTTCGGTTCGAGACGCGCATCGAAAACTCGACAGCTCCATTATGGGTTCGTCTTCATCTTCTTTCGTTGGAAAGATTATCATCAAAATGTAAATCTCCAATATTCTCGTAAGGTTTTTCCGAAGCTTAACCTCCATAAATAAGTGACCTTAGGATATAAACCTTATGTTAAGGTTTATGTGAACATCATTAAATGATATTAGTAATAAATTGTGTGAATCTGATCTTGAAATCAATGTTGAATGGAACACGCTAATCAATCCTAGGATGTTCATGTAATCCGAATATTAGAATAATTGGGAGTGAATTGAATTTAAATAGATGATGACTCGAGTTTATTGTCCCTTCAATTGTCATCCGAACACGACTCTCACCAGCCTGAGGATGAGAATGTTATTGTTGTGGCACAATACAATCTCACTACAAACGGCGGAACATACTAGCAGCCAAAACTGAAATATATATTTCGTTGATGAAATTACTTGAGCTTAGAGAAGAGAGTTTCAGAGGCCTGTTGTTGGAAATGATTATGAAGATTTTTCGTGATGTTAGTGTTGGATAATGGATTTGATGTAAAATTCCAAAATTACATGTTGTTGTATCATATCAAGATAATCGTGAAGTCAAATTGAATTGTTGTTGTTCATTAGGATCAGTCCGCACCATGAGTTGTTGTTTTCAAATCCATTTACAAAATCCAATCAATAAATTTCATCCAGAGTCATCATTATGTAATGTCCAGAATAATATATTCATCATGGAATACAATAATTGTTTTTCATCAATACAAATAATCCCAACAACAATGAAACCATCCGAAAATTACTACATACACAATGATCGATACAAGTTCTCATATCAAAGAGCCAAGCAGCACAATTCTTCTCTCCGGTTTCATCTCCTTCAATTCTCTTTACGCATCCTTCATAATCAGCAACTTCTTGTTGGCATCTAGAAGCAGCACAAGAAGCACGGATTTCAATGGCAGGATCCACTAATTCTTCTTCCTCTTCTTCCTCAGAAGGCAAAACCTTATTCACAATCTTGGCGTTCATGGTGATGATGATTATTTTTGAGAATTTTTTAGAGTTTACAACGACCAATAAATATTTAATTTTGTACTTTTGTTGACCCTCATGTCAGAAAGAAAAGTCAGTCAGGGTATAGACTTGAAGAGAGCTGTCCATTTCGTAGTGATGCAACTGCTGCGTGCATCACTGAGTAACTGAGTGTGAAGACTTACAATCAGGTTATTTCTTTCGATAACTTTCAACCAGCTCTCGAACTTTCGAATCACTTCTCAGAGCTGAAGTTTCAATAAGATAATCCCAGTTGGTGTTGCTTTCCGAATCAAGGAAAGGATAAACATATGTTTGAATGAGCTCTTCCTCCGTTTTGTTTTCAATTTCATGCTTCGATAATTCAAAAGTTAACACTGCGTCGTAGCCAAGCTCTTCAATACAAGGTCCAAACACTTTTTGAAACGACGGCCCACCGACATATTCCATTCGTTCTTTCATGAACACTACTTGATGGTGTCTTTCCTTAATGTCCAATATTATTTTGTAAGTTGCAGTAAATTTGACACAAATTTTCTTGTCCTTTTCTAGTAATTGTTTAAGAGATTGTCTCGCCAGCTCCATAAATTCTTCTTTCTCGAAAACATATCTAAGCGCGTCGTAATATGTTTCAATAGCTGCTACAACTACTTCTTTGTGATTCTTTTTAACAGTATCAGAGATCCATCGGAATGCATATGGAGAGTATTTCGCTAATTGTAAAGCCGCATCTGTGTCATTAATAAGTGTTTTGGCAAATTGCAACGATATGAACGGATTGCGTTTTACGGCACTGAGCACAACTTCCAAATTGTTTCTGAACTCTTTGGGAAGATCATTAATTGCACATCCTCCAGAAACTGCACACAATGCTAATTCCTTGTCGAAAGGAATGCAGGAGGGAATGTATTCAGGATGACATCCGTGTTCCAAACAAAACATGACCAAATTTCTGTCCACAGGGATAATATTTTGATATTCTTCTTTTTTCAAATACTTTAAAATATTTCCATTCACTTCTAACATTTGTAATAGCATGTTCTTGTCATGTCTTAGAGATTCATGCAAAAATTTGAAAGCATGAGTATTGTTGTTTATCAATGGAATGAGTCTTTTTTCCTTTCTAAAGCTGAGAGGTGCTTTCGCTAATAGATCAGTCAAACAGTCACCATAATTTCTCGCTAAAGTTTCAAAATATGAAAAGTCTGAAAAGCATCGATCGTCTACAATAGTAGAGATGTCAATGTTGTCATTAATTAAATAAGTCTCGAAAACTTGTTGTTTAACGAGTTCGTTGAACATCCAAGGCCACTGATGAATAATTCCTCGTGCCTCTCCTTCATCCCATGGATACGCCTCATAATTTGCTTTAGAAATTATAGATTTTGGATTTTCCATTCCAATTGTTTTCAATAAATTTAAAGCATTTTCATAGTTATCCTCAATTGACCATTGATCCAAAATGTGCTTCAATTGATCGGCTAATATCCCTTCATGGTTACTGATTTTCACCCAAAAATCAGTTTTACGGTACGGACATTGTTCATAGTCAGGATAATAGTAACCACCATAAAAATTAGCAAATATAAGTTTTCTATCACATAGAAAATTGATAATATTTCCTCCAGTGTTGTCAAATATCGACAAACCTTTAGTCCAATTCAATTTGTATAGCGTTTGATCGTCTGTTGTAAAAATAATTTCTAAGGAATAGCAGCGAGAGTATTTTGGCAGATTTATCGCAAACCATTCAGAATGAATATTCTGATTCTTTACCTCTTCGTCTTCCTTACTACTACCTTGATATGATTCATCCTCATGGTCCTCATTTTCAGCTTCTGAGTCGTCCTCTTCCAAATCGTCCTCTTGTTCATCATCTTCTTCATTCTCATCAAAGTCATCATTGTCGTCATCATCATCGTTCATGTTTTGTTTTTTTCTTCTATCGAAAGGATGCTCGCTCATAAACAGCTTCAATAATCGCAACCCATACTTCAATATCTGTTCAGAGTCTGCTTCACTCATTTCAGCATTCAATTGTTGTAATATTTTTGGTATTATTACATTCTTCTTTGCATCGCCAAGTTTATGACTATCCAAATCTTGAATCAAGAAATTCCATCGATCCAACAACCATTCTTTCAAAAACATAACAAAACATTTCTTTTGAAAGTAATTGAAATACCATCTGGGGCAGATAATCATCAAGGTTTCATACATGAATTTCGGATGGCAATACGAAAATATTTTCTGTAATACATAGCGATCATATTGGAGTAGGGAATTCAACGATGATGAACGAAGCGGTGAATTATTGCATGATTGTTGTTTTTCCTTTTTACTCGGAGGCTCTCTTCCACCAACCAAAGCTTCGGAGGCTCCATATGGATCCATATGGTCGTGTGGTACTCTCTCTTCATAGAGGGTTCGTTTCATTTTTTTGTAAAGACGAATCGAAAAACAACTGTCCACCGTCACAAAATCTTAGCTGTATAATCAAACAAATCGGAACTCCAACCGATCCAATTACTTGCTGCAGCATTGGCCATAAAGTATTTCCTTGAAGAAGAATCTTCGGCCATGGAATGTAAAAACTCTCCAATGGGTTTTGTAAAGAAATAGGTTGAAAAGAGATTTACAATTCCGACAATTTGTGGTCGATTGACATCAAAGGTTAAAATCGATTGATTGACTGATTGAATATATTCACGAGTGTTATCGATTCACGAGTGTAGGCGTAGGAGGAGAAGGAATCAACGAATTCACCACTCAGGTTGTAATAGAGAGAGGATGGATTGAAGTAGGTTCCCCACTTGGAAGGATTCCAATCGGCATCTGCCTTATTTACGAAATTACTTGGAAGAGAGGCATCAGATTTGACATTTGGCAGCACATTCAACATGCAGCCAACGCACTTATTGGGACACCATGGTTGGTTCTGACTGAAACAACGATACAAACCCGTGTCGGGATCCTTAATGGCCGATACCAATGTGAGAGAGTTTCTGAATGGAAGAGTTTGGATTTTGAGCTTGTTGAAGAAGATAATTGATGACTTGTGTGTAATTATTCGTATCCACATTGGTATTCACTAAATTAAACCATGACGCGCGTAAGGTTCTGAAAGATATCGAAAACCTTTGATTCCATTCGCTTTGGCAAAATTAATTTGATGGTCGGCGCCCAGTTCAAGAACTCCAAAACCAAAATCAGTAATGTTTGGAATGGTACTGACATCACTGAAGGCAATCCAAATACCTTCTTCAGAGGGTGGAATTCTTCTTGTGAAAAGTTGTGGATATCTTTGGTAATATCCATAAGGGGCATTTCCGAAGGGATACGGAGTTGGTGCGGAGATGCCTCCCACGGTAGTTTCGAGTTTGTCGAGTTTGTACAAAACCAAATCAAACCAAGCCTTGTTTGGGGTGGCAGAGATGGTAGAAATGCCAATGTTAACACTTGCATACAATAACTTGCAAATGGAATTGTAATAAAATCGAACAATTCTTGGTGATGTTAAAGGAATTCCCAAAGAGAGTCCGACATTGCCACTTGTCACATTGGTGGACATGGCCACAAATGGATACGAAGTCACGTATTGAGAGCTTCCTGAAACACGAGAAAACATTCGTTGATATTCCACAGGATACATGTCAGCAATCTCTCTCGAAGATCGAACATAATCTCCCCACATCCAATTCAAATCCATTCGTGACAGGAATGGCCACAAACAATGTGAGAGAACGATCCTTAAGGGTCCATAAATTTTCAATATCAACACGAATGGAAATGGAAATTGCCACATTCATGTCAGCCTTAAAAGTGGTATTTAACACGAGACCCATTTCAGGAAGAGTAGACTCGGTTCGGAATGAATTGGGTGTGGAGAGAATGTTGTTTGGAGTGGGCATATAAATGATGGATTCATTGAGGCGCAGTTGCATATCCCTAACAAAAACTCCACCAAATTGTTGAGAGCTGTCAGATGCCACAGTTTGACAGTCGACATTGACACCAAAGATCCGTCATTTTTAGAAAATTTCAATGACAGTCCATTAGTTGTACTGACTGTTTGCAAACTACTAAGAGAAGGAGAATAGGCAACTTTTGCGACCACACTTCCATCCAACCAGTGAACATTTTCTGGAGCAAGACTCAATTCAGAAATAATTAAATTTGAAAAATAGGCAGAACCAGAATGAGCATTTCAAAACAACACATTCATACTCAACGTCTTGGTTGGTTTCTCTGGAATGAGAAAGGTATATTTCATGTTCCATGTGGAATTTCCAACTGGATAATTCAACGACTGACCATATAAGGCAGTTCCATCCATGTAAAATGCACATCCAAATAGAAGGAATAATTGGGATCACTCACACCTCCAACATTTTCTGCCTTACCCCATGCTGAATAGAAAATGACTTTTCGAGAGGATTGATTCAAAGTGATGCTTTGACTCAAACCATTGTTGACACCAACCAACTTCACTGTGTTAGACATGTCAGTGGTTGACACCTCAACATTATCTTGTTGAACAATGACCACTTACCTGCATTAACACTCACTGCTCCACCCATCGTAATGACTTGAATGGTCGAACCAGAGTAGATGGAATTGAATTTTTGAACTGGACTCGAATTTGGAATATTACTCTGAGAAAGAGTGAAGTCCCTATTCTGAATGACATTTCCCACAAGGTAATTCTTGTAGACCATTTCGAGTGGAGTGAACACTGGTTGAGCAACAAAGGCATGGAAAGGAGCTGTAAGGTCGTTTCACAATGTCAAATTGCCCATCATCATGTAGATGGTCCTATTTTTCTCTGCAGAATTCGAGAGGAAAACTTACCTTTCCACACAACCGTCAAGTAAACATGTAAAAGAATAATTAAGAGGAATAATAACAGCTTCATGAGTTTTTTTCTCAATGAAAAGATATTTTTTTGAGTGATTGATTCCATTTCGTTTCTTCAAATCAGGAATTTATGTGAAAATGAGTGTAACACCAATTGTTCTTACATGTTCTGAATATTGTTCGCCATTCCTTTTTCATTGTTAACATGATGATAACCATTATTGAAATGATGTGTTTTGTTCACTTCGGGAATACATGAGAATTTAGGTGTGCTTTTTCAACCTCCAACCATTCCAAATAAAAGTCGTAAAGGGAAGAAAACCGGTTTTATTGAATATCTATGAAAACCTGACATGACAAGTTAAAAGACCATTCGACATTCACAATTAAAATTTATTTTCATGATTATTAAGCAGAGACTTATTAATGCCATTGTTGAATAAAACACAACTTGTCCATCATATTATTATTATTTCTTTCTCAATAAAGTGGCTCCATCTCCAATGCATTGCATGGCCAAACCCCATCTCTCATCCTTGTGAAGTTGTTCATTCATCTTTCGAATGACATCTGTTCCAGGAGAATGATCGTTAGGATCCATTACCTTTGTGCTCCAAATGGTGTTATCGATCACTAAGAGTCCATTAACTCTCAACAAGTCATAGGCCAATTCCACATACTCCAATTGATTATCCTTATCGGCATCAATGTAAATAAAATCGAAAGGTATTTCCTGTTGTTGAGAAATTGCTTGTTTCAACTCTTGTAATGATTTGAGAGCTGGTTGTAATTTTAATTGGATTCTATTCGCAACTCCAGAGCGTTCCCAATAAGGCTTTCCCAAGGAAGTATATTCATCAGAGACGTCACAAGTAATGATTTGAGCTTGTGTGTCAGTAGTAGCCAATGCAAAGCTTAATGCTGAATAGCCGGTAAAAGTTCCAATATCTAAAATTCGTTTCGCTCCAATGAGTTTGAGTATGATTTGCAAGAGTTGAGTTTGTTCGGGAAAAGAAACCATTAAACTCAACATTCCAAGCTTTTCTGCAGTTTTCAAACGCAATTCTTGGAGAATGGGCTGTTCACGAATACCTACTTGACGAATGTATTGAAGAATGGGTTCTTCTACGAGGTATCTATATTTCACATTGGAAACGGTTTGTGAGTTTGGAGTGGACATGTTGTCATATGACTGTAGAGTGAGTGTTGAATGGGTGTTGTATGCAAAATATGTGTGTGAAATGCTTGCTGTGTCTTTTTGTTTTCAAAGAATTTTCTCTGTTATATCGATTTTTAAAGGCAAAAACACAATCGAATCATGTTCCATCTCAGAGCGGAGCGTCAATAAAAAAACAGTCCGGGTTGCATGGTGAAGTTTGCAGATCGACATGTCTATCAAAATGACCCATTCACGTCCGTGTCGGTAACCCATTCGAGTTGAAATTTCTAGAATGGCTCTCAAGAAATGAACAGAAATTGGCAAAGATGCCATCAATACTTGCAGCATGTTAACGACTCACAATAGATGATTCCATGATGGAAAAGCTTTGAGGTGATGTGTCCACAGTGGTATACGACGTCTCAATGGTATTGTTGTATTGAGAAGAGGAATTCCCAATGACGTCAAATTCTTCTTGTTCATTACCCAACAAGAGTAATTGATCTTTCTTTTTTTGATTGGCTTTTCGTTGTTGGAAATATCTCTTCAGTGGCTTCACAATGAATGAATAGCAGTCATAAAATCGTTCCTTATCAAAAACAATGTACAAAATGACGCAAAAACACATGCACGAACAGGTAATGCTGATGAGCTCGGATAAGTTACACAGGACATAGTGGGCAAAAGAAGTTCCATACACTCGAAAGAGATTAGAAAGCAGACATGTCAAGAATGAGCACCAATCGAAGCAACAAAGAACAACAAATTCACGAAAGTACTGTTTTCATGAGTATTGAATTCCATAAAACACATGACATTATTCAAGCAACAAGTTAGATTGCACCAACAATTCCATATATCAATAATACATATTAAGTTATTTCAAGCAATATATCAATAATACCCATAACACATGACAATATTCCAAATATCAACAATTCCAGTTATTTCAAACAAGGATGCACCAACAAAACTTACATCAGATTTAAAGAACGAGATGGCCGTTTTCTTCTTAAACGCAAAATATAACCTTAGAGACAGTAGAATGAATAAGAGCGTATTAATCAGCAATGGAATAAAAAAGTTGACATAATTCACCAACAGTAAAATATATGCAATACTTGCATAGTTATAAGTAAAAACCAATACCTCAAGAATAATGCACGCACTTAGACATAGTACAAAGATTATCAATGCCACAAACGTAATGCTTTTAAAAATTATGCAATTTTTGCGTTCTCCAGTCGTTAGGAATATATAAATAAACTAGAAGAGAGCGTGGTATAATTGAGTGCATTGTGAAAAGGCGCTGCAAATCCACCCACAAGCATCGAGCAACAAGATGCTTCCATAATGATCACACTGAAAATATTAGCAATGGTGAGATTTTGTTTTCGTATGAAACTCCTCATCAAAGGAAGAGCATACGCAATAAGACACACCAAAAAAGCAGGAATCATAAGAATCAAGATCAAAGTCATTTTGGCAAACGCTGTATCTTGATCATTCCAAAAGTGTTCACATGAAGAGGAATATCGATCCTCACTCGCACAATAACACACATATGGATTCCTCGAGTATTTGATAAAGTATCCACTCTGATAATTCAATGGAATTCCTCGATTGGCAATTCCACAATAAAAGGCAGAGGGAAACTTTGAAATATTGGCACAAACTCCACCATGAGGTTTTTCAATTTCACTATCATGCAACATGAGATGATACTCAACAAATCCTTTGGCATTACGACAATATTGGCAATAGTTCACTAGTGTATCGTTCCAAATATAGTGTTGAGTACTTGAGGAGTCAGAACACATCAAATCCACACAACTCTCCTGTATCGACTGATACTTCTCACATAAATCATAACGTTCTTTGGAGGTGGATATCGGTGAGTAGAATTCCGAGTTTTTAATGCCGTTTGAATAAATATAAATGGCAAAATCATCTTCAACGATGGTTTGAGGAAGTTGAACACTCTCACATCCAAAACCAAAAGGCAACTCTCGGAATTGAGAAAATACTTGTTCATTCAATGGAATTCGCTCAAATTTATATAAATTGGTGTTGTTGTTGAATGATGATGATGAACGGTTGTTAGAGAGCTGTGGTGAGGGTGGTATTCGTTGTTCATAGGAACAATTTCTGAAAGCAAAACGATCATGAAAGATGGTTTCCGAAGAAGAAGAAGGAGCATTTGCTCCTAAAACCAATGACACGGCAACCACAACGTTTGAGGATGACGATGATGGTTGTTGTTGTAGCAGCAGCAGCACAACCACGCATAGCACCATTGCAACGAGAAGACTTAAATTCCCAAGAAGCGTCATCATTACTAATAATTATATTTTTTTGAAATTCTTCTTCTTTCAAAAAAGTTCAAGAAGCACAAAAAATCTTGACAAATAAGGAAACAATGAAACCGACAATCCTCTCAGTGCATGCAACTAGAGAAGTAATATGTAAATGTTATTATGTTGGAGAGTAGTAATATGAATATCGTGTTCCAGATCTCTCCAAGAAATTATTCTTTAAAAAACAACTCCTCACATTTATTGAAAAAGTACATCTTTTTCAATGACATTAGAGATCACAAAATCATCTAATGAGAATTCTTCTTCTTCTTATTGAATCTTACTCGCAGGTGAAGAATACAACACCTTATCTTGTTTATTGGTAGTAATAAAATCAGTTCGATTCTCTGCCTCTTTCGCAGTTCCTTTAATATTGGTTTGTCTTTTTACGGAACTTGGTTTGGTCTTTTTTCTGGTCATGAAAGGAAGTCTTGATTCTCGAACCATTTTGAATGTTGCTGTTGTAGTGTTGATGATGGACCAAGGATGATGAGAGAGATGGTGTTGTTTTTTTGGTTGTTCTTTGTTGCTGTGAAGTGAGTGAATGCAAACAGTGTGTGAAAAAGTTGGCAATTTCCTGAAATGTAAATTACTCAAAAATGTCTTTTGCGATGAATTTGTGGAAATTGCTATTCACGATGATGCAAGAAGTAACTAACACGCAATAAATTGACATTCCAAACATGACTCTTTTCCAGCATGACAATTGAAAATCTCATCAGAAAACCGTTCCTCATTTTCCAAAGATTCTATTTGTTTGAAGTAAACGTATAGTATGAATCACTGAGAAAAGTTCCTTCCTTGAGAACATCGGAACAACAGCTACATGAAACGGCATTGTTTTCCTCGAATTGTCACTTGTCGATCGAATCATCCACAAAAAAAAAATCAGCACCATTCATTATCCCAACATCACCATGATCATTCGATCTGCAATGTCCACACCTCTCCTCTCGCAACACTCCATCTCCTTCCCTCAATATTCCACCTTCTCCTTCAAAAAGAAGAAATTCTTCGTCGGTTTCCTTCACATTCTCTTCATCTTGCTTTTCCTTTTTTCTTTCACTTTGAGATCTCTCATGAAACGGCCATCGTGAGCACCTCGTCGCGTCCTTCCACTCTCTTTTCTCTTCAAAATCTATCCAATATTAAAATCTATCCCAATTATATGGGTGATGAAAATTCTGGGTATTACAATGATAACACCATTCATGTACTCAATATTCCAGACAATAACAATTCATCTCTGACACTCTCAGTTTCATATAAATGGACACCTCTCATCCCAGCTTTGATGCCATCCTCTATCTTGTCAAATGTCACAAAATGTGGTGTGAAAGAATCTGCCGTGTTACAGCAACAACAACCATTAGTGGAATATTTTCGCTGTGAAACGATCACACGATCCGCATCCAACACAACCATTGTCGTGACTCCAAAGAATTCTGCAAATTTTACAGAAGGAGTTTATTTGATTCAGTTGGAACCGACTCCTGCCATGCAATTATTAACTGGAATTAGCGGAATTATAGCTCAGTTTGAAATCATTGTCTACTCTTCGGATGGATTAAGTGAAATTTTACAAAAACCCATTCCCATGTTAAAACCTCCAAATTCAGAATTATTTGTGAATATTTCAATTCCACCCATTTCTGTCATTGATCCTTCGTCTCCTCCTTCATTGGATACACTCACTGGTCAACCATTCATTCCCATGGGTTTGACTAATTTTGCATTGACTGCTCGATTGGGTGGATGGAATATTCCAAAAGGAGTCACCTTGAGATACAATTGGTCATTTCTACGAATTGTTTCCAATTCATTGGGAGCTCTAGATTTGATGTCTCGAAGAAATTCGAGTCGTCCTTCGAATTTTTATAACACATTGCAACCATTGACTCAAGAAAATTCACTTGGATTTTCGAGTATTGTTTTATCTCAAGATAAGGATATGGAGTTGGATGCTCTGTATAAAGTGAGTTGTTTTGTCACAGATTTGAAAAATCGAATCATTGCCAAAAGTTCGATTTATTTGAGAACTCCACGAGATTTTAATTTGCAATTTCCAACATTGCCTCCAATGAGTGTGTTTCCACAGATTGCAACATTTACACAACTTTTCAAATTTTCTGGACAAAATGTCGTTTATACAGACTCTGTGATTCCAAATAGTAATGTTTTATATGCGTATGGATATTTAGATCCATTGATTGTGAGTTCACTTTCTTTGAGTGATTTAAGAGATAAATTTTCAGACATTCCCATGTCACAATTAATGACAGCTGCCATCCGAGTGACTGATTTCTCCACAAATTCTGTTCAATATGCCTATTTACCACCAAGCTTTAGACAAATTCCAGGTCAAATGGCTCCAACTAATTCTTCAGATTTCAACTCGATTAGTTATTCCTACAAACATCAACTGGTCATGTTTGTGAAAGATGTCAATCAATCATTTACAAAAATTTTTCTATTACAGGATGCTGTTTGTGTAATTCCAACAAATCTTAATTCAGTATTGACATTTATCGAACAGAAAAGTGCATCCTTCTCTCCCATGCAACTCAAAGGAATTATGGGAATGACTCAAAGAATGTATCAATTTGGAGATATTCAATTGGTGGATCAAATTCAAAGAGCTCTCTTTAATCGAATTCAATCCATGATTTCAAACATGACCGTGCAAGATACTGGGAAAATGTTAGATATTTCTCGAATTATTGAAATGTGGTCCTACAATGCAACAAATTCTGTAAGATTAATGGCAGCTGACAGTGCCAATACGATTTTATCGACATTTTCAAAATTTTTCTCCTTATTGCGAACAGATGCTTCCAATAATCGAGTGACAGGAAATAATGTCAATGTCATGCCTATCGGTATGAGAGATTCATCAATTTTCTCAAGTTTGGCCTCTACTCTCTCCAACATGATTCCACTTTCTGAAATGAAATCTCAAACTCCATCATTGGTCAAACTCTTTGCTTCAACCATTGTGGATTCCTTGTCACCCAGTGAAGAAAAACGTCTCAGCACTTCTTCTCTCTATTTCACCATTCGAAAGGACTTTGCTGCCAATTTTAATGGAACTTTTATGGATTCGGATGATTCCAATGGAGTGCTCATGCCTTCGACTGTGATTTTCAATGACACGGCAGGATTGTATGGAGCTGAATTAGTGACCTATCTTGAAAATCCAAATCCCTCCACCACCAACAATGGAACTTCAAAAATTCAAAGTTCAGTCGTTTCATTGAGATGTATCAATTCGGATGGTAATTATTTCCCTTTGAGTGGATTGAGCGATCCTTTAGTGTTAACTTTTAATGTTTCTGCAACCGAGTTGGAAAAACCCAATGCTACCGTCTCTTGTAAATATTGGAATGAAACTGTGAATGATTGGAAAGATGATGGATGCCATTTGACAAGCCAGGTAAAAATGTCAAATTATTACATTATTTCATGTGTCTGTAATCACACCACACAATTTGCAACCTTTGTAGAATTTAGTTCAAATTCATTTATCAATTACACGACAGAACAAAAAACTGCATATTACATTTTGTGGGCATTTGACGTTGGAATTGGATTACTGTTTGTCATTGTGAGTGCCACCATTTTGATTCTAATCATCATTTTCAGAAATTCACAACCAGTGAAAGCAAAATATATTGCACCTTTTGTGGGAATGATTTCAATTTTGTTGGAATCTTTCCTGAGCTATATGGTGAAAGCAAGTATCATGATTGGATTAGTTTCAAGTGGATCAAACACTCCATTTGCATTGAATACCATCACTTATATTTCATCCATTATTGTGAGCGTTGCATTTTGTGTGACTGTTTTGACATTTGTCATTCAAGTGATTCGTTATCAACTCTTGAGAAGAATGTATTCATTCATGTCTGATGAAAATATGAATGACAAACATGTGGATAAGAGAATTTCTTTCTATCGATTGCTCTCCTCCAAGAAATTGTATTTCACAAGTCTTATTGTAATTTCCATTCTGATCTTTGTGATATTTGCAGGCCTCTCCATTGGTAGAGTTGGACAAGAACTTGCTCAATCCGACTCCTCGAAACAATCATTCACTTCAGTTACTTTCACCATTGTGACAAGTAGTGTCATGGGTTTCATTTTGGTGGTGTCACTTGTCAGTGTGACCATTATTTTCACGTGCGATTTATTGTACTGTTTGATTTATGAATATCGAGCCAAACCAATTGTTGACACTTCGATTCAAGTGCCATCTTACAATGCCTCTACTCAATCCACCATTGAATTGAGTGACACTTCGACATCCAAAATGGAAGGTGATTCAAATCCCAAAAAGAAGAAATTACTCGAAGATTTTTACATCAAAAAAACCAAAGATCTCACTCTCTCATCCATGTATCGATTTTTCATTCAGGAAGATCCTCTCTTCTTCAGAGCTGAAAGCTTACTTTTTATTTTGTGTTTGGGAGTTCTATTGGCGTCCTATGTTTTTGGTATTGTGAGTTTGGGATTTTTCATTTCGACCAATACTTCACTCGATACTTCTAATTCTGCATTTAGCAATTCACTCATTATGGATATTGTGAGATTAATTCTCTCGGTAGTATATTTTGTACTCTATGTGTTGGTGTTTGGTGATTTATCACTTCTCGTTTATATTTTCAAATATAGAAGGAATGCATGGAATGTTAGTCATAATGAAAGATTCTACGATCAATCCGTAGAATCTCTCGAATCTGGAGCTTGTCAAAACGAATTGTTTGAAATTTTACAAGATCAATTGGCGTTGCGATTATTTGAAAAATTCACAGTGAAAGAATTTTCAAAGGAAAATCTCATTTGTTATCATCAATTAATGGAATTGTACACAATTCACAAATTGAGAGAATTAGAATGTGCAAAACAAGTGAAATTATTGGAGAATTTTATTGGAAAATTTTTAACTGCTTCCTCTGCCTATGAAGTGAATATTCCATCTCACACACGCACTTCATTATTGAAAACGGTGAATGAAAAGCAATCGGTGGATAGTCAACAAATTTTGAAATCTTTGGATTCGTTGAAGGGTGACTTGATTCAAAACTTGTCAGATACCTTTTCGAGATTTATCACAACTCAATCGTATCAATTTTGGGTGAAAATTAAGCAAGAGAAGCAACAATTAATGAATGCCAATAAATTGAATTAATCATTCTAAAGATTAATGAGATTTCTGTTGTAAATAAAAAATTGAAAAGAATGAATTAGATTTTCATTTGAAATACCAAACATTCACAATTTCCTTTTTGGTCTAATTGAAAAACAATCTTTGATAATATTAAAAAAAACAAGATGGGTTTGCTCGAAGATAGCACGCCAAGAGTCCCTGGTTTCGGAATCATTGTTCTTCTGTTCAATATTTTCGTTCCTGGTTTAGGAACTGCTTTAGCGTCGATCATGACGGACGAATCAGAGAAAATGAAGCCCACTCTTATTGTTGCATTTTTACAATTTTTCACATCCATGTGTGTAGTTGGATGGTGTTGGTCAGTGTTGTGGGGATTTAAAATCATGCAAGTGAGTGACATGACTGGAGATTTGCCATGAGAGAGCGTTCCTTTTGATAGGAAGTATGATGAAAACTTGTGAAATGTTGATTGTATTTGGAGAACTTAGGAAAATGAAGTGTAAAGAAAAAAGCAGAACCTCAATATCCTTTGTGATTTTCTTGACATGTCCTTACATGAGCGTGTTCTAACTTAACGATAAATTTACAGAAATTTGCTCAAATTTTGCTGGTTTGAAAAAAAATGAAGAATTATTTTGCGTTTTGGACCATTCTTGCTCTTTCGGTGATGCTGCTGTTTTTAACGCTGCATCCTCGTGATTCAAATGTTGCTGCATACAGTACCAAGATGAGATCAATCATTCAAAGCCAACTAGCCTCCTCTCAAAACAGTCGAGAATGGAATCCTTCTCTTGCTTCTCAAAAATCGTGTGATATCATTAGTTCCGAGATGAATCAAATGGATTTGAAATTTTGCGAAAATCGAGTGAATTATCCAACGTCTATTCTGGATTACAATAGAACTCATGAAAGTGAAGATGTTGCCTTGAAAAAGGCAGATTATGTCGCTGCTCTGTATTACAATTTGATGAATTGGGACAATGCTCGTGGACAAGTGCCTTCACAACAATGTAAGGAGTTGGTTCATGAATTGTTGTGCCATGCAGTGTTTCCGTTATGTCAAGATAAAGGAGGTTATGTGAGAAATTTGTATCCATGTAAAGACAAGTGTACCAAGGCCATAAGTGTGTGCAACACGACTCCAACGGAGCCCCTAGGAGAGGATATTGTCATGTTTTGTACTCACATTAAGCAGTGTAACAATTATTGATGCTGGCAATTGTTCATGTAGGCCATTGAGTAAAAGAAACTGTTAAGGCAACTCATTGAATATGATAGCTGACCTCATAATTTTCTGAATTGAATCATGGTTTACTATGGGAAACGTTAGAAATCATCAAGGCCTTCCTCCCATGATGGCTAAAGACTGCTTTTATTCGCTAAACGTTCCAATAATTCCAGTTGTTCCATCCTCTTCTCAACTTGCTCGTGAGTTTTCTTGATATCTTGTTTGCATTGATGGAGTTTTTCGTTGATGCTGCATGTTTGTGAGGGAGTAAAATGTCAACAATGTACTCATATCATATAAATCAAACAACAACTCGTTGAACCTACCTTTTCAGTCTTTCTTTGTTTTTCCTTCGTTTTTCAATCACTTCAGGAGTTAAGGGTTGCTTTATCTTTGCAGGTTTTGGTGTAGCGTCTTTTAGATTAATCATTGGAGATGATGGTTGTTTCAAAGAGATATTGTTATAATAACTTGTGTCCTCATCGTCAAGATATTTCATGTGACACACTCGTGTAGGACCTCCCGAATAAAAGAATTCCAGATCCTTCAATTTTCGATCTATTCTGGTATTCCAGTGTCGTTCATGATGTTTGTTTGGACTTTTTCGAGAGGAATTGTGCTGTTCCGGAGGAGAAAGGACTTCATCAGATGTAGTTGAGAGTGTGACATTATCCTTACCACAGGAAACGCAACCATTGAAAGAGGAAGAAGCTTTTGAGGGTGGTGTTGCTTGTTGTTTAATCACTGGTTCTTCCATCTTCCAATAGTCTGATTTTCTAACACGAGCAGAGAGTGGAGCTTGGAGTTTTGATGACGCTGATTTCGGTGTTGAGGAGAAAGAAGGTGGTATTCTATGTTGTTGTGGGGATGACGAAGTGGACGTGGCACTTGTTATTCTCAAAGAATGACTTTTGGACGATATTGAGCGCACCGATGTGAGTTCGGGTTCTTTTTGGGAGAAACCATTTGGAGAGGGCAAAAGGTTCTGAAGTTGTAAACTCAATGGAAAGGAAGGTTTGGAGTTTGGAGTTGCCTCAAGTTGAGAAGTTGCTTGTTGTTGAGGAATCATGCTGTCGTGGAGTGGTATCTTTACGTGATGGAACAGTCGATGTACATCTGCAGATGTTTCGGAATCGTTTCTCAACGGATTGACGGAGGGTCGAGAGATGGTATCTTCTGTGTTGCTGCTTACGGGTGCGGATGAAGCAGGAGATAAGGCTTGTGGGAGGTGTTGTTGCTGTTGCTGCTGTTGAATGGGAGGAAGCAATATTCTCAACCGATTTTCCAATGATGAGGATTCCCCCATCATAACGGATGATTTGGAAAATTTAGGAGAAGAAACGGATGGTTGTTGTTGTGGAGGGAGAAGATTTGCTGAGTCTGTATTCATGTTCAAGTTGGAATTGTTTATGTTATTTATGTTGTTATTTCTATGGATGAACATGATGGAAGATGATCTCGGGCTGCTCTTCAGGATGGCGATCCTGTTGTTCTGACCAGTGATGCTGCTACTACTAATGCAACTCATCGTTCTGCAGGAGGGAGAGGAAGGAGAACTTATCATTGAGGTCAACATGTTGGTCCATTAAAGAAAGAGGGTTGTGCCCGAATCGCGATGCGAAGGGAATCTCAATATTTATATTTATAATACAGTGGAAGTTAAATTTTTTTCTTTTCAAATCGTTCTCGCTCCGTAGATCTTGAGATTCGCGCAAACTCCCAATGTTTCAGAAAGGTAGACGGAAGTATTAAACAAATATACGATCCTTAATTGTACAACAACTGTCATTCCACTACTACAACAACTACTGTTCTCAAGTGAAATAAATTCAGAAATTCCACAATTATAGAGTTTGTTTATATTAAACATTTTGGTGGAGATACTAATTGATGCATTTTCTTTGTTGATCAATTGACCAGAATTTCTGAGCTCTGAGATTTATTGAGGAATTGTACGAAGAACAGGTCACACGTCAAATGTCAATTCTTTTTTAATCAAACCACATAAAAAAAATGCAAGCCAATAACCGTTCCACGCTCTTCATCCTTCTCTCACTAACTGTAATTTCCTTGGTGTGTGGCTTCCTTGCATCATCATCCAAGGCCAACACACTCTCCAATGTCCTCTCTACAGTCGATGCTCTCACTCTCTCCGCATCATCGGAAGGATATGTCTTATCGGATGAAGCCTCCACCTCTACGATCGCTCTCTCATTTGATGAATTTAATGAAATGGCTGATGAAGAAATATTTGGAGAGGACTTGAATGAATCGGATCAAAATTCTAAAGAAGAAGAAAATAATGAAGAAGAAGAAGAGAATGATGAATCCGAGTCGAATCTCGAAATGGCAGAGAGTGGTGGCACTGCTGAAGCACAAGTTGCCTCTGCCGATACTCAAACAGCTCAAGTCACACAAGCAACAACAACAACAACTATAGCAGCAACGACTCAAAACGAAGATGAAGCTGCTGCTTCTTGGTTGGCTTAAATGTTTCGTACGAATGATTTAATTTTCAATGATGAAATGATGAATTTTGAAAATATGCGCGAGAGTGGTGACATTAGACCATCTTTTTTTGTATAACAATAACAACAAAATTGATCGTATTACTATTATTAAATTATTATTGATAGTACCAAGTAGATATTACTAAACCATCCTTATAGAGATCTCACTAGAGATTCAACTGTCGAATTGGGAGAGTTTGTTCTTTTAGGCGTTTTTTTTTGATTTGTTTAAAAATTTAGAAAAAATGTTTCCGAAACGACACACTCCATCCAGATCAATGGATGGTGTTTCGACCCTAGCAACATCATCCCCTCCTCCATCATCCTCACAACAGACAGAAAATAATTTGATCAACTCTCCTAGTAACAACAATAATCAAAAGAATAATTTTAATAATATTCATGGTTTAAACCAGAACAATAATTTTCATCATCAGAGCACAATATCACATCATCATACGACATCTGCATCATTGGATGAAGAAATTGAATACTTTTCTCCGAATTTAAATGGTTCAACTGTTCAATTAGCTCCGAGTCCTATTAAGAATGATTATCGAAAGGATCCTCAATTATCTAGAACCACAAAAGATGGAGTTCGGTCTCCTTCATTATTTACAAAATATCCTTCTATGGATGCTGTTTTAATGGCAGATGATAATGGTGAGGCTCACCGAACCACCAACAAGACAAATTCCGAATCGGAAATTTATGAAAAATTATTTGAAGATGCGGATGATTCTTCATTGCAAACGACCAATTTTTCAACACCTACCAAGAACAACAACAACAACAACAAACGACACACCACCAATCACTCGCTAGATGTCATGAACATGCAGCAGACAACAACAACTCCAAAACTACCAATATCAACGACAACAAATTCCTCCACCATAAGCACACCTCTAACTCCTAATACCTTTAATGTACAGTCTTCACCATCAATTTTTCCAAAATCTACTACCAGTAATTCAACGTCTCCCTTTCCAAAAGTTAATTCTGCCAATCGAAAACGTCAAAATGAGTCAAACACTTCCATCGAACATTTCTCAACACCTAACGCAGAAAAAATTTCAAATGCTCAATCTTCATCATCACCAAATGCTAATGACACTAGCACAATGGATATCTCAGATTTTGAACAATTCAATGCAGATAATATTTTAAAGCCTCTCAAAGCATCGACCGCAAAACAATTGCAACAACTTCAAAGTAGTGGAGAGACAACCTTAAACGACACAACCATGATTACACGACAAGAGTCGAGGCATCAGGCTTTATTTCACCATTATCTCGAAGAAAAAGGAGACATTAGGAGTGCCATGTTATTGCTGAACCAATTTCATGTGAAACAACATCGAATGAATATTTTGAATTTTAAGCTTAATTCCATTAATTTAGTTGCAAATTTTGCCAACGCTGTCAAGTCTCATAAACTTCAACTTGAACTACACAAGAGTAAGAAGACAGTGAATGCGCTACATTCAAAAGTGGAAGAACTGAATGAGACTGTTGGTGATTTAAACGAAGAGGTCGAACAACACAAATCATCACTTGCGTCCTTCATGCAAAAATACTACAAAACGGTGGAGGAGTTGCAACAAAATCAATACATACAGAAAATGCAACTCGAAAATATTATTCAATTGAAGACGAGAGAGGACATTACAGTGGACTTGCTTATTTTAATTGCCTCGTCGTATATTGTAAGGAAAAATCGAACCTTACACCGATTTTTGAAATTTGTTTTCATGTTTTTACCATTCAATGGATTGATCATTTTGGTTGCGAAAATTCTGACTACTATTGGATTGATGCTCATCTCAAGAAGAGTTGCCATACGATTGGGTATTCATGCGGGTGCAACAAATATCGCTTATGGAGCCATTAAGAGTGTTCAATTTTCCATTCATGTCTTGAAAACATTGTGGAATCTTTTCCACATTAGTGATCGTGGTTCTAGCTTGAAGAAGGAGTGATTTATGAAATATTCTGAATTACTCGAGTATTATAATCTGATTAATGAGCATCCTTTGAATGTGTATCAGTGATTATCATAATATAGAATAATCTTGTCACACATGCACCTGTATTGCATACAAATTGATCTAGAATTGTCACTCACTTATTTACTCTTTGCAAGATCTAAAACAAAATGGAACAGTGACACAGGTGGTACAATATTATCCACTCTCTTCAACTCAAAACCAAAATTGGAATATAATTTTCGTGCTCCATACTGCAAACTCGATGTTTTGAGAACTAGATAATCTGCATGACATTGATTTTTGGCATATTCATAGAGATGAGTTATCAATTTTTTAGCAATGCCAGCTCCTCGATGACTACTCTTGACACTCATTCTTCGAAGTTCAACAATGAGTGGCTTTCTGCCATCATTACGTTTAGAAAACTCTTCATCAAGTTGACGAAACACCTGATCCTCTCCTTCACCTGGATAATGCCATTCATCAATCGCCACATGTCCAACCAGCTCTTCTCCAATATAAGCCAAAAAGAATCGATTCAATGGTTTCTTGGAATTTTTTGCATAATAATTGGCAATATCACCCAACTCGTTCGATTCCTTGCTTTTTTGAATGTATTTCGAAAAATCTTTCATCAACATTGGTTTCAACACCTTCTCCAAAACAAGATATGACATGAACAGACACAGTAGGACACCTCCCACAAATACACCCATTCTCCCTAACGTCACATCTAAAAAGGGTAATCCAAAAATCATTCCAGCACTCAACCAAATCATAAACAATGTCATCCAAACCATTGCCGTCAATTTATATCCAAAATAATCATAAAACAAGGCAATCATACTCTCACTGGTACTTCCCTGATCGGAATTGAACAAAAAACCAACCAGAGGTAATAATGGAGATGATTTTGGCAGAATATTCTTTGGTGCACAATCCCACATGCCATTCGTAAATATTTCATGAATTTGTTGTTGTAGATTCAAGTTGTGCTCAACAGCAGTGGTCGGTTTTTCATTATGTTGTTGTTCCGAAAAGTGTTGTTGAATGGCCTCGGAGAAAGTCAGAATGGAAACCTTGTCGTGAGACATTTTTTTTCTTCTTTGAGGAAGCTATACATCCTGGGTGATGATGTATTCATCCTTATTGCGATGATTATTTATTAAATATTAATTATAAAATATATATAAATTTAATATTTAATTTTATTATTGAATTTGATATTGACTTGAGAGTCGTGCAAATTTTATTTCGCCGATTCAAGAATTGACAATCGAGCACTTTTTAAAAAAGCGTTCGTTAAATTTTGAATTTTCAAAAAAGAAAAAAATGGTCTTGTGATTAATCATTAGTGGTATCGAATACCTTTATGATTACGTCAAAGGAAACGATACCAGCGCAAAACAAGGATGTCCTCTCACCCGGGTGAATTCTTCATCGGAATCTAGAACATCCTCTTCATCGGAATCATCATGTTCCGGCAATTCTGTACAGTGTCGATCTGGTGTTTGTACCATGATGAGTAAAAAGAAACAAGAAAATTAAATTATTAGATAATATATTGGTGATGTTGGAAAAAAGAAACGGTATTTTTATTCATAGGTTCGACCAAGTGAACCAATTTCTGGAAGTAACGGAGCGGACTTGCTTTCCTCATCAAGATACAGATCTATTCTTTGTGTATATTTCAATTTTGAATTCAAGTGAATGACATGAAAGAGGTGTTGAAATTTATTCAATTGCCACCATCAATGGTGCATTTGACAACACACTTTTATTGAAGAATTTGGTCATAATTGACTTGTACACACTAGTTTTGGATTTTATAAACACTCTCAAATTGTTTCTCGTATGATTTAAATTTTTATGCCTGTTCGTAAGAAAATCGTTGAATTGTTTAAGGATAAATAAGAATTTATAATAATCGCAATTTAAAGTTGACACACATGTGTTTGGTTACAATTTGGGTCTTGGAGGAACATTTCTCTCAACAAATGTCACAACAGGTCGATCTGGATAGAAACGTTCTCCGTTCTCAGCCATTCTCAAAAGAAGAGGACTTGGCTTGAATCGTGTTCCATTAGCTCCATATCTTTCATCTAAATCCTTTAATCTCTTCACAATCCATTTAGCTCCCTTAGAATCGGCATATTGCAATAATCCACCACGGAAAGGAGCAAAACCAGTTCCAAAGATCATTCCAACATCAATGTCTTGTGGAGTCTCAGCAACGCCTTCCTCTAAAATCATACATGCCTCATTGACCATCAATAACACACAACGATCAATAATTTCTTCAGGGGCAAACTTGCGACGAAGCTTGGGATCGTATCCTGGGAACACTTGCAACAATTCTGGATTAATTTCACCCTTTTTAAGCTTTTTGGCTTCCTCTCCGTACACAAAGATTCCCTTTCCAACTTTTTTACCTAATAATTTAGCATCGACCAATTTTTTCAAATCGAAAAGTGAACTTCCTGTGGCAGTTTCTGTGAAACGAGCACCCAATACTTTCAATGTTTCACCCGAATGATAGGCAACATCGGTACCAACTTCGTCCAATAATCTGAATGGACCCATTGGCATTCCAAATTGTTCAACCATCACCTTGTCAATTTGTTGAATTTCTCCTCCGTCATTAATTAAGCGGCCTTATGTGAGATTAAAGTTACAATAGATATACAAGTAGTAGTAAATAATGTGAATAATAATGTTACCATAGATATATGATGAACGTTACAATAGATATATTTTCATATGTGAAAGTAAGTTCCAAAGTAAATAACAAGAACAATTAATTGGAGGCATTTGCTGAACAATAAACTTACCTGCTTCGGTCATGTAAATTCCCAAAATTCTATTCACGATAAATCCAGGACCGTCATGACACACAATAGGAATTTTACCCAAGTCCAATGCAAGTTTGTATATAGTTGCCACAGTCTCATCGGATGTCTTTTTGCCTCGAATAATTTCAACTAGAGGCATCTTGTGAACAGGATTGAAAAAGTGCATTCCTACTACGAGGTCAGGACGTTTGGAAACACTAGCCAACTCATTAATGGAGAGTGTGGATGTATTGGTGGCAAAAATAACGTCACCGTTTGCAGAAGCCAGAGTATTTTCACATTCTTGAAGAATCTTCTTCTTGAGAGCCATATTCTCAACGGCAGCCTCAATGACAACTTGAATTCCATTGCCTGATGAGGCTTGAGTTGGATATTCAACACCTCCAGAGACGAGCTTAATTCTGAAGAGTGCTTCCTCTCTGGACATTCTATTCTTCTTAACATAGTCATCCATGAAAATTCTCTCAACAATGTTCATGCCATTCTTGACAAATTCAGGTTTGATGTCCTTCATAAATGTTGGATAGTTCTTGTGAGCGAACAATTGAGCAATACCGCTTCCCATGACACCAGCTCCAATGACAGCAATCGAAGGTGCAACAGATCCAGGTTGTTTGACCATAGTTGGATCATAGGTCACTTTACGAACCGATTTCAATTTGCCTAGCTTGGGGAATTTTCTCTTCCAATTTTTGGCATTCTCACGCATAAAGAACACAGCCATCAAGTTCTTTGATTCAGCAGTGACAGCCATCTTTCCAAATAATTGTCTTTCCATTAAAAGAGCACGACCATTGGACATTCCTGGTTTGGTAGCATTAAATACAGATTGCAGAGCAGCATATGGTGCAGGATATTTGCCACGTGTGGTCTTGTCGAGATTTTTCAATGCCATTTGAGCAACGAATTTTCTTCCAATAGGATTTCCTTCAAGTAATTTGTCTCTCAACGTTTGTGGCTCGTATTTAGCGATTGGTGGATTCTTGTCAACTGTCTTAGCTCCAGCATAATTTCTTGCAGCTGCCAAAAATCTAAATTCTCCATTGAAACGATCTTCGTAAGGAATGGTTGTAGTGACGAGGCCTGCTTTCTTGGCACGAACAGCTGAGAGAGTCTTACCAGGTAAAATCATTTCCAAACTCTTTTGTAAACCAACTAATTTTCCAAATCGAACGGTACCTCCTGCTCCAGGAATGACACCTAACATGACTTCAGGTAAGCCAATAGTGGTACTCTTGTGTTCACTAGCCAATCGGTAAGAAGTGGCAAGACACAATTCAAAACCACCACCCAATGCTGGTCCATGGATGCATGAGATGGTTGGAACGGTGAGGCTGGCCACTCGATCCATTGCATCTTGTCCATGTTTGGCTGCCTTTTCTGCAAGTTTCTCATCCAAGTTGGGATACATCATATTAATGTCGGCACCAGCACAAAATACGCTTTTTGCAGAAGAAATCAAGAGAGTTTTGATACGTTTCGTTTTGATAAGTGTTTCGATCACTTCTAACATGGATTTGATGTCGGAAATAAACTGGCCATCAATGACGTTGACAGAAACTGTTTCAGTCTTTGTTCCACTTGACAAGGCCTGCACAATGTCAGATTCGTTTTTGATGGTCTTTTCATTCTCTACATATTCGGAGTGACACAAATTTGAGAGGAGTTGGTCAAAGAGTAATCCGAGAGTTGTATATGAAAATAATTTTCAAATAATGTATAAGAGAGTGTATATGTATTGACACGAAAAGAAAGTGGAATGAATGTGACCATGCAGTAAAATGTATGGTATCACAAGTCAAGTTCATGGTTTGTTGATTTAAAAACAAACAAACAGTCAAGTACGTTTCCAAATTCAATAGAATCATCATGATCATATTTACGCACAAACGAATTTGTAATCATGTCAGACCATCATAACAACCACTCTACTCTCCAAATCATCATGAAAAAAAACAAACTTACCTCCTTCCATCACCTTCAAATACTTTTGATTAAGAACCAGCCAACCCAATGTATCTGAATCCACAAAAAGATCAAAGCACATATTCGTATAAAATTCTGTAATTCTTCCACTCTCAGATCTCAAAAATTGCTCCACGGGTGAAACACTCTTTGTAGCCACCATGATCGGATGTGGAGTATTTCGATACAGTGAGGAGGGAGAAGGCTCTTGGGCTGCCGACGAAGCATTGGAAGGCATTTTTTTTAATTAATTTTCCTTTGAGGCTCATTCGTGTGCGCGAAGAAAGTTGAGCGAAAATATTCTCCGCCGAAGAGTTGATGTTTTTCAATTGAAATTCAAAATATTATAATGAGAAAAGAGAAGGTAATCCTCATTCATTGGTAAAAAAGAAGGATCTCTCTCATTGGTTAGTGATCATTTGATTAAAAACGAAATTTTAAGGATCTTGAAAGAAATGAATCATTTTCACGAAACCACATCCAAGACACTCATTTTTTCATCTTGTTTTTGGCGTTCCGAATCGGAGTGTGAAACGATTGGTGGTTCTTCTTTCTTTCAAAATGAATATTGATGATGAAAACTATCCCGCATTCAACTCAACACATTTCATGAAGAGATTGTGATTAAAATTGCTTATGGTCTTCTTTCCCTGATATGGTATGTGAATGATTGTCACGAAAGTCGTGAGGAGGCAATCATGCATCTTTATTTAAGGTGGTGGTGATTCATTATTGGTATAGTGTCGATAACACCTTATTTTGTTAGGTATAGTATTAATATTTTTGTTAGGTATTAAAATTCGCAACTCGTCGAGTATTTACACTCTAGAGGAAAAACGTTCACTAATTTCAGTTAAATACTGATCAATCTTTTTGATGGCAGCTGAACTCGATGGATCTTCAATCACATTATATTGGCCTTCTGCTCCAGAGGGAATTTTTAACACTTCTTTTTGGCCACGTACGACTCGAAGTTTGGGATTAATTCGAATAATTTCGGCACTGTCTGAATTTTGTTTTAAAATCATGTCCGTAATGGCTCGAAGTTTGGCTTCAGCTCCAACTTCCAAGACAACGATAGATCTTCCCTCTTCTTGAATGGCCTTTTTCACTTTGGTACTCCATGTTTTGTAAGGCATGATACTGGTCTTGATCCATTTGTCATCAGTGAGATTCATTTTCACACGAGGTCTAGCCACTCCTCGACACGTCTCACAAAATATTCGATTAATGATGGGTTGTTTTCGAGGATTGTACAGGTCTATATCTTCAGCAGATTTCACACGGCCACTGAGTAGGTCAGATACTTGATGAGGTTGTGTTTTTCTGGAAGAAAAATCTATATTTTCTGTAAAAACTGAGGATTTCGGAGTGTTGAAGGTGTTTGGTGACTGTTGTTGCGAAAATGCAGTGTTAGGTGTAAAGGTTGCGGTATTAGGAGACGATGTTGATGCTGTTGTGGTTGTTGTATTTGGTGGTTTCTTGTCTTGACTTAATTGAGGTACTGGATTCGCGGTAGAAAAGTCTGTGATTGGCATGTCTACAAATAAGGTGGCCAACTCAACGCTTCGACCTTCCCCTCCCTGTATGGCACGCAGTTTTAGAGAATGCACAGAATCTCGTGTTTTGAGGGAAATATCCAACATTCGCACGTTCACAAGGGGAGTTTGAGTTTTCGAACCAACCTTAAAGAGCTGAGAATTGCCATTACTCCCCATGTTAGATGCTTGCTTGCTGGCGGAGTATGAAGGAGGAGTTTCCAGAAGAAAACGCATGTTATATTCTCCAACTAGTTGCCATGGTTGTTCTTCCACTCGTATAACCTTTGGAAGTGACGGCACTGAAGACTTGCGTTTCTCTTTTGGTTTGGATGGTTGAACGACAACACTCACTTTTCCACGTGTAGGAAGAACGTGTTTCTCTGCACCAATATTACTGCTACCTCCAATATTTGCAATGGCATCGTTCACATTAATGATGACAGAGTCAACAAATATTCCGTCTTCTTCTCTCTTCCTTCGAATGGTTGGACATACTTTGCTGGTGTATGAGAGTGCTGGTTCCTCGCTCAATTCGTCATCTAGATTAATGATTTGAATGGAAATGATGTATGTGACATTTGCAGAGCCTGCCACTAGAGTTTGATCTCTTGGAATGATGGGAAGTGGATTTTTCCGAAATTCTAACACATCCTTCTCTGTCACAATTTCGTCAGTATTGTGAAGATCAGTGTAAAATTGATGATAATGAATCATTGGGTCAATAATTGTCACTTCCATAAAACCCTCTTCCGTTGGTTCAATTTCTCCTGAAAATGCAAAATCATGCAAAGTAGTATGAATGTCCTCCGAAAATTGTTCAAGCTTTGTCTCTTGTCCGCTCTTATTTTCAATTACAAGTTTTAAACTGTTAGTCTTATGTACATTGTTTTTGGCTGACTTGGGAATCTCCTCTTCATCAGACTCGTCATAAATTAAATTATATCTTTGTAGAACGGCATCTCGCCTCTCAATAAGGCTTCGGCTTGTGAGACCCGATTGTATGCCTGCTCCGTTCGTGTATGCTTGCTCTGCCATTTTTCCAATTTCTACCAATGATCCCAACACATAGTTATTCTTTCCATACACATATGAAATACGTTTTGCAGAGCCAGGCCTCAGATAATTTTCAGGATTTTTAAATTTGTCTGGCACATCTTTGGGAGCAAAGAATTGATAATAGGCTCCTCGTTTTTCTCCAATTTGGGATGGCAATAATTTTTCTTGCATGCCATTATTTCCCATCGAGAACCCTGGTTTATCCATATACAATCTGCTTCGAAAATAATCTGTTTTCCCTGTTGCAGAATAAAAATCGAAATCTTCCTCACCGAGAGTTGCAAATTCTGTGGTGGTGGGTTGTAAGGTACTACTATCAAAATCTGAAATGTTCTTCTTTTGATGAGATTTGTCTGAATATTTAAGGGGAGGTGCACGACCACTCTCTTGATTAATTTCAAATCTAAAATCCTCTCTCGCACTGAAGGTGTTTTTACAGCATGGCGTTGCACATTGCCATGTCAACACGTTGCCTCTGGTTTCATACAGTTCATTCTCTTTGAAACCTTCTTTAACAAATTCGGCATCAATGTTCGAAGTTACAATAAAAAACCTGGATGGCTGTGAAAGAAGCTTCTTTTTTTCTTCGGGCGAGGGTTCCTCTGTTTGTTTTTTCTTGTTTTTGTCATCAGGTTGAAATCGAGGATCATTCATTTGAAAGAACAGTTCTTTCCAGTGATGAATAATCTTGGTTGCTGTGGCTGCTCCTGATGATTTTGATTTTTGAGATCGATTCAAAACTTGTCCCCAAAAGCCATAAAACAATTCATCTTGACCCTTACTCAGCAACATTGGCGAGCATAAATCGTCAAAACTTAAACCAGCATCTGCGTAGGCCTTTGCACGTTTTTCAAATATATCCTGCAATAGTTTGTTTCCCGAAGTGGAGCTAAATTCCTCTCCGACTACCACAAGAATAAAGTATGACAAGAATATTGACTTTAGTAAGGAATATTGATTGTTGTAAACGAATCAATTCGGGCGGGTTGTGGGTTGTGACAGGATGAAGAAGCCCATGTAAGAGATAATGACCAATTAGATTCGGAAGTATTGATCGATATATGGGTGCATACAACCATGCATGGGACCACAGTTCAATCAATCAATGGTTCTGAAATGGAACGATTCAAAGACTTACCTCCGCAGCCTTCTCATAGGGATCAGCCTTCTTATTCCTCTTAAACTTGGCAAGCGCTTTACTCATCTTGCCTTCCCGAGAATCAACGGCACCTTTAGAACCAACCTATCGAAACAAGTAACGCGATAGAGCGAGGAGGGTATTTTTTTTTCGTAAATTGAAGGTCGTTGGTGTCGTTTCGGGTTTTGGCGGGTTTTCAAACGGTTTTCTCACAATCCACCACACGATTGCGTACTTTCTCCCAACACCTCTGTGTTTCTGTTGGTTAGTAATGCATGAAGTTTTCAAGTTGAATGTGGGTCTTGTGATGAGCAACAAATATTTTGTTGACATTGATTAAACACCTATTCACCTAGGTTTTGTAAGATCTAAATGATCAAAATGTTAAAGGCGTTCAAGCTTCCTCTCCGTACTTGTTCATCAATTCGAGTAATAAGGAACGACATTGTAAAGCGGTAGGTCGTTCCATGGGATCCCATTTGAGGCATTTAAGGATGAGATCCTTCAAGGAAAAGGCCATGTTCTCTTCCATGTCGAAACGATTCGAGTCGACCAATTTGAATAATTCGAATTCTAATTCTTCCATAAATTCATTGTAGACTTCTTTTTGTTTCTTCTTGTCAGTTTTGCTGTTGGGAAATTTAACATGGGGAGGCATGATTCTCCTGTAAAAAGAATGATCAACCTTAGTGTCAAATGTCACTAATTGATAAGCGACCACTCCAAACGAAAAAATATCTGTGTTTGTGAGCATTTCGATTGAATTGGTGTGGTTACTCTGAAGAGTCGTTGGAGTCAGTGTTGGATCATCACTAATCATTTGAATATAAAGTTCAGGTGCCATGTGAGGAATCGATCCACATAATTTCGTAGTTTTTAAACCATAAGTATCCCAAGTTGGATGACAATTTCCAGTTGGACTTGTCACATTAAAAACAGAATCATCCATCCCTCCATCATGCGAACCATTGCTCTCAGATTCTTGAGGATCATGCCGAACCAAGAATGAATAATCTGCCAACTTGATCGTTCGATATTCGTCGTCACTAAAGAAAATATTTTGAGGTTTGATGTCTCGATGGCACAAAATGGATCGATCCATCAGTTGTTGTTGTTGTTGTAATAACTGTTGTTCTCGAGTAGAGCTGGAAAATTTAAAATTTCCATCACGTGTTCCAACGTGTTCTTGGGTATGTCGCAATTCAGGATGATGCATTAAGGAAAGAGCATGAGCCAATTGCATCAAGTAAGAAATGAACGTCTTCATTTCCAATTTCTTTCCTTTTCGTTGTTTCATTTCTAAGAATTTTTGCATGTCACCAAGATTGAATAAGGGCATTTCAAAACAAATGACAATTTCATCGTTGTAATCCTTAAGGAGAGATTGAATGGAATTCTTTCGTTGTTGCTGAGCGAGTTGTTTCAAATGGGTTCCTCCTCTTTTGAATCTCTTTTCACTGGGTTTGATAGTTTCAATAAATATTCGATGATGATGTACAAGATTTTCACATTGAGAGAGGATTCCTTGATCCAAATATCGAATGACTTCTATTTCGTACAAGATTTCGAGAGCAGTTTGCCAGTGATCTATTGTGACTTTTTTCAATGCAACGATGGAAGGAGATGCATTGACATTTTCATTGTTTGAGTTATTATTATTGGCATCAGTGTCACTTGTCAAAGTTCTCATGGCCTTGAATACCAATCCAACAGCACCCTCCCCGAGCGGTTTAATAAGCTCATATTCATATCTGGATTGTTTCGACATGTATTCTTCATACAGATTCTTAAATGTTGAATTTGTTTCAAGCAATTTTTCGAATGTGAAAATTTCAGGAATGTCAAAATCTTGACCAGCATCCGTATTTCTCGGAGATGATTCACTTTCAGGAGTCGTGGCAGTCAGAGAATTTTGTACAGAATGGTCCATATCAATATTTAGTCCACAATGGATGGCCGTAATTTCCAAATAAATAAACCCTTTGGGTACTCCTTCAAGTTTTAAATAAAATTTTTGAGTTTGATTTTGTAAAAGTTGACTAAGAGGTACTGTTCATACGTGTGAAATAGTTATAATAATGATGATAATAGAAAGAATTGTTGTCATAACAATTTACAATTAATAATGATATAATATTCACATGAAAGAAAACAAAATGGTTCGTTTGTGAATGGCAGATATGTAGGTACAGGAGTCACAATTTTGTTGACATTCAACTTATAATTAGAATTGACATTTTCAGAATAAATGATGATGTACGTACCCGTCACACAACCCATAAAATCATTCGATTGAAATAAATCAAAATCCCAAACAGTGACAATCAATTCATCCTTAATAGCTCCCACAAAATAATCATCATTACCCACTTGTTCCACATTTCTCACACTGAAAAAGAAACTTTCTCCCCACATTGGATTTAATGTTTTTTTCATGGTCGAGGATTTCTTAGTTTCCACTAAATAATCTCCTCTCAGCTGTGATGAATCGATTTGAGAATTTGTGTTATTATTCGGTAAATACCGATACGTAAACTCACAAAATGGATCTGATTTTCCATTTCTGTCACATGCCACCAAATCTTCACCAGACTTTAAATTTACAATAATAAATGGTTGTGGTGAATCAAATCCACTACTACAAAGGACTGTTGAAGATGACGACGAAGAAGTATTGGATGAATTACTTTTTGATTTTGTAATTCCAGTCATGGATGCAACCACCAAATTATTTCCTCCGAGAATTCCAGTTGTACTTTTTCGATTAAACATGAAGAGAGCATTACGTCGTGGAGAATTTGGTGAACCATTTGCATTTTGACCACTGACAGCGGTATGAGATTGTCGTTGTTGTGATGACGGTGGTGATAACGAATGTCCCACAACTGCTGTTGTTGCTGTTGCTGTGGTAGAGGAGGAAGATGAGGATGAAGAATTATTGTTATTTACAGAAGAATTGGTGGTGATAATTTCAGATGAATTTGATGGATCCATGTCGAACGTTGTTGTGGTGTTGTTGTTGTTGTTATTGGTATGGATCGATCCCGATGATGAATGAGAGGATGAATTTGAAGGAACGGCAGAAGACTCTTTCAAACGAGCATGAATTGAATGGTTGATTCGTTGAAATGTTGTTGTTGTTGTTGCTGATGCTGTTCCTTCGTTTTCTTCATACATATCTGTCAGTTTGGAGGCATCACTGTCTCTTGATCGACTTTTCGGAATGAACAAGTCTTTCATATGTTGAAACATTTTTTAATGATGTTCCCGTAAGAATATGAGGAGAGGACCATTGTATATTCAAAGGTTGCAACAGTTGAGGGATGACATTTGTCATGTTGGGAATTGTTTTCTGGATAAAATAAGGTAATGAATATCTGAAAATGTATTCACACAAGTATGAGAGAGATTGTGAGATGGTTTCGTAATTTTATTTGAAATAAGAAGCATGATCATGCTTGTAGTACTCGGATCCTCTCAAAAATCCCATTATTATTCTTCTTAGCCACAACTCCCAAAAGTTTTAATCATTTTTCTTTAAACCACAAATCGAACCTCTTCGGAGGAGTTTGTAAAAATTTTTCACTCTGTAAACCTGACTGAGAGGTTGTAGTGTTCTTTGGTCGACAACAATTTGAACTTGCAAAGAAATTCTCTCCAAATGATGATAAACAAGCTCTCAACCTGTCAATCATCATAATTGAAATTGATGAAGCGAGACTATCCCATGCTAAACCTGATTGAGTGAGAATCAGTTGTTGTTGTGTTGTTTCAATAGATTCTGATGATCTATTGGATATGCAAAATGATTTTGAAAAAGCCTTTTTATTCCGAAATGAAACAAGAGGTGATGAGAGTGCCTGGTAACATGACAAGACCTACTCTTCGTTCATCAAATGAATGGGATTCTTCTGTTGGTGGTGATGGTTGTTCCGACGATGTTGTGGTAGGTTTCTTTCGGTATTCCGTTGTCTTACAATTATTAATCATAAATAATAGTGGATATTATAATTAATATTATTATTGATTCGAAAATCATCATCACGTTATTATAGTTTGAATATATGAATATGGATGCAAATCAAATTTACAAGATAATTATTCAAATAATAATTATTTGACGAGACCATGACGAGGTATTGGTATCACTTCTTCCGAACGTGTGAATCAAAACCCACCTCTTTCAAAATTGTATTCATCTTATTATCCACACACACAAATCTTCCAACAAATTCTCTCTCATCCTTCAACACGACTTTCATGATTCGATTATGAAATTTTCGTATTGTCTCTTTATTCATGTTTGCAATTTCTTGTTCCGACATTTTTTATTATGCAAAAATTCACATCATCAACTGAACCACCAGAAGAGACAATAAGGCACGATGGATATTGCTAAATTTGGATTGGATACCTCAACAACAATTGATGAGATTTGTTCACTTCAAAACCTCTAACGATTCTCAAGAGGATATCCAATCCAATTTTAGCAATATCCATCGGAAGCAACCACAAGAATTGGCGCCTTCAAACGCATTCAAAAATTAGAATATTTAAAAAAACGCACCACATCTATCTCTCTCATGAAGCTGCTGGGAGGAATTCTCTCCAAGTCCTCTTCAAACAACCACTCAACCAATTCTTCTTCTTCTTCCTCATCAAACACCAATTCCACCACCACTCTTGCGGTTTCCTCAAATAGCCTTACCCTTAGTAGCGGAACAACAACCTCATCAGGCAATTCCAGCTCCCTTAATCAATCGGTTTCATCTCTCGGAACGAATAGTTCCATCTCAACGACAGCCATACAACGAAGTAGAAAGGAGCAATTTTTGTTGGCTTCAGGTGAATTTTGCAATCATTCCTCGGCATCATCATCGGCAGTGTTTTCCTCACCTTCCTCCGCTGATCCGAGCAGTACTTCTTCAAGCAAAAAGAAGTCTGCAAAGAAAACCAAACAACAGAAACAAACTGGCTTGAGTACTCAAATATCAGCAGCTAACACCACCACACTTTCATCATTATCGGCCTCTCAGAACTTTTCTTCACCCATTCCAACTCATTCAAGCTCATTCACTCCCAAGAAGCAAGCCAACACGATTCAAAAGGATTTCTTTCAACAATCATCCTTAACGTCTCCTCTTGCCTCATCCGTTGGCAGCACCAATAATAGCGCGAGTAGAGATTTGGCACAAGCAAATAGTGAGGAATTTCTCAATAGTTTATCTTTTGCATTTCCCCAAATTGAGTACGAAGAAGTAATGAAAAAGATTCAACAACAACAACAACAGCAGCAACAAGTTTCGCAGCGTAACCATGCCACCGCCCCGAAACCAGAGGGTGCAGATGACAACAACATTACTGCAGAGAATATTGACGCCACTTCGGAAGGCTACGATTTTGAATATGTCAATAAGGAAGAGGAAGCGAAACGCAACAAGAAAAATGCAAAGTCTTCCAAGTCCTCATCCTCTTCGTCTCAAAAACGTACTGCAGAGCCGTCCAATTCTTCGACAATCAATTATGAAAAGAACAATAATACGAGCACAAAAACACCCCTCAAACAGAAGGTTTCTTCCGATACTCCATCCAGCAAATCAAAAAACAGCAAAAACTCAGGCGGTAACGCCGTGTCCACTTTGGAGCAAGGTTCTTTTGCTCTATCTTCAGAACCAGTTTCAGTAATTCCATCGAAGAGTCGAATTTCCTTACGACCTTCGACTTCATCGAGACAGGTTGGCAAGAAAAACAAATCTCTTTTACGTAGCTCTGTCTCCAAGTCTTTCAGCAATTTTGTTTCGAAATCATCCACCGGCAACAGCTCCGATCAAGTAATTTCTGTAGTTATGGATTCCTCCCCTACCTTTAATGAACAAGGTACTGACAGTGAAGATGATGATGACGGTGACGATAAGGATCATTGTCACACTTCAAAGTCGTCGTCACGACAAGACATCATGATGAACATTACTGCGATGAATTGCCATCATCACGATGACAGTGAAGAGGACGCCGAGCATGGTCAGGACTCTATTTCATCACCGACTACACCCAACAAGAAGAGAAAGGCCAACGCAGATTTCACCGACTCTCCAGCTTCCTCAAAAAAAAAGAAAGAGGACTCTCTGATGGACAGCGTGATTAAGAAAGTGATGGAATTTTCCATTCCTAATACTCCACCACATCTCGAGGAAGAAAGCCCTGCACAAAGCACGGCCCTTACCATTTCCCCCTCTCTTTCCTACAACTCTGACTCGACATGTGGAGAGCAAGTGTTGGATGTTTGCTCAACTTCACCTCATGATGACACATCCTATGACACAAATTTGTTGAGCTCTGTCTCGGACTCTTCCACCAAAGGTATAGATATTAAGGAAGTGAACCAAAGAATTAGCTCCCTCGTTACTGTCATTGAAAAAAGAAATGAACAAATTGCACAGCGAGATGCACTCATTATGCAACTCTCCAAAGAAAACAAAGATCTCAAAAAATTCAAGAACATGATCGAAAAGTTGGAAGATGTTGGTGTCGTGTTTTACATGAAGGCCTCAGAGTTGTGCTGTAATGGATTGATGGCACGTGATGATAAATCCAAAGACTCCATGGAAGTGGTTGCTTCCTCTGTTCAGCAAGGGATGCGATACATGAGAGCTTCGGCCGAGTTTGGCAATGTTGATGCCATGTTTGAGTATGCAGAATTAATGTTAAGGTATTCAAAAAACAAAAAAAGTGAAGCCAAAGAATATCTAAAGAAAGCCAGTGATCTTGGTCACAAGAAAGCTGCTGTATTTTTGAAGAGTTTAGAAAACAAGGAGGAGCAGATTAAGTATGAAAAAAGTATTGAGCATGATCATTTGTTTCTCTATGGTAATGAGACCAAGAATAACCAATCGAAAAAGAGAAGATGATCATTCAAAAACTTGGAGGAAACATTTTACGTCATCACACTCCTTTCTGTGTAAATATACCGAATTTAAAAAGAAGAATTTTGATATCTCTAACGTTAGGCAATATTTTCAATTCAATTGCTTTAGAATATGACATTTGATAGCTATTCATCACTAAAATTTATTTGTACAAAACACGAGTGTTGGATTTCATTAATTCAAAAACTTAGCTCAACTGATGCACAAAATTCGTCGAAAATGAATGCCGAAAACAGAATAGAATGAGCTTTGGAAATAATTTTCTCATAAACCACCTGTCCATGTTCATCCAATTCAGCCTCAGAAAGCAAAAGATTAATTTCTCTTCTCGACAAATCAAGCTCTGCCTCTTGCAATTCTCGTTTGAATTTACCGAAAGACAAGGCACCAGTATGACCTTCATCAGCTCTCTCAAATAAGGCCTTTAGTTCCTCTTGAAGTTCTAATTTGCTCAACCCATGTACCACATCGACATCATTGACAACAATGGGCGACAAGAAAGATTGATGGATAGAGTTGCTTTCGTCTGAATAACCTAATGGTCCTTCCTCACCTCCCACAACGATTTTCAAAACATTAGTAATTCTTTGACAAAATGGTGCAATTTCGACCGTTGAGTCATCTGCGACATCCGATTCAGCCATACAAAAAGCGACCATCGTGTCAGGCAATTGATAATTGAAAATTTTCTTGAGTTCCTCCTTCACAGCGCTTGCAGGTAAAGCATCATAGCCGAACGAACTATAATGTGAGTACAAAATATTCAGTAATTCTTGATCAGAAATGGTGGCAAGAAATTGTGTAATGTCACCCTCAAATGATTGATTTTGGAAGCTTTCATTTTGAGATCCTTCACCCACTTCCTCTTCCTCTGTATTCTGTTCCTCTTCGGTACTTTCAATTTCTTCTTCATCTTCATCGGAGGTGAACCTCTCTTGTGCTTTGACTGAGATTGGTTTTTGTGGATTTGAGGAAGCATGACTAGACGTATGTACAACCTTATATTCATCCATATCTTCTTCCTCTTCTTCCGAAGTGGATGATTGGCTATTGAGGTACCCTCCAACTTTTGAAGCTTGAGTCACGTTGCTTTCAGCAGTGCTGAATGCTTCCTGTTGCTGTTTCATCTCCATTTCCTTGGCCAATTTCGTAAAATAATCGTATCCGAACCGATAAATATTTGAAGGTTGAACTCTCAGTACTTCCCGAGTAAAATCTCTCAACGTTTCTTGAAATTTTGGTGGAAATGAAAAATCCTTTTGATATTTGTGAGACATTTTCAAGTAGATTTCAATAAGAATAATAATAACGAATCACACGTGAGATCTTTGTTATATTTTTTTTGAAAATTGTAGTATTTGTTTGGCGGGAAAAATGGATTTTATAATTCCTTCTAAAGTATATTTTGGTAGTCGAGTTAATAATGAAAAAATGTTACCCAACGAATATCATATTCATTATTGCATGTTATTTCCTCGTTTTCAATGAAATTCATCAAAGATTCTCAGCACAACAATTCCACAAAAAAAACGCGAAAATGCCTGTCCCTCTCATTGGAAGTTTTTTTTGCTTCTTCTTCATCGAAGACGACCAACTTTTTCTCTTCTTCACTCATCCCTTCTCCTCTCTCTTCTATTCCTCGTATGGATTCCTTACAAGACAAGTTTTTTTTCTCTTCTTGTTCGCTTGTGATTTTTCCTTTCAAAACGAAAAGCCTTGTCTTCATTGGTCCTATTCCGAGTCTCAACTGGGCTCGTGAATGTCCCAATTCTCAATGTGGAGGTCATTCTCAATCTCCTGTTCCGACTCTTTCCTTTCAGAACATGATATCCTTTGATCAATATTTATTGGAGTCCATATTCAATTATTCATCATCATCTTCCATACAAGTCCTGTATGATTTTACCAATGAAACCAAACGATCATTGAAGATTCATGGCTTATTAGTATTTGATGGACCAACAGGATACAAGAGTATTCGAGTTCCCTATGAATTGAAACAATTCCATTTTCACACACCTTCTGAACATGTGTTTAACTGGTTTTCATATGATTTGGAAATGCATTTGGTATTTCAAAGAGGGGATTTGTCGCAAAAGTTGGATGAGGCCAAGAAATTCAAATCGGAGCAATGGAGTGATCTGGAAGCCCATATTCCTCGAATTGCTGTGTTGGAGTGGTTTTTCAAGCGTTGGGAATGATAGATCATCCTTTGATTGATGTTGTTGTGAGAAATACGGATTTTTTGTTGCAATTCATGAAGTGACAAGTGGCATGTTGTTTGATTTGATCCCTCTTCGACAAGACATTGATCCTCTCTTTTCATATTTCGTTTATAATGGTAGTTTGACCACTCCAAATTGCAATGAGAATGTCATGTGGAATGTTGTAAATCCAAACATCTTTTTGGGAGCCTCTCAATACATTTCTTTGAATCAAATTGCTGTCTTGAGACAAATAATGAATCAAGCACAACATGATGTCACTTCAAAGACCAAAGGGAGAGGAGGAAACATTCGAGTGTATCAATATGTCAGAAGTGTTGGAAACGGATATTTAGGAAACAATCGACCACTTCAACCATTGAATGGAAGAAAAATCATTAACATTACCAAATTAGCAACAAGTGTCCCTTCATGAAAAATCGCTCATTCTGCATACTCGTTGTTTCTTTTCCATTACACAAGTCAAACAAGGAATAGTCATTGCCATGATGATTTTCTCTTTTTTAGCACTCTTGTTCTCAACGAATGAAAAAATGTAGGAAGAAGGAGCAGTTTGTGGTTGATGATGATCCATGTTGAGATGAGTTCAATTGAAATGAGAACACATGGAAGAAAAAGTTTGGAATACGTATTGAAAATTCCAATTTCTTGGTTTGATCACCGCATGTTCTTGATGACCTTTATGAAATCGAAAGGATATTCCTGCAATTGCATGCTTCGAATCGTATTCAAGAGTCGTTTGGTTAATTGTAAAGAACAAATGAGGGATAAGTTGTGTTTTATTCAACAATGGTATCGCAATTTTGAATTTCTGCTTAACCATCGTGACAACAAATTTTAATTGTGAATGTTGAATGGTCTTTTTTTTAACTTGTCAATTTTTTGATGAACCCTTTCTAATTCATGCTTTTTTAGATCAGACCTGATCCATTGCTTCATAATTTCCATCCATTGGCAAGGCATTTTCACCTCCATACGAAACACCTTTTATTGAAATGCCATGTTACGTGTGAGAGCAACGAGTTCCTGAGGTCCACATTGGCAGTCAGAAGGTTATGAATGGTCAGTATCATTTCGAGACAAGTGAATTCAAAACCCACTCGGTAGCGAGAAAACATGTTGGCAATATCATTATTACTTTGACGATGGAATCAACCAGCAATGAACATTAGTATTGAAATTAATTTCCAATTTGCAGCTGTAGAACCAAAAAGAGTGACCCTGCGCTAGTTCCATTTTGTTCGCGGAGATTGAATATTCTCAATCGCTCAAACGTCAACAGTCAGGAGATTGTAATCCTGTCATCAGACAGTTTATCCTAAAAAAAATGCACACACCACACATCAACCGATTCTTCGCAATCAAATTGGCCCTTTTAGCTTTGTTGGTTGCCCTTCTCTTCGCATCCACACATTTCACACCAACCGAAGCTAAATTTAAAAAGTTGAAGAAATTCGCAAAGAAAGCCTTCAAAGTGGCCAAATTCGTCGCTCCAATGGTCATTCCAGGAGGACAAGCAGCCATGGCAGCCAAGTTCGCCAAATTCAAATCCACCATTGACAAGTTCAAAAAAGTCAAAGCAGTGGTCGACAAGGTCAAGAAAGTTCGCGATACAGTGAAAAAATTCAAAAACTTGAAGCAAAACTTTGTCGGAAATCTCAAAGGTAAACTCAAAGGTAAACTCAAGGGACTCGCCGGTAAATGGGTCAACAAACTTGGTGGTAAATTTGGAGGTAAATTTGCTGGTAAATTGGGAAATCTCAAGAACAAGTTCAACAAGTTTAAAGGAAAATTCGATAAGATCAAAGGAAAGGTTAGAAACATTCGAGACAAGTTCAACAAGGTTCGAGACAAGTTCAATAACATTCGAGACAAAGTGAGAGGAGTCATGGGTGAAAATGGTGGTGATGAGAACAATGAAGTCGGAGGAGGAGAACAGCCTCAACCACAAGAACCTCAACTACAAGAGCCTCAACCACAACAACAAGGTGGTGGCGATGCAACCTCTGGACCTGTTGTTGATCAAGCACAACAAGCACAACCTGAACAACCACAACAACAAACCTCTGAACAAGTGGCAGAGCAAAATGCTTGGGGAGGAAATGTTGGTCCAGCTGCTCAACAGCAAGAACAACAAACTCAACAACAACAACAACAGATTCAACAGCAACCACAAGGTGGTGGTGATGGTTCTTCTTTCCAACAACAAGCTCCTCAACAACAAGGAGGATCTTCTTATTCTCAACAACAAGGAAGTGCTTCTTTCCAACAACAACAACAACAAGCTACTTCTTCTTCGAATGGAGGATCTTATGAACCACAACAACAACAACAACAACAGGTTGCTCAAAATGGTGAATCTCAACAAGTAGGAGGAGGAGCATCCAATGTTGCTGTCGGTGGTGGTAGTGCTTATAATGTTTCTGGTGGTGGTGCTGTTTCTGGTAATGGTGGTAATGGTGGTACTTATATGAGATCCTATCGAAGAGGTGGAAGAAGAGGAATCTATTTGAAGGTCAACGTGAATGTGAATGGAGTGAAAAAAAGTGCTTAAATAAACAATCGTCGTTTGGATCACGCTGAAAGCTTTTGTATATTTTCACCAATTCTCAAGTTCATTCGAAAAGGTTTTATGGAACAGCCATCTATCTCATTGCGCTCGTTGAAATCTCTAAATAGCTCGACGCTACAGTCAGCAATCGAATCGCACTAAAAGAACAAAAAAAAAGCATGTCGTTCAATACCCTGCGATGGGAATCCATCTCGTGTGACCCAAGAGATACTGTGTTTAATGAACATCTCCCTCAAGGTGGTGGCGTGAGTCATACCATCATGGATGAACATCGATTTGCAGTGTTTGGAGGTCTCGGATCAAGACGATACAATGAATTATTTATTTTCAATACTCGTGAGAATGAATGGTTTAAGGCGAGTATGGAAAATGCTCCTTCTCGGAGATGTAAGGCTTCCTTGTGTTGTCGGAAAATTGAAACAACAACAACAACTACCACAGAGTGTTCCTCCTCCTCCTCCTCCTCCTCATCCACAGCCTCTTCATCCCATTCTCATTCGCCCTCATCCACAGCATCATCACGAAACACTTCCGCGACTTGTAGTGAAGAGAATCATGGCCATGTTGTTGGAAAGGCATGGAATTATAAATTATATGTCTTTGGAGGTTGGACCAGTGAGGGTAAAACCAATGATCTCTATGAATATGATGTCGCGAAGGATGAATGGAAGCAACTCAAGCCCAACAATTCATTTTCACCTCCAGCACGAAGTGCACACTATTGTTGTTGTGTTGGAAAATACATGTATCTCTATGGAGGCATTGGAAACAAGAAATATGGTGACATGTATCGATATCATTTCGACAAGAATGAATGGGAATGTGTCAATGCCATGCAAGGAGATGTTCCACTACCGAGATCTTCGTACGGTGGATTGTTGGTATTGGAAGGAGGAGGAGGAGGAACAAAATCGAACACTCAATTTTTTGTGACTTGCGGATTGGGTAAGTGGAATGCATCTGGTTTGATATTCAAGTTGACACAGATGGTCAATATTCTGAATTTCTCTGTGTGCACGGTCAATAATTCTCAAAGGCTGTGGTCGTTACAATGATACCTATTTGTACGAAGTGCAAAGCAAAAGGTGGACATGTGTAAAGTGTAGTGGTGACATTCCATCAAAGAGAGGTCGTCATTCATGTGTTTTGCATGAGGAAACAGGGAATGTTATTTTGTATGGTGGATTCAGTAAGTATCAGGATCAGAATACAGTGCATTCTTATAGCCAAAAATTGTTGTCACACAAATACAATGCGATGACACACGCCTCTTGTTGTGTAATGTCGACAATCAAAATTATCATGTGTGAACACATGAATTAGCTGGTACTGAATGTTCTGGAGAATGTTTTTCATTCAATCTGGTCACGAAAGAATGGAAAATGCTACAGCAGATAAATCCTCCTCCAAAGAGAGAAAGTGCATGTTGTGTGATTTTAAATAACAAACTCTACATGTTTGGTGGGTGGGGAGGTGACGCAAAATTTTTCAATGACATGTATGTCGCTTCGTTTGAATGAGTGAAAAACATGTCAAGACAGCATGCGCGTCTCTTTCAATCAAAAAAAGCAATCTCTTGGCGATTCATGATTTTTGAGATAATTTTCGTCACATGACCGACTAAAGGATGGTTAGATATTCGTATCTCTGTCGTTATAAGGTTAGGGGAAAATGTCTCGTGTAGCCTACACGGACTCAACAAGCTCTTTTGAAATTTTCTCAATAAAATTCCATAGTTCATTCACAGAATATCGCTCATGATAGTCAATCTTGAGCATGTTGGAAAGTAGCTGCGAAATTGCATGCATGTAACGAGAAAACTCCGAGTCTCTGTTAAATGATGGATCAAGATGACATACTTTTTCAATAAGAGTGTCCACAGAGCTCTGTTCCTTAGCATTTCCAACAATGAACACTGTATGATCGTCGTCAACAAGCATGTCTTTGGAAGCAATTTTAACGATATCATATTTTTTGAATTGTTGCACTTTTCTCATGATATTCAAAATGACAACTCCCAAACTCCAAACATCACACTTGTCGATAGGTTTTGAGCTCTCCTTAATGTTAGCCATTTCTGGAGATAAATACAGTAGTGTGCCTCTCCTCCCTTATTAAAAGTATATCGATCAAACAAACTGACCTTCGTAAATTGATCGAACAGAAATGTTCACTTACCTGTTAGTACTGCATTGCAATTCGTAGAAAAATCAAAATCAATTAATTTAACTGTTTTGTCTCTGTTGAGCATAATATTTCCCTCTTTAATATCCAAATGACAATAGCCAGCCATATGAATCGATCGAATACCATTCACTGTTTGTTTGATGATCGAGAAAAGAGTTTTAAGAGTGTTAAGGGAGAGAGATCCTTTCAAATAACGTCTCGTATAGCTGTACAAGTCAAAGCCCATTTTTTGCATAACGATCTCAACGACATGAGTGTTTGATTCCTCGACTTGAATTGTTTGTATATCATAAATGTCCACAATGTGTGATTCTGGATTTTTTGAAATTTCCATTATTGCACGATGCTATGTGTATTGTTGAAAATGATGCATGTCAATGAGAGGCAATATAAATGAATTGGAAAAATAGTTGAAAAATAGTTATTCATATGCAATAAAAAATCATTTGTGAATGATTCAATGTAGTCAGATGCTCAATCTGATAAAAATTTCAACCTAAAACACAACCTACCATTGTCACATATTCTTGCACTTTTACAGGGTTGGTAAAGAAGCATTGCTTGAGAGCTAACTTTTTGGAAATCCACAGTGGTATGTCTAAATGTGACGTGTTGAGATCCTTCCTTCGCTCCACGACATATACAAAACCATTTGAACCTTTTCCAATTTCTTTCCCAATTCTCAGTAATGACCTAAAGGGATAAGTAAGAGGATGTTCATCCTCTGCATGAAGCATTGCTCCAAAATCGTCTGAATATCGTTCCTTGAGTTGTATCAACAAGTCTCGTAATCGTTTTGGATTTTGACCAAAACAGCCTCCTACGAGGTTGATCATGTCACAAGTTTCCATGCATACTATAGAACAACATGCTTGATGCATGAGAATCATGAGACAATCTCCTCCATTCGGAATGTTGTTTCTTGCAGATATTGTCACTGCACAGTGATGCAATGCAGATGAATTGATTGGAATATTACTCGTTGGTGAAACATTGGTGATGATATTACCATCTTGTTGCATAAATGGGAGAAAAGTCTCACGGCTTGGCACTCGGAAAACAATAAAATCCGTTCCTTCTAAATAGCATGGCATTTGAATATTGAATAGTCCCTCTTTCTGAAAGCAAATAGTCAAGTTTTCGAGACTCGGAGCAACATGATGATAAATGTCACTACTTTGACACATGCTTTGAAATTGTTGTAGAATTGAAGGAATTTCATGGATTCGAACACGGACTTGTTCACCCATGAAAAGTCTCGTAGGAATGCTATCAACTTCATAGGAAGGGCATCCAGCACGCATATTGTTTTGAGCTCCTATCGCACAAGAACGGTTTTGAAGATTGTGAGCGTGACTGCTGCTGGACGTTGAAGTTTGCTGATGAATTGAGCCATTCGATAGAGAGGTCGGAATTTGGCCATATAATTTAATATTATTTGGATGATCACATAAATTAGGGAGAGGAGAAGGAGTTGAGGTGGTGTTTGGATGGTTGCAATTTGGTTCCGGAGAGGTCGATAATGAAGTGAGTGATTTTAATTGATCCTTTTGATGGTGGTATTGAGTACTTAATTTACGTTTTTTAGAATGTTGTTGCTGATGAGTAACTTCATATCCATGATGATTCAGAGTGGTTGTTGTTGTTGTTGTTGGAATTCCCGAAGTTGGGCATGATGGACAATTAAAAGAAGGAATATTGTTGTTGGAAATGACTGGAGTAGTGGTGGTACTAGATAAAGGCTGTAGTGGTGTTGAGAAGCAGCCTTCCATTCCATGGAATAACAACTGCTGTGGTGATGATGTTGTAGCTACAAGAAATTGTTGCTCTTGCAAGGGTGAGCCAATCGTGCTGCTGGGATCTGCATCACTTCTGTGGGAGCAATAGGTCGGAACGGAAACCAATGGTACATGAGAGTGTGAGTGAGGTGGATGATGGAAATAATCATCAGAGATGGGAATGGTTGTTGAAGTTTGGTGATTATTATTGCTCTTTCCATCGTGGTGAGGATGATGATGAGACACCACACGACTGTGCTGGGAATGATGAGGTTGTTGTTGTTGATGGGGTTGAGGGCTGCTCATTCCTAGAAGATGGCTGTTGCGAAACAGCAAGAAGAAGAAGAAGCAGTTGTTGTTGTTGTGGTCAATAGGAATGATGAACAATCAAAAGAAGAAGAATTTGGCACGAACGTAAAGAATCATCATCACGAATTTTTGTTGGGAACGTTTTTTGAAATAAAGGATTTGATGCTGAAATGTGATTTTGGAATAAAAACAACTGAGAGCCAATCTGTTCAGAATCTCCAGATGAATGAGATGGTTTAAAATTATAAAATGTGCCCTCGTCATCATCATCTTCCAACGATGTTATTAACATCACGACCTCTCTTCATCACCAACAGCAACCACCTAAAATTAATGCGGATGAAAACACCTTATCATGTGAATATTGAACGAAACTAACAAGATGGCACTCTGCATCGTTAAAAGCTTTTACTTACTCCAGTCACAATTCGATCCAAAACATGTCACTCAACAATTTTTAGAATGGATTGAATCTGATCCGAAAGATGTTGGATTTACGACCCGACAAGCATTATTGAAAACCATTCAACATATTGATAATGAAAATGGATGGTACAGAGGAAGTCTAGAATTATTTAAGGAAAATGAGTCAAAACCATCGAATGGAGCTTTAATGCGAAACGGTGTCATTCGATTGCTGACCAGTGACATGATGCAAGCTTTGGAATGGACCATTTTACATTCGATTGTGACACATTTTTCATTTGAGGCAGTCCTTCCCTGTATTGTTCATACAATTTTGATCGACAAGGCATTGCAAGCACACAATAGCAAATCACCGCTCGAATATCCAACATCAAAAACAATTTCAGAATTACTGAAAGGTCACACAGGTGAATGGTTTGAATTTAAATCGAAGTATTTATTTCCTCAAAAAGTGGACCACATAGAATCCTTCGTCACAAAATATCATCAAGTATTTACAGAATGGATTCGAGCGAATGGTGGAAAAATCGCTCTTGAAATGGCAGAAACAAAGCTTGTGAATCAGTTGCAAGATTTTGAAACATTTGAACCTTACGAGTACAATTACAAGAATGTGAGTGGATGGAGTATTTTGAGTTTGAAAATTGCATTATGGGCCTTAAATCACAGCCTTTCCATAAGAACATTCAACAACAACACGACGACTACTACAACGACGAAATTTACACCCATTCAAGCACCTTCACATTTACCTGAATGGCCGTTCAAAGAACAACCCAAAGGATTTGAAACCTTGGTTTTTGTGGTCCTGGTTGGTGCAAATGCAGATACCTATGGAGCCATTGCTGGTGCCTTTCTTGGAGCGTATTATCCAGAAAATATTCCACAAGATTTGGTCAATGATTTAATGCAACATGAGAAAGTGGAACAATATGCCAATAGTATTTGGTAATCTGTTTCTCACATTTTAACAAAATGTACAAATTGTTTGCAACAAGAACCAAAACCTTTTGTACATTTTGTTAAAATGCGAGACACAGAAAATGAGTGTGTGCGTCAACAACTCAACACAGATGTTTGAGAATTCAACACAAGAATCATCATCAGCTACTCTCCAAAACCAATTTATTATTCCAAATTCATATTCATGTTCTGCTTTTTGAATTTGTAGTATGATCCTCTGAATGGTTTTTGTATGGTCGTTCATCGTTTTCATGGAATCATTTCCAGTGTCACCACTATTTGGCCAAATGACTTCTGAATTTGCTCAACTGTCAAGTTCTCTTCATTACAGAGCTCATCATCCTTCAACCGTTTACAACCTCCAAATTTTACTGTTTGCTTTCTAAACCCATCAAACAAATTGCAACCAAGAAGAAATTCGCACAACTCTCGTTGTTGTTGAACAGACACAAAATCCTCCGCTTGGGGTAAGTTCAAATGATTTGAATCATACAAATCAGAAGAAGAAAAAACCAAACCTCTCATCATATATTGGAATCCATTCGAAATAACAACCATGTTGTTGTATTCAGTGGCTAGTACTTCTCATGACGATTTCATGATGAGTCCATCCTCTTCCTCCTCTCCGACCAAAATGAATCCAAGAAGACAAACATTCTCTTCATCACATCCTCATCATCAACGAGCGAGTATCACCAGCACCAGCACCACCATCACAAGCTCTTTATGTCATCCTCATACGTTGGATCATGATGATGCTTCCCTTCCTCCCCCAACGATCAATACCAATGTCAACAAGAAACGATTTTCGAGGAGGTTCAAACAACCCTTATTATTTCATGAAACTCATAGGGCATCGGAGACTTCCTTTGATAGTTTCACACAAATGATTGGAGAGGCTCTCAAAGATTGTAGTCATGTCGATTTTTCACTGTTCGAGAATAGTAGCTCTCCTGCAGATGTCAATAATGTGCAACGTGTCAACTCTTTATCCCCAACCATGACAGGAAACGTTACAACTAATGGAAATACTCTTGGTCAGAATTCTCCCGAGAAACAACACCCGCCTGTGGTGTCGTCAACAAGCTGCCCATCTTCCTCAACACAACAACATGTTCAAGATCTGAAGCATGCCAATTCTCCTTCTTCCCCTCAAAAAATTAAGCAAAAATCACCAACTTGCGACCATGCATCGACTCAAACCTCCTCCTCTCGATTCAAGCTTTCCAGGTTGCTTAAAAACAGTTTTGATTTGTTTATTTCGAAAGAGAACTTCACTTCACATGGTGACGATTTTGATATTCAAAAACCCCCACTAAAGAACAAAACCATTCCTCATACAAAATCTGCTCCTGAATTAAGTCGACCTTTACCAACCACCACCACCGCTACCTCTTTGCCCATATCATCATGCAACAATGAAAGTTCAAATGTTTCGTCGTCTCTTCAACCCTCCACCACGAACGAGATGACAATGCTGTCTTTATCCACTATTGACGCAAGCTCACCACAGGAATGCACTCTTTCTCAAAATAACAATGTTTCCAGCATTGTAAAGTCCTATTACAGTGTTGAGACGATACTGGAACATCCTGATGGAAGAGAACTCTTGCGAGAATTCATGAAAAAGAGGTGCAATGAAGAGTTGTTTCTCTATTTGGAAGTTGTGAGGGCCTTTGAAAAAATCATTAAACAGAGTCAGAGCTATAGAGCCATGATGGATTCGACACCACCCATTTCGACCATGTTTACCTCAACAACAGTAGTGTTGACAGAAGAATTTCTCAAGCTAAAAGAATTCAAGCTCATCTATGATCAATTTATATCTTTAAAGAGTCCTCATTGTATGAATATTGATCATGCTTTGAGAGATCGGATAGAAAGTGTGTACAAACAGCTGCTTGAAAAGGTTAATCATGATGCTGCTGGTGATTATCATGATTCAAAGCAAACAATATCACCCAACCCTAACCAACAACCACATCTCGGTCGAAATGAAATGCTCATTCAAACGATTCATGCATGTTCCATGTTTGACAAGATTTCAGAGAGCTTGAATTTGTTGCGTGTGACTATTGAACTTCAATTCAAGGATGAAATATTTCCTCAATTTAAAAAGACAAAAGAGTTTCAGAACTTGATTCTTTCCAAAATGATTGAATAATGCAAAGAGAATGATAAATAAATCAAAAGAGAGAGCTCTCATGGAGTGAATATCATTTGCTTTCAAGTGTGGAGTGTTGAAAAATCTTCGAGAAACCCAATCGATGATTGTACTTCTGGTGTGGACCCTTTTTCATATCAAATGCCAACGTTGATCACAAAGATTGTGTTGGAAAGTTCATCGATGACTATTAAAAAATGTCATTAAATATTATTGCAATAATTGACCAAACGATCGATGGTTAAATTCAGTCGAAGATCAAAAATTCAATAATTATTGGCCATGGGTCAACTTGATGATGTATGAATGTCGGTGAAACATTCACCTGTAATTCAAATTATAATTCAAATGGGGCGCAAATATTTTCAATACCCTCCACCGACCGATCGGCAATTATTTACAGTTTAGTGTCCGAGTACGCCAATTTAGGGCCCACCAATTTTGGATGAAAAAATTACAACAACAACACACAAATAAGCGCTCGATTCTCAACACACACCGTGTTACTGCAGAAGTGTATAAGTATATATATCGAGTTGTAGAATTTGAACAAGAAACATTCTAGTACAGAATTCTATTGAATTTCAGAGGATTACCTTTACCCTCGTCCACATCATACTCTCGGAGGATTCCATTCAACACCAAAGACTTGCACTCACCAATAATGAATACCTTTAATCAATCATCCTACTCCCTCATGAGTGGAGCGAGTAGTAGAAGCGGAAAGAGCACTACTTTGGGAGGTGTCGGTGGTGGGGGCTCGCTTTCACATTTACCGAGAGTTGCTCCCCATGGCCATTCCTCACATCCATTGGTCGGAAATAATCAAGGTGGTGGAGGAGGAGCCAGTTCTCTCATCAGACACGTTTCGGAATTCTCCATGTCTTCCAATCATTCGACAGGAGCCATACCAAAGGCGTCCAACAATGCTTCCTCGAGAACTTATTTGCTGCAAGATCCAGAGGCAGCTCTTTTTGCCGATAGGGGAGATACTGAAAGCCACTACTCAAAAGAATCATCCAAAACTGCAAAATCTGCTTCTTCCGGAAGCAACTCTTCTGCATTCATTAGGAACATTGAAAACTCACTCTTTCTTGTCATCAATTCGCTCAAATATGACAAACCTATTCCAACAACTATCAGTGTGTTACTTCATCTGTTGTTAGCTTTTCAAACATTAAGCATCGGGTCACCCTTAGAGTATGATTGGGGAGAGTATGGAAAATGGGTGGTGAGTGTGGCCGCCATATCGCGAACCTTTGGTTTTCAATTTATGCCTTATGAAGGATTTATTGCTGTTGCTGTGATTAATTTCCTACTAGTATTGCTTGCACTGTTGTCCATGTATTTGGCATATAGAACTCAACGTATTGGTAGTAGATATTGGGACAAAATCCAATTTGTGGCAAGGTTTTGCTTTGGAAGCATATTAATACTAGCCATCCCATTTACTTTTAGCATGATGTTTGCATTTTGGAATTGCGATTATGAAACAACCAAGACCGTCAATAACGCGGCAGTTTTTGTGTTGAGAAATTTTCCTGACCGTGTTTGCTGGTCACCTTTGAATGGATTTTTTTCAGCAGCATCCATGATTATCATGATTATTCAGATGACACTTATTTCGGTGTCTGCTATAATATTTTGCAACACACATATTCAGGCCAACGACTTTTTCATTTTGGACAATCCATTTACTATAATTTATATCCATGTCACAAACTGTCTCTTTATGATTATTCATCCTTTCATGCCGAAATCCGTTTATTTTGTTGCTCCTATTATTTATATTTTAATATCTGTGGGATTTATTGCACTGTTATTGTGGAATTTTCCTTTCGTCAGAAGAGGAGCTAATTCTTTTTATGGAGGTAATTAATCATTATGAATTAGGAAGAGTTGTTCATTAATTTTAACATGAATGTTTTTCAACAGGAATTGCATTTGCAAGAGTGGGCATTGGTATTGTTACTCTGGTTGCAACTTTGGTAAATTCTCAACAGAGTTGGGAGATTGGAATTGGGCTTGTAGGAGCTTTGATTGGAGGCGGCGTTCTGATGTTCATTTTTGGAAGTATCGTAACAGAGATTTACTCTAGATATGCGCAATCGAGAGGAAGGAAATTGCTTAAGACATGCCTTCAAAAACGATCATTCGAATCTATTACAGAATCCGAGCACAAATATGTAAATTACTTTATCAGGTTTGCCATGAAAGGAAGTGATGACGATATTGGTCTTGCTGACTCTTTTACAAAATTAGCCATGACTCAACGACTAACAATCAATGCACAAACATTAATTTCATGTGCTCTGTTTGTGAAATTCGTCTTGACTAACAGCTCGGTGACCTTTGCAATTTTGTTGATGCAGAAAGCTCAAAAACAAAGCTCAAATTTCTTTCTAAGGTATTCCATTTACTTGCGTAGTAGGGAAATCGAAAAGGCATCCTCAATGGGAAGAAATAATTTTCAATTGGACAACATGGTGAATATTGTTCGCGCGAAATGTGAATTATTGAGACAGTTACACAAATTGTTTTGGAAAAATATTGCGATGGATCAGGGTGATGATAAAAAACTCTGTTTCATCGCGAAAGAAATTGAAAGTGTTACGAAGGAATGTTCCATTATTTTTCAGAACATGTTGTTCAACTATAGGAATGAAGTGGTAGGTTTATTGAAAACTGTGTGTACACAATGGTTACGCTAACACATATCCAAAGATGGTACTGAGAAGTTATGCATCGTTTTTGGACGAGTTTTTATTTGAAAGGTAAGTCATTTTGGTCGTCAGCTTTTCTCAATAATTACATCTGCTGCATAATTTCAAAAAGTACCATGGCAGAGGAATTATTTGAAGAAGCAGCAATTCTGGAAGAAGAAAACGCCAAGAAAAGCACCGTAGAAGCGAAACGATTAATCGCAAAACGGAGCTCTCATGTACTTCCAACAAAGCCTTCCATGCACGATACTCATACATCTTCACCTCACCTTCTTAAACGGAGAGGTTCTTCCAGAGAAGAGGTTGACTTTCTTGAATCTGCAAGTCAACATGAATCAGCTCAAAACCACCCCCAAAAACAAAAGGACATTTTTCGAGCTGCTTTAAATAAGAAGGAAGAGCACAGGTTCTTGTTTCCATATTTGATGTCTCTTTGTGCAGTTGGAATTTTTTGTTTATCCGTGATTCTTGCGTTAGGTGTGACAATCACTGCCAATAACAATCGTGACATTGACCTCATTATGAAAGCCTGCGCCATCTCGTCTCGTAAGTATTTTCAAAATCACAGTATTATCAGTTTAAATTAACGACTTGAAGTGCCTTATGCCACACTTTCTGATATTCGAAACATGCAAGCAATACTGAAATATACGAATTCATCTCCATCGATGCAGGATCAAGTGAAGAAGAGAGTAGAATCTAACATTCAAAGCATGCTTCAAGTTCACAAGTATTTGAAGGAAAGAATATTCACTTCCGTTATGATGGAACAATTTTTTAACATTAGCTCGAGAATACACATACCTATACTTCAAACAAGCAATATCTCGTCAGTGCTAACCGCAATGAAAAATAGCTCAGTATTCGATTTGGCAGCCAAATTCACAACTCTGTCATCAAACTACCATTCAAAGACCTTGAACGAATTGAACAAAACTTTTGAAGATTTTGATTTTTTAATGTTATGTAAGTGGTTTCTATGATGGGCTCGCTCTCCTCAACAAGAATCACAAAAAACAATAATTCAATAGGGAGCAATCGAATGGACTTCACAGAGTCGTTTGAACGTTTATGTGATCAACAATTGGGAGATGTTAAGGAAGGCATTACCTATGTACGAAATGTGTTCATAATTGTTGTGTGCTCGATATCAGCAGCATATTTTATTTACATTATAATTTATATTTTGGTTATTCAGCGGACCTTATCAAGGCTTGGACAAATTATTTCATTGTTTCGACAAATCTCAAAGGAGGAGGTGCGCAAGGTGCTCAGTATTATGGAGCAAAAAACAGAAGACAAAATTATCAGCACGAAAGAGTATGTCGCAACCACAAAACGAGTCTTGATAGCTCTGGTAGTTGTTTCTTTACTTATCACATGTATATGTGGAGTCTTAATTATCTACGAAGCAATATCCTTTATCGAAAATGAATCTCTTGCCATGCAAAAAATTCAGTCTGCCAATAAGGTGTTGCAGATTTTGCAACGATGCAAATTTAAAATAATAGAACTATTAATGAATGACAATCAAGCATTAGGAGTTTCAAAATATCAATTTTACACAGAAATTAAGGTTCATATTTCTGACTTGTTTGTAGCTTGGAATGCTTTTAGATATGGAGATGAAAGTAATGGATTTAAGGCCTTGACTGGGAATGGGGTTGAAATAGATAATATATTACTGCAATCTATCGAATGTAATGGAACCAATTTTTCATGCTACTCATTGGATCAATTGATGACCTATTTTAAGGTTTCAGAAAAAGTTAATGACAACGTGTACCATCAAGTATATCCAACTGACCAATTATTTGTAGAATTTTCTGAACTATTTGACAGTTCAATTTCAATTACAGACAAGACCACATTATTCATTTCTAAATATGCATCCTTCGTGACATCTCAAGTGATGGTCATTTCTGCGGTTGCGTTTTCTTTAACTATTTTATCACTTTTCGTGCTTATTTACGCAATATACCGTTTCATGTCAAATCACATGAATGAAATCCATCAATTTAGGATCATGCTTAATCATTTGCATTGGGAGACTTTGGATAACGAACCGCTTTTACATGCATATGTAATGAACTATTCACTCAGTGCAAGTGAGCAGAAAAAAGCTCAAACAGTTTTTGACAATTCTTCAAAGGAAAAAGCAATATTAGAGGCTGCTGTTGAAGGGGCCGTGGTTTGCTCAACATTTGGTTCTATTTACATATTCAACCAGAGTGCACAAAGGCTTTTTGGATTTAGATCAGATGAAGTGATAGGAACACCTTTGGAAGAGCTATTCACTCCTGAATCTCGTGGCAAGGTAGCCACATTTATTTCTAGGTTTGTGTTAAATTTTGTATGAAAAGAATTACGGTGTATTTATGTCCTATTGTCACACATACATTTATTGACCTGCCAGTTCCCTTAATACAACCTCCAATCAAGGCGAGACCTTATCTATCTTTGGACTTCGAAAAAACAAGACAACCTTTCCAGCGACAGTCAACTTGAGTGTTTCGGTACTTAAAGAAAATGAGAATATCATTTCATGTTTTATCAAAGACGCCACCATTGAAAAGCAGCACGATGCTGAATTAGCGGAGGAGAAGAAAAAGTCTGAGGCCTTATTACTGAACATTTTACCGGAAAGCGTAGCTCTGCGATTGCAAAATGGAGAAACCTTTATCGCTGATAAGGTAGGTTTTTAAACTTGGTTGAGAACATGCGTGACGAGTGTGGTTTTGTTGATGCTTGCATTTCGAACATGACATTCATGCAATCAACACACAATCTACACCACCAATTCACACTTTCAGGTGGATGATTGTACTTGTTTATTTAGTGATATTTGCAATTTCAACGAAATTTCGAGTAACATGGGAGCAAGTGAAATTGTTCAAATGTTATCGATTATAGTCAGTGGCTATGATGCACTTGTCCCCAAATATCACTTGGAGAAAATCAAAACCATTCAAAGTCATTACTTTTGTGTGGGTGGTTTGCCAACTTCACACTCTAATCATTCACAACAAGATCATCCAGAATTGGTACTTCAGTTTGCAATGGAAATGTTTAGCGTCATGTATCGGTATAATATTCAATTCGGAACGAATATGACGATCAAGGTAGGAATGCATTGTGGAGCTCTCGTTACTGGCGTGATTGGTCGGCTTAAATTTGCCTACGATGTTTGGGGTGATGCGGTCAATACAGCTTCAAGGTAATTATTACTTTTGCAAATTCAAGATCATAACCTTATCATTTAATTCATAATAATGAATTGTGACAATCATGACACAGAATGGAATCTGTGGGTGTGGATGGTCGAATTCAATGCTCACGAGAAGCATATCTTCGACTGTGTTCCAAATTCGAATTTGAAGAGCGAAAAGATGTTTACGCGAAAGGAAAGGGTCTCTTGACCACCTACTTATTAAGCACCAATTATTACCAAAACCCACAAAGTGCCAGCATGACCATTCTCATTGAAGGAAGAGATTATCATGAACACCATGAACATCAACATTCAGATGCTCTTTCTCGAGGCTCGTATGACATCTCAGATAATGGATCGAGTGCTCCTCCATCACTCATCGTTGAAGAGGGACACACGGTGGCACATCATGATGGCATTCATCATCACACACAGGGGGATCATGAAATGACCCATCCAACACACCAGGCGTCACATGTGGTGACCAGTCAGAACCAGAACAATCATTCGATTGTATTGTCTGGTCACCATCATCATCATCAAACATTGCATCAATCACACCATCATGCTTCGTCATCCAATGAGGAACAACATTATTCACAACATGCTCCAATGACGAATCATCATCAACATCAACATGTGGACATACATGACAACAATGAAGACATTGAAAAAGAGCAGTCAGACAACCTTCCTCAAGAATAAACACATGTAAAGTGTGAATAAACGAAAATGGCGGCAATTTTTTGCGCCTTTTTTCAAAACAATTTAAAAACAAATTATTGCAATAGACTATCGAGAATGGAAGATTTTGACGAGAGTTTTGAAAATTATGAACCCGAAGAGGAGCACCATGATGATTCATCATCGTCATTTCCTGCGGATCATGAAGATCATCCCGAACATCGAGAGGATGAAGAAATGGAACAATTGTACATTCCATCCTCCATATCGGAACAAGTCGAACATCAAGAGGTCAATGATGATGAAAAGAACATCTCCATGGAGGAGGATATTTATGGAAATATATATGGTCACAATGAAGAAGAGAAAGTAGATCCACTCGACTCATCATTGCAACAAGAGAATCCGAGTCGTCATGCAACAATTATTACAAGAACAAGTCACGAAACAACATCAAAAGAAATCACAGAAAATTCTTCCTCTACAATTTTGGAAGAATCCTTTGAAGATTTCCAATACGATCATCAGGAAGAGGAGGACGCTCGCACGCTTCAAATATCTTCAAATATTCAATTATTGAGCAACCTCAGAACTGCTGCCACCTGTCAAGAGGAACCAAAAACGACTCCATGTTCGAATGATCCACAAAAGAATGACGAGAAAACTCTCAACACCATTCCCTTAAATGTGACATCATCGATGAAGGAGAACAACAATTCTACCTTCAAAAAATCTCCATCACCGTCCAATCAAACTTCATCCACCAACAAACATCCTTCACCTGTAAAAAAATCAGACAAGAAAAAACCCTTCTCAACTGTTCAAGACTATGATTACACACCATATTATCAAAAAAGACAAAAACCTTACAATGAACAGGAAGTTAAAGAATACATGAAACGAAAAAAAGCACAAGAAGGAAAAAATTTGAAACATCGACAAGATTCACCTACTGTCACTCCTTATTACCTTTCTAGAAAAAAGCCCTACGATGAAGAAAAGGTAAAAGAATTTATGAAAAAGAAACAAGAAAGAGATCGTAAAAAAGAAGAAGAAGAAAAACAAGAAATTGCAAACAATAAGAAACGACGAAAAGAATTATTGAAAAAACTCGACGACTATGTTCACTGTGTGTTTAAGGAACTTCGAGAGAATGCTTTCAAAGGAAAGACCTCTGCCACCTCAAAAAACAAACCAGAAATGCCAGAATTCTTGAAAAAACAACTCGCAAAAGAACAGGATGAGAAAAACTCTGAACTAATAGATCCTAGAAAACGAATTAAGGAATATGGTAAAAAAGTGAGAGAAAAACTCGCGGAAGATCACGAGAAAATGATGGCAGAAAGGAAACTTGCTCAAAAAATTACCTTAGAGAAGAAGCGACGAGAAATGCATCACTTGAAACTTGATCTGAACCTGTCACACTTCAAACTCAGAGAAAGTGATGAACAAAGTGAGGATTCGATTTGGTCGAATTGGTCGGCACCTGCCAAGACGTTCGATCTTGATCCCAAAATGTTTAAGAGTAAGAATGACAAGTATGACTTTAAGGTATCACCTTCGCAAATGACGAAACACAGTGACGGAGAGAGTGACACAAATGCACAAAAACAAGCATGGTATGAAAAAGATGAGCAAAGAAGGAAGATTATCGAAGAAGCATTGATGTTAATAGCGACCTCAAGACAGCAAGCATCTTCAACTCCTAAAGATGATTCTTCAAGCAGGGTGAAAGACAGTGAACAAGATAATCCATCAAACAATCAAACATCAGAGAGTCAAGAAATGGAATCACTCAAAGTAATCTCCACATTGAATGATTTTTCATCAGTGAACAAGAGCCGAAAGACGACAAGTAGTCAAAATATTTTTGCATCAGCAATCCAATCCTTGTTGTCACGCAAAACAAGTTCCAAAGAAATACAGGTCTCAGAAGGATCAAACTTGCCAAATTTTCACACAAATTCCACACAGATCGCCCCAAACTCTCTTTCTAAAGACCAGATCAAGAATGAAACATCTATTCAAGTCACACCATTATCCATCAACCAAAGATTTCAAGATGAAGGTTCTAAACCTCACATTGTGAAGAAAAACCTTCGAGAATCTTCAAGCAAGCTTGCCTATTTTGAACGAGCATTCAATAAGAAGATGGGAACAACTGTCGAACCACAAGAAAATGGACAACATTCTGAAAACATTGACAAATCTACCACCAAGAGGGACGTGCCAATCAGCAAGGACGAACAAGAGGAACCTCTTCTGTCAGAAACTTTTGAATTTGCAAGCTACAACGCACTGAAAGGTAAAAATCAATTCAACGACATGCAACTGCGAGAACAATTGGAGCGACAAACTTTTTGGGCCTCTACCAAACTTCCAGAAGTTGCCAGATCATCATCAATCCACACGTGTGGATCATCAATTCCACATTTGAATTTTGATTGGTCAGATTCTTCAATGGATTCACCTGTCATTTGGAATAGTGAATTGAATCACAGTCAAGAAATGATGAACAAACAATCCCCAAATCCATTAATAAGGAAGAAATCTTCGAATGAGAACTTGTCACATCATGATTCGACAAAAATCACAAAGAAAGAGTCAATGAGAGTGACGGCCGATGAAAACTCATCCTCTGTTGCACAACAGAAAAAGGCCAAGTCCGTACTCTCACTTGAAACTGAACATACAAATCCATCAAAAGTGGAAATTCAACAACAGAATGAAATGACTAATGACATTGGTCAAGAAATCCCGTTCCAAATCTCAAATCCATTCATGACCAGTTCAGAGAATAATAGCCACAAGTCTGAACACAAAAAATCATCTCCCTTATTAGAGAGCAAACCTTTGGAATCTTGTCAAACACTCACAATTGAAGACGATCAATCGGAAACAAATTCATTGCTGGATTCCAAGGAATTTTCTGTCAAGAATGATGAAATCAAAAAGGTGGTCTTTTCAATGATGAAGAAACAAAGCTATAATGAAAAGAAACACAAAAAGAAAAAGAAATTAATCTCACTTATTAATCCAACAGAAACTGTCAACGATCCATTTAACATTATCAGTACCTTACGTGAAAAGAAGAAACACGAACAACAACTCGAACGAAGAAGGCGAAAAGAGAAAGTCAAACAAGAATTGTCCATATTGATGAAAGAACGAAAAGAGAGAATGAAACATCTTGGGAAGAATGTTCACCCCAAACATTGTGATCGTTTGAATGATGAAAACAACCATCATGGAACTAGCGTTGCCATTCAGACCTATCCTCAGGTGACTATAGAATACGATTTAACAGTTGACGAAGATGAGTGTCACAAGGATCATGTTGCATGTGTCAGTTCTGACGAGGAAAATACAACAGAACACGAAAGAAATGGAAGTGATGATGAGAATGATTGTCTTTATGATGAAACCACTCCATATGGTGATGATACCTTTGCCAATGATCAATTTGCATCAGTGTCACCACCACACGACTGGTACTACACACAACAACAGCTTCCTCCATTTTACTACCCTTACATGAACGAATCTAATTTTCCAACAATGAGGATGCCACAACAAATGGTCGACAATCAAGACGATACTCGATTATCACCAGCTGAGCTTGCAGAAAAGTTGCTTGATTCTCTGACAGTCTATGAAAAAGTCTTGGAATCTGAAGCAAGATTTTCAAGTTTACTTGCATTGAATAATTAGTGGAGAGAACGGGCCATTTGATTTTATTTCATGTTCACCAAAATTGGATTGTATTTCTGGCTATCCTTCATGCAGCTAAAATGATTTTAAATTGAGGCATTCCCCCAAAGAGAATATTGTTCTTCAAAAGACTGAAAAGTAGAATGTTGTGAAACCAACACCTGAAAATGCGAGAAGGTTTCTAATATTACACTTGCATAACGAATATTAAAATTTCAAGTTCTTAAATGTTTTCACATATTGATCGAGATCATCCTTTTCAAACTGGCCATTTGCAAGCTCTTGCAATGCAATTCCCAGTCTTGATGCAGCAATCTCACAAACTTGATGGCTCACATTGGCATAACTAATTCGAAAACCTCCCGTTTTACCAAAACAACTTCCTGGCAGAACAGCCACTTTGTGCTAAAAAATTCAATACATTGTTGAAATGATGGTGATAACCATTTCAAGGAGAGCATGTTTCAATATATTCGAATATATCGAAAAAAAACATTGGTCAAACATTTTAACACTGTGTATGCATCAATGATGATAATTACCTTTCTAATGAGCCACTCAATCACTTGAAATTCTTTCTCCATTGTGACATGTTCTTGATGGAGAAAATTAGGAAATGTTGCCCAAAAGTAAATGGCTCCTTCTGACATCTTTTCAAGTTGACACAAATCATGGATGGCCTCCCAAATTACTTTCCTATTGTGTTTGAGTGTAGAAATTTTCTCTTCAGCCCATGGCTTTCCAAATTCTTCCATGTTGAGAATACAGAATGCAAGTTGTTGTGAAACAACCGGAGAAGAAATCACAATGGTATCTTGTATCTTATTCAGATGCAGAGCTAGTTCAGTATTTGAGCTTGGATAGGCTAGTGAATGTCATTTCTTGTTGACAATAGACACTCGACAAGTTGTACAACTTACCAATATAGCCCAATCTCCAGCCTGGAATACTAAATGCTTTGCTAAAGCTGTAAAGATGGATAATATGATCTCCTTGAGGAGTGTAGTGATAACAATTACTCTTTGTTGTGGTGTTAGCAGTAGTCTGATGTAATTGTTGGTCTACAGAATCATTGTAAACAAAATATTCATACGTCTCATCACAGACCATCCATATACCATATTTTTCACACAATTGACCAATGATATCGATTTGATATTGTGTATAGACAGCACCAGTTGGATTACATGGTGTTGTTACGACCACCATTTTCAATTTGCCAGTTGTGGAATCAGTTTGTTTCATTAAATTTTCGAAAAATTCTGTAAATCGACTCATATCATCACAATGTCCACATCCTGGTTGATAACCATCAGATTCATTACAGTCAAATATCACTGGCTACGTTAACATTAGTTGGTATTAAATTCAATTTAAACGTGTGAATATGGTGTTGTGGAGTGACAATGTTACATGATGACAGCAATTTACAAAATGAGTTGAAATTAATAATCCATGAGTGCATGTGTGAGTGAGTGAATAAGCTATCGCTATTGCACAACCAAGTCCTCTTACCTTCACACCAAACATTTGTAAGGCCATAAAATGATTAAAATAATAAGGGCCAAACAGTAAACATGAATCTCCAACATCACACAACGACAACAAGACGCTCACAAACCCTTGATTCGCACCACTTGTCAAGACAACCTCTACATTTTCCAACTTGTTAATCTTTTGTAATTTTTCCTTCACTTTATCTCTCACCACTCTTCGTCCAAAATCATGCTCACAATAATTGTGAATAAATCTAAATTCCGATCCCGATGGATTACAACTATTCATCAATTGATCTTGTAAGAGTGTTTGAAGGGCTTGTTCTGGCGGTTTGAAATACACCATTCCCTGGCAAAGACTATACACGACATTATGATCATCATTATTATTGGATGAAGCAGTAGGATTTGTATTCTCCTTCATGGCATGTGATTGCTGAAGAGATTGATTCACTTCGGAAATAATTCCACCAATCTTGTTGATCATGGGCATATCCGTATCCCGAATTCTTTGACTGAGAGTCCTATATAATTCTAAAGAAGAAGTCATGTTGTTGTTAGTAGTTGTTGGTGCGTTACTCTTCATTTTCTCCTCGTTATTGTTGTTGTTGTTGTTGTTGCTGATGATGGTAAAACTTTTCTGATGATTCGTTTCAGACATTTTTTTCATCATCTTTGCATAAGGCCGTAGATTTATATGAAGATTTCATGAAGGCTTTCCGAGATGAATTTGAAATGCCAATCTTTTCCGCTGTTCGCTGCGGCTGCAGGTTTGATGGGGCCCTCTGGCTGTGCTAGCGAGTTGAAGGATGGATTGAGAAGCCAACTCCTGTTCGCTGGGGACAGTTTGCTTTCCGAAAATCTTCAGATTTTCGATTTCATTTCTTAAGCACGAAAACACAATTTCGATTTCATTTCATTTTCTTTCAACGATTACATGAAAAGCTCTCTAAATTGTTTTTTTTTCAAATTAAAAAAAAAATATTTATTTCGTTTCTTCTTTATGTCCTTGCACCATGTTGATCCCGAAGAAGAGATCATCACGGAAATTCAAACCGAAAATTTAAATCGTGCCTCTTCATCTCATGATAGAAAATTGAGGAGAGAACTTGGGAGCCAAGTGCATCCACAACAACCAAAACCTATGGGCCGTCAACAAATACCTCCTACCACCATTCCGTTCTCTGTACAGCAAGAAATTGGATGGATTGATACTCCGTTGGATCATGATGACAATGAACAACAACGACAACAACGGCCCACTCATTTGTTATCATCTACCGCTGTAAATAATCCCTACGCCATTCCATTTACTTCAAATCATTTAATTCCTTCGCGAAATAGAAACAGTCCTAAAAGTAGTGCTACTGTTGCTAGCGGAACTATTGGTAATCATCAAGAAGTACGTGATGATTTTCAAGTATATCCAACATCATCATTGAGAAATATAAAATCAACCTCACTACTTGCATCTGTGAGACAGCAACAACTCGGTGAAAATATTTTTCAACAATATGAAGAGGATGACAAACTTCAAGTGACACAGCAGGCCCCGATTAACAAGTTGAGCGTTAATTTGTTGGTCCAAATATTTTCATTTCTTTGTGACCAGTTAGAGGAAAAGGAAGAGGATACCTCTTCAACTCGAGACCTCTATGGTGACAATGACGACGATGATGAAATTGAACTTGAGGATACGCAAACATCCATCGAGACAGCCAAGAATACCATGTTAAATACCTCTCATTCGTTAGAGGAATTATCAATTGATGGTAACAGATCTTCTTCTGAAAAAATTCGTATCAGTTCACCAAAAAAGACTCTCAACAAGAGGGAGTCTGCTAAATATTATTCAGAATTTGGAATTGAGGACGAGGATGAAGAATTAACGACCGAGTGGATCAGCTCTGGTCTACTGAGCTCAAAGAAATCAGGTGGTGACGAAAATGTCACTCCTTTACAAGGTAGTGTGAACACAATAAGACGGAGCATTTCAGTTCCGTCTATATCACTGCTGATGTCGAAAAACTTTACCGAAAATAATCTAGAAGGTAGAAGTAAGGATGACAGTTCCCTTACCCAAAAATCATCGTCGACTGGCGTGACCTCTCACTCCGATAAAAAGCCAGAAAAACTTGTGACATGGAAAAACTTGAAAAAACAAAATGCTAAAGAACAAGCCAAGCTTAAGAATCGCTGTGAAAAATTTATGATTTCTCATGCCAAAAAGAGACATACTTGGATTCATTATGGAAATGCAAATATAAGTCTGGTGTGTAAAAGGTGGTATATTGCGTCTTGCCACAATAATGTATGGTCTCTTGCATGTGTCATGTTATACCTTCACTTGACGCGATTTTCAATTACTTTTCGAAGTTATGATACTGATGTGTTACAACGCATGCTCTCAACATATTATTCAAAACCAAAGCGAATCGAGGAGACTCGTAAAAAATTGCAAGTTCTATGTGACTATCTACTGCCCTCCAAGAGCGTCTTTATGGACACAGTCATTCATGTCAATAGTAAGCAATTCAGTACGGAACATTTAAATGCGTTTAGCGCCAAGCTGACTCAGGAATTATCAAAACGAGCAAGTGTTGTGAGAGATACAGTACAAGCACTCGACAAGCGAATTACCGATACAGCCAACACATGGACAGAGAAATTGGAACACCACATTTCTCAAAACAAAATTTCAAATACTCTACTAGGGCATGACATTCAGTCGGCATCATCTCCCACCCAACACCAAGGTGGAGTGACTTTGGAAGAAGTATCATTGGAGACGGCTCTCCCAACAACGGATAAAAAAGCAATGGATAATGAAAACATTCTTGTGATGAATCATCATGAAGAACAACAAGCCAAGACATCTGAAAAAACTTTAGAGTCCATGAATGGTAATTTGTTAGATCATGATCAAAAGATTAATTGCCACGACGAAAGTCATGCCACTGAAGAAAAAGTTCCCACTCAATCACCTCAACAGCGCAGTAATACTCCCAAAGGGGATGATGACTTTGAGGTCATTCCTTCACCAACCGACATTGGTGATGAAATTATCGAGAATCATAGAAAGCGTCGTACGCTATCCAAACGATTTTCCACAAGACACTCTAAAATCAATTTCAAAAACATTATTGATGACGATGGAATGGATGATACCATACTTGATCAAACAGCTGACCTTTTGTCTTCACAACAAAATACGAAACTCTCAAAAAGAAAATCCTCAGCCTCCAATCAGCAGCAAGCACTGCAAGATGAAGACCTGTCAAATTTAAATCTTTATTCAAATCGGTATCGATTTTTTAAGGACACATTTATTGAGATGAAAAAGATTCAACAATTTGAGTTTGAGAGATTAATGAAACTTAATTACCACAGCAAGAATCCTCCCGAAATGAAACAGAGAATCTCATTTCTTCTGAAAAATGCATTTCCAGAAATGTTGGGTGCAATGGTAATCATCCTATTCCTCTTCTCATATTTAGGAATTATTATTGCCATGCTTGTTGCTCCATCCTTGTACTGGCCAACCTTTTTATTTTGGATGTGGTCAATTGTGTATTGCCTAGTTTGGACAATTGTTTGGGTTACTAGTTTCATTCTTTATGGAAAAATACAAATCAGACTCAATCCACAACGAGAGACGACACCTTCCGAAGATCAAATGACAGAGAGTTTAATCATTGACGAAGGCCGACAAGGAATTGGAGAGTTGAAAGAGCTTTTTCTATGGATCAAGAGTTGGGTGACGTCACGATCTCCTCCAAGAGAGTTAGCAGAGGAGCATACCATTGTTGGACACAAGTTTGATGCTTCCGATGAAGGCTGGTTCTATTTGAGACGTCTACAAATGAAACTTGCCGATCATGCAGCATACTACCATCTTATTGGGTCTATTTTTGTCGTACCGGTCCTTATTATTTTACTGCTCTATTTCTTAATGATTTACTTTGAAGTTTCTGGATGGCTTGGTATTTTCTCCATTCCATGCTTTATTTATTTTGTTGCGAGTATTATATCCTTGTTACTCTTTTTAATTGCAGTTTGGGATAGTATTGTTTTTCTCACGAAAAAGTACATTTTTTATGACTTGACGGAGACTGTGAAACGACAATTGAGGTAGGTAGTATTTTGGAAATATTCAGCAGTTCATGCTCATCATTTTCCTCTCTGTTATTCGTATACAATGATCAGAGTTATATCTTTAAGAAATTGGCCATTTATGCTTGCTTATGGAGCAGCCATGAGCTTTTTACTGTTTTGGTTTTTAATTGGGTTTGCTTCCTTTTTAGATGCACACGATAAACTCTTTGTCGATGAAAACAACGACAGCGACAACAATATTCAAAGTGTCATTCCTAACCTGGCTGTCATGCAATCTCAACCACCACCTCCACCTTCCTCCAGATTCACCAATTTTTCTGGAATTGGCTACACCTTCATTCCTTTGTATTTGGCTGAAATTTTGACAGTCATCATTTATTTCTGTGGACTTATTTTCAAAAGCTCCTATTACAAGTATTGGTTTTTGAGAGGTGCTCTCTTGAGTGTATCCTGTTGCATTGCCCAAATTTTAATATCCGTGCTTGCAAATACTGAGCTTGGAATTTTATGTATTCTCACCATTGTCATTCCAGTTTTTGTGAGTTTTATCATGATCGTTGTACCCCAATTGAGATACATGAAATTAGTGAACTCTCGTTTTGCCTACTCACTCAATTAAAAGAATAGATGAATTTGATCAACATTCTAACTCAATCACCAATTTGCATGTGTATTATGAGGAACCCTTTTCCTGTCGGCTCTTTCTCGAAATGGAAATGCACCTTGACAGCATGTATCTGTTTCTCGTCAATCGCCAAAGAACTTCATATTCTCAACAATTTGTACACAGGAATGACGGTGTTTGACCTTTTCACGACCAAAAAAACAGCCATAACACCACTCCATGACCACTCTCCACAACACCACATCCGACCCCTACTTGAACAATCTGTTCATTATTTTACTGTGCCCGTTGTTGTTGCTGTTGTTGTTGAGCATTGCAATGATTCCTTCCTGCCATGCAGAGGTTTCACTTTATGTTTCTCTCACCAAAGGAAATGATACCCTCTAACTCTGGTCTCTCTCTATTCTCACCATTCGCCACTCTTCAAAAAGCAGCGAATACTGTCGCTTCCTTGAAGAATGTGGCCATCAAGAATGACACTTATGTGATCTACATTGAGGAGGGTCGTTACTTCTTGAATTCCTCCATTGTAATTCCGAAACCCAATCGATACAATGATCATTCATCTCCAGTGATTTGATAACCTTGGCAAGAGGGTCATCAGGTGATCCTTACAGGAGGTGTCAAGTTGTGGACATGGGTCACTCTGAGTAATAACCCGAGAGTGTATTCCATGCTTCCTCTGAATGCAAGAGGAAAAGTGTTGCAACTTAATTTGACAGAGGCTGGATTTTCCAAGTCACAATTGGTCCAACCTTTGGTGAGAAGTGGATTTTACAATTGAAATCAAGCATCTAATGAATTGTTTTACAAGGGAAAGGCATTCTATTGAGTGCGTATCCAAACAAGTTGCCAGATGAAAGTGAAACTTTTATGAAAATTACTTCCACGAATGGGGTGAACAATTTTGTGTTTGATTCATCGAAATGTGAACACTGTGATAAGTGGCCACTTGAGAAACGACCATTTGCAATTGGATTTTGGTATTACGATTGGTAAGTGATGAACTCTGAAATTGCATGATTGAGCTTTCATTCATGTTGAAAAATGTCTATTCTTTGAACATTTCAACATGAATGACATCAATGTTCGCACATTCTATTTGAATGATAGGGCTGGTATGTTTTTTCATATAGTTCTGTTTCAACTGTTGTTGACATTTCATGAATCATGGTGTCGACATTTTGATGATCCATTTAAAAATCATTTTCAATACTCAACAACAGAGGGTATTGAGGACTTGTCAAATATGACCTCTAACGGTCCTGCCTATTTTGTTCAACCTTCCATTCGTTATGACGTTCAACGTGGACAACGCTTTTTCTTGCTTAATTTTTTGAGCGAGTTAGATCAAGAAGGTGATTATACTATTGAGGATGATATGATCTATGCAATACCTCCTGGACCTTTGAGTAGAGACGATGACATGATTCTGTCAGTCACTGATCAAATTTTCACCTCTCAGGCACAAGCTCAAGAATTTCATTCACTCCATCTCGAAATGTGTCTTGGTTTTGCAGTTTTAGCAACCGGTAGCTATTTTGTTATCAATCAAACGGTTATTTCTAACACTGGAAATGCAGCTGTCAAAATTTCACAATGTCATTTTGGCTGTCAAGTTTTGAATTCCACATTTTACGAATTGGGACAAGGAGGTATTTATAATCCTTTAAAGGATAACAGTGAGTATGGTCTCTGTTTCATTGATGGCATTCAATTCACAACACATGGCGCGTGATGCCATGTTTATCCTCATGACAATGATGATGGTAGGAACTGTTGTGATCTTGATGGTTTTGGTGGAATAAATTTAAAAACCGTCCAAATGTCTCCTGTCCCTCCGTGTGAAATCGTGACTATTTTGTTTAAAAGTCTTGGTCTTCTTGTTGGCAGACAAGAAAGAGCTTGTTGAAAAGGATCGACCTGAACGGAAAGGATTCATAGTGGACACATCGCAGGGGTAATTAGGTTTTCCAGTTTTTCATGTTGGTTGCAAATTACGAAGGTAATCATATTTGAGATTTGTTCTTCCCTTGGGCATTCCAACTCTTGTAATCAATGAAATTGAGAGGTTGTTGATAGGAATCAATTGTGAGTGTAGACTTTTCATCAGTACTTGTTGCAGTAGAGTGTTTGTGTATAATTACAGTGAAGTGGCAATTCGAAGTCCTTTGCTGTTGATGATCTAAAAGATGATTCACCTTTATGAGATGATGGTTGTTGAGTGCTTGGGGTGACAGGATCTTCCCTTGTTGTTGTAGATGATTTTGGTTTAATAGACAATGATCTTTCTCTTCGACGACCGATGATGAATTTGCGTCCTCTCGAATCTCCGACCTTTCTTGACAGAAGGAATATCGGATCCTTTCATCATCTTTGATGCTCAGCTAAATTATTTACCTTAATTAATCTCACCAACAAGAAAGTGCTGGAGACGATTTGAAAAAAAAAATGTTTCATGAAGCAAAACCCTCGTCGGCATCGGCCAATTCAAAATACTTTGGATTTGAGCCCTCTCAGGCAGATCTCACTCATCATACGCAAGGTTTTTCGGTGGAACAAAGTACAGTGCAGTATCAACAGCAAGTAGGGTACTCTCTCGATGTTTATGCTCCTCCACAGAGTCCTCATTATTTACAATCTCAATCGGTAATGGGTTCTGCTGCATCTTCTGACAAACATGTTGGAACCACTTTTGGAGCTCATGAACACATGAACCAACCCTCCTCCACCACCACCACCACTCGTACGCAGCGGTCCCAAAGCAAATACAAACCACCGACAAAAGTTAATCCCCTCATGGACGGTTTACAATTTGCTCCAATTGCCAGAAATTTGCAAGTCGGATCCATCTATATCCTGTTCATTTGTGGTTTCACTGCGTTGGTAATGATTCCATCCGATCCGTTGTGGCTCTCTTACATTCCAGGTGCCTATTGTATTTTACTCTCATTTGTTCTTTATGTATGGTGCTTTGTGAGTGAATTCAATAAGGAAGACAAACTTTCGGTAGAGGAAATTCTCAATCCAAAACAGTGGCCTCACCCAGTGAGAAAGGTATTAAGCGTGATAAATCGAAATGAAGTTCAATGCGTGTTGTGCTTTGTGTAAGTAGTAGAAGTGTGTGTTTTTTCGCCGGCTTTTGAAATGACTTCCTTTCATCAACAACAATTATTAGCCTCTCCATCTATTCCTTTTTTTGTGTCCAAACAGCTATTGCAGGAATGTGTTTGATCTTTTCCAGCATCTTCTTCCTGATTGCCTCCATTCGAAAAGAAAAGCCGATCAAAATTACTGGAATAATCTAGTTGCTGTGTTGTTGGCGAGTTTTCTTGCACTCTCTGATCAGAGAGTAATGTATTTTAGTACAAGCATGTGATGTTGTTTCAATGTGTTTTGATTTTGGATCAAATTACACACATCTCATTAAATTGTGGTTGACGTTGTGTTTCAATGAAATTCCTTGTTCTTTTATTCATGGAACACACTAACCTGTATGGTACCCTCGTTTGAGCTTTCCGATAATAATAGATTCTAATTAGAACTGGAGAGCAGCTCTAATTAAAAAATTATGCAGCCCCATCATCATCACCAACCACCACCAAACATCCAACAGCAGCAACCTCCCATCAACCCAAACAACAACAACAACCAAAATCAATATCAGCAATCGCCCTATTTTCGTCCTAACCCCAGCAATAACAACATTTATCAACAAAAAGCAACCACACCTACTTTTATAAATAATACGAACAACAATCAGCAAATCCAACCACAACCTCCCTATTATCCCTATCAGCAAACAACAACACCGCAACCGGGATTTGTTTATGGACCATATCCAGTTCAAGGAATTGTAACGAATAATAATTACGTTTATCCGAACAACAATACCAACTTTACGAATTATCCTCCCGTTATGATGATGCAACCACAGCAACCGCAACCACAACAACCATCACCAAACAATTACAACATGAATCCACCACAAGCACAACAACCATCATCAACGACTAGTAGCAGTAGTGGTGGTAGTAGTAGCAGGAGAGTGATGGCCAAAACATTGGGATCCTTTATTCTATTAAAAGAAAAGCTCATTGGTTCGGGAGCCTACGCCGATGTCTATGAAGGCTATCATAGAGATACCAAAGAAAAGGTAGCCATCAAGGTAATTCAGAGAAACAAACTAAACGATCGTTTGATGCGAAATTTGGAATCTGAAATTACCTTGATGAAGAGAATTCAGTCCGATTATGTGATCAAATTGTATGAAGTTCATCGCAGCAAAAGACACTACTATTTGATTGTTGAATTGTGTAGTGGTGGAGAACTTGGAAAGCTTCTCAAGAAGGGCAAACTACCCAAGTCGGTCACAACCATTGATGGCGGCATGAAGGAGAGCATTGCCAAAAAATTTATTTATCACTTGTCGAAAGGAATGAAACAAATTTTGGATCAGAATTTGATTCATAGAGATTTGAAACCTGCAAACTTGTTATTGAGTAAGCCATTCCAAATACTGGAGCCAAACAAGAGCGATCTTACCTACAAGGATGTAGACTTTGGATTTTTAAAGATTGCTGATTTTGGATTTGCACGTGAGATTGGACCCAATGATTTGGCTCAGACCTTGTGTGGTACTCCGTTGTATATGGCGTAAGTTTCTATCACATTTTGTGTGTACAGTTTTTTAATGCATTTGTGCATGTGAATTTTGAACAATGGTCAATGAAAATTCCAATCCATAACAATTATTCCATCCCAAAATGAAAATTCCAATCCATGATAATCCCATATTATTATTAATGGAAATCATCACGCTATTTCTTGAATTCACACCACTCACACCTCGATCATGTGTATTTTCGGTCATGTGTATTGTTGTTTATATGGAACTCATGCAATGTGGACCTTGTTTGATTCACCCTACACCTCTCAACAGACCTGAAATCTTATCATCTCAAAGATACAATTACAAGGCCGATTTATGGTCACTTGGGGCTATAATTTATGAGCTTTTATTTGGAAGACCTCCCTACATGGCTGTCAATCAAATGGATTTATTGAATCAAATTAGAGCTCGTCCACCTCCATATCCCAATAATCCAACGGTTTATCCTCCTCTTGTCATTGACCTTATTAAGGGATTATTGCAAGCCGATCCCAATGTTCGGTTCACTTTTGAACAATTCTACAATCATCCCTATCTGGTAGCTCTCAGAAAGGAGTTTGGAGACAATGAAGAATTCAATTCTCAAACACTTAATCCAGCTCAAGAAGAATATATTGAAAATCCAAATGTTGTTGCCAATAACAACATGATGACAGATGTTGCACCATTTTCAAACACAACAAATGACGACACTTCCAAGTCAGACGAAAAGAATGATATCAATGATGACGAAGATGAAGACAAGCTTGCAACTCCAGCCAACGGTAAAACTGCAGGTGAACCAATCAGCACATTAACGGGTACGAAAACAACTGTCGCTCTTGATTCCAATGGCAGTAGCGGTAACACAAGCCAAGACAAAAACATCTCGAGTGACAATGAACCAACAACAACAAATAATGTTAGCGAAAAGGACAATAACATGACTGATCAAGGAGCTAAAGTTTTGATTATGGATAAACAAATCTCTCCCAATGAAGCTCTCTACAATAACGAATATCAATTGGAAAAGGTCATTGGATGTAGTAATGATATCTGCTTTCCTTCCATAATTTTCGACTTTTCTGCACTTGTTTGTAGTGACAAATGCTTGCAGAGTCTCAAGACAATTGAAAATTTAGCTACAAGAGCTTGGTTCATTGCAGAAACAGCGTTCATTATGGAAAAAACTTCTAAATATGCAGAGGCGTACGGTATTTATATCAAGGCAGGAGTTATACTTCGTCAAGCCTATGATACAATCAATCATTTAGAGGAAGAATCTGAAAGATCGGGAGCTCTTCGATCCTTCATCAAAACGGTGATGCGTGATGTTTTTCAACGTGCCCTTGTCATTGATCAAGAAAAGTTGAATAGTAGCATGTCTAGCTCACAATCCTCTCAGAACGAAATTAGCGTCGATCAAATTTTGTACATGTATGCGATTCGAATTGCCCAAGAAGCAGCCTACAAAGAATATCTCAACTCCTCGCAATGTACCAAAGAATGTCTAGCCATGTATATTAGAGCCAAATACATTTTCGAATATTTGGTTGAGATTTCAGAGGAGTATTCCCAGAAGGTCGAGTTGAGAAATTTCTTAGAAAAGTTCACGGAGAGAATTAATTATTTAGAGAAGTTGGATTAAAGTTTGTACTATATAGATCTTCCTGACGGAGTAAAAAACAACAGTTACAATTTGCTTTTGTGAGTGCCAATTTATGGAAATTGTACGAATCTAACAAGATCAATCTGTGTGTTGTTGGTGGATGACACATGACACATTATAATCTGAAGCACATGGCGAGATAAGCAAGGGCTGAGAGCGAAGTATACGCTCATTCAGATAGCTTGCGCCGCCTTACTTATGGCTTTCCAAATGATTTTCTATTCGTTTCACTCTATTTTCGAGAGAGTGCATTTCTGTGAGAATATTATCCAATTTGACATCCATACTCGTTCGCATTTCCCGCAACTCTCGTAAAATCATGTTGACCAGATTATTTTGTTGATGCAAGAGTATTGGAGAGGACACTGTAACTCCAGCCGCTGGAGTAGAAATGCTTCCAAATGGATCTCCTCTTGGAGAATTATTCAAATAAGGTGTCACTGGCGTGGCAACATTTGGATCTTCCTTAAGATTAATTTTCCTCAAGAACTTGGTTAGAGAAACGTTTTCAAAATTTTCTAATGCATTCTTAAAGTTGCAAAAGAATATTCCTCCCGCTTGTTTTTCTCGTTTTCCAGAGAGCGCTCGAATGATTAAAACATTATCTAGGCCTGGCTGTTGATGGCTAATGTCGAGACCGAGCAGTCGTTGATCCTTTTCTAGGCCCAGCAATTGAGTTTGTGAATCCTGTGGTGATTTATAATTGTATTCAATGTATTCGAGTTGTGGTTCTGTCCTATTAGATGTCACAACGTGAAAGATGGAATTTTGGAGCCTATCATGTGCTCCATAAATCATATCTGGAAATGTGGTGAAAATACCAGTCTCTTCGTTAGCAATCCTGATTTGAGAATTTTGCTCCACTTTGATAAAAACAATTTTTGTTGGATACTTTTCATGATTCTCTTCATCATTACTAATGGAAAAGTCTAGCTCTGGAAGTATGAGTGAATTATTTAACAAGAGAGGCTTGACTTTGGGTACCTTGGGCTTTTTAACGAGTTCAATAATTTCATTCACTTGAGAAGAATTGTTGTCAGTAATTGTCCGTTCCTCTTCATTTACGTTGTTCTCCACTAGAGTGATGTCACTTGTTGTTACTGCAGAATCAATGTTATTCTTGGAAGAGTCTTGATGCGGAGGTAATTCTAGAACTCGCTTGGAGGTCTCTTGAAGAACGATCCATCCTTCCGCTTCAACCGCAAGCAATTGTCGAATTTTTCCTCCACACAACAATATATTAGAAATTGGCTCAAATTTTCCCTTTGAATATGAAATTTTGTAGACGACAAGGCCATCTTCCCATATTCTATGCCGGTGTGAAAGTCAAAAATAATACAATCATAAATGCACATAGTTGTGAAATTTCAATATCATGTACAATGGTGTAGTGGAAAATTTCAACAATCATTCATGGTGAATAACATGGCAACATGAATTGCAAAATTCCAACCAATCGTACGTGTAAATCATATTCATTATTGAAATGTCACATTTCATCGTTTGTTGCATATTCCCAGAATTTTTTTTCAAATACTAATAAATCCAATCCACTTACACACATAATAAATCTCTGATCATACTCGATTGTAATGCTCTTTTACCCTTTCTTTCAATTTTCATTAATTGTTTCATACTGTCCTTATGAATTTTCTCCCATCTCATAATTTTTACACATTGATCTGTACATATTACAAAATAAAAGAAGTGAATATTGCTCTCTGTCAAACCTTCCTTGACTTGAACATTATTGATAGAGTGACTGACAGATGAAGGAGAAGTGTTCGAGTCCTTCTTATCATCATTGTTGTTTGTTTTCTGTTGTGAATGGTTGTTCGTTTCATGATTCGTGGCAACATGAGAATCTCCATTACTACCACCATCTAAACAACGATTCATTTCTGCAGTATACACCACTCTTCCTGCCTCAATAATCATCAACACATGTTGATACGTAGCATAAAACAAATGACTATTTCCACTCTTATGAAATCGATGAATAACATGAACATGATCCACATAATTTGGATCAAATCCCGAAATATGAACATTTTCATTTGAAAGGATATTGGTAAAGGATCTTGTATGATGATGAATTTCCGAGTAGTGATAATGATGTTGTTGTTGTTGTTGTTTCTGCATTGTTCCCGTCGTTGAAAATTGTAAATCCCTCACAAACAAGTGATGATCCAAATAATTAATTTTACTCCGAGAGAATTGTGTGATCATGGGAGGATCATTCAAGAACGGACCCAAATGTACCTGATGAAACAACAACGATTCCACCATATCGTAATGATGCAGATCGTGTTTTCCTAATGAGTCTTGGTGTTGAGGTTGTTCATTGTAGTTCTTACGGTTCTTCGGATGAGGCCGGTGCAAAGAAGTGGAGGCTTTCATTTTTGTGGGTCTGACCTGACAAATTACTATCATGAATTCTATGAATGTTTTACAACTCTGGCCACCATCATTCCGCTTCATGCACTTTTCCAGAGCGAACAGCATGTGTAATATTGATGATGAAATCTCTTATGGTTCGTCACCAACAAGCAAATCATGGTTTGATATTGAAGAAGGCAATGACCACGAAGGAGGCGTCCTGTATTCTGATGAACATTTCCAGAGAATTACAACACCTGACAGAGTTCAGTTTCAGCCTCTTTCATCATCAGCAATCAATAGTATTTCAGAGAATGATGAAGCAGACATTCCTGAAATGGATGATTATGTGGATTATCAATCAATGGATAAGAATTTCAATGACGGTACCGTAGTACCGTCTGATCTTAATCTAGCCACGAGCCCTTCCACTCTTCATCCTCAACAAATTGATCAGTCTTCTGGTAATTCCTCTTTTTCTGTCTGGCTTCAACAGTCATCATGGTTGCTGCAACACATCAAACTTAATCCTAAGACACCTTTTAAGCAATTGCAGAAAACTCATCTCAGCAGACTTTGAATCTACATTCATAACAGGGCCAAAGTTGAGACTTTGAAATTTGACTTGTTTGCTGCACCATGTAGCCAAGGACAGGAGATGATCGATCAAGCTTTAATAGTTCAAAAAGTTGGTTCGGTTACAGTTTATCTTCCCCTCGATGATTACGTTTGGTTTTCTTTGAAATCTCTTATGGATGCTATCCCTGAACTCAAGGGCTTGCCGAACAACCATTGTACCGCCACATGATGGCAGTGAATGGACAATTCTACTTTTTGACAAGGCCAAACGCTATCCTAACTGTTGCAATATCCTAGAATTTAAACAGACAACAGCTTCCATTCATAAGGAGAACTTGCACTGTTTGCCATCTAATGCATATGTCAAAAAAGCTGTTGAGCAAATTGATTCCAACAACTTGACCTTAGTTTTTTCCTTAGTTTGTGAGAAAGTCAGGAATAAGTACAAAAGATTCGATCTTGTTTGGAGAATAGACTTCAGTACCTCTGTTTAGGATCTTAATTCCTAACTCGGCTATGGAAGTAGGGTGAGAACAACTTTACTCAAGATTCCAGTTGGAAGTACTCACCACTGGTTGGCCCTCTTTACCTCTCGCAATATCTGGCCAGCCAAGAAAACCTTTTTTGGGAAAAACATTGAAAAAAAACCCTTTTTAACAATTGTTAATTCATGACCATTCACTGAACGCTGCAACTTATATTGATTTAACAATTGTTAAAAGTGTTTCTTTTTTAGGAATGCTTTTTTCTCTTTCTACTCGAAAGAAAAAAAAGTATTCACCAATATCATGTATATATTGTTTATTATGTTATTATTAATTTTATTGTTTCTCCCTTTTTTGACACAAAGTTTCCCTGTATTGTATATATATACTCAATAAACAATGCTTCATGAATGAGGCTCTTGCTTTACCAAAAAAAATGTCTTCCTCAATCATTGACCAAATTAAGCGTAGGTTTTTTGAGACACAATTCATAGGTATGGCGTTAAATAATCCTCGATCGGTACAACTGATGGTGTTTATGATCACCACCCACCAACAATTCGGACCAATACAACATTATTGAAACGCATTGAATCAGGAAGCGGAGCAGAATTGAAGGCTCTATGGAACAAGCTTCCCCAATTACCTCAGGAAAAGAGCGTTTCAAACAACACCCAAAATGTAACCTCCAACCTCGAGAATAAGGCTCATCGGAGTGTTCATGATTCCATTGAGCAAGTTGTGAGAGGTTTGGAAGAGTGTACCTTGGCAACCTCTCCAAGCTTTGCAAAACTATCTCCGAGTGAGCTCTTGAAAACGGTTGGTTATGAATTATGGAATCAATGCGTTGAGCAGAATGCAAAGAAATTTCTTGTGAGTGCCAACTTGGAAGAGTTGCTGAAAGTGCAAATCATCAGAGGTATGTAATTGCCGATATATGAATCCATTCATCAGAGACAATATGATTTTGGCTCTAATCATGCAAATGCTCCTACCGTTATTATTATTTTTCATTTCTCAATAGTCCGTAAGGTGGCTTGTCATGTTATTGAAAAATCGATCAAGCCTTCAACACTTTCCCTCAAAGTGATACACAACATGATGCGATTGTATGCTAAAACCGCTCGAGACTATCTAGTATTGAAAAAGAGTGTTGCTTCAGCATCTCAAGGTTCCCAAACACCAAACAAGTTACTCAAGAAAAAAGCGACGCATGCCCGAGACGAAGATGGAGATATTGAATTTGAAGATGTCATGACATCCCCAACCAGTAACTCCAATAAGGAGGGTATGTACGAGTTTGCTCTGGTTTGTTTTGAGAAGGCTGCAATTTATGCCGACAAGTACTTGGAGGCAGCTAATTCTTTCTCCTCCGAAAACTCAGCGTTAAACAACTCTATAACGTCAGACGAAGCATTGGATAAGAGCACAGACTCGGCTCTGAATGCCATCTTGAATGTTTGTATTGATAGGGCTGATTGCTTGTATCGATCGAACAATGTTCAAGGGGCTTTTGCGGCAATACAACAAGGAAAGAAGCTCATTCATAAGTTACCTCATGAAATTCAGCGTATAGCAATGATTGAATACAATTATGCGGTTGACCTTAACAGTCAACTGAGATACGAAGATACCATCCCGTGGTTGAAGGACTCTTTTGAGTTGTATGAGCTGGTATCTGAAGGAAAGAGTCTTCAAAAGCAATCCAGAACTTTGCGTCTTCTCTCCAATTCATATCTTGAAACTGGTAATTTGGAAAATGGTCTTAATTGTATCACAATGGCCAACAACATGTGCAAGACTCCACCAGGAATATTTCTAGAAGTAAAATTTTACGCCATGTTGCGAAGAGAGGAGCAAGCAGAGAGAAGTCTCCTAGAGTTGATTCGTCTACCGGAGGCAGGATTAGATTTGGCGATTGCTGCTTGCAAAGAGGTTTTCCAGGCAAAAATGTAAGTATTTTGTGTGAAATTAGTTTTAGTTATCATCATTCCGTATCTGGTTCTTACTCATGGCTTTTTGTGAATAACTTAATATCGAATTCTATTTCGAACTCATAAGGATTGACACTACAGCCAAAGGCTACAAGTTACTTCTCGAATTACATGCCTCCACAGAGCAGGAGCCTCGAATTTTGATACGTTATTTCGACTTTTTGGTTAATTCTTCTTCGGAAATATCATGCATTTCCGAAGAGATTCAGAATATTGTAAAAAGGTTGCTTGCCTTAAATCAACGCTATCAAACGAGTACCATGATGAAGGCAACCATGAAAGAATTCCAATGTGCACTATGGAATATTGCTTGGAAACAATTTCAAAAGAAAGAATACTCCAGTGCCCTATCGTTCTATAACCAATCTCTACAAATGCTTTCAATGGATGACCTTGTAGATCGAGCCAAAGTACTGCGGTCAATGGCAAGATGTCATCTAGAAGAGGCTAAAATCTATGAAGCTCATTCATGTGCTGAAAGTGCTGAACAGTTGGATCCAAAGTCCCTCCATACTCATTACTTGATGTATCAAATCAGTGTTCGAATGAAGAATGTTGAAAGTGCAAAGAATTACTTAAAACTAATGATGCAAGATGAAGATTTTCAATCACTCTTCTTTGCCATTGCAGCCCAAGATGCCTATAAGGAGGGTATACATGAGGTTGCTATTGAAGCATTGGAAGGACTCTTGAAAGAAAATCAAAAGGATAAGCGCTTGCTGCTCGAGCGAGGTCAAATTCTAAGAACATTGACCTATCTTTCTATCTTGATTAAGGACAGAAATTGCGTTCTCAAATATCTGCAAAGGACCATGCAAGATTTTCAAACAGAAGGAACTTCACACATGTTTGCAGCTGAGCATGAGGAATCAGAAATTGAATGGTTTCATAGAGTTGCCTGGAATAGTGCAGGAGAATGTGTCAATGAAAGTGATATTGAAACGGCATTCGAATTCTATAGGCTTGCATACATGTTCTACACATATCGAAATGCTACTCTAGAAACTCTCACCACTCAAAAGTATTGCTATCTCATGAGAATATACTGTGCGATAGAGATCACACGGAGAAGTGAAGAGTACTCGAGTGGCATTCAACTCACTCAAAAAAATAGAGAAATTTTGCAGAAAGCTCTCGACGATACTCAGGCTTGCAAGAAATTGCTTCAATTACTTGCTCGAGATTACCACAGAATTGACTCCAACAAAGACAAGGTTTACCCTCTAATCCATTTGGCAGAAATTCAACTCTTAACCATGTTGGGATGTGATGAGGCCTTAGTCATAGATGTCATTAATGTATGTAGTTGATATGATGGTTTGTTTGGAAATGCATTTTCACAATTTCGTAATGCCCAACAAATTCAATCAATATACCGATATGCCATACCTAAAACAAAGACCACCTTAAAACTTGATTCAATTTCAGGTCCAGGTGTATATGAAATGATAGCATCCATTTGTTGTAGTGCCGATAATCATGGTTATTCGTATCAGTCTGCAGCAAAGTATGCTCTACAAATGGCTCTCAAAAAGATTTTGCATGGAAACTCGACCAATTATTCCAAAGCACGTAAGTTTTGAACATGGAATTAACTGACTATATCAAATATAAACAATAACTATTGAACACTGAATATAATTCATCTTCATAATGTGAATAGTTTCACTCTATACTCTGATTATTCAAATTTGTAGAACTAGAGAGGAGAGTTATACAGTCTTTGAGGAGGTCCTAAAATTATTGAATCAACTCAAACCAAACGAGCAATTCATCCAAAGTGAGCACAACACTTTTGTGTGGTTTTGCACTGAATCATGGAACAATGGAGTGTATTATTACAAGTAAGTTAACACCTGTTACGTTCATTCATCTTCTTACGTATTGGTTCGGATCTTTTGAACTGGACATGAATCATATGAACTTGGCGGCGAAAGGCTTTTGAAAAATGACAAGGCTCAAGAGTGGATGAAGTTGAGTGTTAAATTGTGTTGTTATCTGAGTCCAGAGGAAGAAGTGGTCAAAACTATTACTGAGAGATATGCTATTGCATTTGAGAGACTCTCTAATTGATCGAGTACTCGAATGAATTTAGATAGTCGTGGTGAATTATCGAAGAATTCTAAATAAAAAATTACGTATTATTTTCACACAATAATAAAACATAATAGTCGCTTTTTCATATTGAATGTCATGTGTTGTATATTGTGTGTGCATTTTGAAATAATAATAATCCATGGAATCGATGAGAATGGTCAAAATGCAAATACCATACAAATCTATTATTCCTTAATTAAATAACATTCGTTGCAATCAAATCTTGATGTCTTGTCGAGAAGAATAAATGATACTCGGAATCTTCCTTCAATTTTTGCTCACGACGAATTCGTGAAAATCTCCAAATGAAAAAGATGTCTGGAATGATTCCAATAAAAATACCGGCCAATCCAAAGTATGCAAAACTAAGACCCACATTGGATCCATGTAATCCAAACAAGACGCAAAAATAGATGTGAACAATCAAGACAAATAGGCTCCAAGTCAAGTAGTGTGAAAACTTTTGATTTCGTTTTGCCTTCTTTCTGATCATAGCAATGAAAAATATATAAACCTATGTTGGCGAAAATTCATCATAGTATTTTAGTATTCGATAATTATTTTCGGGAGTAATTCAATACCAAAGAATAATAATCATGCAAGGTAATTTTTTTTGGATTATTGATCATCATCAAATCATCATCATCGTCATTCCTTGTACCATCTATTCAACCGCCAAATAAAAACAACCTACCAATGCCAAAGGAACTAACACAAAGAAATACCACAGTTGCGAAGCAAAGGCTGCACTACTCTGTGCCGAGCAATATTCATCCTTATAATACGGAGGACACAACTCCTGTACGATACTTTTCATATGTGCTCCAGTCCAAATAATCCAAATCAATACCATCATGGAATCCAATAAAAATCGTATTATAAAGTAGTTGGATCCTCCACTTTTCGGACTCTCTAATTTCAATTTGGAAAATATTGTTTGCTTGTGATGATTCGTGTTGTTGTTGTTGATATTCATTCCTCTTCCCTGAACCATAGAGGATGAATCGAGAGAGGAGCGATTACTGTTTTCCGTTTCGTTCGTGTTGATCATTTTTTATTTTTTTTACTTCTCCGCAAAAGGACTTGATTCAGTGACACAACTTGTCCAAACTCGTGTTGATATTTTAAAACCGTTTCATTATTTCGTTAGGAGGTTTTGATGGTTGTGAACGCATTGCAAAAAGCTTTTTTATTGTGAATGGAACTATTACTAATATTGTTATTTTAGTAAAACTGTTTGTCGAATATTGTTATGATTTGGAAAAAGTTAAAAAAAATTTTTCCAAACATTGAAATAGCTGTGGAATTATTCAGTAATGGGATTATTATGGAGAGGTGACCAAACCAATAATTTGATATATTTATTTGAATCACAGGTGAGAGAATTTTTTCACTCAACAAAGCTTTAATAACTATCAATAAAACGATCTCTTTCATCAGCTCTTGCCAACCATCCAGCAAGGAATACGTGATTCTTGCATGTTGGACATCCCCATCTCTTATAATCCTCACGATGTTTCTCATTCATAGCTCTAGCAAATTGTTTTGGATCTTGTCCATTATAACCTCCCAATTCAGCAATATATTGTCGGGAACGACCAACTCCAGAATTCACAGCAATATCTGCACACACATAGAACGCAGGCATTGGTAAAGGATTACATCCTCCAGGTCCGAAATAATTTTGTTCGTACAATTGAGCAGCACATTGTTTGTAGACAGTTGGATTCTTGTCATAGGCGTACTTGCAAAAGTCAGCTGGATGACCATTGAAACCAGAGTAGAGAGGAGCAAAGATTGAGTTACGATTGCCCCAGCATTCAGATGGAGTGACTCCCATGCAAGTATAACCTATGTGAATGTGTTAAATGAATTTATGAAAAAAGGTCAAAATATGTGTGTGAAAAAAGTTGGAATTAAAATGTTTGAATGAAGGTTAGGAAGTTCTACTACTTACCAATTTTACCCTACGATTAAAAATGATTGTAAAAAAAGTAAACCCAAAAGTTGAAGAAGGTCGTGAATGAGATTCTTTGTCGCGCCTGATTTACAAAGAACAAACTACTTACTTGGAATTCATTTCCACTGTCAGAGGCCCAATTTTGACATTTTCCTTCAGAACTAAAGATTTTCGAAAGAGTTACAGTAGCACGATCTTCTTGACTACCTCCACCATTATTGTTGTTTCCAGAATTTGAACAAGACATCTTCAAATATTGAGCAGAAACCCATTGATTGTATCCAATTTTAGCCCACTTGGTTCCATCACTGGCATAACTCACTTCATGGACAGTCACTTGCACTTCAGGTCCCAAAGTTTTCACAATTTTACCATAAGGAGCATCTCGAACATTGAGAGAATTGTCAACATTGGTACATCTAGTTAATGCGTTTGCACAAGACATCTTCAAATATTGAGCAGAAACCCATTGTCCATTTCCAATTTTAGCCCACTTAGTTCCGTCATTGGCATTGGTGACATCAAAGACAGTGACTTGAGTTTCAGGTCCCAAAGTTTTCACAATTGAACCATAAGGAGCGGTTCTAACATTGAGTGAATTATCGACATTGGTACATCTAATATCTGGCCACATGGCATCTGCTTGTTCTTCAAACACTTCTTCGCTTTGTTCGGTTTGTTTTGGAAGAATTTCTGAAAGCAAGGAATTAGCCAATCGGTCGACAACTTTGTTGAATTTCTTGTGACCAACTCTCTCGCGAATCAATTTCTCTACAGCGGAGAGGGAAAGAGCTTGTACAAGAGCGCAAGCGGAGAAGAGAGCCAACAAGAGAGTGAACAAGAAAATGGTCTGCTTCACTTTCATGATGACGATGCTGTGGTTGTTGTTGAGTAGTTTTTTTAATGATGATGTGACGAGAGATGAATACAATTTCAAGTTTATAACAATCGGATAAAAAAAAATTGCCTGAGTGAGGCGAAAAACTGCGACGTGAGGATGCAAAGTTCGTCGAATAATGATTACAATGTACCATCGCGTTTGTTTTCATTTGATCGACATTTTGACCTGAATTGAAATCAAACGACACGTTTTAATGATTGATGAGAGATCAATTATAATGTATTATCTACAATTAGCATTGTTCTATTTCAACATTTTTGAGATCTGATAAATGAGAATTTACTACGAAGATTACAAATTCAAAACTACCAACAACAAGAACCACACACTCATCGTCATGATCCAAATTTGTACCACAAAACTACCTCTTCCATTCCATAAAGAAGGTGCTGCATTTCGGAATGGCATGACCACATTTTGACCATCATCCAAACCAGCATCCAATGTGACTCCTGGAATGGAACCTCCATTCGCTGAAATTCCAGCATCGATCCAAGTCTTTTTCATACATGAATAGAATTTGTTGTAATAGGAACGACACAATCGAAATGCAGAGGATTCTTCATCTGCAAATTGTGTGAAACCCAAATATTGAGGCAATGGTAAAATATTGAAATAATAAACGAGACCTAAATTGTAGAGACATGCATGTAAGTCATTGAATGCTCCAGTGCAGGAGGCCACACAGAGTCCAGAAGAATTGGTGGAAAGTTCTTTACCACCACAGGCACAACCTTGTGAGGAAATTGAGTTGCAGCTGTTGGCTTTGGTGTTGCAAATATATCGCTTACTGGCAAAACCTGAACAAAGTTTTGAAGAGGGATCACAGAATGAACTGTAACATTGGGTGTGATTGGTGCAGGGTTGCCCATTGGCTAAATATCGAGCTCGAATGCATTTGGAATTTTCACACGAAACCATTTGAGTGTTAGTGAAGGCACAATCTTTGTCTTCTTCGCAATATTCTCCAATATTTGAACGATATTCACAGGTGTGATCGATCGAATCGGCTGTCCTCTTTCGACACACTAAATTTCCATAGCACATTTGGTCATTGGATTTGGGATCACATTTTTGATATCTTTTCACTTGAGTTTTGCATTTTCCGTTTAAGATTTTCTCTGAACAAATGGTACCGGTTTCACAAATGACTATTCCTGTAACAGAGGTTGTGGGAGAAAAGGTCACATTGAATCCACATGTTTCTCCTTTTCTGGCCGTTGAGATTTTCACACATTTTTGTTCCATGTCAGGAGTCAATTTTGGAGGACAAACACCATCGTCACAAGTTACAACTGCATCATCATTTTCTGATACGGTGTTACAGGCTTGGCCAATTCCTGCTTTCTTCTTTTTAATTGCCAGTTTGCATTTTGATTGATAACAAGTGGCAGTATCATACATGTCTAAAACATTCACGACACATTGAGAAGCGTCGACACATGAATCTCCAATCATTCTTCCCATGGCAATACACTTTTTCTTGACACATGACATTGAGGTAAATTTACAATCTGAAGTGACATTGCAACTAGAGCCGAGTTTGGAATTCCACACCGATTCGAACGTTTCACATTTTCCATTGTTGTTCGCATAACCCACGGGACAAATATCATAAAATTTACCGAAAGGCAGAGATGGAGTGAAAGTGTTGGAAATTAGGTTGGAATTACATTGTGAAAGGATGGGTTGATAGAGTTGGAGAAGAATGACGAGAAAGACAAATGATGATGAGAGGATAAGGGATTGAATGTATCGGGAAAAGAAGGTAAACGAATAATATTCGCGAGTGTGTTTGTGTGGAAGGAATGAAGAGATGAAGTATTTTGGTAGAGACATTTTGTTGTTGGGTGTGAGGAAGAAAAACAGGAGGTGCAACCATGCTACGCTTTCGAAATGATCAAGATCAACTCATCCATTATGTGTTTCCAGTTCCGTGATGGACTTGCTGTCACATGTCATTTTTTTTCGGATGATAACCGATCAAAAAAATTGTGACATACATTCAAACCCTGCATACAGCAACACCATAGTTATTAATGTTTATCATGATCCTCGTAAGGAAAACCATAGGAGAACAATGATGAAGTACCACTACCATGTTGATGTTGTTGCATACCAATACTTCCATATTCTGCATTACCGCTGCCATCGCTGTGGGATGGGCTACTCGATTGTGATCGTTGCAAATGTTGTTGAGGATGAGGTTGGATATTGCTCAAGCTGAAGAACGAATTGTGATCAGATGGCGAGAATAATGGTCTAGAATCGAACAATGAAAAGTATGCCGGCCTACTTTGCTGGAATGCCATTCTGTTCATGGCATTATTGTAAGATAGAGTTGGGTTAATGAGAGGATTTGGCATTCCAAATGGTGTGGTTGTCACATTCGATGATGGCTGTGGATTTGGGCTTCCAATAAAACCATTGTGAAGAGAGTAAGGAGATGAACCAAATAATGAAGTATTTGCTTGTGGAATCATGTTGGTGCTAGTGTTGCTAATAAGTCCACCATGATGGTAATGATGAGGTTGTGCGCTACCAAAGTACCAATATGGTTGTGAAGAAGAAATTCCGCCAACTTGCAACGAATTACTATGTTGATCTTTTCTTGCATGATTACCAATCACTCCAACTTGCTCCTTTGGAGCATGACTATGAATATTGGATTGAACGAGTGGAGGAGGAGAAACTGAAACACTTCGCAATAAATCATTAGTAAAATCTGTAGTTAGGTTGTTAGTGGCTGGAGAAGGAGTACTGCAATTGTCATTCAATAATCCACTCAAATTACTTCCAATGCTTCCATAGAGCGCTTGATCATCGCTGGTGACACTACCTGTTGTGGTGGTGCTCTTTTCATCCAAGTTACTAGTGTTCATGGCTTGTGACTCAGAAATTGAGGATGAAACAGGCTCGTAAGTGGCAGAGTCCGAAGTGGATCTTTCTCTCGTGGCTTGATTGAGCAAATTATCGAGATTTGGAGAAATATTAATTGGTTGAGGTTTCTTGTTCGAATATTGTTGTGAATGGTCTCCATAATTGCTACTGGCGGAGGTAGTTGACACAACCGGCTCTGGAGTTTTCATGAGTGGGCTCTCTCTGGTGAATCTGGTCATTTCATTGGAATTTGGTGTCCTGCTTCGGGTTCCTGGCAACGGATTGATTGTGGACTCATAATTTTTCGTGTTGGATGTGCTGACAGCAGCCATGTCAGCATTTCCGTGGTCACCTGAATGAGTTACAGGTTTAACCGCATAGAATTTTGGCTTTTCATTGCTCGAGGATGAATTGCTTGGAACTGCAACAAATGTTTTTGGCTTAATGATAATTGGTTCATTTTCGTTGAACTTCTTCTTGGTTTGTTGTTGTCTCTTATCCATTGGTTGCTTTTTAGTAGGGTCTTGTTGTTGATATTTCTTGGTAAATTGTGACTTGTTCGAAGTGTTTTTGCTTTCGTAGGTGGACGATGACGAATGAATGTCCTCTGTTGTGGCATTCTCTTGAGGTTGGGTGGCAACATTGCTACTACTGACAAACGTATTGCTTGTATTCTTATCTTCGCTGTACTGATGTTTCTTTGTGGAGTGCTGAGGCGTTTGACCCAAAGGAATGTCACCTCCGCTCGAATTCGCGACAATTGATGAAGTTTGAGAAGACGGCTCCGAATTTTCTCTTGACAATGTCGATTGTTGTTCATGTTCTTGTGTTATTGTGCTCGATTTTTCTTGTGCGTCAATAACATCTGAAGTCACAACTTCAACGAGCTTGTTCTCATCATCTTCTGAGGAGCTATGGTTCATCGAAGTGCTAGTGGTCTTTGAGGGTTTTGCCTTTTTAGAAGAAGTACTTTTCTCAGGAGTTTTTGAAGTGCTGGCAGTTGTCGTTTTCTGAGCCGTTGAGCTTGTGGACTGTTTCTTCTTCTTATCGCTCTTCTTCTTTCGATTTGCGTCGTCTTCTGAGGATGTCTTATCATTATCATCTCCCTCTTTGTTGACAGCATTATTGCTATGGTTTGCATTTACTTGTTGTTTCTCAACATCTGTGGATGGGAAAGTAATGAAAGGGAAAGAAGAAAAATTAGGTTTGAGAAATTCGCTTATGGAAGAAGGAAGTTCGTTATCTGAAGAGTCAAGTGTCTTCAATTCTCGACAAGCTCTAAAGATGATATAAACTGCCAAAGTCAAAACAATAAAAGTAGCTGCAACTCTGAATAATCTGTGTCCAGTGCTTAATGGTTGGGTCTCATAGAAATAGGGAAGTACATTGTATGGAAGAGTGAAACGAATGGGGAAGGACATCTTTCCTTGATCGGTATTAATTCGAATAAATAAATCTACAACTGCTGTGGTAAAGTCAGGTTTGTAAGAAATTTTGTAACTTGTACTTTGTCCTGGTTGTAGTTCAAATCTTCCACACTTATGAATTTTCACTCCATAGGCACTGCATCCCATATTTTCAATGCTACTACTCAGAATGGTAATAGGCATATTTCCCTTGTTATGTAGAGTAAACTTCTTATGGAAGATGAGTTCTGTGGTTGTCTTTGATGATTCGTCGCTTCCATTGCTGCTGCTATAATTGTTTTGAACGAATCTATTTGTATAATTGTCCCATGTACCCAATTGTGATTCCTTAATTTCGAATTTAAGGGAAGTCAAATCATTTCCATTCTCTCCGCTAAATACAAGTTTAGAAGAACCACCAATTCCAGTCAATTTCACAATATCAAATATAGTGAGATTATTTCTAATGTAGAGATATGCCACAGATTCTGTCGAATCAGACTTGGGGGTGAAAATGATTGGGCCCAAACTAGCATGCCTATGGGGAGGAATATTAGCAAAAGTCATTCCGTCTTTGGGTAATCTGAATTCAGTATATGACTTGTCTCCCTGAATGTCATTCTTTGGTAATGTGCCTTTTGCATTACGTTGTAAAAATTTGGCCAAAGAACCGTTTCCAAGGATTAGTTGCAGAGATATAAACTGATCTGAGGGATTTTCAACTGTGAGATATTGAGAAACACTGGATCCGACATGTGTCAATTTGAACGATATTTGACGTGTTGGAGAGAGCTTTGGATACTCCAATGTTGTAGAAACATTAATATTGCAATTAATTCCAATATCTGTATCAATAGAAACTGATGCGATAACATTGGTTTGGCCTGCATTTTTGATTTCTTCAAAAAGTCCATTTCTCCATCTGTACTTGGTAAATTCTTCGGACGAGATGGAAGAAATTTTCTTTGAATAATTATTCGAATACATCTTACCATCATCGAGCATGTAATTCTTTTCCTTTGACACTTTTGATGCATCTAAAATGACATAGCCAATATTCATCTTTTGATTTGCTTCAATAGTTTTGTGTGTGATTTGTGGAATGAACCTTTCATCGGTTGATTTAACACCAGTGATGGTGATAGCTCTTCCAAAAGTATTGGTTGCATAAATGTTTTTCTTTTGAATTTTTCCAGGGAAGGTAGGATCAAATGGTAGCTGATTGGAGAAAGACAAGCTGCCTTCCATGCAGAGAAACTTGAATGGAATAACTAAATTTTTGGGGTGAGTCACAAACTCAATATAACCATTTTGTTCCTCGTCTGATGTTGGTGTATAAATATCAATTTTCATGATAATCTTTTGATTTGGAAGAATGGCAAAAATAAATGAATCCTTCGCTCCTTCCAAATGTTTGTTATTGATATTTTCACTGAGCTTTGTTGGTTTAAAAGTGGTCAATGAGTGTAAATCATCGCTTGGATGGAATGATTTAACATAAGATATAGAGATACTTGACTTCTTATTTGCCATTCCCATCACTTTCCAGTCAATAATTTTGATTGGTACGGGATTTGTGTTGGAAATTGCAAAGTAATGAATTTTTCTGCTGCTCAAGCTCAAAATACCCAAGTTAATTCCTTCGTTTGCTCTTTCAACATCGAGAATGTTCTTTTCGGTGTCAATTGGCAAGTGATCAAGGTTTCCATGATAGGTATAGAGAGGAATATACAGTCGTGTAACATTGGTATGAAGAATTAAATTTGCCTTTCGCATAGTAGAAACGTCGTTTTCGCCAGCAGGTGTGTATCTGATTGAGAGAACCTTCTTCTTTTCATTGGGCTGTAATATAGTGCCTGGAACGAATTCTTCAATCGTAAACTGCTTATCGAACACATCACACGAGATAAATTTGATGGGAGACTGAAATCCATTGATAAGTACCATTTCATGGATCTTTTCTTTTCCATCACCAGTGTAAAAGGCGGTACTATTCATTCTATAATCCAAAGTTCCATGTACATTGCGAGCGCGATAAGGAACTTCAATGATTCCCATATTTTCACTGTTTGTGTCGTTGGTCTTGAAAACAATTTTACCAGAAACATCACCTTGAGTTTGAGAGATGTAAAATAATTTGGCCACCGTAACTATTGAACCTTCTTGCATGACATTCTTTTGAAATTCTAACTTTACATTGCTATCTTCAGAGACCAATGAGGCTTCATACACCAAAACAGGATGAGGAGAAGAGTTGAGTAAAACAACGTCACGCACTCTCTTCTCATTGGGTGTAATAAAAGTACCAAAGTCAATTTCGTCCACAACTCGATGTACACCATTCTTTGAGACAATAAATTCAACTGGAATTATAAATTGCCCACGGTTGGTATTGATATGAACAAATCCTGTATGTGTCTTGGGTTGAGTAGCATGGAAGTTCAATAAGATTATTGATTTTGTTTGTTGCGGCTCTAATTTCCATAACGATAACAATAAATTCTTTTTCTGCAAGTTTTTCTCGTTACTATTTTGATCTGGTAAACTTAATAATAGAAAATCTTCACTTGTATAAATTTCTTTGATGAGAAGAGTTTCATTCTGATGAGGATTGTGCATATAAATAGGTTTTCTATAGTCAGCTCCTACAGGAAGCTTGTATCCAAGAATCGGTTTGATGTTGTATGCATTTTCAATTCCACCTCCATATGCCTTGTAGATATAGGTTCCAATGTTTGTATGAACAATGATGGATCCTTCGGATCGTTTTAAAGTTCTTGGCAAGAAAATAACATTAATTGTGATCTTATTATTCTCTTTCTTGCTTATTGAAGGATGAAATAATAAAGATTCAGTTGTAACAGCTGTTACTTGAAGTGGTTGCTGATCATCATCCGTGGCTTCTTTTGTGATTGTAAATGTCTTGGCAATTGGATTGCATAGGGGTCTATAATAAAAGTATTTGGTCAAGGTAATAATAATGTTCAACAAACAAAAAGCTGTTAATATTAATTAAATTTTCAAAACCTACCTGTCTTCATAGTCCAACACAGGTGGATCAAATACAAGCCTCACTTGTGTGTTTTCAGAAGCAGAGTTCTCAAAAGATGAGCCACTTATGGTAGCAGCACTACCACTATTGAGCATCCCAGCATTGCTCTTTGAAGAAGATGTAGAGGATGATGTTGATGATGTTCCTGCATTGTTGCTATCATCATCATTGTTATGTACATTGTCACCATTGGATGATGAAGGATTTCTGTTTAGTGTTACAGAAACCGTTTCATGGTGCATGTTGTCATCGTCTTCTCCAAAATCTTCATCTGTTTGTGCATGTTTTTGTTGTTCCAAATCAATTGTCATCATTTCTGATGCAATTATGTCATCCATGTCGGTAACATGGTACCATCGATTTGGAAGTTGTGGTCGATGTTGTTGCTTCTTGCTATAATTCAAAGAAGAGGAATCGTTCTTGTTATTGTCTTCATCGTCTTCGTCCTCTTCCTCTTCATCGTCGAGTTTAATATCAAAGTGGAGATTACCTTTGTGTGTATTTACAAATTTATCTTTAAATTGTTGCAGGTATGTCCTCCTTGAATTTCCGCTCGAAGCGAAAACCTGGTCATTCTGAGCAATGAAAGTTGTTAGCATGATCCAAGTTTGGTCATGATGTGTACATTGTTGATGAGGGTTCATTGTGAGATATCAAAGAGATAAGAAGTAGTTTGGTTGACAAGTTCATACCGATATTGAATATCATTACGTCATCATGATAATGACGGGTCGAACAAGAAATGTTATAAATAGCAGTGTATCAGAGAATTCATTGAGAATATATGTACGTACAATCATTATATTAGAAACTTCAGCCTTGTCTGTTGTTGCATCATCAACAATATTTACGATGGTAAATTACAAATGAATGATGTTCATTTTCGACAGAGTTTGAGTCGTTTCCATTGTTTGAACAAGTCCAAGAACGTAAATCAACATCATCAACATAGTGATGAATAAAGTAAAAGGATCATCATTACTTTTCATAACATACCTTGGCCAGCCGAGTTTTTAATATACGTAAATTCTTGCGAATTTTTGTCGTCAATCACCACATGGTGAGCATGTATCGGGTGGTGATTGTTATTATTATTCTGTTGTTGTTGTTGTTGCTGTTTTATCTTCAACATTTGATATGCCACAGTGGTCATAGCATTACACGTGTTTGGCACCATGACCACATTCATCATCATTACCCAACCTAACAACAACACTATCAAGTAGAATGTCATCCATGATGAGGATAATGTTGAAGGAGAAGCAATCCGAGGCCGGCTTGCACAACTACTCCATGTTCTTGTCATCACCATTTTGCGTTTGAACAATAATAATAATAAATAATAAAATTACTACTATCGGAGGGTTGTTACTACTATGCTGCTGTTCAACTCCTCAAATACTACTATTATTGTTACTACTATTGCTTTTAAATGAAATGGTTGTTGCAGTTTATAAATTGATTGAATCTGAGTTGTCTTTCCGCAACAACAATTTCCCCTGATGTCCGAAATAAAAATGCAGTGAAGAAAAGAATTAGTGTCCGAGCAAGCAACAAAGCGGCAAATGACGAATTTTTTTGATGGTTGCTTCGGCCTTTGAGTGTTTCAAAGTTCCCTTTATCACTCACCTTCAAGATGATGGAGGTGTTCTGCTGTGGTTTGAATTCAAACCTCGTGTTGTTGAATGCTCATCCGTTTGATTGTGAATTGGCCACTCGAGGGAGATGCGGATGACTAATTTTAGCAAGAAGGAAATGATGATCTTGAACAAGAAAAGCACTTTGTTGAGGTGATTAGAAAGAGAAGAGGCTCAGAATGAGCTGCAGAGATCAAGAGAGGTTTTTAAAGGTAATCAGGTCATTGAGCTTCATGGATTGTTCAAGCGAGAATTCCTGACAGTAATGAAAATCTTGAGGCAATGAATGTTCCATGATTTCTCTCTCCGCTCTTTTAACATCCAAGACCTGACATTTGACTTTGACAGAGCTTCCCGTTTTATTGAGAAACCCTCCAACAACAAAAAAATGTTTCCGATGCCGTTCAAACAACATCCCACTTTTGCTCCTTCGTCTTCACAGCCACCACAACAACTACAGAACAGTTTTATTCCCAACAACAATTACACTCCACCCTTTTTTGGGAGTGCCATCAACGAAACCCCTCATCAGCAAGAATTATTCATCGGAGGAGGATCCAATCAACCACACACTCAACCCTATTTTTCTCCCCTCTCTCAACAACAACAACAACAAATTTTCACCTACTATCCCAATAATTTCCAACCAACAACAAATTCTTCGTCCTGGTCGGCTGGGAGCATTTCTGAATCGGGACATTCCTCAAATGCACAAAATCACCTCCATAATGATCTTTACTTGCAACCCACGACCACAACTTCTGCGAATATCAATACCTCGACGATTTCACTTTTCGATGGTGTGAAACAATTCTTTAGTGGAATTTTAACACCAGAAATTCCATTTTCATCCACGTCGCGAAATCATGATGAAGAGGATGAGGAGGATTCTTCGAGTGAAGAAGATCCCGAGAGAGACATTCAAGAATTGTATGGTCTGACAAAGAAACAGCCACAACATCAGCAGAGACCAAGCCAGAATGTCACGAACCATTCAGCGACGAATGATCTTGTTGGTGGTGATTCACAAGCAGCAGCAGAGGACATGACATTTCTTGTAAACAACAACAGTAATAATACTTTTCATTCAAAAATTGTCTCCACGACTGGACGAGGTCAATTATTGACTCCAAACAAGGACTTTGATTTATCCAAATGTTCCAAATTGGCTGTAAAATTAAGATATGAAAAAACAGTTGTTGAAAAACAAATGGAAATGGAACGAGAATGGATGTTGTGGAATTCGACGAGGAAGCCAACATCGCAAGAAGTCGAGTCCATGCATGAAAGGTTAAAAACGAGAGAGAAATTTTATGATGATCATGATTATGGTAAGTTTTTCGAGAATATACCGAGGTGTTTCTTTCTGCTGACTGTTCTTTTTTTCTCTATATGGTCATGGAAAATTTGAATTTTTTTGAAATTTATATACGACATAATTCTGTATTTGATTGTTTCCATGTGATCTATCTATTGCACAAAATGTGATTTAATCGTATTGATGTGACAAAATGTCAACAATTCTCATTTTAAACTCGCGACAACAAAAAGGATTCTATGATGACCTTGCCAAAGAGACACCTACCACAACCACCATTAAAGAAAAAACGGAAACATCCAAAGCCTCCAAAACAAAAGAACAAATCATTGAGGTGGATGTACCCTTCACCATGTATGCCATTGGTTATACAAGTTTTGGAGCTCCTCTATGCATCTCGAGTTCCGACCAAAAAAACGGCCCCAAAATGCTGCACAGTATTGCAACCCTTCCGAAACATGAGAAAATTTTGAAAAAGAAATCACTCAAATTGGAAGAAATTTCACAATTTGAAAGTTTTCGATTTATAGATACACGTGTACAAAATTTGGAGAAGAATGGTGGTGCATCAATGACAAAACTAACTGAGAATGACTCCTCTGCATACGATGGAGATCAAAATGATGCTGCCAATTCTTCGTCATTGTCCGTGCAGGAAGAAATAGTGACCTTAAATTTGAAAAAACCCAAAGCATTTGTAACGAACAAGAACAGCACATCAGATTCATCATCCTCTGTGTTACTTCATGAAGAGAAATTTCACTATGTGATATTTTTTGTGGAGTTTGTAATGCCTGAAACACTTCTCAAAGAGCGAATTCAAAAATCGAAAGGAGAAACAACCATTGTAAAACATGTACCATTTTGCAATCGAATGCAATTAAGTATTTTGGATATCTCATATGGAGAGGAAAATGCAAGAGAACTCTGTCGATTTTACACAACTGTAAATAATACCAAAAATTATTTTGGAAAACAAATTGTGGGTGGCATTCATTTTAAAACAAAAGAAAAGATTTGGAAATTTAGATCGAGTAATGAATTTAAACCGCTTCCACCACGAAAACTGATTGTGAAATTGGAGGGTGTGGAGGATATACCATTTTTATCGGATATATATATTTCGTTGTGGTTTACCGATCGAAAGTTTAAAACAAAGGTAAGGAAATTTTTTATTAGTTGTTATGGGAAAATTGTGACAATTTCAACGAAATTTGGAATTCTTTGTTTTTTGAATGGTTGATTTTTTGACACACAGGTCATTAAGAGCAAAAATCCAAAATTTAATGAAACATTCGAATAGTAAGTAATATGGAACATCAAAATAACAACAATGGCATTTACATCTTCACTTACAGCGATATTTCATGTGTGGCCAGCGAGGCAGAAACATGTTACAGTGTCATGTTTGAACCTGTACGAATTCTTCTCAAAGAAAAGAAAGCCTTTCAAAAAGAGGACAAGCGTTTAATTGGAGAGGTGAGCTTGCCACCCCTTCCCCAAATTTTCTCAGGTAATGATTATGTTTTTGCATTTTCATTTCCACCTCTAGCAAGCAATACGAGTGAAGAAGAACGCTTGGACCGAAAGAAGGGACCTATTCTATGTTTTTCATCCGAATATGGACTGCAAAATCAAGGTACCATGACCTCAGCAAGAGTTAAGGTGGCTCTTTTTTTGGCGTGGTGAACAAACACATGCGACACAATCTCCACTCGATCCCCTAACACTCCACCACCAAAAATCTCAACCGCAAATAAAAGCCATACGAACCTTTGAAATCATTTTGTGTTTGCATGCATGAGTCAAGATGTCATGCAGTTTTAAATATTGAGAATCACAAATTTAGAAGATCAAACGGGTCATTGGGATACAGGTAAAAGTCTGATTGCGCAATGCATATTAACACTTCACAAAAACAATCACAATAAAAATGCTGCAATTCCCATCATCGGATCTTGCTGTTCGACTGGATGATAAAAGTATTTACCGGCTGAGGTGTGTATATTTCATCTGACTGTTCAATACTTATGGAAATTCGGTTCGAACGTTATAATTAATAATTAAAATTAGTCGCAAATTAAAACAAAATACTCAAAATATTTATGCACGTTTGAAGTCCATCGAGGAAGACTCGGAATTTGTTGAGCTTGTGTTCGGGTAAGAATTAGTGGAAGTAATAATTTTTTCATCATTTCCAAAACAATCCTATTTGTTCGGAATTATCATTTTCATATTCGGGGTCTATTCGATTATTAACAACAACAACAACAACTACTATTAGAATATACCCCAATGTTCCAAAATTTGCCAATCTACGCTGTGGATTGTGGTATCATGCTCATTTCGATTCAACGTGCTATTTCAAATCAACGGATGGACACACCTATCATTGGGCCTTCTCGTTGAGCCGACTTAATTTACATGTTCTCAAAACAGCCCTTACTTCTCATTGTGTAATGCTTGTCGATTCAACACGCAAAGGAAAATTATTCCCTGATAGTTTTTCTAAAACTGTTCCAATGTGGTGCTGCCTGATGAATCGTGTATTACAACATTTAAAATTTGGAAGAATGAGTTCAGATTTGAAATTGCCCACCTGGGTACATGATACTGAAAAAGTTCAAATCGAAGAACGAATGCCTGAATGGATCGATTCAGTATTGAAGAGTGGAATTGATTTTACTGAATTTTTGGAATTATACGAGAAACCACTCCAATGCGTGTGGATCTCAAGAAGAACTGATCTCGACTTTGTGGATTCATCGTTTAGTCCTGATGAACTGGATTTCATTCCTGTTTTTTTAGTTAGTGTCAGTGATCCAGATCATCCTGTTAAAACAACTAGTTGGGAATATATTCAAGGAGCAGGTATGTGTAAAGATTATTTGAATATCCTTGTTTATTCATGATTTTCTTGGCTTCCATGATATGCTATAATTTAGGAGACGATCACGAAACATGGTCTTTGGGATTGACTCCTCAATTATTTTGGGAATTTAAAGAGGACATACTTTCTCCAAATGTCCACAATGGAGAAGAATGTGAACAAGTTGTGAGGAAAATACTTGAACAAATCAGAAAACAAACTTCTCTTTCTAGCATGCAACACTTGTATGATTCATCATCGATATCCTTGTTGCATATTTCAAAAAATTGTGCTGATTCGTCTATAGACAATGAACTATTGCCTACGACACGTTTAGGAGCATGTCCATTAATGATTGGAAAATTTTCAAATTGTAAGTGTGTGAATATATATATTGATATATTGTGTGAACATATTCACCACATTCTTTGAGTCAAGTTGAGTCCATTGAATTGCTAAATGCTTACTTTGAATCTCATCTAAAAGAATGTTCGCGATTTATTTGCTGTTATGATTGCACAAAAGAAGTTTCATGTGGAAAATCATTTTCAATCATGGATAACAAGAAAAACAAGAGAGGTTTGGAAGATGAATTGGCCAATGTTCTGGAATATGCTGAAACACAATTAGAATCGGGAAAGGAGCTGTATGTATTAGGAAGAACAGGAAAGAATGAAGAAATAGCAATCACCATTGCCATTTTGTGTAGCATGTTCACTGAAAACTGTAAGTCTTCTTGTGTCATTTCAATGCGTCACATTTGGTGGCAAATCATTGGCTTTTTTTCAGATGAGTTCGTGCAAGACAAAACAACTCGAGAGGAAATGATGCATCATTTCAGTAGCATTGACAAGCAGTTCATCAAGAGAAAGTTAATGTTCATTCAATCCTTTGTTCATGACGCTGCACCTTCTCGAAATTTAATCAAGGGACTAAACAGATACTTTCTTTCGTAACTGAAAATGTACTATTTCATAGGTTCCATTCTGAATGGGAACCAAATAAACGTTCAATTCCAGATTGATGTCGAAACGTGTTGTTGTTGCATTTAAAAAAGCTTGAAAAACAAATTGAAAACAATAAAAAAATGCGTCCTCATAAATTTCATTCTGTTCATGTGAAAGATCGGATTGCAGGAAAGATTATTCCACGATTCATCAACAATGATGTGGCCAATAATACAAATGAGCTCGGTTTTTCGGAGCTCCAAAATGAAAAACCACAGCATCCAACAACACTTGAACAGTTCTCAACGCCACCTTCATTCAGTATTTATTCTCAAAATTTACTTGCCTCCTATTGGACAGATTTAGATCGGTACCATTTTGTGGAAGAACCGCTTTCTGAAAACTATGAATGGAATGGGAGAATTAAAAAATTTATGCGAGATTTTACCATGCATCGTCCTGATGTGATATGCTTACAAGAAGTCGAAATTTCGCTTTTTGAAAAAGATATTTTAGGCCCAATGAAATTAATGGGATATAATGGGATAGTTCAACAAAAGATTGGTGATTTTCCAGTGGGTGTCGGGTGTTTATATAGAGAAGAAAAATTTGAACTCATTCAAGTCCATGAAAGAAGCTCAGCCATTGTGCTTGTCTTGAAGCTAAAAGAGAGTGGAAAAATTATTTATGTTGTGTCGTGTCACTTGTTGGGAGATCCACGTCAACCTCAAGTGAGAATTAATCAATTACGTTCCTTGTTTAAACATTTGAAAAATTATCAAAAAGGCCAAGAAGATGCAATTATATTGTGTGGAGACTTTAATGCAGAACCCAATTCAGCAACGTATAAGCTTGTGGTCGATGGATATGTGAAAGCTCATACTATGGAAAATGGCGTTGAAGCTACTTCCATTGAAACGAAACATCATCTCAAACTGAAAAGTGCATACATGGAAATTTTTGGAGAAGAACCGGCCTTCACATTGAAAACAAAAAACAATGCTCTGGTGACTGATTACATTTTTTTCAGTTCCAATTTCCTTAATATTGACAAGGTGATGGAGGTTTGTGAACCCTGTGATATTTCTTACATTTGCACCAAATCTCACCTCCCAAATTCGAAATATGGATCTGATCACTTAGCTTTGCAGGCTGTTTTTTCTTTTAAAGATGAACATGTTGTCAACAAGTGAAGAATTTACAACGAAAAGTCAATGAATTAATAATTAACATTTCTTATGGTCATTATTGATACATAAACAACCTCCAGACTCAATTCCAAAAACGCACATTTAAAAAATTGACCTCGCACAATAATGTCTTCTACACCATCATCAAACAGTTTCGCTTCTCATGCACTGACCATTCTTGAACCAGGTCTCACCATTCGATCCAATCAGAAAATCACATGGAACTTGGACGATTACTCTGTTCGTGACTCCTTTCAAAACAAACCTTCACCGATTCAATGTTCCGATCGTCTGATCGTAATTCCAGATTTTCTGTCATCTGAAGAGTGCTCATCTGTATTGGACCAATGTGCCAAGAAACAACAGTTTGAATCCATTGCAACTGAGTATCCACAATCGTACCGAAATTCGGAGCGAATGGTATTCAAAGACAAGTCCGTTGCTCATCATTTATGGAAATTGGTCCAAGAGAATTTGGATTGTGAAGAATTGAGTAGAAAAGTTCATCCATTCGGTTTAGATTCTAATGGCAGATGGATGTCTTGTGGAGTGAATGAATGTCTCCGATTCAGCAAATATGAAGAGGGGAATTACTTCAGACCTCATATTGATGGACAATTTGTTCGACATGATCACGAAAGAAGTATTTATACTTTGTTGATCTATTTGAATGATGATTTTGAAGGTGGTGAAACTCGATTCATGAAACCATGTAATCCTGATGAAGAAGAAGAACAGCCACTTGTTGAACAGAAAGCAAAGGATTCTGTGGTCAAACAGAAGAATCGAAGAGATCGGGAGACGGAAAAGAAGCGAGTCAAAATGGGAATACCTTCTTCTTCGAGCGAAACTTCCAATCATATCCAGCAAGTAGTATCAATCAACCCTGAAAAGAAGAAACATTTTCACTTGTTGTACACATTGAAACCAACTTTGGGAATGTGTGCTTTATTCAACCATGACTTGTATCACGAAGGTATGATTGTCACAAAAGGAACCAAGCTCATTTTGAGAACTGAAATCATGTTCAAACGAGTAGATTCATTAACAGTTCCCAGGGACGAATGTTTTGAGAGAAGTGAATTCTATAAGAGAATTGCTTCATTGTTTACGGCAAGTGATGATTATGAAAAAAAAGGACAAGTAAGGGAAGCCACAGAACTCTATATCACTGCACAAGATTTACTCATGGAGAGCGGTAGAAGTATGGACCATGTACTGAACAAGTCTTATTTCCATTACAAGACTTGTTCTTCATACAAGGAACCAAATGTGTTAGATTTTATCGAGAATGAATTAACAGAACTACCTGAAGAAATATTGCTTCATATTTTCACATTTTTGGCTGACAAAATTATCTGTACAAAGATTCTAACACTGAACAAGTATTTTAATGTTCTTGGAAGACATCCTCAATTATGGCAACAGATTTACAGAACGAATTGGGGAGAGGACAAAACATTTGGATATTTAAAGCAAAGAGAAGAGCTCGAAGTGGATTGGTATTTCTCAACCATTACGAGAAGATATTTCGAAAAAGATTTTGTAACCGTTTGCATTGATATGCGTAAAGCAAAGACCATGTATGGCTTGTTTAATTCAGACCATGAAAAAACTGTTGAATCTATGGTATCTCAGCGTAAAGGCGGACAGTAAGTATTTCTTGATACTGAATTTGAATCAATTTTAAATTAATAATTTGACTTTCACAAATGAACAGTTACAGCTTTTTTCTCTCTCCACAGCTGCATGTTGGGAAAACACTCAAGTTGGAAAGCTCATCCGTGTTTACAATCTTCTGGCAGTCTTAAAAAGTTGAGAACTCTAACTTTTTTTATTTCACACATTTATAAGAATTTGAATTTGTGTCTTGGAAGACATCCTTTATTATTCTCACTACCTCCACAATGGATGAACAACGAAGAAACCTCTCTTGAGGTATTAAACATGATGGTAGGTATTTTTTTTATGGGATATATCAAGATGGATTAATACTATTCATTTGAATACGTAGATGGAAATAAGGATTCCTGCTGCTTGTATGGCTCCACGTCATTTACTGGTAGCTTTGGCGTACCAGTTGCCAACTTGTATGGTTATTGAACTGGATGATTGTGGAGTCTCAATTTCAGCAGTCATTGATAATTATTTGAGTAAGACTGACTCAAAATTCATACATGTCACTGTGGATGATATTGAGATGACATGTCCTCAGAAGCTTGTCCATAAATTTTTCTATTCCGAGGACAGCTTTATTCCAAGCTTAATTAGAGAATTCACATCAGGGAAAGATCTTCTCACAAAGAAGCAACTGTTAGAAAATATTATCTTGACCGGCAATTGGAACCAAGAACATATCAACCTTATTTGTAATTCTCTTAAACAAACTAGCTTGTCACAAACATGCAATTTTGTCATTGGAAACATTTTTGATGCATTTTATGGAGGCAAGATCTATTGTTCTCTTCCAGATTTTAGATCCAAGTGCACGTTTTGGCCAGGAAAGGAGTTGTAATGTTCACAGTGCCAGTCAGAGCGTAAGCAGCCAGCCTATACTATGGCTGATGATGTTGACTCGAAGCCTGATATCAGACTCCCTGAATGTTCACACAAGTTCACACCAATATGGAATTTTGTTTTTTAAGGTGAAGCACAAAACAGTTTTTCCTTTTTTGAAATTTAGTCCTGTTTGGCTCAGCTTCCGCGGAAGAGAAAAAATGGTCACACGAGTGGCCATGACCAAAATATATATGGCCTCATTCCGAGAGGAATATTCCTCCTTATTATATTGGATGGTTTCATCATGGAAGTGTGACGGAAGAAAACATTTTCGAACAAGCACAACATTTTTTGGTTCTCTGCTCATGTTGATTTTTTTTCTCTTGCTGATAGAACATTTTGCTTTTGGTTCTCTCTTGCATGTACATGAATATCAACAACACTCTCGAAACAATGAATACAAATCATGTTTGGATTTAGCAACAAAGTCTCACGACTCTTTAAAGTCTAAATGTGTGAACAATGGGTTGACCTTGATCGAGAATCCTTGGGAAGCGTCCAGGGTAAACAACATGGTGGTAAAAATTCTGCTCGAAGAGAAACTCGGAATTTGTGTGAATATTCTCAATTCTTCCGTGACCGGTGGATTAGAATTGATTAACACACGAGGCAATGAAATGCCTATCGTCATGTTGGAATTTTGGAAATCAAATCGAGTGAATGATTACAAGTAAGTGAGGTTGAAATTTAAAAGCAGCGCTTAAAACGCTTGATTCAACGATTTCGAACTCTTTCTCAGAAAATATGTACAAAATGGCAAATACATCACCGATTTGGGAGAATTAGGACCCATTGGGAGAGTGGGATGGTACATACCTTATTTCATGACAGAAATTGGAAACAACAATCAAATGGACGACTTTGTAAGATCCTATCGTTATTTTCGAACCACACCTGTCATTCCATTCATTAACGGAGTTCCACAAGTGCTCTCATTCAACACTCAGATTATTCAAAATTTAAAATTGAACCTTAATGTCACGCCCTTACCAGTTCCAGAAGAAGATTCAGAGAAATATATTGTTAGTAGTTTGGAAAATGCAGAACGAACCAAAACACCTCTTGTTGCCTATTTTTGGACACCTCATCAAATATTCAGCAGGCCAAGACCACCTCAAAGAGTTTATTTGCCATTATACACAGATGATTGCAGAAAGCTAGAAAATGTTGAAAGAGGTCTTGTGGATTGTGATTATCCGCCTACAACTTTAAACAAGCTTCAATCCGAGGCTGTGAATAATCTCTCTCCAAAAGTTCAACTCTTTCTAAAAAAATTTCATTATCAAACTCAGGATCAAATTCAAATTTTAGGATATATTTACTACGGAGATATGACTGTAAAAGAAGCTGTTTGTAAATGGTTGAGAAATCCGAATAATACACTTTTAATTCAGAGCTGGTTTGACGGTCCTCCAATTCCCCTTACACAAAATGTTGGATTTATCGTTGGAATGGCTCATTTAGCAGTTTTAGTAGGATTACTATTCATTTTAACTGTTGCATTCATTGTGGGATTTATCTTGCGAAGACATTCAATTATTAAGGAAGAGAACAAGAGAGCCCCAAAACAACCTCCTATATGCATTGTTTTTACACATATCCAAAATGCGTCCTTGTTGTGGACTCTTGCATCAGATGTGATGAAAAAAGTGATGACTATTCATAATCGAGTGGTTCGAGAAAACATTAAAAAGCACAAAGGATATGAAGTGAAAACACATTTGGATTGCTTTATGATTGCTTTTCAATGTCCTTTAGATGCCGTTGCTTGTTGCATGACCATTCAGAAAGAACTTTTAGCATGCGAATGGACACCCGACATGATGGCCTTTCCTGACATGCAAGAAGTGGTGTGGAACGAGCAAGTGATTTACAAAGGTCCTCGAGTTCGAATGGGAATGCATTTTGGACATGATATTGAGGCACAGTATGATTCCACTACCAAACGTTTCGATTATTTTGGAACAACGGTGAATAAGGCGAGCCGAGTTGAAAAAGTTTCAAGTGGTGGAAGAGTGTATATTAGTGCGGAGACGTTTCACACCATTCAAAATATGACAATTAATGGATTTAAACCCCTAATGACTAGAAGACCTTCTCTTAACAATTTAGAAAGCAATATAACAACGAATTTCAAACAATCCATTTTGAAAGGAGATATCATGTTTGAAAATGTTGGAGAACGAGAATTGAAAGGTCTGGAAGGAAAACACACAATTTATTGGGTTAAAGACATGTCTAATCTCCGTTATGCCTATATTGAACAATTTGAAATGTCACAACGGCCTCCTTCTCTCATGGGAAGAATAATTCCAGTGGCAGTCATCGATTCATCCGATGGAGACAAGTATGAGCTCTATGAAGCAGTCACACAATGTCTGGCAGATCCTTCTAAAATGAACGAAGAAGAGAAATCCATTCTACTTCAACGGATCATTCTCTTTCCCAAGGAACGTGAGAGAAATCGATGGCTTACCTTTCCAAGCACTGCATTATTGAAATTTGTTACTAATTTTTTGTTGAATTATGCTCTGATTGGCAACGTTGGTCTAAAGAGGCATCCACCGCCTTCACCCAGAACTCCCAGAAGACTCTTCGAAATTTTTAATATCAACCAATGAGAAGCAAGTTTGTCAAAGAGAAAAGTAAATAAGCAAATATCAATATCAAATGTGACTTTTGATGTGAGTTGAAAAGCGTGAGTGGAGGATTTGATATCGTTTTTGTTGTTCTTGTTCGATAAATTTCATATTCAATATCTTGGAAAAATATCCCTCAAAAAAATTGTAGATATCCCAATTATATGACAAAAGTACAAGTGAATCATTGAATATGAAAACATGATCAAATAAATATCAATTCTCTATTTTCTTTGCGTTATTGCAAATTCAAATGTTAATACTAACTGGATTGTTGAAATTTTAAGCTCGTCTCTTTTTTATACCGAAATGAATCGGAGTGAAATTTATTGTTAATCAAAAGGTGTTTTGGCGAAACGATTCCGAATTAATATTAAACCCTCGTACGCCCGAGATGCAGTGGTTGTAGAATTGTGAATATCGCCCATTCAGTGAGCCCAAATAAACAACATATTTAGTTGTCTTAGGACCTATAACGATAGGATCTTGCTCGGTTATTTGTTCTGATATATCGTTCACAAGAAAGAAAAAAATTTCACGTTTTCGCTGGAACTTATGCGAAGGTAAATTTCATAGCCCTCAGGTTGATATATTAAAAAAATTGATGAAGACATGTAATCATGCCCCATAATCCTTCAATGATAGTAGTACTCATGAATGATATATAAATGAAATATGAGAGGTTGGGAGACACTCCTCGGACCGTGGAGCATCCCTAAAGTTGGTCAACCAAATACCTCCAGGGAAAAAATTTGTCACCCCAGGAGGAAGGACACTGTCAGTAACATGATTTGAAATTGAACTTGAAAATGATAATACAAGTAGTGGACACCACATAGAGGGTATAATGACAGTTGTGACACTTGGTGATGACCATGATCACAACAGAGACAATTATTCAGATTAGTTGCCATTGTGAAAGACATGGTCATGGTCATGAGATGAATCTTGTAATACACCTTCTACATGACCACTAGTATGTATTGATGTTGTTTATTTCATCAATTGTCAACTAAGGATGAAACGGTGAAGCTCTCCAGTATCTCGCCTTAAATCCAGTTGGAGAGTCAACAATTTCAAAACGATTCAAATAAGGATAACGTTTGGAGTTCTCAATCTTTTTGTGGAATGGAATCCAAGGTTCATTTGGTCGAATCTTGTAAAATATTTTCACATCACTGAAATAATATTCTTGATCGGCACCATCGTACAAACAATGAGTATAATATTCAAAATATTTGAAAAAGTGAATATGTTCAAAGTTCACAATTAAAGTTCCTCCACGACAACACACACCATATTCAGCAGTGTCATCCAATAACCCTTCTAATGTATTTTCAGCAAATGTATTATCATATGTTGGAAGTAACTTATTATCGCGCGTTTCATCATATTCTTTGGAAATGGAAATACTGATTGGAAGAATGGTGTTAACTTCACTTCCCTTGTAAGATGTTAGATGTGGAGCTTCTTGTTGATCTCTCGAAAGCAACAAACCCTTGGTTGTGTTGTATGGGATGAATGGTGCAACACCAAAGAATTGAAGCATACCAAATGAAATATCTCCACAAATTCTCTCAAATTTCCAATACCGTGCTTTGATTCCTTGCCCATTAAATTTCATGACATTCAATTTAGGATGATTGAAATATCTCCCAATTAAATGTTTCGAATGGTATCCAAGGATCTCTACTGTTCAATTTGTATTTCATTGCGACTCCTTCAAGAGTTGAAGATTCCTTTCGTCCTCTTCCATCGACTTTTGTGTATTCCTTAATCTTTGGATGTTCTTTCCATGTGAAAAGCGCAAACTTGTAAACTCCATCAAAACAAATTTCACATTGATGAAGTGTGGAATCATCGGTGACAAAACCATTGGTGCCACTTCCTTGTAATATCTCATCGATCACACTGTTATCTACTTTCTTATGATCAGTGGTGTAAAGTGCAACAGGTTTAACGAGATTAGTTTGATCGCAGCCAGAGAATTTAAGTTTGGATTGTTCAGCTACTTCCTGTAGACTTGGAACAACGCCACTCTTTGTTTGAATAGGAACATAGGGAGTGTATCCATAGATTCTAAGCATACCAATTTCAATTAGTTGTCCTTTGGTAACCAATCTCCATTCCTTGGCCTTGATGGGTTTTTCAAAGGTAATGGTGTTCACTAATGGACTAAACTTGAAATCCTTTTCTTCAATAGTTTTCAAAAATGTCCATGTGTCTGAATCTTTCAATCGATATTCAATATTCACATCTTTCAAATAGTAAACTTTGTTATTGGTAGTATTCGACGTCATGTATTCCAAATATGTGAATAAATAAACATGTGCATATTTCAAAACTATTGATTGATGATAGGAAGAGGTCACAAAACCATAATCACCAGAATCATCCAACAATCCTTCTAAAGTATTTTCACGTCTTGAGTCTCCTTTTGAATCGATCGACTGAACAGGAATAAGGTTAACCTCAGGACCAGTATATTTTGATTCCCACATTGATAGAGCACAACACCATTAATAGTCTTAATTGGTACATATGGACAATGGCCATACTCGGATTCAGTTCCTGAATTAAATAATCGATTGGTTTTCGATCGATTCGAATTTGAGGACGTGACACTTGATTTTCCATCCGTGTTGGAAAGATTCAATCCTAATATTTTCGAAATAAAAGTAGTGAGCTTTCGAGATTTTCCAAAACTGGATCGTTTCGAAAGATGATCTTGATCGTTATTGAAATTGGAATCTTCATTTGGAAAGGATGGAGAAGAAGAAGTAATCACAGGAGAAGAGGAGTTTGTGTCATTGCCACCTGTCATCATGACATGTTGTTGATGATACACTTCTTTCCCATGTGGAAAAATCAGACATGACACTATGTTCAGCATGACTTTTCAGAATTTTGTAATGAAGAAGAAACGGATGAGGAAAGAATGGGTGAATTTCCAAAAACTGAAGCTCCATGATGATGTGTAGAAAGAGAATTTTCCAAATGATTTGAATTGACGTTTGGCATATGTTGTGAATGTTGTGGTAATAATAACTTGTTTGAGAAGACTTCTCTTGAATGAGTGAATTGACACGTGACAGACCCGAGTTGGCAGGAGGAGAATTTCTTGATAACTACTCGAAGGAGATCGATTCAATGGAATGGGAGACGACCTATTGTTTGTTGAAATTGTTGTTGAAATTGAATCGGATGATGATTCGGTATTATTTCCAGACGAGGGAGTTGGAGGTGTGAACATTTTTTTTTGTTGTTGGAATAAATTGAAAGTTGACGACTAAGAAAGGGTCAATTATCGAACAATAATAGCGCTACTATTCAACTACTATTCAAGAAGAAGAACAACACCAACTACTCCAATAGTTCATCCACTTGGTATTATTTCCAATACCAGTGATTTGTAGCTATAAGTATGAATTTGTATCATCTTTGATCCACACCACTTGATCTATTTTCTTTAATAGTTGCATTATGATGATCATGACCCGAGAACAGAATGGCTTTTGATATTCGGATTCTCTCTAGAAGAATAATGCAACCAGAGCTCTTGAGCAAAGACCTTTTTTTTTCCGTTAGGAGTGATTTAATTGATAGACTTTCATCGACCCTCAGAAACAAGGATACTTTAAAAAAAATTCATCCTCACCTTTCCTTTGTGTTTTACTCCTATTCTTGCTTATATACTTTAAAATGAACGCCGCTACTACGTTTCGGGCTCTTGTTTTGAAGAGGCTTGATATTGCTGCTGGTTCTGAAAAGAAGTACTCTAAGAAGATTGATGTGTTGTTGGCTTGCGCTCCGGTGAAACAGTTTCAAGCAGGTTTGAAAAACACTGCATTTCCTTCTCCTGAAGAAATTTCATCCAAATCATGGCCTCAGTTGGTGGAGAGTTTTCCCTTTGTCCAACAAGTTGCATCGGTCTTGGAGAAACGGAACGTCCTTGTTGAATTTGTAAAAGGATTGGTACGAGGACAACATCCTGATGAGGAGGGATTTGCTAAAGAGTTTCTCGATAAATCGCCAGAAATCCAAACTTGCTACGATCTATTGAGAAGCAACAAGTTGGAAGAAGAGCTCAAGAACATCATGTTCAAAGCCATATTGAATGATACGCCTGTAAAGATGTTTCTTGATGATCTCTTTTCTGAATTCAAAGAAGAAATTATCAAGGAAAACCTTTCATCTGCTTCCGTTATTGAGGCTGGGCTTAAGAAAAAAGGGATGCAAACAACACCATTAGTCATTTCGCTTGCTTTAAGCGTAGGTGCGGATGGGTTAAAGAGGTTCTATGAGAAGAGCAAACACTTTAAGTTTTGGCAGACAATGTTGGACGAGAACTCTCATCTAAACCAATGTTGCGCTATTTCGAGATTTAGATCAGAAGCTGACAACATTGAAGTTGCACAAACACTACTCCAAGCTACTCGTGAGGCAGTGGCTGAAGAGTATAACGAACTTGTGTCCAAACGTTATCAATCAACGCTTCTTAAAAAAAGGAGGCCCAACCAATTCCATCCTCAACAAAAAAAAAATCGATGACCAAAACACCCACTCCACAATCATCCAACAACAAGATTGTAACAACTATAGCTTCATCGTCCAACAACGTGGTAACAGTTACATCGCCATCCTCTCAACAATCATCCAAAAACAAGGTTGTAACCACTAGTGCTTCATCATCCAACAACGTGGAAACAAATACATCGCCATCCTCTCAGCTGCCATCCAACGTAGAAGCATTAGCCGTTTCTCAAGAAAATATGGCTGATGAAAAAATGTCGGTAGATCAAATATACAACGCCTTAATCAACAACGATCATAAGGCAATGGCTTCGTTCTATTTTTCTCTTTCCGACTTGCCTCAACAAATTCGTGGCTTGAACGAAACACTGATAAAAATGGATGCGAGAATCACAAACTTTGAAAAGAGAATGGAGAAGGAGATGAAAGAGATCCGTGATGACTTACGAATTATTAATACAAACATTGGTTGTTTATATGAAGGTCAAGTGAAACTTCAATTCCAAAAAGATGACGAATTTATAACTCACAATCCAGTTGTATTGAAGGAATCTGAGAATCAAGCAGCATTTGCTATTGCTCGAGCCAATCAAGTTTATTCATCGTATCTTATGACTCTACATTTGAATAACAAAATTAGCGACGAGAACGCCAGAAAACTGAATTTAGAAACAAAAGAAATTGAAATTAATTTCATCAAGAAGCACAAAGTAACGGGAGCTGTAGAAATTTTCGAAGCTACTATTTCGTCATTTAGTAGCGATGAGAAATTGTTGACGAAAATGATACAATTAGAACGTCAAATTATGTTTTACAAGGAATGTTTCAAAAACACCATCATCAGTAGAGTTGGATTAGTCTCACCTAGCAACTTGACCCTCCAAAGAGTGAAGCAGGTTATTGAAAACCATAACGGCCTCTTTATCAACATTCAATCTTTCATCAACAACAACACTTTTGACATTATTAGGGAAGGACACAAACCTGAAATTGATTAAAACCAATATCTACGCTTAATAAAGTAAAG